TGGCACGTGGGCCTGGTTGGGAGTAACTTAGGTACAGTCGTTCTTTAGCGGGACAAAATCCCTTGGCTTTATTGCCTAGTGGGAAGCACGCATTTCGTAAAGAATGAGTTATGCTTCATCTTTTCCGGTGAGACGGTATCCCTTGGTTATATAGCCTAGTGGGAGGCTCGGCTCTCGTAAAGAATAAGCTTTTACTTTATCTTTTTAGGTAAGACGGTATCCGTTGGCTTTAACGCCTAGTGGGAAGTCCGTATTTTTGTAAAGAATGAGTTATGCTTCATCTTTTTCGGTGAGACGGTATCCCTTAGTTATATAGCCTAGTGGGAGGCTCGACTCTCGTAAAGAATAAGCTTTTACTATATCTTTTTAAGTAAGACGGTATCCCTTGGCTTTAACGCCTAGTGGGAAGTCCGTATTTGTACACTTGGTGGTTGATCAGACCCTCAAATTTTTCATGTAGGAAGTCTGCCCGTTTTCCTAAGTTTTGAAGGGCGGGTAAGACTCCCCGGAGCTTTAGTTGCTCTATTTTTTGGAGCATTGGGGAGTGAGAAACCAAGGTTCGGGTTGGCCAGACCCTTTGTGATCCTTGATATCTTTTCCTTTAGCTATTTTTTGAGTCTATTGACTTTTTGTTAAATCTATTGTAGATGTCTTGAACGAAAACGCATAGAGAAGACAAATTGTTGATGTAGAAATCACGGTGGCGATATCACACCGACTAAAATATTTTATTAAGAATCATGCGACTGGCGGTATGCCTCGAAAATATTGTGCGGGGCGGTATGCCACCGACTTATTGCTGAAAATAAATTACATGGGGCCCGCATGGGGCAATAGTAAATACTAAGTAAAGTATTTCTTCAGGATTGCGATTGTTCTAGGAATTCTCTCAAGTGCCCGTTTTGGACAAGTCTCCCGAGCGCTCGCATAAGCTGAAAACACTCATCAATAGTGTGACCTCGAGCTCTGTGGTATTCACAGTAGTTATCCGACTTTTGTCGTTCTGGATTCTCATTCCTCCTTTTCGGTGGTTGAAGAATACCCTTCTGCTCAGCGATGATCATCATGTCAAGAAGTTTATCCTTGAGGTGAGAACTTCCCGAAGGTGCGATTTTCGATGGGATGTCTCTCTTCTTCTCTATTATAGTTGTGGCTTTCCACGTCGCGCTTTCGTTTAAGGGGTACTCTCATCTCCGTGATCACCTCAATCCGTATGTACTTCCCAGCGCGGTTCAAGAGCTCCTCCAGGGTCTTAGGGGGTCGGCCCGCGATGGACTCTCGAAAACGAACATGCTTCAAATTTTGTTGTAGTATGCCGGCTAACATCTCGTGAGTAACGTGGCGCACTTCATGTACTGCTTTGACAAATCGTTGTATGTAATCTCTGAGTGGCTCTCCGTCTCGTTATATGACCTTGAAGAGATACGATCCAGTTTTGGCATATTTCTTATTCATTGAGTCGTGGTTAAGGGAATGTGTCGCTAGTTGGTTCAGATTGTCTAAGGACCCTCCGGGCAAGCCGTTGAACCAAACTTGTGCCTGATCAGTCAGCGTAGTCTGAAAAATCTTGCAGTAAGCTGTGTTACTGAGGCCGTAGAGGTCAAGCTTGGCGTAAAAGTTATTTAACTGTTCTTGGGGATCTCCGGTCCCGTCAAATTGGGGTAGATTGGGGATCCTAAATCCGAGAGGTAAGACTTCTTCCATAATGGCAGGAACAAATGGGCTTATTCGAGCGGGGAATGTTTCAAAGCGAGCGGTCGTTGGCCTTGAAGCTTTTCGTCGAGGTCTCCTTGAGTTACGGTCATCAATGCCCTCACGGCTCATTTTCTTTTCAGATTGGGAATATCTACTTCCAAATTTATTTCCGATAGAGTCTCTATGGCGAAAGGAGCGCTCGCTATTCCTGTCATATCGTGATTCGTGGCGTGCCACACCCGGCCGAGAAGAAACACTTCTCTCTCGACGGCTATGCGCCGCTCTCTCCCTTGGAGGAGCCCTCTGCCTCACGGGGCGTGGTGACCGGCGGCGAGCTTCTCTTCGAAGGGGGCGGTTCGATGATGGGTTGTGATGAGGCGATTGGTGGCGAGCGTATCTTCGAGGCTCACGATCTGAGGATGCGCTACACTGTGGCGAGTGGTGGTGAGCCTCTTTGAGGAGCACGTTCGGAGAAATAACTTTGGCTGTCGAGCGATACTCTTTTAAGGCTTGTAATTCCTCTGCAGTCATCTAAATGACCGGCGCTGAAGATCCCGCAAGGTTGGCCGCTCCCATCGTTCTCTTCCTTCGAGGCGGCTCTATGACTCCAGGGTTACCTTGAAGCGGTTGGTGGAGATCGCCTTGACCACCTTCGTTGGCCGCTCCCGAGACGGCTCTAAGACTCTACCGCTCTTCGAGGCGGCTCTGAGACTCCGTCGCTTCCTCGAGGCGGGCGGCTCTAAAACTCTTCCGCTCTTCGGGGCGGCTCTGAGACTCCGTTGCTTCCTCGAGGCGGGCGGCTCTAACACTCTTCCGCTCTTCGAGGCGGCTCTGAGACTCCGTCGCTTCCTCGAGGCGGACGGCTCTAAGACTCTTCCGCTCTTCGGGGCGGCTCTGAGACTCCGTCGCTTCCTCGAGGCGGGCGGCTGTAACACTCTTCCGCTCTTCGAGGCGGCTCTGAGACTCCGTCGCTTCCTCGAGGCGGGCGGCTCTAAGACTCTTCCGCTCTTCGGGGCGGCTCTGAGACTCCGTCGCTTCCTCGAGGCGGGCGGCTCTAACACTCTTCCGCTCTTCGAGGCGGCTCTGAGACTCCGTCGCTTCCTCGAGGCGGGCGGCTCTAAGACTCTTCCGCTCTTCGGGGCGGCTCTGACACTCCGTCGCTTCCTCGAGGCGGGCGGCTCTAAGACTCTTCCGCTCTTCGGGGCGGCTCTGAGACTCCGTCGCTTCCTCGAGGCGGGCGGCTCTAACACTCTTCCGCTCTTCGAGGCGGCTCTGAGACTCCGTCGCTTCCTCGAGGCGGGCGGCTCTAAGACTCTTCCGCTCTTCGGGGCGGCTCTGAGACTCCGTCGCTTCCTCGAGGCGGGCGACTCTAACACTCTTCCGCTCTTCGAGGCGGCTCTGAGACTCCGTCGCTTCCTCGAGGCGGGCGGCTCTAAGACTCTTCCGCTCTTCGGGGCGGCTCTGAGACTCCGTCGCTTCCTCGAGGCGGGCGGCTATAAGACTCTTCCGCTCTTCGGGGCGGCTCTGAGACTCCGTCGAGGAAGCTCTAAGACTATTCCGCTCTTCGAGGCGAGTGGTTGGGATCGCCTTGATCCTCTTCGTCATGACACGTGATCTAGTTTGCCTTCCCACAGACGGCGCCAAAATGATGCTGCTCCAAAAATGATGGGTCAGCCCAATGGTCTTGAAGCCCACATGTCTTCTAAGTTCGGGAATCTTCAAGCCCAATATCGGGAATGCCGAAAGTCCTTGCCACGCGTCCGAGGTAGTCGAAGGGATCGCTCCACTCGTTAACCTACAAAACAGTTGAAAACACTAGGTGACACGCCGGGGGTGGCCCGGCGATTGTCCTCCGACGCTCAAGTCAGAAAACTATCACAATATAAGCTAATAATATTAATTAATTGCCTAAATAGTGCTTACCTTATTACATGAGTTAAATCACATATTTATAGGTGATGAAATATGGAGACTTCTTGTAGAAATCCGATGTGGGACAATTTGTTATAACTAAAATCCTATTGAATTTTAGTAGATGTGATAATTGGGCTTTTATTATTAATTGGATTGATTTGGCCTTTTAGGCCAAAAACCCAATTAAGAATTAGGCACATCAATTGGGTTACAGGAAGTCTGCCTGATTAGTTCTACTCCATGATTTTCGAATATAAAAAAAATAAAAATAAGAATAATAAAATAAAGCAAGTAAACTATTTTACACACTGTTTGTATTCAATTTAAAATATTAATATTTGGTAATTATTTGAATCAATCAATAGCATGAACTATTCATCAAGTAAAACTAAGATGTGTTCAACAAAGAGATTTGAAGATTCGTTCTTCATCATTGCTTCAATTATTAAACTTCAGACAAAGTCAATTACTTTTTTGGAATTATTAGAAAAATTGCAACTTTTTTATTTAATAAAAAGAGATGGCGCGTGTCCACAACATATGCAAATCATTGAATTGCATTACTTAAATTGAATATTTTAAACTAGTCAAATACGTGTCTTTTTCTAACTTTCCGATTTTTTTCTGCTGGATTTTTTGTTTTCTTGTCAATTAAATTTATTTATTTATTATTATTATTATTATTATTATTATTATTATTATTATTATTATATTTTTTTTATTTTTTTTTATTTTTTTATTTATTATTATTTCCTTTTCTCTTTTGGTCATTTCTTAGCTAACTATTGCCCATCTATGGTCTTGAGTGGTCGGTCCAATTTGGGCCTCTTATCATATTACTGCCTTAAGAAATAGGCGGGCCTTATTATCTTTTTGGGCTTTTGCGTACAATAAATTAAGGGTAAATTACAAACTCGCCCCTATCGTAAGCTTTATTTATGAAAACCTCTCATTTTTCCATAATTACATTCTCACCCCTGAAATTTGTAGATTTTTTACGATAACACCCTCTTGTAGGGTGTCGAAGTCAAAAAATTACTAGCTATAGGGGGTGATTGTAATTTCATAAAACAATAAGGGGTTTTCTCGTAGATGCAACCTCAGGGCTATGGTTGTAATTTAACCAAAATTTAACTTCATCCTATTGCCTTAGCATTTTCGTTAAATAAAAAAATAAAGAATAAAAAACAATATTTTGACAATTTGACTTAATGCCCCATTCATTGTTTCAAAAGAAAAAAAAAAGAGAGAGAGAGAGAGAAACACTTATCCTCAATTGTTAGGTAGTTTACATGTTCAAATGTCATCATCAATACATCTCTGTATATATATATATATATATACATTATATAATTCCTGCATATATCTCTGTATGTAGACTTTTCTTCTATATATATGTTTAATTGAGAACATCAACTCTCAGTATATTACTACTAATTAACTTAGTCATCGTCCAATTAAGTAATGCAACTATGATTTAGGGTTGACAAAAGACTCAACCACCCTCGAATATTGAAAACATCATACGCACAACTCTGCCTCGATCACCCACTATATAAACACATGAATGAAGTTCATTATTCTCACAGCAAACCATAACTCACAAACACAACTTGTTTTCAGAAAAATATATTCATAAGATTATATTTAGCCATGTCTACTTCTACTTGTGTTTTATCGGCTCGATTAATGTTCGTTCTTGTTCTAATTGGAGCAGCCAATGCGCAGTTATCTCCCAATTTCTATAGTACAAGATGCCCTAATCTTCTTACTATTGTCAGAACAGCTGTCAATACAGCTGTGGCCAATGACCGTCGTATGGGCGCCTCTTTGCTTCGTCTCCATTTCCACGATTGTTTTGTGCAGGTAATATAATTAATTAGTTTCCTTCGTCAAAACATAATTATGAATTGATTTGCATTTTGATTATGTACTACACAACTTAATGACATGCATGCTCCGATATATATCTTTGTCTGTTCATCATGCCGCCGGATCGGATTTATATTGATTCTTAAATCTTATTTTTTCTTTTAATTCATTTTTTTTTTCATTTTGTCATACACTATATATATATATAGTAAATTGTATTGATAGCTAGTGGACCAACTTTAACTTTTATAATATTTTTTACATGTAATTAATGATTGGTATCTAAACTTTAAAATAATACATTATACATTGTATGCACACAGGGATGCGATGGATCGGTATTATTGGATGACGTAGCAGGTTTCACCGGAGAAAAGACCGCCGCTCCGAACGCCAACTCATTGAGAGGGTTCGATGTCATCGACACCATCAAAACCAGGGTCGAGGCCGCCTGCCCGGGCATCGTTTCATGCGCCGATATTCTGACCATCGCTGCCCGTGACGGGACCGTTGCTGTCAGCGGTCCTAGTTGGGCGCTTTCACTCGGAAGAAGAGACTCAACCACCGCGAGTTTGAACGGCGCAAATAGTCAACTCCCCGGACCCGGATCCAGTCTCAACAACCTTATTACTTCATTCGCCAACAAAGGCTTCACTACTAGGGAAATGGTTGCCCTTTCTGGTAATTATAATATTTCATTACTTAATTAGTTTCCAACCAAATTAATTTAATGATAGTAAACAAATTAAAATAAAATAAAATAATTTGTATTTTTGTAATTATTAGGATCGCACACAATAGGATTGGCGAGGTGCAGTACTTTCAGGAACAGAATCTACAACGCCGCGAACATAGATCCCGCCTTCGCAACCGCAAGGAGGGCAAACTGTCCGAGAACCGGCGGAGACAACAACCTGGCGCCGCTCGACACCGTCAGCTCCAACACATTCAACAACGACTACTACACGAATTTGGTGAGCCGAAGGGGTCTCCTCACTTCCGACCAGGTACTATTCAACAATGGAACCACAGACGCGCAGGTGAGAGCGTACAGTACAAACTCGGCTTCTTTCTTCAACGACTTCGCCGCTGCTATGGTTAAGATGTCGAATCTCTCCCCACTCACCGGGACCAATGGTCAGATCAGGAGAAACTGCAGACGTAGAAACTGATTTATAACGACGTCTTTCGTTGGTGTTCTTCTTCTTCATCTTATGGAATTTTGTGTGTTTTCAATAAAATTAGTTGTTTAAGTTTAATTTGTTCCTTATAAGTTGTTGAATTATTCTATAATTGTATCATTTCAGTGTTTTAATAAAGAAATTTCGAAATATATAATCTGATGTTTAAGGAATTTTCATTTTCATTTGATTATATTTATATATCATGTTGCTTCAATCGATTACTTATTTTACTTGTTTTATATAAGTACATAATTATAAATGTTTAAATTTACAAAAAAATAAAATCCCGGACAAAATAACGGGATATGATATATAAATATATATAGAGGTACAACTATGCCTCGTCTGATCGACAAGATAAAATTAAATAATCTAATAAAAATCCAATCATGAACCGAATTAAGTAAGATCTTATTGAAGACTTGTTTTCTTTAATTTGCTTGATCGATCAAATATCGCAATTAATTAATATAATGCACAAATTGGAAGGAAAAAAAAAGAGAAGAATTTATATATGTATATATACCAATTATAACTGACAGATTAACTAATCTTGCTCGTCCTTATGATGAACACTCCAATTGTCGATAGCTTGCAATACCGCTTGTTTAACCACCTGTGCATCTACGCTATCAGACTGCCCTTCAGTCTGCATTAATCAAATTTTTAATTTATTTTTTTCTGAGTATATATATTCATAATATTTCTTGTACTTTAAAGTACAAGAAATATTAATTAAAATTTTACTTAATTAGTAAAAAATAAAATAAAATGTAAGAATTAATTGGTTAAAGAAAAATGAGATGATCTGGATCGGATTAGCAATTAGCTAGCTACCCAATACAAATCAACTTGTCAGGGTATGCAAAAAAAACAAACATGCATACTAAAATGTGTGGTTCAAATTATGAGGCAGATTTTTACTTGTGGGTTGCACGTGATGATCTTATAACTATTATTATTTTATGATCCTTTGCATGATTTTTTATTTATTTATTTATTAATTATTATGATATGTATTGTGTAATTATTTAATTAATTGGTTCATTGGGTGCATTTCTCAGATATTAACCCAGTATATAAAAGATGAGAAACATAACTATATCGAAACATATAAACGAGTAACTTTTTTTTTTAATTTGATTGATTTACCTGAGTACTAACAGCTTCGAGGTGAAAATTGTCGGAACAAGAAACCCTAGCGTCGAGTACTTCAAGGCCTAAATCCTCAAACGTTTCTAGTACAGAAACAAGCAAACTCGGGCTATTTTTCCCTGAAAACACGTTTATTAGGAACCCTTTTTCTAGGGTTTCAACTTTAACAACCTGCTGTAATAAAAAAAAAAAAAAAAAAAATGAATTACTAATGTATGTTTAGTGATATATTATCATACTTAATTAGTAATTAAGTGTTAATTAATACCGGGGGGAGTACTGAATTTTGTTGGGATGAAGAGGCCGTTTGTAAGGTAGTGACATCTTGATTTAGTTTTTCAACCCTTTCCTTCAGCTCTTCTATGTATCTCGTTGCGTCCACTATTATCGATGCTTTCTTTCTCTCTTTAGAACCGGCCATCTTCTTCTTCTTCTTCTTCTTCGCCTCAAACACACAGAGATTAATTAATATTTTATATATAATATATGTATTTAGACCAGAGACCAATGGATGAGAGTACTGGAGGATTTAATTTTATGAAGAGAAGAGGAGCTCTCATATATATCAAGCATATATATAATATATATATATGAGTTGCTTTGTTTGTTTCTCGTGCATGAGTACCACAAGTTTCACAGGAGAATATGACGTAACTGGAGTAACATAGTGCTGCAATGTCCATTCTGCCCTCCATCTGCTATTTACATTTAATTCAGAAAATATTTTTAATATATATATGATATTTCTCCATCAGAAGACTTCAAGAGTCTTCCTTTGTCATCCATTCAATTATTTTTTTTATAAAATGTGGATGCTTTTATAAGTTATAACTCATTGCCAAATATTGAAGTCTTATATTTTTATTTTTATTTTTATTTTCATTTATTTTGGTAGTAAATTAGGTAGGCAGTGAGGACAATAAGGTAATTAATGGGAATGAGAAAATGAAAAATGTTGTATGCAAGAAGATAAATGGCGGCTAGCTGAGAATTGGGGTTGTCTAGAAATCCCCCGTGAGATGTGTTTGGACCTATTTGACAGCTAATATTAATTATTACTCCAATTTTACTACCAAAAATATAAATCAAAGTATGGAACCACACAACAAATACAATATATACTCATTTGACCTTCACCGGATGTAGGATAGATAAAACCGCCCTTCACCGAAACGTAATTAAATACTAGATATAAAATTAAATTTTACATATATATAGTTTTACATATATGCAGTTACAGGTTCCGTTATAGACTATATATAATTGCATTAAACAGAAACATCAATTAGGGTTAAAAGTTAAAACCTGGCTTTTTATTTTATTTTATTTTATTTTGTTAGGACATACTATAGTTTATAGTGTTTTTTTTTTTTTGTTTCATTTTTCCTTTTGAATTATCTCCCACGTGCTTTCACAATTTACCAAATCTTCATTTCAACAATTAGTCAATTTTCTGTCTGTCATCGTACCTAGCCATCCTTCCGATCCGATGTGGCTCCTAATTAATTGGCGAAGCTTATAGCTCTTGATATTTATTTAAAATAAAAAAATAAAATAAAAAATAAAAAAAATATTACGTTTTCCGGTACAAGTAATATAAGTGAAAAACGGGACATTATCCGATTATTCGCTTACTATATAAAAGAGACAACCACGTAATTATCAGTGACAACTGTATATTGCAATTTTAATGTAACATTTTTAACGTAATAATATGTAATACAAAGAATGTAGGAGATTCCTGCTCAACTAACAGTGCTAAATTAGAAGACAAGCAACTATCAATCAATCCTTAACTAAGGTTAACAACATCACTAATTTCGTTTTAACTTTTACTAATGAATTATGAATCATTCCCCCACCCAAAGGGTCCACGTGTTATTTAATTATCATAAATATTCATGATCACCCCCACAAAATTAATATTCCAATTAATTAATTTCTTATAATTAACTTTTGAAAATTATCGGAATTAATAAATTCAGATTTTTTCTAATTAAGTGAAACCCTAAATCTCATATAAAGGGAATTCGAAAGGTCTATTCTACGCTAAACCGGGTGCAATACATCGGGTAGATTCTTGTCATTCACATACACACAAACACACACATCCGCTTTCATGTGTGTAAATCAACGATAACAAATTACCCGGTGATGTCTTCACCGGATGTAGCATAATAATAACCAATTCGAAACGACTCTACATACATTGAAAAAATAGTCAAAAACTCTCAATAGTTCATCAGTAATTATTCTATAAGGGCAATTAGAGCAAAATCTATTGATCTCGGTCTCCTAGCTTCTCCCGGTCAACTCTTTAACTCGACTCCCGAGCTACCATGCAAACTCGAGTAATCTAATTTCTTATGAACCTAATTAAAGAATAGTAGCGAAGAATAACTTATATTTGAAAATTTTGCAAAATTCCGAGACAAAAAAAAAATTAAATGGAAAAGTCGTGTGAACGAATTTTCGTGATATGTGCAAATATTTTGGTAAATTTATATATATTGTTTTTGTAGTAATAATATATATAAAATGAGAATTAGACTATTGTCAAGTATCCACAAAGACAAAGAAGCAAGTACCCACCTACTCACATGTGTGCATTAATCATCGCAACAAAACAATTCACCCTTACAAACACATATCCAGCTCCAACCTTGTCTCTTCCCCTAATTCCAATTTTCCATTTGTATATAGTCTCTCCAACAAAAATAATTATTATTATTATAATAATAATAATTCCCTCTAATTTTCCATAGAATATTTTGGAATTTTATTTTTCAAAAAATTTGACACCGCTAAAATTATTCATGTCGTCAATTTATTAATCCGTCGTAATTAGCTATACGACGATCTATCGATTCTTGCTTGTGTTGATGGCTACAAAAAAACCAAACATGCTAATTGCATTATTAATTAATATCGATCTAAATGATACTAGATATTCAAGTGTTCGTTCGATCGTTTCAATGAAGATGACTTGTTATGTACAATTCTCATTATCAACTATATACTGGTATATATATTTAGGGTTTTGTCTGAAACTCTAAAACCCCAAATTCAAGGGATCGTAGTATTGATCTCCACTTAATTCGTGTTTTATTTTTTTGTAACATAGGGAATTATATTTTCTCCTCCTCGCATGCGGGTTTTCCGGAAATAATTTTCACGTAAATCTTACGTCATCTTTCTTGTTTTCTTAATTAATGCCCAATGGTTATGGCACTTGCTCTAGATAACATTTTCTGACATTGTCGATCGACAAGTTCATTAATATTCACTCATTATATTACACCAATAATTAGTACTTTCTGGTAGATAATCTGATTGTACGTATGTGCAGAAAATCACGGGTTTTAATTTTGTGAATTATATAATAAATTAAACTAGACAGTTTATATTTTTGCATATGCCCTAGGCTAAGCGATTATGGCGGACCAAGCTTCATAGTACAATTACATAGTTAAGGACGATGTACAATATGTGTGTGTGTGTGTGTGTGTGTGTGTGTGTGTGTGTGTGTGTGTGTGTGTGTAAGAGATATCGATATATAAATAACCCATTCTAAATTTGGAAGTGTATCTCGTGACAAACCCTAGTTAGCTCTTTTACCTCACCAAAAGAAGATAGTTCTACTTCTCACTCACCTTCATATATATATATATATATATATATATATATATATATATTTAGCTGGCACATATAAATCACATCCGATTCTAGAAGAATAAAAATTAAAATGAACATATTAAATGTATATAGGAAAATTGAAAAATAAAAATGCATTTATTAATTTAAGGGTTAAATACAAAAATACCCCTGTACTATGGAGTTTGTATCAAATACCCCCCTGTACTACACATAAATACAAAAACTCCCCTCACATTACATTTTTTTCAAAATATGACGAAAATACCCCTGTTTAGCCTATAAATTTAATGGTTTGTTTGAGTCATTTTCCACTATATTTTTAATATTTTCGGTCAATTTTACTTGGAAAATTTTGATATTTATATTTTTTTCTCCAAAACATTAAATTACTTAGTTATTTTTTTTCTCAATAAAACCTTTTATTTTCTTCCGGCAGTTCAAATTCTCAACAATCATAGGATTGTAAAGATGTTTGTAATCTTATGATGTTTGAACTACCGGAACACATTTAAGAAAAAAAATGAAGAAACTCAAAATGACAAAAATAAAAGGTTTTTATCATAAAATTAAAAAAATATAAGCAATTAGATGTTTTGGAGAAATAAATATAAATACCAAAATTTTCCACGTAAAATTGACTGAAAATGGCTAGAGTAGGGGTATTTTCGTCATATTTTGAAAAAAATGTAATGTGAGGGGTGTTTTTGTATTTATGTGTAGTACATGGAGGTATTTGATACAAACTCCATAGTACAGGGGTGTTTTTGTATTTAACCCTTAATTTAATTATTCCCTTTAGAACGTTGTATATAATACTACTATACTCAGGGGCGGACCCAGGGGGTTTTGGGTGGGGGGGCGAAAAAAAAGTTTTGGGGTTAAATGGTATAAAATTTTAACTTTGGGGGGGCTAAAGTGTAAAAATTAATACATAAATAAGCCAAAATATTAAAAAAATAAAAAAAAAAGGTAAAAAAAAATTTTTCTGCAGGGGCGGGTGCCCCCCCAACAGAAGCCTTGGGTCCGCCCCTGAGTCTATACTGCAGGTGGATTCATTTTATTAACCCGAAATATTTTTTTGGAAAAAACAACCAAACGTGTGTTGTCCTGATGTAATAGTTTTTACTCCAAGCTAAGTCACGGGCTATAAATTCAAATAAGGATGAAAAATATTATTTTTGGCCTGGTGTATATATATGATTTATATATGGAAAATCGGAAAATAATATTTCTTGTAAAAATATAATGGTGAAGAAATTAAATTAAATTGCAGTCCCTTGTCCCTGAGTCACATGATACACTACAAGAATCCAAAAATCAAAACTCCCATAAACTCAACAATATTTTCCTAATTCATATAATGAAGTTGAAGAATTTTATTATTAGGTGGGGAAGATTTAATTTGTACGTTTGGATGCATGTATATGGACGGCTGAGATCTTAGCTGGCAGATGATGTCTTCTTCCCCAACAAATTTGGAGAGATTATTTCCAGGAGTTGGGCCACTTATTTAAGTGGGACCAATCCGAAAATTCATATTTGGGCCCAAAACTTTAACAGCCCATCTTCAGATAAAAAAGCCCATCTTTGAAACAAAATCAAGAAAACAAATTAATCAATTTCAGAAAATCCGATTGTAAATGTAAATCAATTAGATTAATCATTAACAAGTGAGTCCTTTCTTCTTTTCCAAATTACAAAATAATACCCAAGTCCTCCCAACACAAGTATAATAACAAACACATCAACCACTCCCACAACTATAATTACCCATCTCTTCAACCCATAATTACTACCATAACCCTCAATTATTGTTCCTTTAGCAACCTTAATCATGTACTTAATATCTCCACTCCCTCCTTCAACTTGCTTAATCCCTCTAACCATTTTATACAAATTACACTCCCCAAAATCAAACTCTGCTGCCACACAAGTACAATCATCCAAACACAACTCTCCACACTCTTTTTTACCAACATTATTATAATTACCACTTCCATAACTAGAAACACTCTTAATTACACTAATCACACCTCTTAATTCAACCATTTCCGCATTCTTTTTCCCACAAAGCCCCTCGATATTCCCCTCGAAGCAATCGGATCGATGCGCGTTTACTCGAATACACGAGCATTCTCCCGACAAAGTGCAAATCCAGTAAGGCTTATTACACGACAAAGGAAGATCACAACTTAAGTTAAGCGCTTGATAAGTAGCTTCGAATTTGCCCTTATCTTCTGAGTAATGATAAATGTTTAAATTGCCTGTGCTCTTCTCTAGCGAAAGAAATCGTGGGGGGTCGTTCGATTTTATCGAATCGAATTTGTTCTTGCCGTTGAATATTTCGAGCCCGGTTGAAGTTAGCTGCATGAATGTGATGTTTTTTTTGATTGAAGGCTGATATTCCCAATATGAATACTTCCACTTGCCATAGTTTAAGTATAGTGCAATCTTGTCATACTGAATTTCCATTGAATAGAATAGTGTTGAGTTGACTGGGAAAGAAGTTAACCGAGTTTGCGAACTCAGTCTCTGCCCCCACAGCATTATATCAGTCGGAAAATTGAAGCTCTGCCATTTAATCAAGTTTAATGCGTCCACTAAAACCAAATTCCCTGTCCTTAGCAGATTTAATCTCTGCATTAATTAATATATTTTATTTCAAGAATATATGAGAAAAAAAAAAGAGGAATGGTTGATTAATTAATTAATTAATTACCTTAACGCCTTGTCCGGAAGTGCCACTCCTCCATCCGACTCGTTCATTCTGACCCTTCAATCGCAAGTCGCCGTACTGAGTCAACTCGAGGACGCATTTTCCGGTGGTGTAGAATCTTGATAAATGGCCGGAAGTCCATACTCTAACATCTCCGAGCAGGATATCGAGTGAGCAGGAGTAATAATTATTTTCTTCTTCGACGGCGGCTTCGACGGTGATTGCTGCTCTAAAATGCGGCGCCGCCGCCTGTTGTACTTCCGTCAGAAAAGCTCTCCCGACGAACCCTTTTGTGTACACAGTTGGGACGGCGAGTGTCACCTCGTACCCGATTTGTATGTATGATTCAGACAAGGCCTGATCAGCCATAATTAGGTTTAAGATGATGACAAGTGGTAATAATGTAATAAACACAGAGATGATTTTCATGTCAAAGTGTGTGAGTTTGGTGAAATAAACACACAGATTATATTCGCCGGTGATATTGAGGCAGCAGCGGAAGAAAGTTGTGGTCTTCCATAGCGGAATAAAAGTTTGGCAGAAGCATTAGCTGCTCCTTAATTAAAAGGTTTGATTTTATTTTTGCATATATATATATATATATATATATATATATATATATATATATATATATATGCAAAAGTAAAATAAATAATGTATTTATTTTATTTTGATAAAAATAAATGATTTTATGGGTTATTATGGGCTTACTTTACACTCTGTAATGAACACATTGCCAACCAATTATTTATTGGATAAATTACGAAAATCCCCCTAAACTTAGATTAAATTACAAAAATCAACTCCATCTATTCGTAACTATTAAAAACACCCTGAGGTTTGTTTCCATCTTACACCAACTATTTACAGTGTGACTTTTCACGGATTTTGTTTTGATTTCAGGGAATAGACTATTTAACAGAAGGTATAATAGATTGTACATATTTTCTGTTAAAAAACTCAATCAATAGTTAATCAGAGGGAATTTTGGTTAATAGATATAGTGGGGGTGTTTTTCGTTATTTAGCACAAGTTCAGGGGTTTCTCGTAACTTTCCATTACTTATTTCCTTACTTCCCGTACTGCAAGTCTGCAACAATTTTGACCTGTAAAAATTTAGTGAAACGGTGTCGTGGAGAGAGTATTTACCAGTGGACCCCTATCATCAATTATGATTATTTACGAAACGTACTTATTAATATATTAGGTTTGGGGGCAACAAAAATGAGTGCTCTGTTACTTTTTTCTGGTGGTAGGCATGCGAATCATCGAATTGCAGTCTCCTTAAAATCCGGATATTGGATGCCACGTCGGATACTATGATGCTTACCTCACGTATGAATGACATAGGATTACATGGATGCGTTTTGGTAAAATTCGGATTTCGAATAATAAATCAAAAAAATTAAAAATATATAATATAATTTCAGTGATCCGTAGTTATAAATTATTTATAATATTATATAAAAATACATGGATCCATGTCATCCAGACCCAAATGAATAAAATTCAGGCCCACACATGCAAAAATTATTATAGTAAGCCCAGAAAAAATTCGGTCCAGTTGTCCACGCGCCAAATCGTTACAAATTCTAATTTAATTTGGTACCGGTTCACATTCGAGCCGCATTAATTTAATACGAAAAAAAAAAAAAAACCAAAAGTCGTTTGAGTACTGAAACAGCGACTATAAGATCAACGCTGCGACTTTTTCCTTGACAACAAACGCTTCAGTTAGAACTCTGAAGAATCTCCCGATCGACGCTGCTACTCTGTGATTTGTCTGTACTGCTGGTGAAGAGTGGATTCATGCAGTTTGGGTTGTACCGTACAACACCTTTAGCAGCAGCAGCTAGGTTGTCTTCAGTATTGGGAAAGATGACCACCAACAGAGGGATGAAATCGTCACCCGATGCCAGGAAATCGGTAAATTCAAATAACCACGTGGAATTATATGAATCGTTTTTTGGCTTTTTGTGTGGTTTTTTTTTTTTTTTTTTTTATTGATGCTGTCTTACAAGCAATTAGTCGAACACGTAGTGTGCAAAACTAGATTGGTGAAGTGAAATTTGCTGATCTCCCAACTGTTTGTGAAACTTAGATGAAGTGATTATGAGTTGAGCTAATTTAGTATTTCAGATGTGTTCAAAGTTCAATTTTGGAGTGTTGCGTTTACAGAGATACTGATAATGTAAAATATTTGTGCTTGTGTTAAATACTGATTGGGGTAACTTATATTTAACTAATGTATGTTATGTTTATGATTCAAAATGCTGTCTTTCTTTTTGGTTTATTGCATTTGTATTGATTGATGATGTAATGTCTGGAGCAAATGTTGCAGTTGACGGACAATGAACGAGGACAACCGTCGATATTGAATATGGAAGAATTTCCTTCACTTTCTGCTACTAAATCCATTCCTTACAGGAAAAGGAGAAATAAAATAGATTTAATCACTACTTCGGAACGAAGAACAGAGGCGGTGGTGGTTCAGAACATTGGTCCATTGCATGGTGAAGCATCAACTTCGATAAACGACTCGTACGACACATCCTTGCCCGCCAATTTTGGAAAGAAGACTCCCCCTTCTTTTTGTAGAAAACCGAAGCCTGGTCAAAATTACCAAGAACATGAAGTATCAACTTCGATAAACGACTCGTACGACACATCCTTGCCTGCCGACTTTGGAAAGAAGGCTACACCTTCTTCTTTTACTAGAAAACCAAAGCCTCGTCAAAATTATCACGAACATGAAGCGTCAAAGAGAAATTCAAACTTCTCACGTGGAACTGACGTAGATGAACCTTTTGATATATGCTTCACCGAACCTAGAAAATCCAGTCATCGTAGAAATTCATCACATGATAAAAATAGTGGAAAGTGGGTCCAAAAGGTACAATCTTCTGAAGAGAATGTGCATTTGGAAGATATTACGGAGAAAATTGATGATGTGGAATACTCGGTTATAGAACGTGGGGAGGTGTTGAGACCTGGAATGGTATTATTCAAGAGTTATATACCCATTTCTGAGCAGGTATTTATTTACATTGTATTTTTTAAATCTTACATTTTCCCACCAAAAAATCGGATACTAGTAATACATGCTATTCTTACAGGTGGCAATTGTAAAGAGATGTCAAGAATTTGGTCGTGGTCCAGGTGGTTTTTACAGACCTGGTTATGAAGATGGTGCAAAACTCCGCCTTTACATGATGTGCCTTGGTCTCGATTGGAATGCTCAGTCAAGAAAATACGGAGATATACGCCAACACGACAATGTTAAACCACCTCATATTCCCGATGAATTTACTTCGTTAGTCACCAAAGCGCTCGACGACTCTCATACTCTAATCAAACAAAACTTTCCGACAGAAAATGTCGAAGACGTACTTCCTAAAATGTCACCAGATGTGTGTATAGTCAACTTCTATAACACTAATGGCAGACTTGGTCTCCATCAGGTTCGTTGTGAATTATTAAATCCCGTGATTTTTCACATGTTAATTAATTATATGAAGAATTTAAAATAGATGTACTTATTGATGATATTACTTTGTTCATAAAAGGATCGTGATGAAAGCAAATGCAGTCTTCGAAAAAGGTTGCCTGTGGTTTCTATATCTGTTGGTGATTCAGCTGAGTTTTTATATGGTGACGAGAGAGATGCTGATGTGGCGGACCGCGTCCTACTTGAATCGGGTGATGTGGTGATATTTGGGGGTGAATCCAGGCATGTTTTTCATGGGGTGAAAAGTATTATTCCGAATTCAGCTCCTCGTGAATTGCTGGAAAATACCAATCTTCGCCCTGGTCGACTCAACCTTACCTTTAGAAAATATTGAAATAAATTTTCTTCTGTTTTTTTTTTATCTTTTAATAATTTTATTGATGTTTAATTGTTCACCATTCTTGGTGTCTTTGTTGGTGTGATTTAGGTTGTTATATGACATTTAAACAATATTTATTGAAATTCTCATTATCCACAGTTTCAAATAAATTGACAAAATTATTTCATATTATTATTTGCCATTGAAAAACTTAATGTACTTGTTGGGAGGTGTACGCGAACGGACTCTATTATGACCATTATAAGTTCCAATTTATAAGTTGTTTTCTCTCGCCTTACATTATTATTAATCAAAACTATCTCGTTTGCTCGAACCACGAACCACAATCAGATGTCCGCTTGTTTTCTCTCGCCTTCCATTATTATTAATCAAAACGAGATTCTCGCCTTCCATTATTATTAATCAAAACTATCTCGTTTGCTCGAACCACAATCAGCCATGAAGATGTCCGCTGTATCCAAAGACTTTTACGACTTCGGAGCAAAATCTCTTCCTCTCTAATTTCAATTCTTCAGGCCTTTCACTGAGTAATCTACATTTTTTCGTAACTATCTCGTTTGCTCTCAATTCTTCAGGCCTTTCACTGAGTAATCTACCGACAGAAATTCTATACACGATTTTTTCGTACCTCGACCCACAATCAGCCATGAACATGTTCGCAGTATCCAAAGACTTTTACGACTTCTGGTCAAAATCTAAAGTCCTTACTATTAAATATCATGATAGCTGCAACAGATTACGGTTACGGGTTCTGTTCGAGAAAAATATTCATGATAGCTGCAACTGATTACGGGTTCTGTTCGAGAAAAACATTATTACGGGTTCTGTTCGAGAAAAACATTCATGATAGCTGCAACAGATCATGATAGCTGCAACAGATTACGGTTACGGGTTCTGTTCGAGAAAAACATTCATGATAGCTGCAACTGATTACGGGTTCTGTTCGAGAAAAACATTATTACGGGTTCTGTTCGAGAAAAACATTCATGATAGCTGCAACAGATTACGGGTTATGTTCGAGAAAAACATTATTACGGGTTTTGTTCAAGAAAAACATTCATGATAGCTGCAACAAATTACGGGTTCTGTTCGAGAAAAACATTATTGACATGCTTCATCGATGAAAAAGTTACTGAGTTCCTCACACAAGTTGTACACTCTCGTTACATTCACCTGTAACTTGTTGTGCCTCGTCAAACGAAGACCCTACCATATTTATACTAGGTCACCTTCTTAATGGACGGTGGATATCTATTTGATCTAACGGCTAAGAATTGTTCACTAGAACTCTCCAAAATATTCCTACAAAATATCTACAGGGCATGATTCTAGAAAGCTTTCTAGAATCCTCCAAAAATCTCTACCTATCTCTATACATTTGGGCCTAACCCTATTTTGGTGTTTTGGTTAAGTTTTGAGTTTACTTAACCTTTCAAAGGAAACTGGCAAAGGATTTGATCAAAACTGGTGGGCCGTGACCTCTATGTTCGTAACCGAGTTTCTTCAATGCGTTGTCAGTTCGAACGTTAAACATCTACTATAGATCCATGTATTTCTTGAGTACCTTCTTCATCTTCAGTTCATATATTTTCTCATTCTCTAGGAAATTCCCAACAATTCCTTGGAGAGAGAATATGAGTAAGTGAAGGAGTTCACCGCCATGCCAATTTTATTTTCACATGCAATAATAATAATAATAATAATAATAATAATAATAATAATAATAATAATAATAATAATAATGTTGATCATAGACAAGAAAGATATATATATATATATATATATATATATATATATATATACTCATAGACATTGTGAGAAGGGGCGTGCTAAATGCCATACTAAAATTTATTAAATCCCACACATAATTAAAAAAAAAAATTATCTCTCTACTAAAATTCTATGTAAAATGATTTTATCAAAGTCACTTAAAATTCAATAATTTTTACTTGAATAATTATAAAAAATGAGTTCCGTTTAATTTAATATTTATTCAATTTCATTAAGCCTTTTTAATTATTCAAATTCATATTAATTCGAATTTTTTCCTCAAATTCCAAATTTATTTTAGTTTGAACATGTGAATTTTTTTGTCAAATTCGAACTTGGAATGCTAGGGATATTTTTAGTGTGTGATTTTGTGAAAAAAATAGGGAAAAAAAAGAAGGGTGGGAAAGGAGAGAGAAGATTGTAGAGAGATAAATATTTTTAATTATGTTCATGATTTGGTAAAAATAGTGTGGGATTTAGCATTTCAGTTGTGAGAATCGGAGTTGTAGGAATACAAGTCCGAAATTCACTTTATTCTGAGGCTGTCCTACTTCCAAAGGAATACTTTTGATTGGCTAGATATATAATTTAAACCTACTAATTGATTACTCAAAAAAAAAAAGAAAAAAGAAAACCTACTAATTAATCATGACTCCAATTGATTTCAATCATTCCATAATTCTACTAAGCCCAATTGGATATATTTTTCCATAATTTTTTATTTATTTTTTACATCAACATAAGAGGAGTATAAATTTGTGTATCTGAGGTACTTGAGTATTATTAACAAATAACAATATGATCCGAAGAAAACAGTTGTGCTGGTAACCTTGGCTTCCGGTGATCTGAAAAAGAGAAAGCCGGACTGATGGCGGAGTTAGCACTCCGACGATCAAGTCAGTGACGGTTTAATTACTATGTTTTCTCAGAATTTAGTGTATATATCATATAGTCTAAAGGGAAAGAGAAACTCCCTTTTATATACTCTTCGACTCGGAGCTCGAGGGTCCGGGAATTCCGCGCTAATTATGGATGACAGTTGTCCTTCCCCGAACAGCCCAGGCGGCCGGGGTCATGATAACTCCTTTAGTAGGTTTACTGACCTCGTTCGGTACTAGCCGTTAAGCCGCTCCGGGTCATTTCGCCATAAATGCTACTGTCAGAGCATTAAATGTGCCGTCTAGCATTTATGACCCTCCCGAGCTGTTAGGACTCCTCGGGAGGGAATTCAGGCCCTGTGTATATTGGCCTTTATGCTAATGGGCTGGGCAATCCCTTGGACCGTTAACACTGGTGGGCCAAACCCTTTGATGGGCCTTGACAACTGGGCTCCTGCTCTTGGACCGGCAAAGAATAACTCTGGTCCGGATCACAATACATAACTACAAGTGCACGCTAACTTTTTTGAGATATCAAATTAACATTAACATACAAAAGTAAGTATATGAAGCATCTAATAAACATATAAATTATGTGTATTCTAAAGATATGCTTCACAGAACCTAGAAAGTATAAAGCATCTAATACTATGATTTTTCACATGTTTATTAATTACACGAAGAATTTAAAATAGATGTACTAGCTTATTGATGATATTAATTAATTTGTTCATAAAAGGATCGTGATGAAAGCAAATGGAGTCTTCGAAAAGGGTTGCCTGTGGTTTATATATCTGTTGGTGATTCAGCTGAGTTTTTATATGGCGACGACGAGAGAGATGCTGACGTGGCCGGACGGGTCCTACTCGAATCGGATGATGTGGTGATATTTGGTGGTGAATCTAGGCATGTTTTTCATGGTGTGAAAAGTATTATTCCGAATTCAGCTCCTCGTGAATTGCTGGAAAATACCAATCTTCGCCCTGGTCGACTCAACCTTACCTTCAGAAAATATTGAAATAATTTGTCTTCTGTTTTTATCTTTTAATATACTTGAATTTGAGGATAATTATTATTTCATATTATTATTTGCCATAGAAATGTGTAGTGTAATCGTTGGGAGGTGATATGCTTAACTATGTAGTTGATAATAGCAAACATATTTATAACATTTATTATATTGTCTGAGATAAGGTTATGGTTTGTTCATTAGTTTGAGTTTTGTCCAATATAATGATGCTGGATAATCTTTTTCTGTCATGCTATTGGTTGATGATTTGGATTACCACTAACTACATTTATTTAATTATATAATTATGATTCCTCTATTTTGTTTGGTTACTGAATACAAAAGCTCTTTGTATGTCGATTGGTTGAATCCTATACGCTGGCAATTCTTTTTCCTTCTTATATAATATTTTTAATCTGACTATAAAAGCCTTATTCTATTTAGTCTTTAATTTAACATTACTGTAATTAAACCTACTAATTGTGTATTAAGTGAAGTTTCATTTTCATATTTCGATTAGAAAACTAATTCATTCGATAGATGAAGCCAAATCAACACATCAATCATCAATCAATGACGTCATGACGTCAATTTATATTAATAAATTAATTAATAAATTATATTTGAGATACCACCCAAGAAAAAAATGTTCCATTTCTTGGCTAAAAGTTGCATGGCATCTTTTGTTGTTACGAAAAAACCGGGTTTGAGTACCAATATTTGTTGAATATATAACATGTAATTTGGCTACAACTTGGCATATATATTTAAAAATAAAAATATAATATTCAATAAGAGGAATAAATTAAGTACCATATTTCTTCACGTTGTTGTTTTGTCTAACATTACATAACTTGTAGTAGTTGATTGATTGGGATAAGTGGGAATCCTACAAGTGAATAAATCCAATTTTAATTTCTTAGGAACGATTGAACAAACAACTTGTACATGACTCATCATAGTTATCACTATCTCAGACATTACTTAATTAAGTCGATTTTAATATTAGTTCCAACCATTAATTATTGCAGCAAAACTAGAGCCACTAGTTCTCTAATCTTGTTTTCTTGTAGGGTTAAAATTTAAGTACAGTAAACACCATTATTAACCACGTTTACTTGCCTTTAATTACTTACTAGTGTATAAAGACACCACTTATTGGGTGCAAGTGGTGCAGAAACCCGGCCAAATTCATTGAAAATCATGTTTTACCTAAATAACAACAAATTTAATGATTCCTCCAAGTCATCACTCACTACTTAGCTTCTCAACTTCACTTAACATTTCATATACATTTTGAAAATTTTGAAGGTATGTATTTTGGGAATATTTTCCAATCTTCTTTTATATTTGACGAAATTACCCTTTGTAAATTCGGACAAAATAATTAAATTGATTGGCAAGACGCAAAGTACTACCTAATCCCCTAGCCCTACCCCATCCAAGAAACAAAATGAAAAAGGACGATAACTAAATTAATGGAGGAAACAGTAATCCAAAAATCCCATACGTAAATAATGAACCTGGCATATATCAAGGGGCGGTTCAACTTTAAGTTATTATTACCTATACATATATGAAACGTCTATATATACAGGCACCCATACCTACATTCATTCAATATAATCTCCAACCGCACTTCTTTTTCTTCTTCTCTCTCTCTCTCCTGATATATCCTTGTCTATATAAACACTTGTGTAGACATATATACTATATACATACATTTATTTACGTGCATAGTTCTTTACAATAATACCGAGGAATTAAGATGAAAAGTGTTTTGATGAGAAGGGCATTATCGGAATCCAGACATTTTCGGAGCTGCGGGCGATCGTATTCCCGGAGCGCCGATGCATGCGCCGCTGCCGCAGACGACTCCGCCAACACACTCCCTAAAATGCCAGCGTTCCGCTACACCCCTCCGCCGTACACCGGTCCCTCCGCCGCTGATATATCGGCCAAGCGCAAAGAATTCCTCAGCCCTTCTATGTTTCACTTCTACAACAAACCCGTGAGTACTCATAATTAATATCTTTAATTAATTTTCTCCTTATTCCAGCTATAATTAAATTCTTCATTTTGTAATCAAATAAACAACAAATTTATATATTATACAGGTAAACGTGGTTCATGGGAAGATGCAGTATTTGTTCGACGAAAACGGAAGACGATACCTAGATGCTTTCGGGGGTATAGCCACCGTGTGCTGTGGCCATTGCCACCCGGATGTAGTCAAAGCCATAGTCAAACAGACACAAAATCTACAACACTCTACTATTCTTTATCTCAATCATGCAATCACTGATTTCGCCGAGGCTTTAGCTTCTAAACTACCCGGTGATCTTAAGGTATAGTATAATTATTAATTAATAATAGTTTCTTTTTTTTTCTTTCTTTTTTTAAATGGATTATTATAACATGGATTGATATATAATTTGATATATGTACTTATGTAGGTTGTATTCTTTACGAATTCCGGAACAGAGGCGAACGAGTTAGCAATGATGATGGCTCGTTTATATACGGGATCTCATGATATTATATCCCTTAGAAATGCTTATCATGGAAATGCAGCCGCTACTATGGGGGCAACTGCACAATCTAATTGGAAATACAATGTCATTCAGGTTCAATTTATTATTAAATATTATCTCATCAATTATTAATACTTCCCTTAATTATATTGTGAAAAAAATTAATTCCATGTTTCTTGTTCTAAACAGAGTGGTGTTCATCATGCCATAAATCCGGACCCGTATAGGGGTCTGTTTGGTTCGGACGGTGAAAAGTACGCTCACGATGTCGAAGATTTAATTCAATTCGGAACTTCTGGTCATGTTGCTGCTTTTATATCTGAAGCAATACAGGTTTTTTTTTATATATATATAAATTTTTTTTCTCGCATTTTTCATAATATTGGATATGCAAACAGGGTGTTGGTGGAATAGTTGAGCTAGCTCCGGGTTATTTGCCAGCTGTATATAGCAGCATCAGAAAGGCAGGAGGCCTTTGTATAGCGGACGAGGTTCAATCTGGATTCGCTCGAACCGGGTCCCACTTTTGGGGGTTCGAAACTCAACATGTTGTCCCTGATATTGTTACAATGGCAAAGGTGATTTCGATTATCTCACGTACATCAATCTTGATTGGGAATTGAACGGTGATTCGCTCATTATGAATTTTTTTATTTTTTTTTAAATGAAGGGGATTGGAAACGGGATTCCACTCGGTGCAGTAGTGACTACACCGAAAGTTGCCGAGGTTTTGACTCGAAGAAGCTACTTCAATACTTTTGGAGGAAATCCCGTTTGTACTGCAGCTGGACTTGCTGTGCTTCAAGTTATCGAGAGAGAGAATCTTCAAGAAAACGCTAATATAGTCGGTTCTTATCTCAAACAACGCCTCATTTCTCTCAAAGACAAGCATGAAAGTAAAATTATATCCTCCCCTCATAATTTTTTTTTCTCCAAATATATGAGTAATAAATGCAAAAGCATCTTGTATATATCGTATATGTAGTTATCGGTGATGTGAGAGGACGAGGATTAATGCTCGGCGTGGAACTAGTCACCGATCGCCAGCTCAAAACTCCTGCAAAGGCTGAAATTCTTCAAGTCATGGAGCAAATGAAAGGTAATTAATTAATAGTAGTAATATATTCTGTTTCTCGATTTTTTAAGCCCCGAATACACGATTAATCATATAATTTTTTTTTTTTTATTTTTTTTTTTACATTTGTTGTCAAGATATGGGAGTACTGATTGGGAAAGGAGGATTCTATGGAAATGTTTTCAGAATCACGCCTCCACTCTGCTTCAATCGAGAGGATGCCGGTAAAAAAGTTATTCGATATTATCTATTTTTGGTACTCTCAGCATCATACGAAAATCGACTTCCGATCATTAATTAATATTTATTGCAGATTATCTGGTGGATGTGATGGATTATGCAATGTCCAAATTATGAAGTTGCCATCACAGCATTTCTTTGAAGATCACTTAGCATTATTACATCTTCAAATGTTCATATAACTGTGGAACAAATATATATGTGTCAAGTTCCATCTTATATAAATATATATATGTATGTATGTATGTATCTTAATTCTTAGCTACAAATCTTGAAATTATTGTGAAATGTATAGCCCCTATTTCAATGTACTGATCTTTACATTCAAGAAAACAACCTTTTTCGAGTCTTTTTAAATGGACTATAATGCCCCTACAAGACCTGTAAAATTTTCAAGTTCATCAATCCTAAAATTGTTAAAGCAGAGTTATAATGTACTTATAATATCTATCTTATTAGCAGAAAAAAACACAGATCAAAACTCAAAAGTCACATAACTAAGCACAAATGATAAGATATATATATAACAGACGTAGCACAAATGAAGAACAGTACGAACACTAAACTTACATTGATGCTCAAGATAAAAGACTAATCTCACCAGCATAATTACGAAAAGGGGATGATCTATTAACGAAGACGAAAGTTGAAATTATCGGTTCGGATCTTCCCATATTGTACGAACCAGATCTCCCTACGGACAAGTCAGCAAATCGAAAAGAATTTATCGTTGAAAACACGTGGGCAGCCATTAATGCAAAATCACGATACATTGTGATGCTCTTCCTCAACATTACATGTATCATTGCAGACAATGCATCCACCAATATTCTTGCCATTCTTTTTTTTTTTTTTTTTTTTTTTTTTTTGCAATTTGATGTGATTGAATCGTTGGCAATACTAATATATTTTGAGATATGATGAAGATGCATTATTGTTAATAGTAGATCAAGAAACTTTAGGGTTTGTAGTTTACTGAAATGCCCCGTGTTTGCTTTTACTTTTACTTACCTTGGAAAAGTACTATTTCCAAATCGAGATCGAAAGAACACGAGTTTTTAGGCTCTTATTTATTTATTTATTTAAATTTTTTTCTAATTAAACTATTGAAATACTGAGGGATAGCATTGTCATTACAAATAAACTATAGGTAGTTGGTATGGTAAATAAGTGATGAGCACATTGTGTGGTCATCGTACGGTGGACTATATGCTATCTCATTCAATCACCCGTACTTAGCATTTTAATTAAAAAAAAAAGTTAACTACTATATGGATTTGCGGCCAAAATCTCAATAATTAATTTCAAAATTACAGAACATGACCAACTGTAAAAATTATCATAAAATTTTGTCGCACACACCAAAAAAATCGATAAAAACTTGGCCTCGTTTGATTGATTAGATATGATTAGCCAAGTAAAATTATAGATTTGTACACTTTTTTTTATCTACAATTTTGCGTTGGTTATTTTAGAAGTTATTCGACCAATTGACATCAAATAAATATCAATTGTCTAATACATTATTATGATTAATTATTTTTTATCAGCCAAATAATTACCAGAAATGGAGAAGTTGTGAATTATTGTGCAACTAACAATAATATTCCTCCCATCATAAAATGGTGTCCTTTTCCATTGTAATCGTTTTCGATTTGATGTCCCAACTCAGAATCGCTGCATACAGCACATTATCAAAATGCTGCTAATTATTTGCTAATCATGTGTTTAATTAAGTAAACACAATTACAAAAATGTGTTTATTTCAGTGTATTGTTTACACATTAATTAGTCTCTGTTTGTAAAAAGAAAAAGAAAACATATATATACACACGCCCCACAACAAAGACACGCCAGCATGAAATATTGATGGGCCCACACCACAGGCCCATGTCCACAAGTCCATAGAGCACACAACCCAAATCGACTAATAGTTGGCTAAGATCCAAACTGACCATGATCTAAATAGTTAGGCCCATATTAAATCATTTAGGCCATGAGAATATGCCTTCATATAAATAACTGGAAACCTCACAGTTAAAGTTACGTAATTCATAACTCCCGAACAGTTACTTAAAGTCTATGAATTATTCTTATCATACAAAGCTAACTTCAGCGTCGGAGGATTTTCTCCCTAACGACTTTTTGTGATACATGTAGTGTCCATGCGATGAATCAAAAAATGCTAGGGAGGAATTGCAAAACATGACGTGAAATCGTATAACGTCAAATATATATATAGAAGCTAACAAAAATGTGGTGTCATTGGTAAATAATTACTGTTGTACTTAGATGCAAGAAAGCAACATAATATTAGGTACAAGATAAAAGAGAAACACAACCAATGACAACATTTTCTTTAGTTATTTGGAAATATTCGATTTTTGAGAGATTTTAGTTTCGACTTATATGCATATATCTATAATAATATCAAGTGCATGAATAATGCACTTTGCAAGCATGCACCCTGTTGGACCACGTTAATTAATTTAGTATTAAAATTAGTTTTTAACATAATTAAAAAAATAAAAGTGATTTAGCTAGGTGTGGTCCTTGACCTTTTTTCTTTAATTAAAAAGTTCAAAATCATAATTTACCCTTCAAAAAGGAAATTAACAAATTTTCTCTTTATTTTTTGAAGATGATGGTCAGTCACACTAAAATAAATAGAACTAAAAAGAATACTTCGAAAATAATTAACAAAATTTAGCTATTGACATGCCTATTGACATTTACGACACGTGGTTAAGCGACACGAGTAAATAATAAATCCGTTAGCTAAGAGTTTAAAATACTTCGAGTATGCATAGATTACAATCGAATAATAATTTACTTTAGAAACGAGCTAGGGGAAAGATGTCCGTCTCTAGAATCTAATCGGTGACAATTTACTTTAGACGGAGAACGAGCTAGGAGAAAGATGTCCGTATGTAGAATCTAGTCGAAAATAGATTAAGCCGAAGTAAGTTATATTTAAAAAAAAATGTTTTTATTTATTTAGGTTTAATTGTTATATATGAATTGTAAAGCACACAATATATATTTCCAGTGTACACAGTAATGACACCTGACACCTACCAAATGTAGGGCAGTGCGTGTACCAGTCGTCCTTCTCTTTGGTCAAACCATTTGCCTATTAGCATCAATCCTACAACTAAATTTCATTAATTCAAAAACGTGTTTAAAATACAATTACACAATTAGTGGAAACATTAGAAAGAAAATTAAAACAAAACAATAATTTTAGGGTAAATATGGAACGGAAATAGGATTAAATGAATTTACTTACTAACTATTATAGGAAAAAGAAATAAATCTGATTAATAACTTTCAACGATTCTTATTAAAGTAATTAATTATTTACACAATATTGAATTTTAAACAAGGAACTGTGGAGTAATAAAAACCCCGATATTACACTTCGCAGCCCCTATTTTGATTTCTCTCTCTCTCTCTCTCTCTCTCTCTCTCTCTCTTGGTACATATGTATATCTGCGCCTCCATCGTCTCATCTACCTATCCCGCCGCCGTTACCGCCACCACTTGAGCCACCGGTGTTCTAGGGTTTCACAGAGCTCGATTTCAATTTCTTTCTGCGCGTCAATCTCTTCACGCCGCTCTTTCACCGGCTTCGTCGATTAATCGTCACCGATTTCCCAAACCTAAATCTCCCCGCTCCCTTTCATTTATCTTTTAACTCAACACTGGAAGTGAAGAATATCTAAAATCTCGCGTTTTTCAGATTAATCTGTGTGATTAGGGTTCTTGGTATGAGTTGCCCTCCGAAATCAGTTCGACTAGGGCAGGGCTGAAAAAAATATTAGATTTGAGGTACTTTTTATGGCATTGGGTGATTTGATGGCGGCATCGCGGTTTTCACAGTCTGGGGCGGAGGTTTCGAGTCATTTGGAGGAGTTCTCCGCCAACGGGAATCATGTGGAGGAGGACGGAGATATGAATGTTTATAGTAGCAATAACATTAATAATAATAATAGCAATGCTCGGGATTTATCTGAGATGGCAAGTAGTAGCTATGCTGCAATGACCACCACGACAAGCATGGCTTACTTGCCACAGACTGTTGTGTTGTGCGAGCTTCGGCACGATGGCTTCGAGGATTGCATGCCCTCTGGACCGTCAGACAGTGGTTTAGTCTCTAAATGGAGGCCTAGGGATCGAGTAAGTTCCCGATTCTCGTAATTTTCTGGTCAAGTTATTCTTTATTACACTGATAACTAGAGTGATTAGCTAATTTTGTGTGGTGTTGACATGATTTGCAGCCAGTGCAACTATTACTTCTACAGATTTAGTAATCACATTGTTGTTGTTTATGAGAATGTAGTTGCTTCACATTCTTGCTATTAACTGGCCTCTGTTTATTTGCTATGTGCGGAGGATGCAATAAAGGCATCGTTGAAGTTGCTTATTTAGATGGTTATATGTCTAATATTCGTGGAGATAACGACAGTTATTTCTAACATGTGATAAATGATTATGTCATTGATTGAAGTACTTATATTTTTTTTTCTGTTATCTGTTTGCCAACGTGTGAAAATTCCATCTACTCGAAGAATGCAAATAGTGTTATCAATATCATGGCATATCTTCTTCATATACTTCAGAATGTTGCCGTATTCAGTTTACTAACCTTCCGGTTATTTCCCATTAATAAGCTCAAATGGCAGAAGAGCTTCATAATATCGTTGTGTTCATACATAAGAAAAATATTTTAGTTGTATCAATGTGCATCAGATAGCATTTCCCGGAGAAGGCTTATAAAACCATACATTGAAGTTCTGGCTATTTTTGTTGTTATTTGGCCTTCTATTTAATGAAACATACTCTTCTTATATAATTGTTTGTGTTGACTTCTTACATTTATTGCAGATGAAGACGGGATGTGTTGCTCTAGTTCTTTGTTTAAATATCAATGTCGATCCACCTGATGTGATTAAGATATCTCCTTGTGCCCGGATGGAATGCTGGATCGGTATAATATTGTCCTGCCTCTTTTTGGTGATATTTACTGAATTGTATGATTACAGCGATGTGATTTAGTGGTACCTGTTCAAATTTGCTTTCTGTTTAGGTGGTCGTGTTTCTTAGTATAGAATCCCCTTTATCTTTTAACTTCTTGGATGACACGTGGATTTTTCAAAATCTTCTTTGAGCACTAATTTTTTTTCCGTCATTCTTATCCGTAGAAACCTCCAAGATGTAGCTTGTGCACATTTTACATATTTTTATGGGTCATCCATACACTTCCATTTATGGGGAAATGCCAGATATATGTATCATCGAGTGGTTTTTAAATCCATCTGGGCTGGTACGATAATGGAAAAACACCTTTAATGACAATGCACATCTTCACGAAGTACTCTGATTGTTTATATGTAACTAGATCAGGGTAATCTGTATAAATGATATTTCTGATGGGAGTTTGACCTTGGAGTTCGGCTATTAAATCTGCTTTAAGAAGTATAGCTCTTCATAGGAAGTTTTAGTAACTAAAAATTGATAATTAAAAACTTGTATAACAACCTTTGTAGATTAATTCACATGGAAAAAAGTGAAACTATGTCAATTTAGATACAAGACGATCAGATTTTTAGTGTGGATAACTTATCGATAGGCTGAGACGTCAGTTGCTCTTCTGGCTAGGAATCCCTTCAATTAAGACCCCGATTACTGTGGGTAAGGGCTGAAGAGGGTTCATGTTAGTCTATTCAAGAGAACTGATTTTATACCGGAGTAGGGAATGGGTCATAGGTATCGGAATATTGGAATAAGGAATAATAAGTCACCATGTCTAGGGAAAAGGGTTCGTGCACACCTACTTGCTTGCCATTGATTGGGATCCAACCTTACTCACCTTGAAATTGTGCTGAATCATGGTGAGATTCCACTATACATTTTATCCTTAGAAAACTCTCTTTTACATCCCTACAGTCTACTCTACTGATGCTACGCTGCATATGAATAACAAAAAACCCTGGTCTTCTATTATTCTAAGCAGCAATACATATGATTTATGAAGACTGACCTAGACAATACAGCACGATTAGTATTTGTAGCTTGATAATTTACGTGAAATATATATTGCATGTTATAGGGGATATGGAACAATGTACAACTTTATTTGCATTGAAATGGGCACATGATTTCTTGTCTATGGATTCTATTTGATTTCCTGTTTGCCTTGTGTGGCATGAGAAATAAGCTAATCATTTTTACGAATGTTATATAGTAGGTTCTCTTGTTGACGTGCTTTATCACTCTCTTTGTAGACCCATTCTCTATGGCACCCCAAAAAGCTATTGAGGCGATAGGAAGGAACTTGAATCAACAGTATGAGAGGTGGCAACCTAAAGTATGAAAAGTTGTATATTTTTTTTACATTTTTATTTGATTCTGTAATTTACTCTCTACTATATTATTTATTTTAGTTAACAAAAAAAGGCAGATAAAAAGGAGTGAATATTTAATATATCTGCAACCATAACTTAATATTGTGGACACATGGGCAGGCCCGTTATAAATGTACGCTAGATCCTACTGTTGATGAAGTCAAGAAACTGTGTACAACATGCCGCAAATATGCAAAATCTGAGAGAGTCCTATTCCACTACAATGGACATGGAGTGCCCAAACCAACTCCGAATGGTGAAATTTGGCTGTTTAATAAGGTCCTTCTTTTAGTAATTTCTTACGCACTTCTTCCTTAATACCCTTTCCCCTCTTCTAGCAAACCCCTCAGATTTTCTATTCTCATTTACCTATATATATAGAGTTATACACAGTACATCCCGTTGACGCTCAATGATCTGGATTCATGGATGAAGACGCCTTCAATATATGTTTTTGACTGCTCTGCTGCTGGGTTGATTATCAGCGCATTCGTTGAGGTGTGTTTTCCGTGGAAGACCACTAATGTAGTTATGATATAGTAAGTTGTTATTGACAATTTATCTTGTTTAATTGCAGCTCCTGGATCAGAGTACTTCAACTTCTGGACCTTCCGCGAAGGACTGTATTTTGCTTGCAGCCTGTGAAGCTCACGAGACACTTCCTCAGAGTGCTGAATTTCCTGCTGATGTATTTACATCCTGCCTCACGACTCCCATAAAAATGGCATTAAGATGGTGATTCATAACTCAAAACTCATATCTCTGGAAAAGAACTACCGTTTCTGTTTGCATTGTTTTTTTCTCACTAAGATATTCAGCTATCAGTATTGGCGTGTTATCTCTTCTGTGAAGTATCTTGCTAAATGCTGCCTGTGTTTTGGTGGATTATAAAAAGGATCAATTATGTTTCATGTAATTGTTGACATCCTATGTTTTTCCATGATGCCCCAAAAGGTGCCTTGGCTAGAAGTGCTATTACAGAATTTCTCTGAGTATTCTACTTAAAATGTTCAAAAGAGAAGATAAAACCCACTTCATTCTAAAAGCCAAATATCATTATTTCCCAGTCAAATTTTATTATCCTGTAATGCTGGTTGCCTATGGTTTTACTTTTTCTTAACCTCTCTGTTTATATTCATTTTCCCTGATGATTCCAACTTTTTACATTCGTCACTACTTTTTGGGTTGTTGAGGTTGTTGAAAGTTGTTCTATTTCTATACGTGTTCAGTTTTCTGTACTCTTGCAAGATATTTGAAATTGTTTGCAGTTAGATGCATATGACATGGCTGGTTGTGTGCTGCTGCACAACTTGCCTCTTTTCTATGTATCATGTCTTATATAGTCATGTCAATCTGTCTAAATTTTTTTTGAAGCAACTGCTTTGAATAACTTTATGCTTAAAATCAGGTTTTGCACTCGGTCTCTGCTCCATGAGTCCTTTGATTATTCGATGATAGATAGAATTCCTGGTCGCCAAACAGACCGGAAGACCCTTCTTGGGGAGTTGAACTGGATATTCACAGCTGTCACTGACACTATTGCCTGGAATGTACTTCCGCACGGTAATGGAAGAGAAATGTAGTTTCATATGGTTTTAGTATATTAATGTTGTATAGGATATTTAGTGGTAATTCTTAGACAAGGTCGACTTTGAATTCCACAGACTTGTTCAGGAGATTGTTTAGGCAAGATCTTTTAGTTGCCAGTCTGTTTCGGAACTTTTTGTTGGCTGAAAGGATTATGCGTTCTGCAAATTGTTCACCAATGTCATATCCGGTGTTGCCACCAACTCATCAGCATCATATGTGGTAAAGTATACGCATGCTCGTTTTCCTTTGTGAATGAAGAGTTCTGTATCTTTGCATGTCTTGATATTCATCTGTCTGCTTATTTTATTCTCTCACTCTGCAGGGATGCGTGGGATATGGCTGCTGAAATCTGCATTTCTCAGCTTCCTACTTTAGTTGATGATCCAAATGCAGAGTTCCAGGTCCCCATGATTAATTATTTTTCTCATTTGTATTTTACAGCCTGTTGTTTTCGGAGGATGGATATTAGAAAAAAATAGTAAATCAACTTTTGTGGCTATTTCATGTTATTAGTTAAATATACCACCTCGATTTGACGTTTTCTTTGCTTTCATCTTCAGCCTAGCCCATTTTTTACAGAGCAGTTAACAGCTTTTGAAGTGTGGCTTGATCATGGATCAGAACGTAAGAAGCCACCAGAACAGTTGCCAATTGTTCTTCAGGTGGGACTTATCATGCAAATTTTGCCTGCTTGCAAAAGAATTTACCACAAATGGAATTTAGTTCTTAAAATTTTTACACTGGTCTGAATGTTATATGTCCAGCTATGATGATTATGAGCAAGTGCAAAATATTTTTTTTCCCCAAATATGGAACACTACTGATCTATGGCTACAAGCCTACAATTGATTGGCCAGAGGGCTTGAGAAACATAAATCTTAATAACATCCTTTGGTACTCTTCTTCTGAATAACATGCACACTGCTCCTAACCCGATTTGACTTTTTATTACCCTGTTCTATCAATAGAACTTTTTTTATGGTCTTCTGATGCTTTATGTGCCTTTTTGGAAGTTATGCTGTTATTTTCATTAGTTTCCTGTTCTTTTGTATAGTTTGCTGAGATCTGCCCAATATTATTTTCTCAGGTGCTACTTAGTCAATTACATAGATTTCGTGCTCTGGTGCTTCTTGGTAGATTTTTGGATATGGGACCTTGGGCCGTGGATCTGGTAATATTTTTTACTCGTTTTTTTCTAATATTCTCATTGATTAATTTATGTTTCTGACACATTTATGCAATGATTATGTTACCCTTCAGGCCTTATCTGTGGGGATATTTCCTTATGTTTTGAAGCTTTTACAAACCACCACCCCAGAGCTTCAACAAATTCTTGTATTCATCTGGACAAAGATCCTTGCATTGGATAAGGTAAACTTAGTAATTCTGCTTATGTTCATTCATTTTATCTTTTTGTTATGGTTGTTTAAGTGCAAAATGGACTCTCATCAATATATAACTTGTGTAATCTCCTGGTAGACATCCCCTTGCATTTATCAACAGCTAGTTAGAATGTGATTCCGCTTACTAGTGTAGCTTCACGCAAGTGTCCCTATTAGATTCTGGAGCAACCTTAACATATTTTCAAGTCATGATCACAAATGAAACCCTAAATTCTTAAAATTCAATGTTTGCTCAAATATATTTTAGGGTAAATAGGAATTTGCCACCTGGACTTTGCACCGTTTTGCATATTGCCTCCTGAACAAGAAAAAGTTGCATGATTTGTCTGAACTCATTATTGTGTACCGCCTCACCATATGTTTTTTGGGAATGACCACTAAGGCCTTAAAAAATCAAATGGAACTCACGTGTATCAAATTCCAGCGAAATTGGCCTGAAAATTGCCAACATATGGCCATTTGGTACAAAAATAATGAGTTAAGGGCAAAAATTTGCACATTTTTTTTGTTCAGGAGGCAATATGCAAAACGGAGCAAAGTCTAGGTGGCAAAGTGCTATTTATCCTGGGATTACCTGCTTTGAGCATGGAGTTCGATTTTATTAACATTTATTAATTATGACAATATTGTGAATTATGTGATTTATGCGACTTCTATGGCTGTGCTATTTTTCAATAGCGAATAAGAAAACAATTTGTTTGTAATATGATCAATTTTTTTGGATTTTCAGCCAAAATAATGATAAAATTAAAACCGTTCGTACTTTATGACGGAAAAACAAAGTACCTTAGAGAATAACACATTTACAGTAAAGAGAGAAAGGTGTAGACTTTTTTTTTTTTGGTATTCTAAAAGGATAGGGGAGGAGGAACTAAAAATGTTCCTTCAATAGTTCTTTATTGGTAGTGATTTGATGTGCTGTCTTTATGTTTATTTTGTTGCCTCCATGTGTGTGGTCTGTTTTTATACATGCCTACTTTCCTACTTATTATATACACAGATTCACACAAATGCTGTGTATATAGTGAGGCTACTATTCTCTTATTATTCATTTAATTTTGAATTTAACTTTGAGATTTTAAAATATTTTCTGGTGTTTCGACAGTCTTGTCAGGTTGATCTTGTGAAGGATGGGGGGCACACATATTTCATTAGGTTTTTGGACAGTATTGACGCCTACCCTGAGCAACGTGCAATGGCTGCATTTGTTTTGGCTGTCATTGTAGATGGTCATAGGCGGGGTCAAGAAACATGTATTGAAGCTGGTCTAATACATGTCTGCCTCAAGCACCTTCAGTGCTCATCTCCTAATGATGCACAAACTGAGCCTCTATTTCTTCAGTGGATATGCTTGTGCCTCGGGAAATTGTGGGAAGATTTTTCAGAGGCTCAGCTAATAGGTTTGCAGGCTGATGCCCCTGCTATTATTTCACCTCTACTTTTGGAGCCACAGCCTGAGGTTTATCTCTTTTAAATTAACATTTATTTATTCTTGTTTGCATTTGTAGAGTTAATAAATATTAAATGATTCACTTCACAAACAACTTAAGCTTTTAGATGAAGTGGTCATGTTAATATGGTAACAGTTAAAAATTTTCACGTGCAAGGCTTCATTAAAATATATTAAATGATTCACTTCACTAACAGACGATGTGATCATTCAATGGCATTATAGTTCTTTTGCTACTCAATAGAGGCAATTAGCAGGAAAAATGCAATTTTAAATGTACAACGTTCTGTTGAGGTGCACAATCGTAATTAGATAAACATTATTGAAGGTCCGTGCTGCAGCTGTTTTTGCCCTAGGCACTGCCCTTGATGTAGGGTCTGACACATCGAGAGATGGTCAAGGGGAAGAAGATGACGATGATGAAAAAGTGAAGGCTGAAGCCGGTATTGTTAAGAACCTTTTAAATGTTGTTTCTGATGGAAGCCCGCTAGTTCGAGCAGAAGTTGCTGTGGGTATGTACTGCTTCATTTTTCCTTACCCTTTGTTTCTGGCGATGAATTGTTCTGTCCCCCCAACTTCTATGATATGTTTGCTCTTCATCCTTGATATGCTCGCTCTTCAGTTGTCAACAATCGAAGTGACTCATTATTTTGTCATCTGAATAATAATGTATAAACGTTATTTCTGTGTGCAGCTCTGTCTCGTTTTGCCTTTGGCCATAACAAACACCTAAAGTCAGTTGCTGCTGCATACTGGAAGCCCCAATCCAGTTCCGTGCTCACTTCCTTGCCATCTTTTGCGGTCAAGGGTTCAAGTAGTGGCTATACAACTCCAACCCACTACATGCCACATGGAAGTATAGTTCCATCTCCTATTGCTCCATTACTACGAGTTGGGCATGACAGCCAGCCAGTATCTCGTGATGGGAGAGTATCCAGCAGTAGCCCTCTTGCAACCCCTGGAATTATGCATGGTTCTCCACTTTCTGATGATTCATCACAGCATTCTGATTATGGGGCACTAAATGACTGTGTTACCAATGGGGTTCTCAGCTACTCAAGGCGAAAGCCACTGGATAATGCACTATATTCACAATGTGTATTAGCCATGTTTAATCTGGCCAAGGATCCATCACCACGTGTTGAAAGCCTTGGGCGGAGAGTGCTGGCCATTATTGGTATAGAACAAGTAGTTGCAAAATCTTTCAAGCCTGCTGGTGTAAGCATTCGTCCTGGTGAACCAAGTACGAGTGCAAGCGCTAGTCTTGCTGGGCTAGCACGTTCATCATCTTGGTTTGAATTGACTGGAGGTAAGACTATTATTTTGTTCTATCATGGATCATGGGTTCACTATGCCCTTTCAAAGCCCATTGTTTTGTGGAAAAACTAAATCATTACAAAAACTGTATGGTGTGCTGAAAATGATATTGTTCTGCTATTTATGGTCTTTCTTGCTGTTGGTTTCCTTTTAATGCTCTTGTATCTATTTTATAATTGTTGAATAGGAGCCCATTTGCCACTGGCTTTTAGAACCCCTCCGGTTAGTCCTCCTAGACCAAGCTACATGACTGGGATGCGGAGAGTATGCTCCTTGGAATTTAGGCCGCATTTGATGAGTTCTCCGGACTCAGGATTAGCTGATCCACTTTTAGCTTCTCCTGGACCATCCGGGGTTTCAGATCGTAGTTTTCTTCCACAATCAATGATCTATAATTGGAGTTGTGGTCACTTTTCAAAGCCACTTCTTACTGCAATGGATGATACTGAAGACGTAATTGCGAGAAGAGAAGAAAGGGAGAAACTGGCCCTGGATCATATTGTTAAATGCCAACACTCCTGTAAGTTCGTAACTCACCTGTGCCCTCCCCGCCTCCTTCAAAAAGGTACTTGCTATCTTTAATGTTGGTTTTCTTTTGCAGCTTTGAGTAAAATGCAGAATCAAATTGCTAGCTGGGATACAAAATTTGAGACTGGCACCAAGACTGCTTTGCTGCAGCCCTTCTCGCCTGTTGTGATTGCTTCTGACGAAAATGAAAGGATAAGGTGGGTGAATATAGGTGCACGATGTTATATGCTATCTTCTATGGTTGATGGAGCGTTTTTCGATTCGTTTATGTTCAACATGTTAGTGGTGGCACTTATTTTGGCTACTTGATTTTGGTTAATATGAAATTATGAGGGCTGATAAAGAAAAAGCCCAATTAGCATACTAACCATTTTTTTCCTGCATGAAGGCATATATTGTGCTCCCTGTTCTTTAGTAGACATGACGAAAAGGTCTTTTGATATTGCTTCTTGAAACCATTGAAAAGAATGTTATTTGACATGGAGTCGAGGTCCATCGAATAAAGTTTACTACATGAAGTTGCTTTGATCGAAAAGTTTATCCTTTTGTCTCATGTTTTTTGTTTATTATGGAGAATGACTAACTGATTTCTTCATGTGTGATCTGTTAGGGTGTGGAATTATGAGGAAGCAACACTGCTTAACAGCTTCAATAACCATGATTACCCCGACAAAGGAGTTTCTAAGCTCTGTCTTGTAAATGAGTTTGAGGAGAACTTGCTTCTTGTTGCATCAAGTAAATCTCTTACCTCGAGTTCGAAGACATGACTGCAATTTTTATTGGTTATAAGTGAAGTTGAATTCTCTGTTTATATGTTTGTATAGATGATGGAAATATCCGGATTTGGAAAGATTACAGTTCAAAGGGACAACAGAAGTTGGTTACTGCTTTTGCTTCAATCCAGGGTCACCGACCTGGTGTCCGCAGTGTGAATGCTGTTGTGGATTGGCAACAGCAATCAGGATATCTTGTATGTTCTCACTCTATGATGACATGCTGTGTTATTGTTTAATATCCTAGGTCACTTGCACACATGTAATCATGCTACTTGTTATTATTAGATTCCACATTTATCTCTTTTATTCTATCCTACCTAGTTTTCTTCCGGTGAGATTTCGTCGATCATGGCTTGGGATCTGGATAAAGAGCAACTTGTCAGTACTATTCCCTTGGCATCAGATTCCAGCATCTCAGCGCTGGTGGGTTTAACTGTCACTATACTCACCTTTTGATTATTGCTTTATCTTGGGAATTACTAACTTTTTTATAAACATTCTGGTACTTTTAAAATGGTTTCTGTTGCCTGAACTGTCAGATATTGCTTTTGATTTTTTATCCTCGTGCCATGACAGTTGCATTATGTGTTGTCATATTTTATTTGTTGACTAAACATTTCACTATTTCTTTCTTTTCCCTTCCTTTTCTAAGTCGCTTATCTAATGATTGTGAAATACAGTAGCATATAGTAGCTATTGAGATGTGATACGATGCTGTTGTTTTTCTTCTTGATCCTTGGTCGAAAGCTTTCTAGAGCTTGGCCTTGAGATTTCTCTTACTATTAGTTTGTGTAGGTAATCCTGTAATCCTTCTATCTGTCAATGAAGATTAAACTTACCCAAAGAAATACGGCATGTTACATTTTTGTGATTGATATCCTCATCTGGATCAAGGTTTATTTGTGTGCTGTATAGTTTGTAGAACTGTCTTTCCACAGAATGGTCATGAATTTACTGAACAACCAATCCAATCAATTATGTAGGCTGTTTCTCAAGTTCATGGAGGTCAATTTGCTGCTGGATTTGTGGATGGTTATGTCAGATTATATGATATTCGTACTCCAGAGATGTAAGTACTTGTAAAGTTTCTGGTTTAAGAACGTATCTTTAAGAGCCATTTTGAGCTCCAGTCATTTCTGGATTCGTTTCCATGTCTAGTTACATCTAACTCTGTATTTCACCTGTACTATTTTAGGGTTGTCAGTGCAACTCGACCTCACACTCAAAGAGTTGAAAGAGTTGTAGGAATTGGCTTCCAACCTGGTCTTGAACCAGCAAAGGTGACTACTCTCTCTCTTGCTTATTATATGGATTTATAAGCTACCATACTTTAATATTAAATCGAAGCGCATAATCAAGGTGTCCTCCATTATAATACACGTATTCTTTTTGCAGATCGTCAGTGCATCCCAGGCAGGGAATATTCAGTTCCTAGATATGAGAAGTGCGAAAGACAAATACCTAACAATCGATGCACATAGAGGATCACTTACAGCTTTAGCAGTTCATCGACATGCACCGATTATTGCAAGTGGCTCAGCCAAACAACTCATTAAGGTGTTCAATCTGGAGGGTGATCCATTAGGCACTATCAGGTATTATCCTACTTTTATGGCACAAAAGATAGGATCTGTTAGCTGCCTCACATTCCATCCTTATCAAGTCCTCCTTGCTGCTGGTGCTGCTGATGCATGTGTTTCAATATATGCCGATGAAATATTACCACCAAGATAATAACCATCTTTTCAAAGCATTTTACAGTGGTGGATGATTCGGGTTCTTTGTTTGACGGTGTATAATATATTAATTAAGCCTCCTCATTCTGGTATCTACTAGAAAAAGTTTACAGGGGAATCAACTCAATGGAGGCTTTTGGCAAATAATCTTTGTTTATAGGTGAAGAAAGGTGTAAATATTTCATTGTTTTTTCTTGTTTGTTTGTCATTGTGTTTCTTTTTAGTGTGCCTTTCTTTTTAATTTATGTTTTTTTGGCCTTTTAATTTATCTTTTTCGTACTAATTTACAGCTGCAACCCCTTTGTTCAATTTGTACAGTGAAATTTGGTCTTCAACTAATATAATTTAAATTGTTGACCTATGGCATTTTTCTCTCCTGTACTGCATATTTCCTGGTTTACTCTCTCTGTTTCATGATGCTGACTTGGAACCAAAAGTTCTTCCTGGATTCAGTGAGCTTGAATTATAGGATTATGTAAATATGCTCAGCAATTTACATGGTGCATTACATTTTAGGGAATGCTAATATTTCTAATTTATCATTAAAATGTATTTATATTTGTATGCTCTTTACATTTTTTTTTTTTTTTTTTTTTTTTTTTTTGTGATTGTACTGTTAAAAAAGTTTAGGTGAAGCAATTTTTAGATCAACTACTTTCTTATTGCTTATAGATAAAAATCATATATTTGAGCAATGTTATCAAAACCGGACTGGACACAAAATCGGGTAAGGTTTTGGGTTACGGTTGGACCGGTTCAACCGGGGTCAACCGGGTTTTTTATTGTTTTTATTTTTTACTTATTTTATTATTTATATAAATATAAAAATATTATTCTCTGTGAGTTTTTTATGATATTCCTCCTGTTTATTTCACCTTTACTCCAGTATTTTTAATTCAATTGTAATAGACCATTTTTTAATTTATTTTCCCTTCGTACCTCTTCACTAACCTACCCCACTCCCAACTTTTCTTTCATCTTCTTCTAACAGCAACGTCCACGCCCCATTCCCTTTCCTTTTTTTTTTTCCCTCCATTTTCTCCATGTGCAGAGAAAACATCACCTTCCTCATCTTCACGCTTCACTTCTTCATCTTTTTTGCTCGGTTTTGTTTTTTCTTCAACCCACAGATCTAGCCATTCACAACTCGATGGAATCACCTGCGACCTGGATCTGACCGTCCAAGGCAATCCCCCGCCCAGATCCGACCACCACGGTGATCCTCTGCGCAAATTCGCCTATCTACCATCGTTTTAGCCTAAAACCCGTTCTTTAACTGGTTCCCGGGTCTACTGGGTTTTCCGATCGAACCGGGTTTTCGACGTACTGACCCCGGTTAATGAATTTTCCGGTTTGTGTGGTTGAACCAGACCGTATTTTTGGCAGGTCCAGTCCCGTTCTGACAACATTGTATTTGAGTATTAAAAGATCATAAAAAATAATTTGAATATTTCAATTATCTTAGAGGAAATGTATGATATATAGTACACGTTTTTTGTGATTTTGGTAGACTAATTAGAAAATAATTCATCATGATTTGGATGAACAAATTCTTGAAAATATTTTAAATTAGGGTTTATATGGATCTTAATTAAATAATAATTAATACAATTGGGCTTAATTCACCTTGGCCCAATAATTTAATTAAGAAATTGGGCTTAATTCACCATGGCCCATCACAGACCTTTCACACAAACACACACACTCGCACACACACATACAAGTATCAAGTAAATGAATATAAGCCAACACAGGCAATCCATATTTTCAATGAAGAGGAAGCAGCACATATTTCAGTCAAGAACCCCTCTTATTTGTCACCGACCGACTCGAACAAACTGCAAATATCAGCGTTATCGAGATTAAATCTCTACTACTACACCATTTACACTCCCAGTTCTTCAACAAAAAAAAAATTAAATAAAAAAACAAATAAATCACTAAAAGGAAATATACACCAAATCAACACTCCGCTTGTGATGTATCCCAACCAAATCATAGTTTCCTTCCCCCAACCATACCTTGGTTGTTCGATCCAGACGCATTAGTCGTAGCTTTAAATCTTCCATCTGCACTACCCAATACATTAAGATCTTCAAACAATCTATAGGACGGGATAAACGGTCTCTGTCCAACATTGTTTGCAGCAGCAGCAGAAGAAGAAGTCAAACCAGAGTTGACCTGCGTCTCTCCATTAATGGCCTCAAATGTGGGCCTACCTGTCGAATATGTGTAAGCTGGACTTTGATTATTGGTAAAATATCCAGGAGTGGCCGCCCATGGTGGAGGAGGGTACATTGAAGTGTAATTAGCATATTTTGGCTGTTGTTGATAAGAAGAATTCAATGGTTGTTGCGTTGGATACTGAGGAAATTGTGGTTGATTTTGCTGAGGCTCGATCCGTGGTTGAGATTGAATCTGTTGATGCTGAGGCTGAGGCTGCGCCCACGGGGCGATATAGTTGTTGAAGCCTAAACCATGGTTAGCAGGATAACTCGACGGAATATTCCCCTGATTTTGCATTGGTGGAGTAGGAGACTGAGGGGTTTGGTCATTTGATGTAGGTGTTGATAAGGTGATGCTGAGTAGGTCTATGATGTCTTGTTCTTTTGTTCGAACCGATGTAGGAACATCAACCGGCACTAGGGCATTGCTTGTGGAAGATTCTGCAGGTGCCACGTCAGCTTTTCCCGCAGACGTGTTGTTAGAAACTTCGACACGAGCTTTTGAGTGCCTGTATTAAATGTCCGAGAAAGATGTTAGAATATATCCAGGAAGAAAAAAAATGTCCGAACACACTTGGTGAGAATGTAAATTTACCTTCGAGCAAGAAGGGCGAAATCGTCTTCCTCTTCGTCGTCTTCTTCATCAGCCACGCCCTTCTGTTTTTCAGGTAAAACTGGTGGAGAGTTTTTTTCAGGAGGTGGTGGTGCATTCTGCACACTCGGCTCAGCAGATTTGGTACTAGTTGAGTCACGTTTTTCCGATTCTCCGTTTGTGATATTTCTCACTTGAGGGGGTAGTGGGGAACCAGAAGCTATCGCGTCGTGTTTTGCAAGCACAATTTGCAGGCTATCGTTCAGCTCAAGACCCTTGCCAAGAATTTCTTCATCCCTTTCAGGAAAAAAAAATAAAAAATTTAGGAAGATGTAATAATGTAAAGTAGGCAGATAAATCATTAGAAGACGATTAAAAAAAGGTGGCTCACCCTGTATTTGCCAACAACTGCACCAGCTTCTTTTGATTGGCTTGACATTGCTCAACAAGGTCGATTATCACTTCATCTTTAACAGCCTACAACGTAATATAAAAACAATATTTTAAAATATTTCGCCAGTATTTTTCTAGTCACTAAAAAATATGATGAAAATGGCAGATACCGAGCGATCGCTTGGATCAACAGCTTGCAACATATCAGCCAACAGATCAAGAACATCGTTCATGGAGTTTAGGCTTGATACACTAAACCACCAAAAAAAAAAAAAATTATATAAAAGATAATAATATACAAAAGCATAGGCGCCAATAATTAAAAGGTGTAATGGAAACCTTAAATTTTCTTCGGCAGCCATTGCTTGATCAAGTCTAGTGGAAGAAGTACTAGGCATTCCATAACCTGGTTGAAATTGATGCCTTGTTGGTGGATGTGTTACAGGTGGAGTAAATATCGGAACAGCATCGACTGAATTTCGAGGAAAGTCTACACCATAACGCTGCCATGAAATAAAATAAAATCCAACAATTACTACATCCATCATTGAAAAATATAATTTTCCGATACATATTGACAGTGCATAAAAGGGAACACCGTCTAAGAAGATTTACCCTCAGATCTTCGTAAGCCATGTAATACTGCGGATATTTTCCTCCAGCTCCACCAAATGCCTGATGCCAAGAGCCAATTAGGACCAGAACTTTATCTCTTACATTCATATCTGTCTGAAAAATACATTAAAGAAGCGACGTATTAGAGTGGGGCCCTTATAGCAAGCAATCAATCCAAAATGACTAAAGTAAATATTTTAATTATGCTCCTTATAGTTTAACATGAAGTCCGACCGTCGTTTATCTACTCTCATGTTGACATATACATAAAGATTAGCGTTAAAATTGAAATAAATAAATGAGAAATTAGAGATTAAAACAGAACAGAAATTGTTCACTCACAATCGCCCATATCAGGACCCAATATGTTTATGCAATTAGGCCTCGTTTGGTTGCCTAGATCATAGGATTAGCCAAGATAAGGTTAATTAATCTAATGAAAACCCAATTTTATTATTGGCCATTGATGGTCCAATAAATAATCTCCCTAAAAGGCAAGATAAGCCAAGATAAAATAATGTTTCCGAGTCTACTCGGAAATTATTGGGTTTACCAAACATCAAACAAAGTCTAATTATTTAGTTAACCATGGTTAATCTCCCCAACCAAACGAAGCCTTAACAGAGAATATCGAAAGTGGACAATACACTCTAATTCTATAACACCCGATCCACAGTAATGAAAAGAGAACTTGCCTTTTTCTTTGCAATCTTGACCATCTCGGGCAATATATTTCTTTCTGCAATTTGAAAATGCACATAATCGCCACAGTTTTTGACCATAGTCTCCAGAAGCTATAAAAAAAGACAAAGGGAGTGACTTAATTGGGAATCAGACAAATATTACGCTCGCTTGTTTCAAAGGAAAGCATAGTTACAATAATTATAGAATCAAAACCTGCTTACGTAACAAATTGAGTTCTGTAATTAGCAGGAATACACTAAAAATGAATCATTTTTTTTTACTCGTAATACCGTTAAAGCAAGTAATTGAACTCTAGGGTTCTTGTGCTGCAACCGCTTCTTCACAGCTTTCACAACATCTTTTGCCAGCCTAAGCACTCAACCCAAAAAAATTCCACCTTAAAAAATGCTGCTTGCACACAAACACCAAAAAAAAAGCAACGAAAAAGTCGAAATCGAAAAAACAGATACAAATTCAAAAAAAGAAAAAAACCCTAATTTTTCCAACCACATCCCCAAATATGTGTGTGTGTGTTTTACAAAAAGACACACTGATCTTTCCTATTTCATTCTCACACACAAGAAATGTTCATCATAATATATTCCTTACACATAAAACTGAAAATCAAGAAACTGAAATGATCCACACAAAATTGAGAGTTTCAGACACCAAACAGATTAAGAAAACAAAAAAATGAAGATTAAAACATACACCCAGAGCAATTGAGAAACAGGATCAATAACATCAACACAGATAAACACAAAATTCATGAAAATCCATATCCACAAAAGCAACCAAACTCAATCTTCACCACATAACCAGATAACCCAACACAAGCTAATTAAAAAACAAGTCAACTTTGCATGAAAACACAGGAAAAGCTCACAAAAAACAAACATGTGTATATTACACACACACACACACACATAGAGACGGATATACATACATCTGATTGGAATTAATTGTGTCGCATATATCAATATTGAGAGTCCAATCGGGCCCAATCAAGAACTCGCTTGTTGCTTTCTCAACTCTCACTGTAGCCGAAGAAGATGATGAAATTGACGCCATGGATGAAATCATCTTTTCTTTTTTTCTCTCGAGCCCTTCGATTCTGTAGAATAATCGGAACCCCCAAGAATTTTTGTGGGTTTGACTATTGTGGTCTGTTTGTTTATTCCTTCCAAGTAAATTTTTCTTTTTAATTCTGCTGCTGCTGTGAAGTTTTTTTGCCCCTTTTTTTTTCTCTCTTTTTTCTTTTTGAAGTCTTTTTTTTTTTCGTTTTGGGAAACTTTTACTTGGCCATTATCGAAGATTTTTCTTTCTTTTTAATCTTTTTTTTTGGCCCCTGTAATTGCAGAAACGTTCTTCCCCACGCGCTCTTATGTTTCGCCGTGTTACACTCGCGGCCGAACACAGTGTCAGTGGTCCTCTCCCATTACTTTACTTCTTTTAATTTTATTATATATTATATATTAATTTTTCGACATTTGTCCTTGGAATGAGAATAATAAAGATTAAAGATCTTTAAATAATTAATGATTAGTAATAATAAAATATTTCAAGAATTATACCATTAAATCCTTTTTACCATTCTATAATTTAAGATTGTTTATTAATATACATGCACATATTAAACTTTTAGAGAAAGATAAGCATGCTGAAGTTAGTGGTGAATTTTGAAATTTAAAGGCCTAAGATCCTATTTTAACTCATTTGCACTACTTAAACTCGTACAAATCTACGGTCTAAAATCGCACGGTGTATTTCACCAGTAATTATGTTATAGTATTTTTTTTATATATGTGTATAGTAGAATACAACACAATAAAATGTATCTAGTACGTACAACATAGAAAAGAACCATTAAAACGAATGTTCGTTAAAAAGAAGTATGAATCATGATTCGTGCGGGACGAGTCAGTACATATAGAATTGGACAAAAAAAACATAATAATTTGTGAATCTTGAGTTTGTGTTTATGCTGTTCTTACAACATGTGGTGTTGGTTCTTGTCAAATTGCAGCAAAGTACAAAAAGTTTATCGAATTCAATCAAATTAAAAAGTTGGAATTTAATGAATTGTCTGGTTGGGACAACATAGAAGCTGCAAAATCGAATTTCTACCATTTACTATAAGTCATAATTAATTTAAAAAAAATGAAATTATATAATTTAATTTTACAAAAGGAGAGGTGGTCAAAAGTCAAAAACTAGTGGTCAAGTATTCTAGAACCCTAATACGACTATTAAACGGATCAATACCCAATTGTATTAAATGAACTCATCCAAAAGGGCAACGAAAGTGATAATTATTATTTGCTAATAATAAATAAGGATAACGATTATTCCCTTACATGAACTCAACTCATTATTGTAATCAAATTTCATCATACAACTTTTGAATTAATACATATTATTATTATAATTGGGATGGAAATAGTATCATACTATTCTTTTAGAAATAATAATAAAAAAAACCTAGTATAATTGGGGTCCCAATCAGCTAAAGAAACACGCAATTGCCAACACTAAAGGTGGCAATTGATTAATGGTGGAAATAAGATCATCTTCCATTACCATCTTCATTTCTTGAGGGCCCTCCAAATACATGGACATCAAATTTTGCAAAACCAATAATACATTCTAACACTAAGTTTCTTCTTTTTTGTTTTTTTTTTTTTTCATTTTCAAGATTGCTCTAAGACATCGCAATTTTTAATTCTAGTGCAAAAAAGAAAAACCTAGTTTCATCACATAAAGCCACCATTTGATTTAAATTTGTTATGGATATTGCCAATTTGCGATTGTGTGTAAAACAAAGATGGAAATCTATACAATATTTTCTCATTAGGTGTAAGATCTGTATGCGTCATCGAGTATTATTCGTATACTTACACTCTTACACATATGATCTATATAAGTTAGCACTTAGCATGCACTTATAGTTATGTTAATACTCCCTCTGTTCCTTATATTATATAACTTTTGGAGTGTTTTTTTTTGTCCCAAATTATTTGTCACTTTAGAGTTCCAATAAGGTATTAATTGCATTTTTATGAATTTTACCTCTTAACACTCTTAATTAGTTAATTAAAAAATAATTAATGATAAGGGTGTTTTACTATTTACTATATTATTTTTGATATAATCTATGCATATTGACTATCTTAATCTACGCGTAACTACCAAAAACGACATATAAAATGGGACGGGGGAGTATTAATCAAATACTTTCAATCTATCAACAAATATATACTTCTCGTTGTTATATATTAATTCCAAATAAAAATAAATAAATTAAAAAAAAAAAAACAACAACAACAACAACATTCGGAAAATTTCGGAACTATTTTTGGATCCCCAAATATTATACATACAATTCTGATTTTTTTCGAAAAAATCGACAATCGAAATTTCTATAATCAGACTGCAAAAAATCATTCCAAAATCGAAAATATTCGGATCCGATGGGCGGTGCCATTAAATATAGACGCGTGTTAGGTAACTTCATCAATAATCATATTAATGTGGCAAGAATCAGAATCCAATAGGTAATAAAAAATTAAGCTGTGTTCGGATAAGGAATGTCAAAGCTTTTAATCTTAATACTAATTTATTTTATTTGCTAACAACGTTTCCCGTTCCTATATCAATTCCAACTCAGACAGTATATATATATATATATATATATACCCCTCTCTCTATTTGACATTATTATTATAAACCCTAAAGTAAACAAACCGATTCCTTGTGAAAACAAAGGCATGGACCAAGGCAGCGATGAGTATCAAAGACTTACGTGGGATGCATTGACAAAGAGTATTACCCGGTTGGTCAACAAAGTCAACGCCGACAACATCAAGAACATAATTCCGGAGCTGTTTGCCGAAAATCTAATACGGGGTCGGGGTCTGTTCTGCCGGTCATGCATCAACTCTCAAGCAGCTTTTCCATCTTTCACCGATGTATACGCAGCAGTGGTTGCTGTACTCAACACCAAATTCCCCGAAATCGGGATCGTTTTACTGCGTAGGCTAATACTACAGTTCCAGATTGCGTACAAGCACAACGACAAGCCAAAATTAGTCGCTACGGTCAAGTTTATAGCGCACCTGGCGAATCAGAATGTAGTCAACGAACTTATTGCTCTCGAGCTGTTGACTTTGCTGCTTGAAAAGCCAACCAACGATAGTGTTGAATTGGCTGTTGGCTTTGTTACAGAATGTGGGTCGTTGCTCTTGGAAGTTTCTCCACATGGGTTGCATGGCGTGTTTGAGCGATTTCATGGAATTCTTCACAAAGGAGAAGAAATAGATAATCGTGTTCTGTTCTTGATCGAAGACCTATTTGAACTGCGTATAGCAAAGTTCGAGGGCTACCCTGCTATTTGTCCGGAATTGGATTTAGTGGAGAAAGAAGACCAATGGACTCATGTTTTATCATTGGCTGATAAGATTGACCCTCAAATCGCGGTAGATATTTTCAAACCAGACCCGGATTTCGTAGAGAATGAAATTTTTTATGAAGAACTGAAGAAGGATATTCTAGGTGAGAAAGAAAAAGAAGAAGAAGATGATCAAGAATTGGAATCGGAATCGGAATCGGACTTAATAAAGGATGAGCCAGAGACGAATTTGATGAATCTTCGAAGAAGTATCTATCTGACAATTATGTCGAGTGTAGATTTCGAAGAAACGGGGCAGAAGCTATTGAAAATACTGAAAACGGCACCTGGTCAGGAGATGGAACTGTGTACTATGTTGTTGGAGTGTTGCAGTAATGAGACAACCTACCTACGCTACTATGGGCTTTTAGGGCAGCGGTTTTGCACGATAAACGAAGTCTATCGTGACACTTTCAAAAAGTGTTTTGTCCAGCAATACTCCACCATTCAGCAGCTCGAGACGAATAAAATACGGAAATTGGCAATGTTCTTTGCTCATTTACTTGCCACAAATGCGTTGACCTGGCATGTTTTGGCGTATATACGGTTGACTAAAGAGGACACAACTTCTTCTTCTCGTATTTTCATTAAGTTTCTCTTCAAGGATTTATCCGAGCAGCTTGGAATTCGCCTACTCAACGAACGTCTAAGTAAAGACTCGTTCGACAAATCTATATTTCCAAAGGATAATCCAATCAACACTAGGTTTGCTATTAACTATTTCACTTCCATTGGACTTGACGGAATCACAGAGAATTTACGAGACTATTACACAAACATGCAAAGGCTCGTAATCCAACAACAAAACTCACACGTAGAATCTGAATCTGCTGGATCGAAGAAGAGAAGAATAAACTAAGGCTTCACACTCAGTGGACATTACATAGAGCTTATAGTACTGTTTTAGTAACATTGTTCATATATATGACTAGGGATCAGTTTAAATAGCAATACTTTGTCGGAAAAAAAATTCGCTCGTTTTTTAATATTGATGTGGCTTGAGTACTCTAGAATTCGATTTTTTTTTATGATATAATGGAACTTTAATCTATATCCCTCTAAATTTATTGAGTGTTTAAGAACTTCTGAAATAGCCAAAATTAATAGTTTTAGAGTGCAAATTATCTTATCCAGGTTAATCTTATCTTGGTAATCTTGGTAACCAAACGAGGCTTAGTAGACATATTAAGGTAAAATACAGCAAACATAGTACACTAATTACAAAACCATAAAGCCCTTAAAAATCAAAACAAAGGGTCTAAAGGACTTATTCAAAACGCAAACTCGTTAAATTTAGACATTAATCCTCACCTGATCTGTCCTGGTTAATTTCCTCAAGGATGACGACAAGCGAAACGATGAAGGCGTAATCCACATTAGGATACACAGTCACCCCAAATGTATCTTTCCCAAGTAGAATACTTTGTGCACTGTGTTTCCTGTGCATCTGCATTAATTCCATCAAATTACAGACTAAAGTTTAATGAAAAGAATTTGTAAGATAAATATGATGTTGGAAAAAGAAGGGGATACGAGAGATTTTATTTTTATTTACTTGAGCAATGATATTATTTGAGTTTCCAGCATAAATGACGCACGATCTCTCGAACCAGCTGCCTTCGATTTTGAAGTCGCATACATCTTCTTTGGTGTTAGCAGCCATGAATACATCTAACTTGGTCTTCATTTGAAGGAGTGAAGACTTCCTCACACTGAAAAGCATATCCTTTGCATTTGTACTCTCTCCTCTAAACACTTGCCATCTTTGATGTGCAGAGAGCAGCTAAAAATCACACGATAAAAAGTTTTACACCACATTATCAACATCCATAAAACAAACGGAACAAATTCAAATGATGAAGGCCATACACAAACTTATACAAATCGACTAAGTTATTGCAGTAGAATTTTGGCATCTTAATGATTTGAGCTTGAATATGCTAAACTATCCTATACATAATTATGCTACCATCAAGTTAAAGGCGGTATAAAGAAACATTACTACAGCCAGGAGGCAAAAATCTGATATTGGTTAGATAATAATAAGAGTTGAATTTCATCAACTCTTAGATAATTGGAGTTGATAACTTGGGACTATTGATATGCTCCGCTGCTAAGTGCTATGAATAAGTGAAAGATCATTAATGAAGTCATCCTTTTCTAAATCAATCCCTTTGGGGAATTTCATCAACCACCTTCCGTGCACAAAAACGAACAATAAATTGGATCATGCAATACAATTCAGAGATAATTATCACGACGAGAGCAATTCATTCAATTCCAGCCCGTCAAGAGAAAGGGGCGAGGCGATTTCAAGCAAGGGTTTTCGCGTGTTTTGATTCATAGCACCGATTCAGATGCCGAAATCGATAGACACTGAACCACAGAGGAATAAATACACGCAGAATATATGTATGCATATTATATATAAATACCTTTTGCTGGAAAGTGATGATAGGGGTTCCGGCAGCATCAAGCAAGACGCGGCGATCGTGGATGCTGAGGAGTTTGCCTTTGATTCTGAACATGATGTTGCCATTAACATCGGTCACTCCGAAAGTTCCTTCAGATAAAGTCATCAGTTTACGAACGATGGTGAGATCAACAGGATATCCCACGCAGAAATGGGGGCTGACCACAGCCACCGGAATCGGCGCCGCCGGATAGCTCGTTCCGGTCATCATCATTGATTCAAGCACAATATCAGCTTCTTTTCACACAAATTCTCACGAACACACACTCGCTGGAGGCTGATGGGTCCTGATTTTATTTCATATAATATTGAAATATTAATTTTTGCAATCAAATGTTGTGGCCTAGGTGTTTATTGCATGACGCGTTACTTCATAAAAGTTTTGGATAAATTACGGTCACCTCCCTGAAGTAAGGTTAAATTACGAAAAGAACCCTCATGTTTGGGTAATTACAATCACCCTCCTCAATTATCAGTCTTCTTACACGTCCACCCTTATGATGTCAAATTCAACGTATTCGTCTAGATTATATGAAATATTCTCTCGTTTGTACTCATCTTTTGCAAACATGCAGTTTCTGATGTACCACAATCTGATATTTACAAACCAAGAGACATATCATCTTATCATTATCTTATTTCAAAACACAGAACTCGAATGAAGCAAAATGAGTACAAATAGGAAAATATTTCACATAATCTGGATGATTCCACTAAATTTGACATCTCAAGAAAGGACCTGTAAAAAAATTCATAGTTAACGGATGATTGTAATTATCCAAACAATAATTTTTTTTTTCGTAATTTGACATTATTTCCGAGAAATGCCGTAATTTACCCAAAAAATATTGACGGAATTAGGCCCAATGTAACGACGCGTCCATCCAAATTAGCTAGGTCCAAGAGTTTTCAATTCTTGGATTTTCTTTTTTAATGCCCAAGACTTTATTAACAAAATCAAATACACACAAGGCCAAGCCAGAAACTTTATTAATCAAATCCATAATTACAATTTAAAATACAGCAAGAACATACATATAGTACATAAATTACAAACCACAAAGCCCTTTTAAAATCAAAACAACATACTAAGGTAAAATAAATACAACAACATAGCACATGAATTACATCCTTGAAATCAAAACAAAGGCTTGATACTTCTTGTGAATTTCAAAAGGCAAGCTCATCAAATAGTACAGACTTTCAACTCTGTTTTCTGTCCGTGTTAATTTCCTCAAGGATGACGACGAGCGAAACGATGAAGGCGTAATCTACATTAGGATACACAGTCACCCCAAAGCTATCTTTCCCAAGTAGAATACTTTCAGCACTGTGATTCTTTGTGCATCTGCATTCATTTTAATTCCATCAAATTACTGCAGACCAAAGTTTAATGGAAAGATTTTTGCAAGATTTTTTTTTAATATTATTAATGTTTACCTGAGCAATGATATTATTGGAGTTTCCAGCATAAATGACGCATTTACTCTCAAACAAGTTGCCTTCGATTCTGAAGTCGCAATGTGTTGGAAGCCATGGACACATCTAAGTTGGTATTGATTTAAAAGAACGACGACTTTCTCACACTGAAAAGTATATCCCTTTCATCTGTGCTATCTCCTCTGAATGCTTCCCATCTTCTACGTGCAGACATTAGCTGTTATTATATCATCAAACACAAGATTAATTATTAAGATTTTTTTGGTAATTTGACATTATTTCCAAGAAAGGCCGTAATTTACCCAAAAAATATTGACGGAATTAGAATGTGACGACACATCCATCCAAATTAGCCAGGTCCACATTATCTAGTAGCTTTTAATTTATTGGATTTTCTTCTTTAATGCCCAACACTTTTTAACAAAATCAAAATCCATACAAGGCCAAGCCAGAAACTTTATTAATCAAATCCATAATTACAATTTAAAATACAACAAGAACATACATAGTACATAAATTACAAACCACACAGCCCTTTTAAAATCAAAACAACATATTAAGGTAAAATAAATACAACAATATAGCAAATGAATTGCATCCAAACAAATCAAAACAAAGGCTCCAAGGACTTGTTATTTCAAAAGGCAAACTCATCAATTACAGACTTTCAACTCTCGTTTCTGTCCGTGTTAATTTCCTCAAGGATTACGACTAACGAAACGATGAAGGCGTAATCTACATTAGGATACACAGTCACCCCAAAGTTATCTTTCCCGAGTAGAATACTTTTTGCACTATGATTCCTGTGCATCTGAGCAATGATATTATTGGAGTTTCCAGCATAAATGGCGCATTTACTCTCGAACCAGTTGCCTTCGATCCTGAAGTCGCAAATATCTTCGCTTGTGTTGGAAGCCATGAACACATGTAACTTGGTCTTCATTTGAAACAACGACGACTTCCTCACACTGAAAAGCATATCCTTTTCATCTGTGCTCTCTCCTCTGAAAACTTCCCATCTTCTATGTGCAGACATTAGCTGTTATTTCATCAAACACAAGATTGATCAATTACGGTCTCGAAGCAAAATCAAAACCGACTAGTTTCATCAATCTCTTTGGGGACTTTTATCAAACACCTTGTGATCATTAATTAACGAACAATACACTGGATCATGCAAGACACTACCTTTTCCTTGTAAGTGATGAGAGGGGTTCCGGCAGCATCAAGCAGGACTCGCCGGTCATGGAGGCTGAAGATTTTGCCTTGGGCTTTGAACATTAAGTTGCCATCAACATCAGTGACTCCGAAAGTTCCTTCTGACAAAGTCATCATCTTCCGAACTATAGTGAGATCGACGGGGTGACCAACGCAGAAATGCGGGGCCACCACAACCACCGGACTCGCCGCCGCCGGATAGCTCGCTCCGGTCGCCATTGTTGATTCAAGCACAATGTATGTCAGCTTTTTTCTTTTCTTTCCTTTTCTTCACACAGATTTTTTCTCTAACTTTCAATGCTTTGACATTTAGGTTGTACTTGTGGTGATTTATGCGCAGATGAAATCGAAATGGTCGGTTCTAATAAATGATTGCAGACGCGGTTCTTTATTTTGACTAGTATTTGTTTTTTTCTTTTTAGTTTGATTATTTTCTTTTATGGTTGCAGTTTTGATTTTAAATAAATCAATTGGTTTATCATTTATGATGTGTGAATGGATACTTAAATAAATAAACAATTGAATAAAATTGTGTTTCACGGCAACTAATAGCCAATGTCAACTAAAAATGAAGTCTTCGTCTTCGGTGATGCGATGAAATTGACAAGCGTGTGCAAAAGTCGGGCCTAATCGAAGCCCGATGGCTCGACCCAACTATTATTCGAATTGAGTAATTTACTTGTCCTTTTTCAGCATGATGAAATATATTGAGATAAAAATCTGGATAATATTTGGGCTAGGTAATTTCTATGAGTCCATTGGGCCATAATCCGAACGACCCATTGTTCAAATCAGATTTTACCGCGTTAATAAAATATTAATCTTTTTTACAAATTATTAATATATTAAACCAGAAATCAAATTAATTTGGGTGGCAAAATCGAAAATGTTGAGAGGAGTAGCTCACTGCAAGCGATTCATAGTTCATCAATGGCGACAAGAAATCAATCCAAATTATTCCCTCTTCATTTCAACTGCATCGTTCTCATCAAGGAAATCTTCTTCTCTGCATAAGCATAACTACTATCTCAGGAAAAGAAGAAAATGGCCGATTCAGCCATTCGCAACACATCGATGCCGAAACTTTGCTCTGAAACTAGATTCATAGTTTAAGGTGATTGTAATTACCCAAACAGGAGGGGTTTTCGTAATTTAAACTTACCTCGGAGGTGGTCGTAATTTAACCCAAAAAAATGACTAAATTACCTCCAATGTATTGTGATGTGTCCATTCAAATTAGCCGGGTCCACATTATCTATTAGCTTCTAATTCTTGGATTTTTTTTTCTTTAATGCTCAAGACTTTAAGAAAATCAAATCCATATAAGGCCAAACCAGAAATTTTATTAATCAAATCCATTACAATTTAAAGTACAACAAGAACATACACAGTACATAAATTACAAACCACAAAGCCTTTTAAAATCAAAACAACATACTAAGGTGATAAAATTGAGCAACACAGCACATGAATTCCAAGACAAACTCATCAAATACAGACTTTCAACTCTTTTATCTGTCCGTGTTGATTTCCTCAAGGATGACGATGAGCGAAACGATGAAGGCGTAATCTACATTAGGATACACAGTCACCCCAAAGCTATCTTTCCCAAGTAGAATACTTTCTGCACTGTGATTCCTGTGCATCTGCATTCATTTTAATTCCATCAAATTACTGCAGACCAAAGTTTAATGGAAAGAATATCTTGCAAGATTTTTTAAATATTGTTTACCTGAGCAATGATATTATTGGAGTTTCCAGCATAAATGACGCATTTACTCTCGAACAAGTTGCCTTCGATTCTGAAGTCGCAAACATCTTCGCTCGTGTTGGAAGCCATGAACACATCTAAGTTGGTATTGATTTGAAAGAAGGACGACTTTCTCACACTGAAAAGTATATCCCTTTCATCTGTGCTATCTCCTCTGAATGCTTCCCATCTTCTACGTGCAGACATTAGCTGTTATATATCATCATCATCAAACACAAGATTGATTAATTACGTCTCGGCATTCATCAAAACGAAGCTAGTTTTATCAATCTCTTTGGGGACTTTTATCAACCACCTTGTGAGCATTAACGAACACTACACCGGATCATGCAAATCACTGGAATATATATATACATACCTTTTGCTGGTAAGTCATGAGAGGGTTTCCGGCAGCATCAAGCAGGACTCGCCGGTCCTGGAGGCTCAAGATATCGCCGCCTTGGACTTTGAACATTAAGTTGCCATCAACATCAGTCACTCCGAAAGTTCCTTCCGATAAAGTCATCATCTTCCGAACTATAGTGAGATCGATGGGGTGACCAACGCAGAAATGCGGGGCCACCACAACCACCGAACTCGCCGCCGCCGGATAGCTCGCTCCGGTCGTCATTGTTGATTCAAAGCAAAATATATATCAGCGTCTTCCTTTTTTTTCTTTCCTCACACAGAGTGCTCTCTAATTCACAGTTGCTTGAAATATTAGGTCGTGATTATATGCAGATGAAATTGAAATAATAAATGATTGCAGACGCGGTTCCTTATTTTGACTGGTATTTTTTTTCTTTTTGGTTTGATTAATTTTCATGGTAGCAGTTTGGTGTGAATGGAGACTAAAATAAATAAACAATTCATAAAATTGTCAATGTGAACTCAAAATAAAGTCTTCGTCTTCAGTGATGAGATGAAATTGACTAGCTAGAACCGGCGAAAAGTCGGGCCTAGTCGAAGCCCGATAACTCGACCCCGACTATTATTTTTAAGTCGAGTCTAATTTATTTGTCCTTTTTCAGCATGAATGAAATATTGAGATAAAAATATTTGGGCCAGGCTTCTATCAGGATTAGTAATTTCTATGAGTCCATTAGGCCATAATCCGAACGACCCATTGTTCAAATCAGACCTTACCGGTGTTAATTAATATTTTTTTTATAGAAATTATTAATATTTTAAGGATAAATTACAACCAACCCCTGAGGTATGATCAATTTATGAAAAAACCCCTCATAATTACATCTACCCCTCAACTATGATTTTTTCTTACACCTCTACCCTTATGATGTCAAATTCAGCATAATCATTTATATTTCGTGGAATGTGCTCTAGTTTGTACTCGTTTTGTGTAAAAATACAGTTTTTTATCCACCACAATCTGATATATGCAAGCCAAAAAACACATATTATGATCATCTTGCTTCAAAATGTGTAGTTCGAATGGGATAAAACGGATACAAAAGTGATAATATTCCATATAATATCGAATTTCACTAAATTTGAAACCGCAAGAGTGAACGTGTAAGAAAATTTATAGTTGATGTGTGGTGTAATTACCCAAACAAGAGGGGAATTTTCTTAATTTATCATACATCAGGGGTGGTCGTAATTTACCCATATACTAATTAATTAAACCAGAAATCGTAATTTAATCTCTCGACGAATTTAGGTGGCAAAATCGAAAATGTTGAGGGGAGTAGTAGCTCACTGCAAGCGATTCATAACTCATCAATGGCGACAACAAATCAATCCAAATTATTCCCTCTTCATTTCAACTTCAACTGCATCGTTCTCATCGAGAAAATCTTCTTCTCTGCATAACTACTATATCAGGAAAAGAAGAAAATGGCCGATCCAGCCATTCACAACACACCGCTGCGAAAGCTTTGCTGTGAAACTAGCCAAGCAGCTGTTCAAACAATCAATCAGAAAATCCAAAATCAATCTCCTTTCCGATCTCATCAAATCCTGCGTCGCCTACGAAATCGAGCCCACTCCCCAATCATACCATCTTCTCTTCAAAATATTGATTCAGCAGAAACCCTCGAATTGCCGCGAACAAATCCGGCAAATCCTCGACCACATTGAGAAAGTCGAAACCTTTCAAACACCTGAACGCGTTTTTATTGATCTGATCAACTTTTACGGTGATAACAGCATGTTTGATGATGCTGTGGATCTGTTTTTTCGAACACCGAGTTACAGATGCGACTCGTCTGTCGAAATTTTGAACGCTTTGCTTTCGATTCTCTGTCGGGGTAAAAGGGGTGTCGATATGGTTCCTCAGATATTGATGAAGACTCAGGCGATGAATATTAGGATTGAAGAATCTAGTTTCAGGATTTTGATTAGAACCCTCTGCAAAATTGGGAGTGTGAGCAATGCTTTAGAGCTGCTGACCCATATGGTGGATGAAGGTTTTGATTTGGATCAAAAGAATTGTTCTTTGATGCTTGCAACTATGTGCTGGCAGTTGAATTGCGACAGTGGTAAAATCATGGCATCTTTTGAGGATTTGAAAATGTTAGGGTTTGCACCAAGAAAGAATGATTTCTGTAATTTAATTAGGTTTTTGATTGCAAAGGGGAAGGGTAAGGAGGCTTTTGGATTGTTGAAACAGATGAAAACGAGTCGACTCAAGCCTGATATAATGTGTTACAATTTGGTTCTTGATGGGCTGGTCGAAAATGGGGAGTTTACGAGTGCAGACAAGGTGTTTGATGAATTGCTTGTTCTAGGTTTGGCTCCTGATATCTACACCTACAATGTGTACATTAAGGGGTTGTGTGTGCAGAAGAAGTTAGAAGATGGAATCAAACTGATGTGTGCTATGAAAGCGCTGGGCTGCTCGCCCGACTTGTGTACCTATAGTACGATTTTACGAGCACTATGTAAGGCTGGGGAGTTTGATAGGGTGACAGAGGTGGTGACTGAAATGCGGCAAAAATCGATGCAACTAAATCCGAAAATATATGATATTCTGGTTGATGGATTCATTGCTAACGGTGATGTAAACGGAGCTCGTTGTTTGTTAGACGAAATGTTGAACGAAAACTTGGTCCCTCAACAAACGACTCTGGATAAAGTGACAGGCTGTGATCCAAGGATGTTATCTCAAGTTCAAGATTGACGACATCATTATCGATTTTTTATTTTTTTAAAGTCATGTGAATTAGCTTTGCTGTAACGATGATATTGGGAGTGTTTGATGTATTATTAACTAAAATAATCTGCTTCAGGAGCCTATAAAAACTTTATTTTTTTAAAGCAAATTAAAATCAATTTGGATGATAATCTAATCAATGGATGCAGTGATTATTCAACAGACAAGATTTTGACACAAGTTGAATTAGTATCTAATCAAACATTAATCAAATATTTTTCTTAAACTGTAGAAGCATCATGATGTTCTTCTTCCAAGGCTCTTATCCAATTAATTCTTTGTTTTTTTAAATATATAAATTCTAAATTATTGAAAATAATTTTCTAATGAGGATAATACCTACAAAGTCCAGATTTTCTTGTTATCAAGACAGCTACAGGTGTTAAATCTGAAAGGTTCATTTGATGTCAAACTAGTCTTTTTCTCCCACAATTTTAAGCAGATGGAATTACGTGTGATCTATGTTTTCGTTTATTACTACCAAAAAAAGTTACTGTCTCGAGAAAGGAAGATGCCGCTAACGATCCTTTCACAATTTCGTCAGATTTCCGTTTTTCGTTTTCTGTTCTAACCTGAAATATTGTTTATTAATTTGTAATTTTGTCACTAATCTCATCCAGCTTAAGGACTTATAGTAATCGTTGCCGGCCTAAATATGGCTAAATTATAAAATTTAAATTTGGGTCAATTTGAAAATCGAACGTAACTCCCACCGGTGTAGAAACTAAAACAAGTATAGCAGCATTATTGCTAAACTTGAAAGCTTTTTTTCCACTGCATATGCCTTTCATTCCATTTTCTGCAGCAAATCAAGAACTCGGTATACGCAGAATATTAACAAATCCGGTAAATTAATGACAGTGGTTTATCGTTAGGTTGATCCACAGTCATAATGGCACTAGAAAAACATTTTTTTAAAAATATTATTGTTTCGATGATGATAAATTTATCACTTGCGCATGATCACTACAAGGTGGGAAATGATACTGCAAACCACTTTTTTTTTTTTTTTTTTTTTTTTGTCGGAGCTCGTTTCAAATTTGAGCAACGAGTGATTTAGTTTATTACATAATAGCCCTTTGGATTTTTTTAATTACAGATGATGGATGGTCCATGTGTCTTTGAATACAACCAATGATGCATTATTCCGAAACGATCTTATAATATGATTCGATAATAACGTGACAGCTAAAAGTTATCGTGACAAGCTAAGATAAGACGTACGGCCATAAATTCAAACTTGAAGATGGAGGCCCCATAATCCACACCTATAAACGTCGACTATTGAATAATAATATGATTAAATGTTCCTGCATTAAAAGTTAAATCCATTAAAATAAGCTGCAAAAAAAATAATATTAGATTGAATCAAGAACGAACATTGAACAGCCACATGTGCCAATGTTGAAGATCAAGACTCGGAAGAATTTCTCTGCACCGATAACAATATATTAGCCACATGAAGATTCAAGATTACATCAAAATTTATATATATATACCTGGAAATTAATGAAGTTAATAAAAAAGCTTTCTTTTTTATCAGAAATTTTCAGTATACATAGAAATAAGATTGAGTGGTCATGATGGGGAAGAGGGGCACATGAAGGACAAACTCGTCATTCGTGCACGAGTTAGTAATGCACGTGCCCTGCTTCTCCATCTTGATCCACACTCATCTTCTCAATCGCCAAATCGAAGCTATATATATGTATATATGTGTATATATGTATATATAGTTTCTGAAGCTAAGGAAAAATCAGATCTTGAAAATCTGAGGGAAATTTGGCTGGCAATATATAAACCTCTATTTTCCGCAGCTATTTATAACACAAATGCCAAAATGGAGACGAATGCTATTTTCCAACAATAGCCTCGTAAGTTATACGAGAGAGCATGCTTTACGAATACTTTATACCTTCGATCCTACACTTCCCGGTAGGTATTTGCAACAAATCCTCTCAATGCAGGTGCATGATAAGAAAATTAAAATGCAGAAATATTAGTTGAAGTGGGGCCCCTTAATTTTTTGCAACCTAAAAAAGTTTTCCATAACAAAAAAAAAAAAAAAATTGGACCACTTTCCATCACTATACAAATGATGTTACACCATTATTATTATTAACCTCCATCCAATATTTCATTTCCAACCTATATATATATATATATATATATACACACACAGATATATATACTGGTGGTGAGTCTTGATCAAGATTTTATCCCGAGGTCTAAAAATTGTCGAATTTCGTCTAGTCCTACAAAAATTGATCTTTACAAAAACCCAAGCGTAATTTTTCAAAAAATTACGAAATTTTTATCGAACATGTGCTACACAATCCTCGGCTTAAAAACAAATATGTTCACGTCGTGGGGCAAAAAATAAAAAATAAAGCACGAAATTTACGGTGCTGGGAATATTGTAGCTTTTGAAACTATTTGTTTTCTAGCATTTGCTCTTTTCTTGTGAATTAAGATTACATGTGCAGATGCTTCCAAGGGAACCTCAATGATAGAACAACTAATACATCTTATTTCATTTCGAAACTACATACTATATTTAATATTATGAATCCTTAAAATTCAATTGTTTTTTTGCTTACATATGATTCAACCACCATATACAGATGGTGATTGCCTGATTACCAATCACTTGTACTATATGTGTTTGTGTGAGTGCTGTGTTTATGAGTAGATAATCCATTATTAATCTTCAAGAAAGGATTTCGAAAATCTTCGTCGGCCTATGAAAAAGCAGTGTCAGCTATAATATATCATAAAAAAGTTAGCTAGTTACCGGTTAAAATATTTGTGTACCTAATCGACGTCACTATACCAGGTATATACCGTTAAACAACATTTTCTAGCAATTCAAAATAATACAGGGAGGTTTTTGCAATTAACTCTAAATACGCAACAACTGTGTATTACTTTCGCTCTCGCCTTTTAGCTTAAAAGCGCGTTTTAGTGACCTGGTTTTCCATTAACAGAGGATGCAAGCAATCATATACAGAAACAGAAAATCAATCAAGAATTGATTTTTCATCTGGTCATGCATATTTTTCTAATGTATGATCTTACTAGTGAAAAAAATATTACTATATTCAGAGATGTCAATTTCAAAACTATACTTGACATCAGAAAGAATCTAGAGGGAATTATTTTTGTGACAATAAGAAAAGTTTAATTAGTGGTTAATGAGTTGTTGCACCCCATGGATTAAGGAAAAGTAGCAAACATGCACACTAATCAAAGATTTAATGGCAATTATCTTTTTCTAATAAAACAAAGGGTGTCAAAAAATTTAGTGGGATTATTGTTTAATTGATGGGATGTGAGTAAAATTAAGGCCCTACTTCCTGGATTTAGTAGAACATGTTCTAATTAATTTATTTTGTTTGATGTGACTTGAGTAATGTACATCTTTAACTTTTTATCATGTAATTAAACTTTATTTTATACATATATTAATAAATGTCATCATTTAATAGATTTTTGGTAATGTGTAGACGATAATTTTGGGGTTTTAATTCAACGTTACCAAGATTCTAGGCCCCGTTTGGTTGGCAAAAATAAGATTAGCCAAGATAAGCTTAAATAATCTAATGAAACTCAATTATTTTATTGGAGCTTCCAACGTCCAACAAAAAAAATTCACTAGATGGCAAGATAAGCTAAGATAAGGCAAAATAAGCCATAATTATATAATTTTGGCGGGTCGACCCGACAATTTATTGGGATACCAAACATCAAATTAAGTCCAACTATTTAGTTAATTATGACTTATCTTGCCAACCAAACGGGGCCGTATTGTGGAATTTTGCTGACATATGCAGTGATCATCGTGACGTAGTTCTGACTCGTATGTGACATATTCCTGCTATTTTCCACTTTGTTATAAATTAATGAATATTGATTCAATGCACCAAGATTGAATGATATTTGAAATCTAAGTTTAAGATTAATTAATCAAGAAAATGACACCCATTAAAGATAAATTAGGGAGTCTAATCAGATCAAGGAGCCCAATTATTATGTGTTCAAGATTACCTAGAAATTTGATCCACCTGAAAATTAAACTCTATGTAAATTGAAATATCACCTAGAAATTTGTAAATCTTGATTGATGATGATGTGAGACTCATTTGTTTGATACCGCAGTGTTGGCACGTTAAATTATGAAGGTTAATTGTGACATTTTGCTTTCTAGTTTTGGGTTTAATTACTTCTCAAAATGCCCACCTAATTACAAAATTACAAAATAAGCATTCCACTTAGATGAAAGAGTTCACCTTCATTTAATTTCCCTCAACCTATGTTATTTATGTTAAATTCTTTGATTTTCCTTTTAATGAGTGAACTAGCTAGATTTTACGAGAACGACGAAGACGGTTCACTAATTACTTGTCGAATGGCAGTTATGTATTACAAATTTACAATATTGAGTTGTATGTAATTACTTGGTGAGTGACAATTATGTAATTACTTGATGTGCATCAAAAATGTTTATGTGTTTACGTGTAAAAAGTGTGTTGGACTGTGTGTATATCTGTGTGGCATTTATGTAATTACTGTACCTTTGATAATTGTACAATTTTAATTTTTTGTGGCGGAGGCTTTATGCAAATCTGCCACATTTGGGCTTATGGATCAATAATACTAAACGAAAAAGCTAATTTTGGATCATATTTAATAGCCAGCAGTAGCAACACAACACCTAACTAAATTATATAGGCCCAATATGAATCGGGCCGTCTTAGGCCCAAATAGCAATGCCACTAGATTATTATTAGGATAAATTACGGCTACATCCCTGAGGTATGCTAAAATAAATTTAAGATCCATGTGGTTTTGATAATTACAACCACACCAATACTATAGGGACCTTGAAGTTATTTTAGCATACATCAGGGGTGTAGGTGTAAATTACCTTATTATTATTATCATCATCGAAGCAGCTGTAGTTTTTGGTGAGACTGTTGTCTTATTCAGTGAAGATGACGAAAGAGATTCCACCCACCTGAATTAATTAACTTCTCTGATGATTGCTAATTTATCGCTTCTCCCAGCACTTTTGTTTCAAATTCAATCCCACCATTTACATATTTTATTTGAGTTCGTCCTCAATCTTTGATTAATAAACATGGAAAAAGACAGACTAGTGCAAGATTCAAGACTGCAATCCAATAAACGCACTCCACGCCAACCCACCCTCGCTGCCGGCCAAATATATATATAATACTCCGGTTATATATATATGTATGTATACACCTCTACGTATGACACCATCTCCGGTTAGTCCACTCCGTACGTGCTAACTCCTCTTCTCAGCTCCAATGGCTTCTTCTTCTTCTTCCGCCGCTTTGAACCCAACCCTCTTCCGCAATAACAAGGGCTCGCTGCCTCCCTTCTCTACTCGCCGTCACGGGTTTCTGAATTTTCCGTCAAACCCCACCGCCTCCTCCTCGAAGCGGAGTTTGAACTGCGAACGCCGTTTTTGCGGCGTCGGGGTGGTGAAAGCTTCTGCCACAACGGCGGAGCCGGAGGTGGCCCGTGATCGCACCGCCGGTGATGAAGGTAGGAGGGTTTTGAGAGTCGGACTCATCTGCGGCGGCCCTTCCGCCGAGCGCGGAATTTCGCTCAATTCTGCCCGCTCTGTGCTCGATCATATTCAGGTACTCAAATTTCCTTCTTCCATTTTTTAGCTAACAATTTTAATTATGAACTTTGATTGATAGCTTTGAAAAATTTCTGTTTGATTTTGACTTAGGGGGATGATTTGCATGTCAGCGCATATTACATTGACTGCAATCTCAAACCCTACGCCATATCCTCTGCTCAGGTCCCTTTATTTATACCTTCATCATTCATATGTTATTTTCTCCGATTGAAAAATATTACTTCTGATAATGATTTTCAATTGCAGGTTTACTCGAACACACCTGCAGATTTTGATTTCAAACTCGAAAGGTAAGCTTTGTCCGGGATATTTTTACCATTTTGTTTTAATCAATTTTCGAAAACTAAGTTCAACATTATAATTGCAGCCTCGCTCACGGTTTCGAATCATTGTCTGATTTTGTCGAACACCTTGCCACCTCCGTGGACATAGTATTTCCGGTTATACATGGCCGTTTCGGTGAAGATGGTGGCATTCAAGTGAGATTGTGGTGACTTACAAAAGTTGTTTATTTGTTGATACATTTTTCAATATAGTGAACTAATTGTCGTACATTTTGTGATATCTTTTTCGTATGAACTACTTTGCAGGAGCTGTTGGAGAAATCAAATATCCCATTTGTTGGGACGCAGTCAAATGAATGTCGCAAAGCATTTGATAAGGTCTTAAAGAATATTTGCGATTCAATTTCTTTGTTCGATGAGAATTCTTTGTTTGGGTGAAAATAAATTGCGGGGGTCCTATTTGGTAATTGAGCTGATATGTCATTTGTTTTGGATTATTTGTAGTATGATGCATCTTCGGAGCTTGACAAACAAGGGTTTGTTACTGTACCCAGTTTCTTAATACAGGTAATTTTCTGGTTGTCATGTAACGCGCTTCTCTGAACTGTTGCCCTTTTTGCCGTAAATAAATTTTCATTTTTTTTTTGCTTTAAATTATTGCAGCAACAGCTTGCATTGGCATACTCTCGTCTATTCTTTCTTTAGTCTTTTATTTTTTGGGAACTTTCAGGGAAGTGAATTGGAAGAAACTGAGCTGTCAACGTGGTTCCTCACAAATAATATCGATGTCGAACAAGGAAAAGTTGTGGTAAGACTGTTTATCGAATTTCAGCTTTTAGAGATACTCGATAGTTTTGTTACAGTCCCATGTTTCATGCAATAATATCAGGTGAAGCCAACAAGAGCAGGATCAAGCATCGGAGTTACCGTTGCTTATGGCGTTACCGATTCTCTGACAAAAGCTAATGCAATTATATCAGAGGTAATACTAGCCCTCATCCTCTATTTCGCCTAATGAATTTCTGGACTCACTGTAAATTTAATAAAGTGAAATGTAAATGTTTAACAGGGAATTGATGATAAAGTTATTGTAGAGATTTTTCTGGAAGGAGGTAGAGAATTTACAACGATCGTCCTAGATGTGGGTTCTGGTTTTGATTGCCAGCCAGTTGCTCTACTCCCGACAGAGGTATATGCTCCCGTCTCTTATCATGCTAAGAGTATATCTTCGAGTATCTGGATATTTATTTAATTGCTGATATAGGTTCGTACGATTGGTTTATTTATTTAGATTCACTTATCATAAACTCAATGTCTTTATTACTAGGTGGAACTTCTATCTCATGGCAGTGCCGATTCAAGTGAAAAGGATATTATTTTTAATTATCGGCGGAAATATCTGCCGACACAGCAGGTATAGTGAGTCGAGTAAAATTTCACCGAAATAACTTTTCAAGGATATCTCATCTTGTTTCAAATAATATCAGAAATAAAACTGATCGCAAACTCTGCAGGTTGCTTACCACACTCCACCTCATTTTCCGGAAGATGTAATTACAAATATTCGTAAAGGAGCTTCTTTGTTATTTCAACGGCTTGGCCTACGAGATTTCGCTAGAATCGATGGTTGGTTTTTGCCGCCTTCTGCCCATACTGCTTACCTCACAGGCAATAAGTTCGGACGGTCCGAGTCGGGGACGATAGTATTCACTGATATTAACTTGGTGAGATTGTTAATCGAATCTTGATTATGTTTTCCTTGTTAATTAATTTCCTCGCATGTGATAAGATTGTATCTTCTTTCTCTCTCTAGATTAGTGGGATGGAACAAACAAGTTTCTTGTTTCAGCAAGCCTCGAAGGTATAATATTTGTATTATTTCACATCTTTCAAAACAAATGGTGATTTCAACTATATGATCGTATATGCTGCATCATGTGAATGCCATCTTATGTATCGTGTCACGTACAGGTCGGATTTTCGCACTCCAATATCCTCCGCACAGTAATCCAACATGCTTGCTTGAGGTTTCCCGACATTCGACAAGTAAGTCCCTCTCCGAGAAAAGAATCTTCACAAACTAATAAAGATTTCCGAAAACATCAAAACCCAAGGAAAGTTTATGTTATTTTCGGTGGGGACACTTCGGAACGGCAAGTATCTCTTATGAGTGGCACGAATGTTTGGTTGAATCTACAATCATTCGATGATGTAAGTATTCAGTTTAGGAATATTCGGATTTTTAGAAACATAATTTTATTCATTCAGTAGCTCACTCAAGAAAGCAACTTGGAATTTATTTGTTATAGCTCGAAGTGATTCCATGCTTGCTTGCCCCGTCAAATGGGTACTCGTCCAATATGGACTCTGATGAAACTAACTCGGGAGTAAGCTCAAGGATGGTTTGGTCCTTACCGTGAGTTTTCATCTCGCGTTACGATTTATATACATCATAGATTAATGGTTTTTGAATGAATTGGTGTTTCTTTATGCACAGATACTCTGTTGTGCTCAGACATACGACTGAAGAAGTTCTTGACGCATGCATCGAGGCAATTGAACCCGTTCGGGCAGCGTTGACTTCAAGGTTGAGGAGTCAAGTAATGGATGACATTCTAGAAGGCTTGAAGAAACACGATTGGTTCAGAGGGTTTGATATATCTGATGATTTACCAAAGAAATATTCGCTCGACCAATGGATCAAGCAAGCTAAAGCAGACGGGGCAACAGTTTTTATTGCAGGTTTGAACAATTTTACAGTATTGCGAGTCATCAAATTGAGTTCTTGTACATTGATTTGATTTCTTGTTTCATGGATCCACTGGACAGTTCATGGAGGAATAGGCGAAGATGGTACACTCCAATCGTTGTTAGAGGCTGAGGGAGTTTTTTATACCGGTAATAATAATAATAATAAATAAATAAATAATTAATTATTTATTCAATTTATACGATCATCTCCCATTTTTTCACATTTAAGGACCTGGTGTCGCTGCTTCAAAGACATGTATGGACAAAGTTGCAACTTCCGTTGCCCTTGAACATGTACGGTAACCTCATTGTGTGAATAAATAGTCACAATTAGAATTTTCATTAAAATTTCCTTAGTATATAGTTTTAACGAGGATATAATTTCGTTAATTTTGGTTTCAGCTTACGGCTGAAGGTGTCCTCACAATTAGTAAGGATGTGCGTAAGAAAGAGGATTTATCGAAAATGCAGCCGGTCGAAATTTGGAAGGAGTTGACATCGAAACTCCGGTCCAAAACATTGTGCGTGAAACCAGCTAGAGACGGTTGCTCGACTGGAGTAGCAAGATTATGGTAGGCACACATTTTTCTCTCGTTATTTAAAAATGCATTTCGGTTATACGATATATTCCACTTTCATGGTACAGTTGTGACGGGGATCTTGAGGTGTACATTAAAGCCCTGGAAAACTGTCTACCACGGATTCAACCTAATAGTTTATCGAAGGTATTGATTAATGATTATCTATCTTTACTTTGTTGTCTGAACTTTCGATGTTTGTTTGACTGTGTTCATATTTTTTCCGTGAATTTGTACAGGGGCATGGAATGATTGAAATGCCAATTCCTCCACCAAAGCTTTTGATATTCGAGCCTTTTGTTGAGACTGACGAGATAACATTTTCGTCCCAATTAAGTTCTGGAAATGCAAACGAACTTCTGTGGAAAGGAAACAGCCGATGGGTTGAAATTACAGTTGGTGTTATCGGAAAACGTGGGTCAATGCGGTCGTTGACTCCTAGCGTCACTGTTAAAGAAAATGGAGATATTTTGTCACTCGAGGAGAAATTTCAAGGTACTACACCTTGTGCTAACAATTTGTTTTAATACGATTTTCATTAGCTTTTCGTATTACAGATTAAGAAATTTATTACAAGATTAGGATATGTAACCTGACCGTTAAAAAGTTGTATGTTTGATGCGGTTATTTATTTTCTTTGTTGTCAGGTGGGACTGGCATCAACCTGACTCCACCACCTCTCTCGATTATAAGGTTTGCCGTTTTCGTTTTTCTTTTGGCGGAAATCTTCTTTGTTTCGTAATTAACTGCAGTATTTTATGATACAGTGATATATATTTATTATTTCCTGTCGCTCCTGCTTAGAATTATTTTTCGTGAAAACAGTAACGAGGCCCTCGATAAATGTAAAAACCGTATCGAACTCATAGCAAACACCCTCCATTTGGAAGGATTTTCAAGAATCGATGCATTTGTGGATGTTGATTGTGGCGAGGTAAATTTGAATTAAAATTTACTCGATACTGTTGACTTACGTGTATATATATTACTCGCTGTATCTAATTGCCGGTTTCTTCGTTGCAGGTGTTAATTATAGAGGTTAACACAGTTCCTGGGATGACACCTTCCACTGTCCTAATTCATCAGGTGATGATTAAATATCTTTTTTATGTTCATGATGGAAAAAAAATTAAAATTAATTAAATTAAATAAAAAATAATATTAGTATGGATTTAAATTGAGAAATAAGAGGAGTGGGAAAACATCATATTCTGGTATCTAGCAATACAACGTGTGGTCCTGATCTTGCAATAAATTATTAATCATTGGTGATTTTAGTTATACATCAACATTATTATTATAAATGTCACAGCTTTAAAATCATTCCTAACTATTTTTTAATTGATGATTATGTGTAGGCACTTGCAAATCAACCTCCCATGTATCCTCACCGATTTTTTCGGTCACTGCTCGATTTCGGTTCCGAGAGATATTTGTAAATTGATTTTTTTTTTAAATTTGTAATCTATCCTCTGTTTTCGAATTTAGCCATTTTTCTTGTTTGCGATAAAAACATGGATAATACAATCCCTAAAAATATCTTCAATAACAAGTCTATTTCAGTGAATGAAAATACGGCTTTGTAGATGCTACACTCGATGAAATACATCGGCTTGAAATTAAACAATTTGCCGACGAAGTAATGAAATTAAGCACATAAAATTTGGTGGTTAAGTTGTCAGTATCAGTTCATATGGACCAGAAATTGATTGAATTTATCGCTGCCAAATTCAAATTCAAACCCTAAAACCCCAATCCTGCCTATTCTGTGGGCCCCACCACGTCCAGGTAAGCCGTTTTTTCTGAAATAATTCAATTTTGGGAATGTAAATTAAATGGTCAAAAATAAATATTCAGGAATTTTGGGACCAGATAAATATGACACTTATTTTTCTGGGATGAGAGTTGCAATTTGCAATTATGGCATATATATGAAATGAATTTTTGTATAGAGACAAATCAAACATGCGTGTGCATGTTATGATGTGGACCAACCGAAATTAGGTCCCACGTAAAAGCGTGTGTTTGGTCTTCCAGCGATTTTAGTTCAAATGTATTAATAACAATTAACAACATAATCTTGACTTAGTAACTAGATTAAGGTTTCATTTAATCAAACATTAAAAAGCTTTTTAACCCTTAATTCCTAATTAAGTTCGAGATAAGGACAGCATTAATTACATATCCCTCCATAGGAAACAGCTTTCACTCCAACAATAAATTACAGGATATGGGTGCTCCGATCATCGCCGCCGCCGTGCGCCGCCGTCAGATGGCGAGCATGAGCCCCGGCAACGACCGTTTGGCGAGGTCCTGAGGGTGGCTCTGCCACAGAGTGCCGGTGCAGCTGAGAGGCCTCAAATCCCACACCGTCAGCCACGTGTTGAAGTACTCTCTGAACTGCGTTATAACGCCGTCTTCGTTGAGGGTCCACACGTGCACCCAGTACACCTGAGCACCCTCCCAGCCCTCCACTATCACGCACTCGCCGTCGTCGACGGCGTCGATGCTCCGCGGCTCGAACTTGAAGTCCGCCGGAGATGATTTTCCGGTCAGCATTTTCATCATGTGGTGGCAGTTCTGCGGGCCGTGGAACCACCACTCCAAGTCGCTAGCGATGAGCCCGGAGATTTGCCTGCTCCCGCCGCTCCCCAACGCCGTGTACAGGCTGCGGACGGTGGTGACGTTTGGGTTCTCCGGTGCGGCGGCGGCGGCGGAATTCGCAGTTGCGGGCTCCATTTGTTTGATGAGGGCGGAAATTAAATGGCAACGAACGACTCTTCTTTTGAAGTGAGAGTATAAGCTTTAGTTGTTTGATTCTTGCATGGTATATTCTTCAAGTGGAAAAGGATATTTATAGAACAAATTTGAGGTGTGAGGGGCCCACTGAATTAAATTTTGATGTGACAATCATAAAATTATCTATATTAATTTTATTTCCTACTAATGTAAAATTACATGTTGCCACACATTGGGTGTCAACTAATACATTTCTTTTTACAATTGTGTTGCCTCAAATTATAAAGTCATCGAACAAAATTAATTATTTTAAGAATTAATTTTAAACTACTTCATATATGTATAGAATTTTGAAAGTATATAGTCATTATATTATCAATTATGTGTGGACAATTTATTTTATATACTATATGGTCGAATTATGTGGACAATAATGCATATATGTAAAGTAAAAGAAAATGGGGCATGGTGCATTTAAGAGTACCAGTTGGATCCAACTAGCTAGGTTTGCCGTTCGTGTACCCAATCAATTTAATTTGAACATTCCTCAACACCAACCCCACATCTACATTTACATTACATACAGTTTATATATATGTACAAACCTAATTAATTAACTAAACCATTATATATGTGTGTGTGACTGTATACGTACAATGAATTGGGTTACGTTCACAATAATTAATCCTAACCCCACCCCCAAATGGATGGGAACTAGTCATTCATTATACATTATTTATCAACCTATTTATAATAACCTATTTTTTAATATATTTGAACAATATATGTTCGACTAGCTACCTAGGTCTGAACCGACTTAGGTCGAATTGATTTGGATCTTGTTGAACACATCAATACGAGATAGATCAATTGTTATATGGGTTCAAATATAAATAAATAGGAAATTAAATTATTGTGTGAGAGTGACAGAAAATATAGTAGTGGAACCCTACATATATAGAGTGAGATATGTGCATTAAATTGGTATGCCTTGTATTTGATACTCTTATCTACAACCACTTGTTATGGGGAAGTTCTTTGATGCACTATTCTGTCTCTCCATTCCCCTCCATTTTTGCAATGGCCATCCTTCAAATGTTCAGTACATGCATGCATGCATATATATATATATATATATATATATATAGACACATACGTATATGAGTGTCAGTGTGTGTTGTGTGTGTGAATTCAATTTTCATCATAGCTTATGTAATTACATCTTTCTTCTGTAAGATTGGATCGGATTTGATTAAATGATTATCGGTTTACTCGTGTGTGCAGGGCTCCAACCATATGCATGCATGCATGCATGCATGCACAATTGGAAATTAATTAATCATTTATTTATTTATTTATAATATTATTATGTATTTGATTTTCTTATTTGTGTGACAACTACGACTAGTTTGACTGGTAAGTTGGCATTAGTTACCTAACATTTGAAATATTTTATTGCACAAGGACCCATTTTATGAATATTAATTAGGATATATGTATCCATATATATATGTCATATGTGTATAGAAAGAGACTCTACTGTACCAATAATTAATTTCATTTCTGCTGGTTATGTGGTTGTGACTAAATCATTGATACAGTAGTACTATACACATTAATCATTCATCTTCTCTTTCAATCTTATCAATTTGTAGGGTCTTCAAATTCTTAGCTGCCAATTTTTCTTTTTCATTTTCATTTTCTCAGAGAAAAGCAACCATTATTATTATTATTTGAAGCCCAAAGTAATAAAGCCCAATATAATTCGGGCCTTCTATAAACAAATTATTCACGGCCCGGTCTCAATTTCGGCCTTCTGTTAAATGATAATTGCTGAACCCAATATCAAAGATCTTCACAAAATACTCCTGTTTAAATTAGTATTTTCAATCCCGACTCGGTGACAATTTAATAGTTTAATATTCCGCTTGATTAATAAAATTTTGTTAGTTCCAAGTGTATAAATTTATAGATATTGTATAAATTATATGAGGTGAAAGAATAGTTAAAAGTAACATTGAATATAAAAAATTGAAAAAATTAAAATGTTCAAATTGTATAAATATACATTAAAAGAAAAAAAATGAATCCTTTAAATTAAATAAAACAATGAATGAAGCGAAGTTTAAAGAGGAAAAAAAGAAATGATAATTAATTACAAATTAACAAAATTCTTAAAAGTAGTGACGCCACCATCAACAACAAGATTATGACCACTAATATACCTGGATTCATCACTTGATAGGAAAACCACCGCCTCCGCTATATCTCTTGCTCTTAGGGTTACCCCTTTCAAATTCCCCAGCCCCCTCACAAACTCCTCCGTCTTCTCCACCTCCTCCTCACTCACATCGCCGCCGCCGCCGCCGTCATCCTTCCGCCACGCTGTCACCAGCATCCGTGTCGCCACCCCGAAGGGGGAGATGCAGTTGACTCGAATCCCGTGCCGTCCCAGCTCACAGGCCGCGTTCTTCACCAGACCCACCACCGCGTGCTTCGACGCCGTGTACGCGTGGGGGCCCAGCCCCCCCATCACCCCTGCCACGCTGGCCGTGCAGATTATACACCCGCCGCCGCCGCCGTTGATCATGGCGCGGGCGGAGTGCTTCATCCCGAGAGCTGTGCCCCTGACGTTGACCCTCATGACCTGTTCGAACTCGTCGGCGTCGAAATCTAGGATGCTCTTGTGCTTCGACTGGTCGCCGAGGACGCCGGCGTTGCTGAAGAAGACGTCGATCTTCCCGTGGCTGGAAACGGCGTCGTTTACTAGGGTTTCTATATCTTGCTCAGAGGTGACGTCACAGTGGGCGTATGTGACGTCATGTGGGGATAGTGAGCTGGCAACTAAGTTCCCGAGGGAGTCCTCCACGTCAGCGATTATTACTTTAGCACCGTGGGCGGCGAAGAGCCTTACCGTTGCCTCTCCGATGCCTCTTGCGCCGCCGGTAACTATTGCTACTTTTCCCTCCAATCTGTATATATGTGAATCAAAACATTGAGAGAGAGAGAGAGAGAGAGAGAGAGAGAGAGAGAGAGAGAGAGAGAGAGATTGAAAAGAAAATGTACCTTTTGAAGGAGGGCTGAGAAGCCAACAATTGATCATTTCCATAGTTACCGGCAAATAAGCTCATCGCCGGTAACAATTGTGCCTGCATGATTAATGATTAATTATATATATTTCAGTTGGAGAGGAGAAAAGGTGTAGTTTTGCAATTGTAACAACTATACATACGAGGATGATTTATTAGTTATATATATACACACAGGTTACAACACGTTCACACACACACACACAAACACACATTTATATATATATATATATATATATATATATATATATATATATACAAGTAGATATATAGCTAGGTGACTAGTTCATCAGTGGACTTTATATTTCTCAAAAGGTAACTGGATTGAACAGATATTTTAAAACGACAAAACTGGCAAATTAAGTTAGATATTTTAATGTCTAAATCTGATCGAAGATTACGATTGAGATTAGATGTAGTAATTTATTTATAGTTTGCCGGAAGTAATTGGATGCTGCTATGGCTTGATAATCTTATAAAGATACGACCGTTGACTTTTTCCCTCGGCGCGACAATTAATGCTATTCCATTCCCATCTCCCAAAGTAGGTTTAAAATTAAATGGCATTCATATGATATGATTAAACCAAACTCCCCCTTTACTGGCATCATTTTCTTTGCATTCCACACAATTAATTATTAAACTAATCCAAATTAAGAGAGTTTCAAAGATATTCCACCAATACTCAATTTAATTTGCTAAAATATACTACTTACTACTTAGGCTCTATAATTTTTTTGATTAAGCAACTAAGATTAAGGTCAAATTGGAATAGATTTTATTTGTAACGAGGGGCACGATGAATGCGACAAGTTGATTTGATTTAATTAATTAGACTGACTTGATTTTCCACGTCTTGCCAATCAACAAACGAATATTTTTTATGTACAAATAGATATTTGAAATATATATATAAAAATGTTATCCAATGACAACACCACAAGTTCCTTAATTATTAATTAGGTATTACCTTTTTGTCAAATCTAAGCTAGTACTTACTACTTAATTGATCCAAGTGGCCATATGAACAAAACAAAATTGGACTTTATTATAGATTTCTTCAATTCGTTGATTTTACTTTAGGTAAATAGTTTTGATTTATTTTATTGTCTATTTATGCTTTGTATTTATCGTAATTCACTAAAAAAAAAATTCGTGTTATTTTATTAGTAAAATCTTAATGTGATTGAAAAATAAAAATAAAAAACAAATAATGTATAGGTAGATACGTAACCATTGAATATACAAACATAAATTTCAGTTGCATGATCTCAATATATAAATATTAAATACTGCTCAGAAAAAAAAAAGTACATAAATTTGCTTTGTTAATAATTTGTGCCTCCTACCAAACAGAGCGATCTTCGGTTTTCCGAAGATTCTCCTGATTTAACATTTAATTCAAACACAATTAAAAATAAAATAAAAAATGCTCCAGGAATGCGCGGTGATTAAAAAAAAAGAGAGAGAGAAAAGATATCCAAGAAGATCTGTACTTTTTGTTAATTAAGTCATAATTAGTCCTTTCGTGGTTATTAATTCATTAATTTATATAATGAATATAACTAAATAGTTATATAATATTATTTTTTAGGGTAAATTCCACTTTACCCCCTTGTACTCTGCCCAAGAACCACTTTACCCCCTCCTACTCTTAATTTCTTCAATTTACCCACTTGTACTTGTACAATTTCCCAATACAACCCTCTTCGTCAACTTTTTTCGATTTTGACTATGACGCCATTTGGTCAAGAGTCAAAATATTGACGTAAATATTGATTTTTTTCGATTTTGACTCTCGAGATTATAAAAGAGAAAGTTTCACACATTCATATATTTTTTTCTTTGCACTAGGTGGAATCGATCAATTTTTTGGTCTTTATTTTTACTAAGTTAGGTGTTCAATTTGGGGATATCTTGGAAGGGGAAGTGGTGGAAGAAGAAGAAATGAATATTGACGGAGGAGAAACGACGCGTTATAGGCAGTGGCAATTTTGTAATTTACAGAGTTGACCAAACGGCGTCAGAGTCAAAGTTGACAAAAGTTGAAGGAAAGGGCTATATTGGGAAATTGTACAAGTACAAGGGGGTAAATCGATAAAATTGAGAGTACGAGAGGGTAAAGTGATTCTCAGGAAGAGTACGAGGGGGTAAAGTGGAATTTACCCTATTTTTTAAAACTAATATTTTAGTAGTCCATTATAATTATAAAGTACGTTAAGATGTACAAGTAACAACACTCTAATCAGAGATTTACTTTTCTTTGTGGGTTGCGTTGATGAGCCCATTTAAGAGGCCCATTAAAATCGTTTTTTGTACAAAAGCCCACTAAATTATCGAATGTCTCACAATATTATTTAAAATATATAAATATAAACCTTTACTAAAAAAATCTTAAAAAAAATCTTAATTTTGTACATCTTGACATAATTACTATAATTAAATTTACCGGACTCTTCACGTAGCAGTTAATTTTTCTCAAATCTCGCACCAATTTGTGAAAATTTTGAATTTGTCTTAGACTCAAACCCGTGGATATCTATTTCATAATCAATTCAACTGATGAATCTATTCGTTCGATTCTAACCTGACTGGTTGTTCTCGAATTCGATGAGTTCGACTTGTCTACCCCTATCTATGACTAGAAATTTCTCAAATCTTACACCAACAATCACATTATCTAACAAACAATTTGTTGAACTTTGAGATATGGTTGGTAAAAAGTAGTTAAATGATTTAGTTGGTATTTCCAAAATATCCAAAGTAGAAAACTTCCGACTCAAATAACCAAATCTTAAAAGCAAAGGTTGCATCATTATTTCTCCATTAATAGATACCAAAAAGTAATCCAAATTCCAACCCAATTACTCTAAGCAAATAAATCAATATTAATACCCTTTTTTTCATCTTGGTTTGATAAACAATCAAATACAGTTGAAACGAACTATAATCGAGCCGAACATTGAATAATCATTTGTAACAAACGAGCTCCAATTCGAGTTAAGTTTCATAATATATCAAACGAAAAAAATACGTTTTCAAACTTTTTTCGTTATATTTGTTATAGTAATGAAGAAAGCACGACACGTGATGTGTCAATTATTTAGTGCCATAAACTTCTGGATTAGCACATCATTAATAAATGTAACTGTCTATTAACCTTAAATTAGGAAACATAAGCCCGAAAAGAATGACTCGTGTTTTAGGTGCGTGACCGTGACTCCCATGAATTATATAGTCAACAGTAAAATACAAAAAATAAAAGAAGAAAACGTGGTGGGCCCAAACACGACGTATAAAATAAAGGCCCTTTTAATATATTCCATTATATGGGCTTAGCCCGAAACTAGCCATAATAATGCGCACCATAGCCGGGACCAGGCGCGGCTGCCTAAACTACATTTTTTTGGGGGGCGTATTTTAGCTCTCATGCCCATCATTTAATTCGCTCATTCCAAAAAGTGAATTAATTATCCGCGGTGATAATTAAAAAAGAAAAAAAAAAAATCTAAATATACAAAAAAAATGAAAAAAAGGATTTAGTATTTGTTGTCAGCTATTTAAAATAGTCAACACCACTCCGCCTGAGTCTTCAACTCCTCTCCCCCCCTCATCAGTACATTCATAAAAAATAAATACAGAAAAAAGTCTGTCTCTATCTATATTATATATATATACAGCATTTATATGTAACGGTGGTGGTTGACGGTGGTGAAGCTGCCAGCTGAGAAAATTGATCAATTCAGTCAGTTAGGGTTTGATTTAAGCTAACTCACAGAAAAATGCCGATGAGTAGATACGAGATAAGGAATGAGTATAGTTTGGCCGATCCAGATCTGTACCGAACCGCCGATAAGGATGACCCAGAGGCTTTGCTTGAAGGAGTCGCCATGGCTGGCTTGGTCGGGGTTCTTCGCCAGCTTGGTGACCTCGCGGAGTGAGTTTTTCTGTTTTACTAATTTTTTTACAATTTAATTTGTTAATTTTGTCGTTTTCTGGGTGAGTTTGTTTTGGTTGAATTGTAGGGAATTAGCTTATTATGCATGTAATTTTGATATTGATCTATCAGAGGTATTAATTTTAGTTTTTAAGTGTGTGTGTGTGTGTGTGGCTTTTTTTTTTTGTTTGAATTTGGTTTTTTAGATGAAATAGTGGAGAATTGTAAGTTATGTGAAGATAACTGAAAAGTTGGCATCACGCTTAGTGAGTTATTAGTTTGGAATTTGATCTGTATTTTGTGTTTATTGTTTTTCCTGGTTGTCTCAATTGGGCTTTGATGCAATGTGAGGCAATCAGGAGCTCGATGGAGGTTAATAGCTTCAAATCCTTTTTTCTAGTTAGTTTACAGTTTTTCCTGTTAATATTTGTTGTATGCCAGAATCAAATTTGTGTTTTGATTTATATTTGTTTAATTAGTGTTTATGGAGGTCCGTTTGGTTTTGATCTCTGTGCCTTTTATTTTATGAAGTCCTTGGATTGAGATCTGTTTTGAAGTTATAGTCTTTTGTTTCAATGGATGTTTCTAATATGAATTGGGTCTTCTTTGTTTTCTAATTTATGCTCTGTAAGCTCAAACTGGAGAATTCCTTTATTGTCTTTAGAATTTTTCTAAAATTTGTTCAGTTTCGGCCACTTTGAGGGAATTTAACTGTGTTGCTAGTACCGAAACATCTTCCGATTGGAACTTGTGCAAAAGTCTATTAATATTCGAGTCGGAAGTTAGAACTGATTCAAAGAGAGCTATTTTAGAGTTGCATTATGTCATTTAATAGAGTTTTGTCTATGATTTCTAAAAGAAAAAAAATACTTTTGGAGTTGATTTATATGCTAAATAAGCAACTCCATTATGTCTTTTGTAGCCCATTAAAAATCAGAAAGTTCCATAGTGCACTTAGGTGAAGAGCATCATAACTATAACTGCTTGTTTCTTGTGACTACTGAAGGTTTGCTGCTGATGTTTTTCATAATCTACATGAAGAAGTGATGGCAACTGCTGCAAGAGGCCATGGCCTAATGATGCGAGTTGAACAGCTCGAGACTGAGGTCCCTTCAATTGAGAGAGCATATCTCTCCCAGACAGATCATTCCTCATTCTTTTACCAAGCTGGTTAGATCCTGTTTTTTGCTTCCATCTCTACATCAACCATTCTTCTCTTGTTTACTTTAAGCAATTCGTTAAACGGTATCCTTGTTTTATTACATAGTTATCAAGACTGCTAATAATATTTACCTAGTAATATCTTGTTGCGTGTGGGTTGTCTATCTAAGCTTTTCAGGCCTTTATTTTTTTAAGGAATCTGGGTCCTCTCTTCTGCTGTATCTTCTTTCAAATATCCTGAATATTCTCGTTAGATGCAGGTGTTGATTGGCATCCTAGTCTACATATAGACCAGAATCTAGTCACACAGGGAGATTTACCTCGATTTATAATGGATTCCTACGAAGAATGCAGGGCCCCTCCTCGTTTATTCCTTCTAGACAAGTATGATCTGCTATTCAGTTTTAATGCAGCAAAAATTTGTTATGCTATAGGAATATTATCTCGAATAACATCATTAATTTTAGGTTTGATGTTGCGGGCGCTGGAGCATGTCTAAAACGTTACACAGATCCTTCATTTTTCAAAGTAGAAACATCCGGAATGACTCGCTCAGATATTCAGAGGGAGAAAAAGATCCGCAAAGGAAAGGTATTTACTGTAAGATAGAGTTGCTGATTTTTAGCAACAAAGCAAGATTATGGATACTTTGGATTTTATTAATTGATAGCATTTTCACAGTGATAATATTTCTACTTTCTTTTCTTTCACAAAACTCAACATACGCCCTGTAAAAGATAACAAGCTTTCATGCACATGTATATTCTAAGTACTATTCCCTTTAACTAGATTTAAACACGTTAAGATCGACGATAATTTTTGTTTTCAAACAAAAGTTTTCATTTCTCTTGAATTTATTATTTATTAAGTATTATATCTTCTATGGCTTACATTTATTCACACCTTAATAGCGTGATCAGCACAAGATGTTTCCTCAGGTAGTAAAATTTAATCCCGATATATGGCAGTAGGGTTCTAAAGTTCTTAATTTCTGCTATATGCTCTTTTCTCTTCTATATTTGGGGATTCACATTCCTCCGACAGTCATTGGACTCTTATAAAACTCCTTATGTTGCCAATTTACCGATTTATCAATTCCTTGACAATAATTGGTTGCATGTTTAACAGAAGAAAGGACCGCGTTGGAGAAATGGAGAAAACCCTGAAGTTTTATCGACATCGCATACCAAGTAAGATGCAAATCATACTTCTTTCGCTATATAGTTGTTTTTTAAGTTGATGCTGAAGAATGAGATACGACTCATTTGCATCCTAACTCTTACAGACTCCATCAGCTTTTTATGGAGGAGCATGTTGAAAATGGTGTTAGCAACCCTTCTCGCCGTGTAAAATTAAAGAGGAGGCTGAACGGATTCCCATTTGACTCAGCATCTGGGAAGACCTACATGGAGAAATTTCTGAGCACTCCTACGCCCGATCGTGAAGTGCTTCATGAAGTCACTGTGCATTCATCAGCACTGATGTTGGCTACATATGAACATAACGAATCTGGGCTTGAAGTCAGACCAGTGAGCCCTGACGGAGAGAATATGGGGAGTAAAAGAAGTCCTCCTTCATCTCCAGATAGAGAGGAAATTGTGCTGAATCCTTCCATGTATAATCCAAGTGGGGTTCCCACAGATGATAAAATCTGTGAGGTACACAATTCATATCCTAGTATTGCAACAGATCACATCTCATCATCTCTTGATGAGGCGAGTGGTGAAAAGGTTATAGCTGTGGATACAGAAAGCAACAGAGAAGGAAGCTTGACTGGTTATCAATCCGATGATATTGCTAGTGAGGTAGACAATTATGTGGATGCACCTTCAACCATGGAGTCAGAAATGGATACAGACTCCGAATTGAGAGGGAAGAGTGATTTCACCTCCTCGCATAAAAAAATTCAACCACTGTCAGAGGCATCTGAGGAACATCTTCACAGCCAGTCACCAGATTCCCAATCTACTGGAGGCTCAGTAGTATCTGATAAGGGGAGCACTTCATCCAGAAACGAAATATCTAGTTTCTCCTCTGATTCTCTGAGCAGTGCAGCTGAAAACTCACAATCAGAAAAAAGTTCTGCCAAAGGATATCCATCTACTGATATCCCTAAAAACGAGGTAGTTGATGCATCATCTTATCAGAGAACTGCAGCGACGGATCATCATTCAAAATCTGTAATTTCCGATGATACGTGCGCTGACAGGGATGTCATGACCAACTACGGGTTGGATTTTGAGCTGGTGAATTCAAGTTTATGCAGTAATGAATCTGTACCTAATTCAGCGCATTCTGGTTCAGGAGTAGTTGGGAGTAAAGATATGTCAACACGATTAGAGTCTGATGAAGAGGCCAATACCTTGGGTGACGAAGAAAAGAAGGCAAACCTGGTCATGGATCCACCATATTCTTCAAGTGTCTCCGATTTTCAACCGCAGTCGGAAGATGATTCTCCCAGATCCTCTGCCAGAAAACACCTAGTGGAGGAGCGAAATGGTGAGAGTCTACCCTGTTTATCTACTGTCCCTGATATTCAGTTGCATGAGGATGAATCTGATCTGGAGGATCATAATATGGTTGAAAATATAGCTTCCACGTCAGATATGTTTTCTCATAATACAGATGGTACTCCAGGGATGATGTTATCCAAAGACTTAATTCCATCGGAATTGGATGATGAGTTTCCAAAGTTGCCTGAAAACTCTCTGTCCGTTCATCTTGATATAGCACATAATGAAAACGATATAAAATCAACGGTTTCCGAAGGAGAAAGTCTAACTGAAGAGTTGGATAATAAGGATTCAAATGTTTCTGCTGAATCTCCAAATTATTTTCCATTGGCCCATTCCGAAGCTGGAGATGCTGAAGACAATCAGTCTAGCAACTCCCTTGACAATCAGATCACCTCGGAAAATTCAATATTGTTACATCTAGCAAACTCTCCTGATTCACAGCGAGCATGTATTGGTGCTCTCGTGGTAGATGTTATTCCTGAAAAAGAGACATTATTAAATGAATCTACTGAACAAACTCCAAATGATTCAGAAACTATAGAAAATTCGTATACTCCAGAAGGTCTTGAACAGCCTACAGGAGTTCCACTGGACGAGATGGACGCAGTCCCCATATGCATGAGTTCCACTGGACGAAAACTTACTGAAATCTCATGGTTTCCTGATTTGAAATCAACAAGTGAGGTTCATGCAGTGTCGGATGAGTCCGATAATGAGGAACCTAAATCAAGTTCTGCAGATATGGTTTCTGCTGCTCCTGCAATTTCTGATAGCGTGACAATAGATGAAGTCAATGTACCAGGTCCTAATAAATTGGGAGAAGGGAATATTGACGACTCAGGTCTGGATGAATTCGAGAATGATAAGAACAGTATCTCAGGAAGTCATGGGGAATCAGGCCTCGTTGAGACAGTGGACCAAACAGAAGCTGCAACATCAACTTTTGGATCAGTCTTCTGCCACGCTATACATAATGATCCTGCCATATCAGAAATATCAGATTCTGTTCCTAATTCTCACCTTGATTTAGAAGTTGTCGAAGCTGCTACACTTCAGTCATCGGTGGACCAAAGTGGCTTGGATAGAAGACATGAATTTTTCCAGCAAAATAGTCTTGAAAATCACATCACAGATGCTTCATCTTTGCAAGTTAATTATGACACTGAAGAATCAAAAGTAGAAGAAAAAACAGGGTTACCACCCACCCAGCCCGATCAAGAGTTACCGCAGTCTGCTGAAATGAGTTCAGAGTTGTCATCTTTGCCCTCTGTATATCACCAGCAAACACTAGATCACATTCTTCGTGAAGGAGACAACGATTCTGCCTCGCCATTGCCACTTGTTGACAATCAAAGTCCACCTTCAGTTTCTGAGCTTCACACTGGTTCCCCTGGATATTCCGTTGATCCATTCGATTTCATTTACCCTCCAAGTAATCCTTTCTCCGAAGCAAATCAGATAAATCTGTCCGACTTACCTCCATTGCCACCTCTCCCTCCTGTTCAATGGAGGATGACAAAGCTTCAGCATGCCTCATCTTCTACAGAGGGACAGATAATGAAGCACAAGGGATTATTCCCACCATTAATCTCCCCAATAACAGCATCCACTAATGATGTTGCCTATCCTCCACCAACCATATCCACTGATAGTATTGACTCTTCCCGACCGAACGAGTCCACTAATGATGTTAGTTCTTCCCCACCAACCTCATCCATTGACAATGTTGGTTCTTCCCCACCAAACACATCCACCATTGTTGATTCATCTCCACCACCTGCACCCATGGATGATGTTGGTTCTTACACACCAACCGCACACACTGATGATGTTTGTGGTTCTTCCGCACCGACTACATCCACCGAAGATGTTGGTTCTTCCCCACTGACGGAATTAGTTAATGATGTTAGTTCCTCAGTTGAAGAGATGAAACACTCCGTGATTCAAATTGCCCCAGAAACTGCTTCAAAAGAAGAGAAAACTGAAGCTAGCTGTTCTAGTGTGGAAGCGAACATTATTCATGAGACAGTCGAACTTCCACCAAAGATAGAAAACAAGTATCAGCATTTTGTCGTACCAAATTCAACAAGTGAATTTCCATCGCCAGCTGAGGAAGATGGAGTAACAAATGGAAGTAGAACGGTGAAACTGCCACGGCCTCGCAATCCTCTCGTGGATGATGTTTCTGCTCTTGATAAGAGCAAAGTAAGTATCTTATGGTTCGTCACTCTAGTGGAAGTCACACATTAGGCTTCCTTTTTAAGTCCTGTTGTTGTTATTCACGATCTTAAATCATTGTGCAGCTAAGGAAAGTTACAGAACGAGTCAGGCCTCAAATACAGAAGGTAGATGAAAGAGATTCAATCTTGGAGCAAATAAGGACCAAGGTAAGTGTGACAGAGATACATACGAGTATAGTTTTGCATTCGTAATTTTTTGAACAAGCATCTAAGTTTCATCTTCATTTGGTCAGTCCTTCAACCTGAAACCTGCAATAGCATCAAGACCAAGCACTCGGGGTCCAAACACCAACCTTAGAGTTGCTGCAATTTTGGAAAAAGCAAATGCGATTCGCCAGGTCTCTCTTCTTTTTCTTTTTGCGTATCTTGTGCGGTCCCGGTATGTTTTTAGTTAGGTCAAGTTTATAAGTAAAAATCCGTGAATATTTCAGGCTTTTGCTGGTAGTGATGAAGATGACGAAGATTCTTGGAGTGACTCGTAAGAAATTGTCCAGGGAAATACATACATTCCCTAAAGTATATTATTGACAGAAAAAAAATATGTGGAAGGTGACTGCTTTACTTTTCTCAACCTGGAAATCCTCGATTCGTCTCGTCATCTTCCTTTTGGTTCCCTCTCAAGCCACCAATTACAGTGCCTTTTTCAGCCCAAAGTAGTTTCTGGGTTAAATATGTTTGATACATGAACGAAGCAAAGGTTGTACATTGTATACGATGTAGTTTATGTGTAAATGTTTGATAGTATATATACATATTGAAGCTGGTGTAACAAATTGCAAGTGTAAAAGCATGCCATGTTCAATTTTGTCCTTGAGTGTATACTTCCAATTTTTTATTTATTTTCCATGTAATAATTATGTTCAGATGATGTACTCAGGAATTGTAATAAGTTTGTTGAAACTAGTTACATACACATTTCATCAAACATATGAAATGTCTCGAAGCATTCACATTACAAATGTGATCGAAAATCAAAATTTTATATACATTTCAATTCCGATTCAAAAAAGTTTAGAAACATTGGGAATCATTTTTTTACGAATTATAAATATTGTTCCAAAATTAGAAAAAAATCGAATTCAAATCGACGAACTCGAGTATCCGATTCCAATCCCTCCCAAGAAACTACACGGCCCAATACGATAAAAAGGAACTACACGGCCCAATATTAAATCCTGGATCGAAGTTCTTTAACCTAAGGTTCTTTAAGCCGAATTTGACTTTGACCCGATCCAATTGCAGTCAAAGGCAGCCTCAATACGACGTCGTATGTCTCTCCCTGATAGGGCCAGACAGCCTGACACGGAACTGGAAGGGGGCAATAAGAAAAACCCCTCCCAAAATCTCCCTATTTTTTTAATTCAAAAATTGAAAAAAGTACATCACCGCAATACAAATAATAATGTATATATAATTTAGAAAAATCAAATGGGCAAATCTTCTTCGCAGCTGAGTAGAAGGCGGCGGGGCCTCGACGACGACAACAACAACAACAGTGACAAGACGAAGAGGAACAAGGCGACCATGGAGGCCGGCGGTGGTGGAAGTACGGCCGCGGCTGAGCAGAGACGCGTGCCGCTGTCCGATGTCGTCTCCGATTGTGTTGAGCGGTGGTTTCAGGACACGCTCAAGGAGGCAAAAACTGGTGACGTCAGTATGCAGGTGCTCGTTGGGCAGATGTTTAATAGTGGCTATGGTATTCCCAGAGATGCTGATAAGGTCTAATTCAACTCTCTGTTTTTCTTTTCCCCCTTTTTTCAGATGCAAATAATTAAATCGCTTTCGTTGTTTTTGGAGTCTGATTTATTTATTTTTCTCCTTATATATGTGAAATTGAAAACAAATTTGTTTTCGTTTCTCTGTTTTTTGGTTAAGTCTTGTTTGGTTTATGAGTTTTGTGGTGTTTGGAATTTAGGCAAGAACTTGGATGTCAAGGGCTTCAAGAGTAAGATCTTCAGTGTGGAAAGTTAGCAATAAACGTCCCGGTGAACTCTCTAACCTTTTTTCGTGCTTTTCTTTATTGTTTGTTTTTAAAATTTAGATTTATGGAAATTGGGACTGACTCTTGTAGGTTACAACGCGAGTGATTCGGATTCGGATGACTTAGCTGGTAATTCGTGATCATTTTCGTTATACAAATAGAAGGTGAGCTGAACTTTTTTAGACAGATGCTTCATTACGCAAGTGTTGATGATATGTGAATCGTTTGATTTTGAAATGACTAGATTATGGATTTAATAGACGTTTCTTGATAGGCGTTAATTTGTTGTGCTGTTCTTTTATGGTGATGATGCCGGTGGTTTTTCTTTTAGTTAAAAAATGATTGTTTCTTCATCTCTTAGTCGAAAATGTGACCTTGTTGGTACTAAATTTAAGCAGTTGTAATTCTTACACACACCCTGCAGAAAAAAATAAAAAATTCATTCGTTGAAATTTACATGTCATCACTGTTCTTCGAGATACACCTTTTTGAGTGAGGAATGCATGTAGAAAGATATACAAAAATGTCTGAAACAACGCCGAGCAAGATAGAATGGAGTTGTAAAAACGACGAAATTGGCGAACGATCCTGTTAGCAATAACTTGTGTGTGTTTAATTTTCTTTTAGCAAGTGGAAAACAAACTATGGGGATAGAATATCATGATTTTGCAAGTGTTTGAAGACGAGTAAATAAACCGTGATTTTGCCAGAACCGATTCTGTGTTTCTTGAATACATGTGTGTTTGGACTTTATAAGGTTGTCTTGAGGCCATCCTTTCGTTTCTGTGGATTGTTTGGCACATACATAATGTTTTCATTGATCGATTAATTATGTTTTACTGTTCTGCAGGGTCGATAATTGGCTTGTGCAGATCTCCTCCGATTCATTGTGCTTTGAAGATCTTTGCCATAGAATATACTCCTTTGACATACTCTTGGGTGCAGACAATTGTTTTTGTTTTTTTTTTTAATTTTAAGTTATTGGAATATTATGTATGATCAAACAATTGTTGTGAAGGTGGTATTACTATTATTAATTAAATATATACATTAATCATTTTATTATGTTGTTAAAACTTAAAATTGACACTGCTTTGATACCATTGCAGTCAAATGTTTTAGTTTTTTACCAGGAGCATTAATACCAATTTATCATACTAGATATGCACTGTAAGTAAATTACAATTTCACCCTTTTAATTAAAATTTGCAGTAAAATGGTTTGATACTAGTCTGTCGACATCTGTGAACCCTAGTTTTTTTCTTTTCAAAACCTATGACTTCAATTAACAGATATTAAATTTGAACAATATACAAAATTCAATAGAAATTAAATTGAGCTGCGTAATTTATGAAGAAAATATTTATTAAAAATAGAAATAAATAAATTGAGTCAAAATCAATTTGCAAAAAATAACACGATCAGGAGTGCATCAGTGTAATAGCAAAATCGGTGCAAAAACGACAACGTTGCATGCAGCAGCTTCACTCAGAAAGGGGAACAAAAATTGAAAAAAATCCTATAGAAGAAGAAGAAGAAGAAATTACGATGAAAGAATTTGATAAAGAAGAACAACCCCTTACATTCTCTTCTTCTCTACTCTTAAATCTATACGTCGGCCACTTTTTATCCAGATGGGGTGCCAGGTTTTTTTTTTATTTATTTAATTTTTCTTATATTTTAAGCGAAAGAAATGTTTTAAAATTGGGGTCTTTGATTAAAGAAAGCATGTCACTGTGTAATTTGGATAAACCATTTCACAGTTTCCCACTGATTCATATGTATATTTTTGTTAACTAATATTTTTGTTGTACTTGTGAAAAAAAAAAGGAATTCTTGGAATGTTTAGACTGAGAATTGTGCTACTGTTGTTTTCCGACATATGATTTTACCTTGTCCGATGCTGGGCAGATTAAAGAAAGCATGTCATTGTCTATTTCAGCTTATTTAAAAAATAAAAAAATAAAATAATAAATAAATCTCAAAGTAAAATGATTTATCTGGTACTTACAGGATGTGGGAATTCTCGATTGGTTTATACATGATCAACGTGTGGCCAAATTCGTTACTTCTCGCTGCAACTTACGGTGTCGTAGAATCCGCCTCCACTGCATTATTCGGTCCTTTCATCGGTCACTGCGTAGATAAGTTGTCGTATATTCAGGTTTTTATGTTACTTGATACTATGTATGTTTTCACATTGAATGGATGAATAATAAGCTCCTGTTTTTTAACCTCCTGAACAGGTTCTCCGAGTTTGGCTGTTGAGCCAGAATCTCTCGTTTGTTATTGCCGGTGGTGCTGTAATTACGATACTGACCTTCGCAGATTTGAAGTCTGCAAATTATGCAGCATTCGTGTCTCTTGTCGTATTAATTAATATCTCCGGAGCAGTTGCAGTGCTTTCCACTCTGGCTGGAACCATTTTGGTTGAAAGAGAATGGTGGTTCCTTTTCTAGGCAACCGTAGTTTATTCGATTATAAAATTAATAAAATAAAATAATTTTAATAATGATAATAATAGCTATGTCGAAATTACAGGGTGGTTGTGATATCAGAAGGGCACCCTCCGGAAATTCTGACAAAGATGAACTCGATAATAAGAAGGATCGATCTGACATGCACGCTATTTGCTCCTGTAGTAACTGGCTTCATTATCAGCTTCGTATCTCTAAATGCATCGGCTGTGACTTTAGCACTGTGGAATGTATTATCTGTTTTCTTACAATATTGGCTTTTAACGTCCGTGTATAATGGGATTCCGGCTTTAAGATACGTCAGCCAAAAAAGGGTATCAAGATCTTCGATTACGGAAGTAGGTGAAGGCACACTCACTAATCAAGAACAAAAACAATTGATTTTTTCAGATACAAACGATTCCAATCAGCCCCTAGGCAGCAGCTCGAAAGGGACGATAATCGAGCAGTTTCTGAATCTTTCTTATATCAGTGCATGGAGATTGTATATTAAGCAAGATCATGTGGTTCTGCCAGGATTATCGCTTGCTCTGCTGTATTTTACTGTACTTGGGTAATTAACCAAGTCCTTAATTGTACTATAATCCTATGATTATGTTTGTCCTAATTACGATTTACAACTGCGGTTTTGCAGCTTTGGTACACTAATGACTGCTGCTTTGGAGTGGCAAGGTATACCTGCTTATGTCATAGGAATTGCACGCGGAATAAGTGCTATAGTCGGTATAGCTGCTACATTTTTGTACCCTGTTTTACAATCTCGTACTTCGACGCTCCAAACAGGTCATTGGTCTATCTGGTCTCAGGTACACGATTCTCATCTTTTTTTTCTATTATTATTAAATATCATTCCGCAAAAAAACAAATGACAAGGAAAAACTTTCTTGTAGAATTGCCTGCCTGCGTTATTTTCTTTTTTTGTTAGTTTTCTTCTAATGAGCGGTTATTGCAGTGGACGTGTCTCTTGTTATGTGTAGCTTCGGTATTTGTGAAGAATAAAGTAATATCGGCATATATTTTAATGGGTGGAGTGGCCTTATCGCGCCTCGGATTATGGATGTTTGATTTGTCCGTTATTCAGCAAATGCAGGTAAATGTGCAATATATATATATATATATATATATATATATATATATATATATATATATATATATATATATATATATATATATATATATATAAATGCAAGAGTTCGAATGTAATTAATTGCAATTGTATTATGAATAGGATCACGTAGCGGAATCTGATCGATGTATTATTGGTGGCGTTCAAAACTCGCTTCAGTCTATACTGGACTTGATGACTTACATTATGGGAATAGTAATCTCCAATCCACAGGTTATTTATTTATTTTAATAAGAATCAAAGTTGTTGGCACTTTTTTTTTTATTATTACATTTGATTCCTATTTATTTGGATTGATTTGTGTTTTTTAGGATTTTTGGAAATTGACAATGTTGTCCTTCCTAGTGGTGACGATGGCAGCTGCGTTATACTGTGTGCATGTATATCGTGTGAGGAAGCATCTTTTTCACTTTGACAAGCTATTTTCGATAAAACAGAGGTTTTTCTCTAAGCTATATGATTTTGTTTTTGTATAAATGTTTGATGGTATGTATGTATTATAATAAATTGCTATTTAGAGCATAAACTTGTGAATCCCCTTTGAATAGACTTGTGTTGTAGGAGAGTGAAATAATCGAACCGAACCGAATCGAATCGAGTGAGTCTATTATTATTGTTCAAGTTTATTATTTTTATATATTTCTGGAGCTTCTTTACCTTTAAAAGTTGTACAATCTAAAAAAAATATGAAACAAGTCCCTTTAGTTTGATATCTTTATCAATCCGAGCCAAATTCAAATCAAACTTAAAATCTGAATTTTGATTTTTTTTAATTTAATCAGACATTATTTCTTTATATACTTATTTTCTTCATATTTGTTATATAATTATTTTTTTGTGGCATTTTTCCTATTTGTTTGTACATAAAAATATGAAGTGTCGTCACTCAGTCATTGACTAAAGGAAATGATTAAAAAAAACATACAGAAAAAAAGAGTAACAGAGATCTCGTACGAGATAAGACAAAAACTAATGATTATGATACTATATATTGTTTGTCAAACTCATGTTTCTGTCATTATACATGCCTTAATCCAATTGAATAATAATTGAAGTAGGGTTTAAACTAATATCACTAGTATTTATTTATTTGGATAAATATGAGTTGTATTAAACGAATCTGATATAACCCAACCCCAACTGCAGCAAATAAGAAGAAGAAGAAGAAAAAGAAGAGAGAGAAAGTAGTGATGGATGAACCATTGTTGGATCAAGAACAACAGCACAACCCCACTTTCTCTTCTTCTCTACTTGTCAATCTTTATGTAGGCCATTTTTTAGCCAGATGGGGTGCCAGGTTTTTTTTTTTTTTTTTTTAATGATTGTATTGATTCTTGATCTTTTGCCACATCTGTCTGTCTGTCTTTTAATGGTTTGAATTTTGCCACATGTTAACTAATTCACTCTGTTTCTTTGGATGCAAGTCAGTTTCTTGTCTGAAAGTCTATGTTTTCAGTTAAATTTTGTGTTTTTTTTTTAATGTTTTGGCAATCATGAAATTCATATCCAAGCCTATAGAACTTATGTCTTATATGCAGAATTTACAGATTAATTTAGACTAGATGAAGAAAAGAAAAAAAAGTCAAAATCGATCAGCACGCACCTAAACCTTAATGAACATCTCAAGAATATGACATATATCTCCAATTTGATTTTGTTATGAGATTATTACATACATTAATTATTTTTCTTTTTTTTTTCGTTTCCGTCCCATGTCTCGCCTTTGCTAATCCTTCAGATCATGGTGTTATTATATCTCTTTTTATTTTTTTATTTTAATTTTTTATTTTTTATATATAAATCGGTTGTGAATCATCACAGGATGTGGGAATTCTCAGTTGGTTTGTACATGATCAACGTGTGGCCAGACTCTTTACTTCTTGCAGCAGCTTACGGTGTTGTCGAATCTTCCTCCACTGCATTGTTTGGTCCTTTAATTGGTCACTGGGTCGATAATTTATCGTACATTCAGGTTTTCTTAACAACTCTTTTCTGCATTATATGTCACACAATAACGAAATCGATTCGAATTCACACTATTCGGCTCCAATCTTTTCGTCTCTCTATATATATATCAAACAGGTCCTCCGAATTTGGCTATTGAGCCAAAATCTCTCGTTTATGGTCGCTGGTGGTGCAGTAGTTGCAATACTTGCCTATCCAAACTCGATATCTGCAAATTACACCTCATTTATCTCTCTCGTCTTATTAATTAATATTTCCGGAGCTGTCGGTGTGCTTTCCACTCTTGGCGGGACCATATTAATCGAACGAGAATGGTTAAAATTTTGAAAACACACTACAATGTCTTTCACTACTTAAAAAAAAATAAAAAAAATAATTTGTTTATTCCAACTTGCAGGGTGGTGGTGATATCAGAAGGGCAGCCACCGGAAGTCCAGACAAAGATGAACTCGACAATAAGAAGAATCGATCTAACCTGCAAATTGTTTGCTCCAGTAGTTTCCGGATTCATTATCAGCTTCGTTTCTCTAACTGCATCGGCTGTCACTTTAGCACTGTGGAATGTTCTATCTGTTTTCTTACAGTATTGGCTTTTAATGTCCGTATACAAAGGGATTCCGATATTAAGACAATTCAGCCAAAGAAGAGTATCAAAATCTTCGGTTATGGAAGTCGACGAAAGCACTTCTACTCATCAAGAACAAGACGAAAGCAGCTCATCGAAAGGGACTACAATAATCGAGCGGTTTCTGAATCTGCCTTATATCAGTGCATGGATATTGTATTTTAAGCAAGATGTCGTTCTCCCGGGACTATCGCTTGCTCTGCTGTATTTTACTGTACTTAGGTAATTAACTAACTCCTTGATTGTACTATAATCCTATGATTATGTCTGTCCTAATTACGATTTAAAACTGTCGTTTTGCAGCTTTGGTACGTTAATGACAGCCGCTTTGGAATGGCAAGGCATACCTGCTTACGTTATAGGAATTGCACGCGGAATAAGCGCTACCGTCGGAATAGCTGCTACTTTTTTGTACCCTGTTTTACAATCTCGTATGTCAACGCTTCGAACTGGTCTTTGGTCCATTTGGTCTCAGGTAACATCAATTCGAAACTATTTTTTTTTCTAACTAAAAAAAATATATATTGTTGGTTAATTGAATTTTGATGAATATGATGATGCAGTGGACGTGTCTACTGTTATGTGTGGCTTCGGTATTAGTGAAGGGTAAAATGGTCTCGGCATACATGCTAATGGGTGGAGTGGCGTTATCGCGCCTCGGATTATGGATGTTTGATTTGTCTGTTATTCAACAAATGCAGGTAAAAAAAATTGCAATTTATTTATTATATACTAAACTGTCGAATATAGATACCGTATTATTATTAGTTATTATCTTTTTTCTACAATGTGTTAATTTGAATAGGATCACGTTGCGGAATCCGATCGTTGTGTTGTCGGTGGTGCTCAAAGCTCGCTTCAATCAACACTGGACTTGATGACTTATATCATGGGAATAATTATCTCCAATCCACAGGTTATTTATTCAACAATCTTTTTTTTTTTTTTTTTTTTTTTTTTTCGGTTCTTGTTATATTTTGATTAACTCCGACTTACGATGAATATTGCTTGAATATGTTGCTTTGTAGGAATTTTGGAAATTGACAATGTTGTCCTTCGTGCTAGTGACGATTGCAGCCGTATTGTACAGTGTGCATATATATCGTGTGCGTAAGCATTTGTTTCACTTCGACAAGATTCTTGCACTGGTTCAATGGTCTGTAACAACATCTTCTTAAGGCCTGTAGTAAATATCTGTTCATATTTGAATTTGGAAACTAGAATATCTAATTGTTGTTTCCAGTGAATAAACATGCTCCATTTGTAATTTTTTTTTTGTTTGTTCAATTCACCGGAAAATGATTTTAATATCCATCATGGAATAAAGTCGAATTGCTCCGTATTTTTATTTATATTCCGACTTGCTATATATATATAATTCAAATGTTATTATTATATAGATGCAATAAAATGTTATGTGGCTGTCAATGGCCGATGAAGACTTGATGCTTTTGCTGGTTGCTGCTGGTGTAAAATTAGTGCTATAATTGTTCTAACTTTGAAGTTTATTTCTTAATTAATAATTAACAAAGTCGCATTTGCCTAGCCAGATAAATAATCCCGTGCTATATGGGATGGAAATTAGAACAAAATTTCTGATTTGTCCAAAAAACCTTTGGATCATAATTGGAGACGATCGGAATAGATATGAGATTCTGATATAAGATTTGGTTTAAATGTACATTATAAGTGAAGAAAAATGAAATATTCGATTTCTGGCGATTCTGATTTGCATTTTCTTTTTCACTCCAATTTTTGAAATTCGATTTCGATTATTCTGAATAATCTTGGAATATAATCGGAATTAACTTTTCGTTCGATTTCCACCACCAATGTATAGAGACACCTCATAAATCACAAGGCTACAACATAAATGGGACATAAATTTTGCTATTTTATTTGCAAGTTGCATACTAAAGCTAACGCCGGTATTAGTTCCAACCTCCCTCACCAAAATTTCATGAAATATATATTATACAAATTAAAAGTCTATCTATAATAATGGTTTTAATGAGGTCAATAATAATTAAACACGAATCATCTTAAATATATTATTTAAACCTATAATAATCCTTCGATAATCTTGTTCAGTCAACGTCACAAATACTCCAATTCCTAAGTCAGTCACTTATTCGAGAGAAAACAGAGAAAAAAAATCTCTAAGTACGTGAAAGATGATTAATAAAATAAATTAATTAGTTCTAATAAGTAATAATAATTTAGCTACTTATATGCTTCGTTAATTTACTTATGGGTTGAAGGCCCAAAAAATAAATTAACGAGAGCCTATAAATAAATTAGTCTCATGTATTGGATCTTTGCTTATAATTTATGAGTTTGAGCCCATATATTATCCACCGCGTTTATTTAAAAACTATACTCGATAAATTTCACTGGATCTAAACAATTACGTACCTCACATAATTCGCAATAATAAAAAAATATTCCGATATTTAATTCAAAATGAATTTCATTGAAAATTACTTTAGACATTTATAAAAAGTGAAAATTGAAAAAATAGGAATCCAATTCGAAATAAAAGAGTAGTACAAAAAGGACAGGTGGCAAAGGAGAGTGGTGACGCTAGCAAAAGTTAGATGACAGACAGCCCATTTTGTTCCATTCCGTTCTTATCAGGGTAAGGTTGTCATAAGTACGGCCTTTCCCACCCACAATATTAATTTATTTAAATAAAAAAATAAAAATATATTTGTTGTAATTAAATAATTGTTTTATATTGTGGTTGAAAAAAGAAAGTAGAGTAAAATGATCGTACTTTTCCTTACAAGGGAATAAGTCCTTCCTCAAATATTTTCTCCACCGAATGAACCCAGTCTACTTATTGACCTCCCCAGATGGACCAATACCTTTCTTTTTCATGTTTCCCAAACTACCCTCGTCAACTTCCGCATCCTTTTTTGTACTTCTCCGTACGGCACTCCCTGTCATTTACCAGAATACCCCCCACTTTACATTTATTCTCCTTTTTTTTATTTTCTTAACGGAGCACATGTTATTTTCCCAAAATAATAATAATAATAGTAAGGGAAAATTACACTTACACCCTTGAGGTATGTTAAAATAACTTTAAAATCTTTATGGTATTGGTAATTATATCACATCCCTGAAACAATTATCGGAGCCAAGATTTCATGTCTCAGGCACCGATATGCACTATATTTGTTTCACACGGGGCCGTTAATGCTGCTAGATAAATTAAAAATATATACATACTATAGGGACATAAAATTATTTTAGCATACCTCATGGGAGTAGATGTAATTTACCCTAATAATAATATTTTTTACTTTAGAAGGAATTAATTATCTTTTGATTTGTTACTAAATTATAAAAAAAAACATGTTTTCGATACTTAATTTTCATTTATATATCGTTTTTTCTCCCAATTTTTTTTCACTTCAAAAATATTAAATTCATTCTTATATAAACATTGAATAGTAATTAATTAAAATTAATTAATTTGTATCTAAGAAAGGTAGAGAAATAATTAAAAACGAAAAATGAAAATTGTTGCCACGTTTCAGAAATTCTTTTAGGTGAGAGGGTAATTACGTCCTCGGAAAAGCCGATGCGATCATTCCACCAAACTCCTGCAAAAATGCCAAAAGGGCAAAACAGTAATTCAAACAGTCTTCTTCCTCAATCGATACCTTCACTTCCTTCCTCTCTCATTGCTCAACTGCTCAGATTCCATCGCCAGTGTTCTTCCTTCTGTTAACGGTTACTTCCAAATTTCTGCAACATCCTCTTTCGTTTCATCGAACGAATTACACCCACCACCATTACAACAATATACATACACTATACTTACAGTCTCCACCTTAATTCATCATCTACATCTCAAACCACCATCGAATAAATCCCCAACCAGAAATCAGAAAACCCACACAAAAAAAAGCAAAAATATATTTCACCAAAATGAAGAAGCAGAAGCAACAGTTGGTCACTGAATCAAGCTTCAGCCGCTTCGATCTCCTCTGCGAGGAGATAGTTTTCGCCATCCTTGACTTTCTCGAAGAAAACCCACTCGATAAAAAGTCCTTCTCTCTAGTTTGCAGGTCATTCCACGCCGTCGAGTCCCGTCACCGGAAATTACTGAAACCCCTCCATTCGGAGCACCTGACAAAGGTTTTGCACAGATACCCTTCCGTCTCGAATCTGGACCTTTCGTTGTGCCCGAGGGTAACGGACGTTTCGCTCTCCGTTATCTCTGTTGGTTGCAAGGAAATGTTGAGGTCGATTAATCTTTCTAGGTCCAGGTTTTTTTCTCATGTTGGGTTGTCGGATTTGGCCTCAAACTGCCGGAATTTGGTCGAGATTGATCTGTCGAATGCTACGGAGCTCAAGGATTTGGGGGCGGCCGCCATAGCCGAGGCGAAGAACTTGGAGAGGCTGTGGTTGGTTAGGTGTAAATCGATCACGGATATCGGGATCGGTTGTATTGCTGTGGGTTGTCGGAAATTGAGGCTTCTCAGCTTGAAATGGTGTTTGGGTGTCGGTGATCTCGGTGTGGGGTTGATTGCTATCAAGTGCAAGGATATTCGCAGTTTGGATCTCTCTCACTTGCCGGTAATTACCCTACCTAGCTAGCTATTCCTCTCGGATTCCGATTTAATTCGAGATCGTTTTTGTTTATCGTATTTGGCACTCCTTCACGTTGACATGTTATATCACAATCAGACACTTTATTGTTTGTGTTTGCTAAAGATAAAAAGTAATGAAAATCGACATATTTGTTCTACAAACATGAGTTTCTTCGCTCGTATTCTTGACATGCCTAGTATCTCTAAATTCGAGTTATTTCTGGCTTTTAAAGATCGATTGTCTTGCTTACTCGAGGGTCGTAGTGGTGTCGGATACTACTAAGCTAGTAGCATAATGCAAAATTCGAGCATTCGTACTAATTATTTATGTTACTTATTTTCTTATGCAGATCACCGACAAATGCTTATCACAAATCTTGGAGCTGCAACACCTTGAAGATTTGTCTCTCGAAGGTTGTTTTGGTATCGATGATGACAGCTTCGCTGCTCTCAAACTAGGATGCAAGTCATTGGAGGTAATGATTTCGTGACTAATTGTTGAAAATCTGTTCGTTATTTTCTGTGACTTAATTACCTGTTTGGTATTTCAATTGTAAGATAGTAGACTATATTTTACAGATAAAATTCTGAAAAAATAAACGACGATTTTTCTTTTCAACAGACACTCGATATGTCAAGCTGTCAGAACGTAAGCCACGTGGGTTTGTCTTCTTTAACCACTGCAGCTGGATGTCTTCGCCAACTCATCTTATCATACGGTTCTTGTGTGAGTCTCCAGCATATATATTTTCCCTCTTTCCCGAGCATTATATATATATTTCCAATAAACTAAAAAAAAAAGAAGAAAAACTCATTATCTACCTTAATTTTGACAGGTGGATCTTGCTCTAGCCGATAGTTTACAAAAGCTTTATATGCTGCAATCTATAAAACTAGACGGGTGTGAGGTCACATGTTCGGGGCTCAAAGCCATCGGAAACTGGTGTGTGTCTCTTAGGGAACTGAGCTTAAGCAAGTGTGTGGGAGTTACAGATGAAGGGCTTTCGTTTCTCGTTACTAAACATAAAGAATTGAGGAAATTAGACGTCACTTGTTGTCGTAAAATAAGTCACGTTTCGCTTGCCCACATAACAAATTCTTGTACGTCACTAATTTCCCTCAAGATGGAATCGTGTAGTTCGATTTCAGCCGAAGCTTTTGTTTTCATTGGGCAGAGATGCCACTTTCTTGAGGAACTTGACCTAACCGATAACGAAATAGATGACGAAGGTAAACAAACTAGTGTACGGTTAACGTGTGGTAATGAAATCGTTATGTATTTTTTGCGGTGAGATGATTCGATATTTGTATGCAGGTCTGAAATCCATTTCGAGATGCACAAAACTCTCTAGCTTAAAATTGGGGATCTGTTTGAATATAAGTGGCGAGGGGCTAATTCACATTGGCGTTTGCCTTTCGAAGCTCAAAGAGATAGACTTATACAGGTCTGTGGTTCGTATTGTCGAATAATTAGTATTGTTTTTTTTAATTTTTTTTTTATCAAAAGTAAAAAAAATAAATTATTTTGTTGTTACAGATCAGCTGGAATAACAGACTCGAGTATTTGGGCAATTGCTCGCGGGTGCCCTGGCCTTGAAATGATCAACATAGCCTACTGCAAATTCATTTCCGACCACTCGCTGATGTCATTGTCAACATGTTCGAAGTTGAAGATAATCGAAAGTCGAGGGTGCCCTCTTATTACATCTTTAGGTCTAGCAGCTATTGCGAAAGGGTGCCGGCAAATAGTTAAATTAGACATTAAAAAATGTCACAATATTGATGATGCTGGAATGATTCCTCTTGCACACTTCTCTCAAAACCTAAAACAGGTACTTCTTTTTTTTCTTGATTAGAAATGCATCGAATAATATTCGTTTAATTTTCTGATTAATGATTAATCGACATATGCAGATAAATTTGTCGTATACGTCTGTGACGGAAGTAGGGCTGTTATCACTTGCGAGTATAAGCTGTTTACAGAGCATGACCGTGCTTCATGTGAAGGGGTTGACACCCGGCGGAGTGGCGGCGGCACTTTTAACGTGTAGTGGATTAAGTAAAGTGAAGCTTCATGCTTCGTTTAAGTCGGTTTTGCCGCAGCTCCTTTTCCAACATTTGGAGGCGCGTGGATGTAATTTTCAGTGGAGAGACAAAACATTTCAGGTATTCATTGTTCTTTAGATTGAAATCGTAACAAAGTTAATTATGTAGGTAAAATTGATATTATTTATTAATTAATTAATTTAATTTATTGACAGGCTGAATTAGATCCCATGTGTTGGAAACTACAGTTGGGGGATGAAGATTAAAAAGGTGATTAAAGTTTTGAGCTAATTTGCATGTAATTTGTATTGAAGTTTTAAGTCAATAATTGTAAATTATATTATGGTCTTTATATAAATGAAAGTGAGTTTTAATCACTTGGATAATATTTTCTTTCAATAATAATAATAATTAATTAAAATTGGTAACAAGAATGCACGTTCTGGAAATGCATCCACTTACATATCCATTAATTAGTAATTACTGTAAAGGGGGCTCACCTAGCAACCATATATCACATCGTTAATAGTACTACTTAGAATTATTTGAAATGTTAATTGTCGTTTGCATTTTACTAATACCGTTTTGAGTTAGAATGGGATTTTGACTATTTTCTCGTCCGATTTTAAGAAAATACAAGATACAAAAATTGTAGTTATTTTTGTTAGCTTTCTAATTCAGTCCGATTCGAAAATTATGTGCGAGTGAGTTACTTTTTGAATTTTAGATAACTCAAATTATCAAATTTGTGGAAAATGTTCATTATTTCATGAATAACTTTTTCATTCGACCCATAATTCTGGAGATTCAAGTTGGATTATAAATCTAACTCGATGAACTACAAATTTTGTGCCTTGAGTTTTGTCTAATTCATACTAAAAAATTATCAAAATTACATTTCAAATTTAAAATGATATTATTAAAACTGAAACAACATTTATTGCATCCCAATAATTAATTATTATTTTAAAATAAAAGATAATGGAACTCATTTTGTTCAAGTTGGATTTAATGCTACCACCAACTCTAGGTTTATATAATTATTATATATTTGGGACAAAAATAATTTTGCTCTAGCTCTATTTTACTAATAATAATATTAATATGCCATGTTCGAAAGAATTGATTGGCCGTTTATTGATCAAACCAAATTTTCAACTGATAGTGTGATACATGTATTATTGTTGATCCTCAACATATTCAAAGTAAGCTTGAAAATGAATCTTAGTTAAGATGACTTCATATTGTATCTATTATTGTATAATTAAATGGAATATAACCATCTATTGGCAACATTAATTAATATGGAAAAAATCAAAAATTGAAAAATAATCACAACTTTTAATGCTCTCAAATATCCATATAGCCAAATTTTACTTTTTCAATACACAATTATATATAAGAGGCCAAAATGTTTGAAATATAATATGAAGAGAAGTTAGTTACTAAATATCATTTTGTCAAATATTAAATCTATGTTTGACTACCCACTAAAGTTTGACCAAAACTCTCCAGTTTTCAGATTATTAATGTAATCTGCAAATCATAGTTGAGTTTATCTGAACACCTGATGCAAATCACAGATTTTGTTCTATTTTGTAAAATCACTGGATATGTGTTACAACTTGGAAGATTAAATTAACACATATAATCCTATTTTGTTAAATTTGAATTGGTTCAATTCAATTTCTCGAAATTTCAAACACACCCTGAAATGGAAGTTGAAATAATGCGAAACTAGCTATGGATGAAAATTGAACGAATCGGATTGAAATTAATACTTTTGATATTTTCTGGAATTAAAATCTACTTCCAAATTTTGTTGCAAAAAATAAACGAAAATTCGGAAAATACGATTCATAAATTGAAAAGAAAAAAGTCGTCCCAAAATCAGAATTGACGGAAAATCTATAAAAATACGTAGTAAAATCAATAATATACATGTCATTTTTGGATATTAAAATCATATCGAAATTGTAATCCTAAATACAATCCAATTCAAATACAAAAATACCATAAAAATCAAAAAAACAAAAATCATGAATACTTTCCATTTCGTAAAAAAATTAGATCGAAATTTACGGAATACGGAAAATCGAGTGGCGAATTGGAGTTTGATAATGTGGAACCATCCACAGAGGAACACAACTCCCTCCCGTTTGATTTAGCCGCCGAGGGAGACAGTCAAACCCACAACCTTTGACCAAAAAATGTCTTAATTTTCCACAGTCAAACCTCATGTTGCCTTCTCAGAAGCAACTATACATTTCTTTTTCTTTTTTTCTTTTCCACAACAATTTATACATACCCCCTTTTTATATATATACACACACATATATTCTAATCTTTCTTACATCTCCAACAAGACTTTCAAACACACCCCTCTCTCTCTCTCTCTCTCTCTCTCTCTCTATTCTTTCTCTCTCACACACACTAAAAACACACACTAAAATCAAGAAAGAAAAAAAAAAAGAAAAAAAAAATGGCTTCTTCAGGTGGGAGTAGCTTAAACAGTTACCACACCATGTCTAACTTCTCAACATCACAATATATTTCTTCTTTCACTGATCTTCTTACGGTCAACGGCAAAGACCAACAGGATCAAGATCAAGAACAAGAACAAGAAAGAACCTCGTACTTTTGGGAGATGAACTCTGAACCAGCAGTAAACAAAAACAAAAACACTGAACAAATTATAATCCCAAAGTATAAATCATTCCCACCTGCTTCATTACCTCTCTCTCCTTCGCCTCTCTCTCCTTCTTCTTATCTCTCCTTCCCTTCCAATTTAACCCCTTCCATCTTTCTCGATTCCCCTGTTCTTTTCTCCTCCTCTAATGTAAGTTTCTTTTTTATTTTCTTTTTTTAAAACTGATCATTTTTCGATATCTTATTTTAGTGATGTGTTTGTGTAGGTTCTTCCATCGCCGACTACCGGTACCTTTTCTGCGCTTTTCTCAAAGGATGAAGAATCAAGAATTCCCAATTTCTCTTTCCCTTCCCAAACACGCCCTTCCGATTCTTCCTCTTCCATTTTCTCCTCTTCGGTTCGAATCAATTCAACGGTATGTACTGTGTTATTCATCTGTTTATGTTTCATGTTTTTCAATTGGTGGTTGACTTTGTTGCATTTATTGCCCACTGTTAACACGCAACTTCTATATATAGTGAGGTTTTTAGGGGGCAATTTGTTAAAAAAGTTGAATCATAGGGGTGTTTTTGCTATTAGGGGGCAATTTATTAAAAAAGTTGAATCATAGGGGTGTTTTTGTTATTAGGGGGCAATTGTTAAAAAAAATGAATCATAGGGGTGTTTTTGTTATTAGGGGGGGTAATTTGTTAAAAAAGATTGAATCATAGGGGTGTTTTTGCTATGAAAATATATATATTTGTGTTAGTTATTGACAGTTAATTAACTAAAAACTGAAACAGGATTCATTTGATGATTCACTGAACAAGCAAATGGTGGTGATGAAATCAGAAGCAGCAGCATCTCTGCCAATCCAAATGCATTACCCTCAACAACCACAGTACATCAGAGACCAGAAGAAATCCGACGACGGTTACAACTGGAGGAAATACGGACAGAAACAGGTCAAAGGTAGCGAAAATCCTCGTAGTTATTACAAGTGCACTTTCCTAAATTGCCCCACGAAGAAGAAAGTCGAACAGAATCTGGACGGACACATTACGGAGATCGTCTACAAAGGTAGCCACAATCACCCAAAGCCGCAATCCACTCGAAGATCATCGTCTTCCAACAATTCGATTCACAACAATTCATCCTCTTACAACAACGGCCAATCGAATAATTCGTTTCTTGAAAATGCTCAAGTGGACCCCACCGCAGAGAATAATAACAATTCGTCGGCTTCTTTTGGAGACGATGATTTCGAACAGGGCTCCTCGATGAGTAACTCGAGAGACGATGATGAGAATGAACCTCAAGCCAAGAGATGGTGAGTACATACATTATATATATAAAGAAATTAATAATTTTAATTAAAAAGAAAAACATTTTCTGACAATATTTTTATGGGATATTTTAGGAAAGGGGGTGATGAAAACGAGGGAATATCGGCATCCGGAAGTAGAACGGTACGAGAGCCGAGAATTGTTGTTCAAACGACAAGTGACATCGACATTCTTGATGATGGTTATAGATGGAGGAAATATGGGCAGAAAGTGGTTAAAGGCAACCCTAATCCTAGGTAAATTAAATTAATTAACCACTAATATTTATTAATTAGTTGTTACAACTGTTTCAATCTACATATATAGATTCTTGATCCGAGCTAATAATAATTATTAAAATGTTATTGCAGAAGCTATTACAAATGCACTTTCAACGGGTGTCCGGTTAGAAAGCACGTGGAAAGAGCAGGGCATGATGTAAGAGCAGTGATCACCACATACGAAGGGAAGCACAACCACGATGTACCTGCAGCAAGAGGCAGCGGCAGTTATTCAATGACTAGACCACCAATTATGAGCACTGCTATAAAGCCTTCGGTTATTAACGGACACATTTCCAACGGGGCGAATTTCGTTAACCAAAACGGGGGGCAGAGAATGCAGAACCAAACACCGTACACACTTCAGATGCTGCAGAGTCATAATAATAATAATACAGATAATTTTGCGTTTTCTGGTTATGGAAACTCCGGTGGAGGAGCTAAGGAAGAGCCTAAAGATGACTCGTTTTTCGACTCTTTTTTGAACTGAGGTTACATGTATACGACTGGCAAACTCTTGATCTTGTTCTCGTATGAGAAGTGATTTACGATTTTTTTATTTTTTTTCGTTTGTATATTTTGATGTGACGATAGGAGCTAGGTGCATTTGTTTAATTATTTTTTTTTAATTTTTTTTTTCTGGTCACTGAAGCTGGGACAGTGGCCTCATATAAGGTTGTATATTTCCTCATGAAGGGAAAATATAGAATAAAAAACACAATGTATTCATATTTATTAATTTTGATCAGGATTACTTTGTTCACTCCTACTGTCAACACAAGCCTACAAATCGTTATCGAAAAGAAAAAAAAAAAAACTTAATAGATCGATCAAACAATATTAAATTGAATAAAACTATTAAGGTTACCATTGTTGTTATGATTTTATTAATAGCCATAAATAAAGCAGGCAAACGGAGAGCAAACGAAGGTGAAGATCCGCAAAGACGAAGATTCTTCCTTCACAAGTAGTTTCATGATCGATTGTTAAAAGTTCGTTTGAGTTCGATTCTAATTTCTAATAGTGTTTCACTATATATACCGCATGCACAGGTTGCATGTAAAATCATTTTACATTTCTTTCGAATTATATCTTTAAATTCATTAATTTCCTGCAACACCACAATATTAATAACAAAAAAAATGTACATTAATAATAAAATAAAATAAAAAAATAAAAAAAATGAAATTAGTACAATCTCTTGGACCTCAATTGCAATTTTGGGTGTTTTTTAATTAATTCTTGGGCCAGGCCCATATATGTATAGAATGAATTTGGGGCTTTTCTAATAAACCCTATTCGCCAAAACCCTACTGCGGAAAAACAATTGCTGCTGTTTCTCCCACCATTTCTCCTCGTCTGAACCTCTAATCCTTCCATATTCGAAGCTTGAAAATGGTTCGAAGCTTGAAGAATCCGAAAAAAGCAAAACGCAAGAGCAAGGTTCAAAATACGATGTCTTTATTCTAATTGAATACTTCTTTTTGTTCATCTACGCTGTCCATTTTTTTTAATCACGTTACTTTTACTTGTTTCTGATTAATGGAAATGGTTAAAAAAAAAAATGGAATTAAATTAGGGTTCGAAGAAAGGTGAAGGATCATCATCAAATGATGCGCCTGCAGTAGAAGCAAAGGTGTGGCAACCGGGTGTAGACAAATTGGAGGAAGGAGAGGAGCTTCAGTGCGATCCTTCTGCTTACAATTGCCTTCATGCTTTTCATATTGGATGGCCTTGTTTGAGGTCACTTTTTAATTTATATATTTTTTATTTCTAATTTTGGTGTGTTAAGAATTAAGATGTATCTATTCATCGTTAAGAACCTTATTGCAGCTCTGTCTATTTTGCTTGCAAAGTTTTTCATTGAGTGAATTTGGTATGCTGTATAGAAGAAGTTGAATTTGGAAGTTATTCTATATACAATTACGACCCATGTTTTTCTTACCTATTCGATTGTGTAATATTTGTCTCAGCATTGAGAGTTTCTTTTAATTATTTTTCATGGAGATGATGCATGTGAGTGTGGACCTGATCATTTGTTTGTGTATGGGACAGTTTCGATATATTACGTGATTCGTTGGGGCTGGTGCGTACCGAGTTTCCACATACTGTGTATTGCGTTGCCGGAACTCAGGTGAGTTTTGAAATCTCTTGCTCGTATTGTGTTAATGCTTGCAGATACTATTGTCAATCATATATGAATATAATTTTATTGATATTTTCTTGATGAAAATTTAGTTAGAATATGGCAAACATGTTTAGTAGTTGCATCGCCTATTTTTTCCGCAAAGTTGTTATGTTTCTTCAGAAGTCATAGTTCAAAGCCCGTTTCACTTTTTCACTGAGTACAACTCCAAGATGCTTCCAATAGCCACACGCACAACATATCTAGAGTATGACTTGTATCTCTAATTTTCTACTAATCAATTTTTTTTTTCCGATATTGGTAGGCAGAGCAATCATCCTGGAATTCCATTGGAATATTCAAGGTATTAAAACTCTCTGGGAAAAGACGTGATTTAGTGCCCAACAAGATAAACAAAGATGGTTCTGACATGGACAGTGAGAGTAGTGACAGTGACGAGGATGATGAAGATGACAGCCGTGGATCCGGACCCCCAGTTTTGCAGGTATATATATTTGTATAAAACTGTAGTTTGTTCAGTTTTCATTCACCTTCCATGCAGTTATTTTTTTTGAGTCATTTAATATCTTGGCTGAATCCATCTACAGATACGCAAGATCTCTCACGAGGGAGGTGTGAATCGTATACGCGCTATGCGTCAAAATCCTCATATTTGCGCTTCGTGGGCAGATACTGGGCATGTTCAGGTACCACTCTTATTTAATATTATTATCGTAGTACTGAAATTTGGGGATATATTCAATGTGCTATTCTATAACTATATCTAATCCTGTGCAGGTTTGGGACTTTAGTTCTCATTTGAATGCTTTGGTACAATCAGATGCTGAAGCTGTTCATGGAGGGTCCACTGTATTCAATCAAGCTCCTTTAATTAAGTTTAGTGGACACAAAGATGAAGGCTATGCCATGGATTGGAGCCCTCTCGTTCCTGGAAGGCTCGTCACAGGTGATTGCAAGAGCGGTATTCATCTATGGGAGCCTGCATCTGATTCTACATGGAATATTGATTCTAATCCTTTGGTCGGTCATACTGCAAGTGTCGAAGATTTACAGGTAATAATACAATTCAGATTTGCACTCTTACAGTGACTTACTATGTATTCTGTAATGATGGGCTTTTTTTTTTGTATTGTTTTTATTTACAGTGGAGTCCTACAGAACCTTTTGTATTTGCCTCGTGCTCGGTTGATGGAAATGTTGCGATTTGGGATATTCGTTCGGGAAAGTCTCCTGCAGTTTCTATCAAAGCACATAACGCAGACGTAAATGTTATAACATGGAATAGGTGTTTAAAACATCCTTTTACTCTAAATCTCATTCCGAACAACTATTTCCCGAGTATCTTTATTCATATTTGCTTCTTTTTTGTCTAGCCTGGCGAGCTGTATGCTAGCATCTGGTAGTGATGATGGCACATTTTCGATCCGAGATCTTAGATTGCTCAAGGTATCTCACTAATTTTTTTTTGTTTCCATTTTATCATCTGTGAATGGGAAGAAACATTATAAGCATAAAAATCCAAGTTTGTCCTTGCATTCGTTTTCTTTGTTCATTCAGCTGCGTGTTTCCTGGTACAGGAAGGAGATGCTGTCGTTGCACATTTCGAGTACCATAAACATCCCATTACATCGATTGAGTGGAGCCCGCACGAGGCGTCCACCTTGGCGGTGTCTTCATCAGACAATCAACTAACGTAAGAAACCTCTCCGGATTGTGCTTTTATATAATCCTGCATTTCCTTTGAACTTGAAATTCATTGTCTTCGTTCGTTATGTTCATTTTCAGAGTGTGGGACCTATCTCTTGAAAGGGACGAAGAAGAAGAGGCGGAGTTCAAAGCGAAGACAAAAGAACTAGTAAACGCACCCACTGATTTGCCACCACAGCTTCTCTTTGTTCATCAGGTAAAACGACTATTACAACTTGTTATTGAAAGTAGAAAATCGATTTAGCATAGATAAATCTTAAAATTAATGTTGTTGGTTAAACTGTGCAGGGTCAGAAGGACTTGAAAGAAGTTCACTGGCATTCACAGATACCTGGAATGCTCATATCAACTGCTTCAGATGGTTTCAATGTACTAATGCCGTCGAATATCGAAACTCCACTTCCTGCCGATAATGCTTGATATTCGACAATATTGTCTTATGTAAAGAAATCAGAAAAAAAAAAAAGAAAAAAAAAAACAAGAATCTTGTGATCTATTTGCTTTTTACCGCAGCATTGAAAAGTTCTACTACTTTATTAGTTTTTACCCTGTTGCTTCAAATTTTGCCCTTTAAAAATGTTGTAATGGACTCCTATTTAACTTATTTTCCAACCGTTTTCTTTGAACAATATTGTTCACCCATATGTCTCTACATGTGCCTTTGTTTCCTTCTTTTCATGTCATAGAATCTCAATAAATTTATATTTGATAAACTAATAATCGTTTAAATAATAATTTCTTCTCGTCTCGCTTTAATAAAATGTATTAAATCACTAGTTTGATAATTTAATATTTCGCTAAATTAATAAAATTTTGTTAATCCATTAAATCATATTCTTGATTCTCTTGAGGGAATTAGAGTTATGCTATCATATAAAATAAAAATACATTCCCATTATTTTCCATAACTTTTTCTGGTTAAAATATCAGAGTTAGATAGAGGCTAAGTCAACGAGATACAGATTACATTTAATGGAAGAACGTAGTTCATCAATTCGTCTTACTTACAATACTTATTACTACAACTCTTCATTAATTACTTTGTCCCATTATTAATTACGGGAACACAATTATTAATTATTTTATATTTTTGCAAATCAGATTATCTAGGTAAAATTGGATCCCTCGACACCTCCACTACACAAAAATCTAGATATATAATTAATTAGTAGTAATTTACTCTGATTAACTTAATACATGACCTGCCGTGCACAAAACTTATTCCTATCTTGCAATTAATTAATCTTTTCAATCTTTTTCCATGGCCCCTCTCTTTCATTGCAATATGCAATTTGCTAACTACTTCACAAATAATTGTTAACAATTCCCTTTTATTTTATTAATGCTTGAAAATGAAACTTGCAAATTGTCACAAAAAACAGCCCAACATTCTATTATTGCACCAAAGTTCTAATTTCCTAATATAAGATTATTTAATTTAATGCTAGATCTTAGAAAAAGATTATTTGATTTAATTTAATGGTGTCACGCTCATACAACTTTGCCTTAATATTGACGCGTGAAATCATATTATTCCACTAGAAAAGCTCTTAACTAAATTAATGAATTCTTGTAATTTTAGGAAAAGCAACGAAATTAACGGTAAAAGCACTTCCCTTAAATGGGAAAGTGAACTGGGAAACGGAAACAGAATCCCGAAATTCCAGCTGGCAAATGGCATAATCGTTATTTACCCACAAACTCGGTGCTAGTTTCAACACCACAGTAGCACTTTCCAGCTCCCTTCTTTACGCGTGTCTATCGCGGAAAAAAAGGTATTGTTGTGCACGCGCTCACTAATTTCAAGTGGGACCGTTGCATAGAAACCACCAATTTCTTAATCTAATTAAGCTCCTCATACCACATGCGCTTCAAAACAACCTTTGTATAATTAAAATTTTACTATTATTAATAAGACTAATATATAGTATAAAATTTGACAACATATATATAATACGATTAGATTACCATTTCAATTAATTTTATTTTTTGTGATAAATAATATTAGTAGAATTTAAGAGTCAATGGTAACGATCTCACCGTTTCAAGTTATATATCAATTTAGAATTTTCTTTTTCTTTTAAATTATAGTAATACTCGAATTTCAATGATTTGTTTATTCTCTTTTTAATAATTAATGGTATTTTAGTTCATTAAATGCATTTTCTCTAAATTATGTAATTTTTTTAGTTCTCTTAATACCGGTATCTAAATTTGCAGCGACGAATATTAGTATTTAATAATTTTACTTATCAAATACAATGGGTAACTAATGTGTATAATTAAGTGAAACTAATCTCAATTAAAGTTGACATCCATCATCAAAGATATGATAATAGAGTTTGTGGAAAATAATTACTTCCCCCACTTAATATCTACTTATCAATAATCAAATTCTTTAATTGAGTAGCAAAAATAAATAAAAATAAAAAGAATTATCACTAATCAAAGAAGAGATTACAACAGAATGCAACACAGCACGTGATCACTACCCTCCCTCACTTGGCATAGTCAACCGGCTCATCCGGTCACCCACCCCCCGTCGTCTTCCGCACCGCGTTATCTCTCTCCCCCATTTTCCTTTTTCTCATTCGCCTTCAAAACACGGAGCAAAATCCAATTCATTGACTCTCTCTCTCTCTCTCTCTCCTCTTTCTCTCTCTTAATACTCTCATCATATTTTCTCTGAAACAAATTATCAGAGCAATTAATTAAATAAATAAATAATACTGAGAGTAGAGACAAAATACTATGAACATAAATTTCGTCATCAACTCATCGGAGTGAATTTCGCCGGCCGAATCGAATCATACAGCTGAAGCATGTTATCCCGTTTTGCCTTTCCCTTTACCTTTTATTTACCATTTTCGAACTCCTCTCCCCTCCTCTCTCTCGTCGGCGGTAACCACACTTCTGCTAGATTCTGCTCCCGTTGATTTTTTTTTTTGTTTTTATTCTCTCCTTTTTAATTTATACAAGTGTGCTGTTATACATACATCACAGAAGATTTTTTTGATTTTTTTTTTATTTTGCCCAATTTTTTGATTTGATTTGTTTGTTCTTCTAATGGAGCCGAGTGTGGGGAAGCCGAGTTTTCTGAGAAATATTCTGGTGCGTTTGTTTCTATTCTGCGTCCTCGTCATCGCTCTCAGATTTGCTTATGTGGTCACAATCCGAGGTGAATCGTGTGACCTAGGCGATTTCTGTTTCTTCGCCCTACCGGATAATTTCAACGTCGTCGCCGGCGTAGGTCAGCTCGAGAAATCGTCGTCTTCAGCTGTCATATCATCAGCCGGCCGAGCTACGCCGTCGATGCCGAATAAGATCCCCGATCTGTGGGCGACCAAGGGTTTTCAAAAATCCGTACATTTTTACTCCTCGGTTTTTCAGGATCTGATATCTGAAGCCGTTCTGAGCCCCAATTTCAAAACCCTATGCGTCGATACAGCCATGGGAGCCGATGTTTTCGCTCTGAAGGAGATCGGCGTGGAGGACTCCATCGGTATTTCCAAGAAAGCTTTCAAGCCGTTGGTAATTTCAGGGCAGGGTTTTAAGCAGCCCTTTGGTGATGAGACTTTTGATTTCGTGTTTTGTGGAGCTGGGGTGGTGGAGAAGTCAGTGAGGCCAGGTGCTATCGTGGCGGAGATTGGGCGGACACTGAAGCCCGAAGGGTTTCTAGTCGTCCACACTGCCTCAAACGATACATATAGTTTCGAATCATTACTTAGTTTGTTCAATTTTTGTAAATTGGTGAGAAGTAGGGATATTGGTGGTTTTGTTAGAGAAATTGTTCTGCAGAAAGATAGCGAAGAGGGGAATATCAAGACGAGTATCGAAAAATCTAGTGGGGATTCGGTGACAAAATGCCCCGTTCGAAGTTATAAACAGGAATTGATAAGGAAAGCGGAGCCTCTGATAGAGGAAGAGCCCAAGAAACCGTGGATTACACTCAAGAAGAATGCTCAGAAGATTAAGTACTTGTCTGCAATGGTGGATATTAGTTTTAGTTCGAGGTATGTATATGTCGATGTTGGTGCAAGAAGCTACGGCTCGAGCATAGTGAGCTGGTTCAAGAAGCAATACCCGAAGCAGAACAAGACTTTTGATATATACGCAATTGAAGCAGACAAGACTTTTCACAATGATTATAAATACAAGAAGGGGGTTACTTTGCTGCCTTATGCAGCTTGGGTTAAAAACGAGAGCCTGTTCTTCGAGATTAACGAGGACCCTGGTCATAAAAATGTAGAGAAAGGTAGAGGGATGGGCAGGATTCAACCGGTTCAGTCTTCCTCTGGCGGTGATGGCGGCGGTGGTTTTAAATCCTCCGGCGATGTCGATCAGATACAGGGGTTTGATTTTGCTGATTGGTTGAAGAATACAGTAACGGAGAGGGACTATGTTGTAATGAAGATGGATGTTGAAGGGACTGAATTCGATCTGATTCCTAGGTTGTTTGAGACAGGGGCAATATGCTTGATTGATGAGCTGTTTCTTGAATGTCATTACAATAGGTGGCAGAAATGCTGTCCAGGTGAGAGGTCGAAGAAGTACGAGAAAACGTATGGGCAGTGCCTGGATTTGTTCACTTCCCTTAGGAAAAGTGGAGTGTTAGTGCATCAATGGTGGTGAAACTGGTAACAGCTATCTCTACTCCTTTGTACCATCTCTCGTTGTTTCAGTTTCTCTCTTTGCGAAAAACGAAGATGCTGTGGCATTTTCTTCCTCTTATGTATCTATTGTTCTTTTAAAGAAAAAAAAAGTTAAATAGTTAAAAGTTTTAGTGATTCTTTTTCAATGATATGTTGTGTGCTGTCTCATTATTATCAGATAGTTTCAAGAAACACACTGAACTATTCATAATTTCCAAACAACCCTAGTGGAGCATGATCATGATCGGTGAATCTGAATCATTGCTTCTATGATTGAGAATTTCGGTTTATAGATTATTCGAGATGGAGCTTGCAGTTGAATTAATTTTGCTGTGCCAATTTATGAATAAATTGTTCGTTCGTTAGCAACGTTTTTTTATCGATTAATTAGTTATGTTGTGTGGATGAAGATTGAAGATTGTATGAGTAGTTTGGTTGAGGCATTAAATACAAAGGGAAGCTGTTCCAGTTGGGAATTTTTGGCTCTGTTACCTTTTATAGTTGAGGAAGTACTACCAGAAATGAAATGCCAGTCTTTTTAGCCATGCTGTCATCTAACAGTTTTTACCACCTTTCAACAAATTCATTCTTTTTCCTTCCAATCATTGAAAAAAGAAGTTATTCCAATTCTGAAATAATTCAATGATGGAATTTAAAATGTAGAAAAATGAATCTTCAGATTTTATATACTGAAGGCTAAATTACGGCAACCCTGATGTAAGGTCAAATTATAAAACCGCCCTATTTTGGGTAATTACAACCACACCTCTCAATTATGAATCTTCTTATACGTCCACTCTTGTTGCGTCAAATTTAATGTAATGTTCTATATTACGTGGAATATTCTCATGTTTGTACCTGTTTTATCCCGTTTGAGCTCCACATTTTAAAATAAAATGATTATAAGATGTGTCTTTTGGCTTGTAAATATCAGATTGTGGTGCATCAGAAACTTTATTTTTACACAACAAGTATAAACTAGAGAAAATTTCACGAAATCTTGAAAATTCTATAGAATTTGACACCATTGGGTGGAAGGTGTAAGAAAATTGATATTTTAGGAAATCAAATTCCAATTCCAAAGTGAATTCAATTTATATTTACAAATATGGATGCTAAATTTTCGAACTATTATTATTTGGAGTAATATTTATACTATAGTGATGGGTGTAAATAAATATAAATAGTAATAAAATAATTAAAATAGAGAGGCAGCATCCCAATCCTAAAACGGGAAAAAAGGAGTAGTTGTGGGAGAAACAAAGGGGAGAAAAATTAAAGGAGAGAAAAAAATAAAGGAGAGAAAAAAGGGAATGCATGACAGACATACACAAAATTATTACACAGCCAAAAAAAAAAAAAATAAGAAAAAGTTGAATTGGGAAGGCAGATCATGTGCCATTTTGGCATGCTTCAATCTGTCTTAATGGCCATTTTCTCCTCCTAATTCCTTTCTTCCCTGCCCTAACTCTGTCATTACATTGTACATTTCGTCGTAAATGAGACAAGATCATAATTATTAATCCCAACCGAAACAAAAAAACAAAAAAATGGGTGCTTGTTGTTCGTGTCATAGGGGTGGCAGATTTGATAGTTACCTTGTCGAAGAAGAAAGAGATCATCACACTGGTGGAGGAGGAGGCGGAGGCGGAGGAGAAGAAAATGGAGATATTGTATTGAGAGGCGATGCTGGTGCTCGTATTCGTCTTACGGGCTCGTCTAAATACGTATCTATGTTCTCTCAGCAAGGTCGAAAGGGTGTCAATCAAGATGCCATGACTGTTTGGGAGGTAATTAATTAATTCAATTCAACACGAAAATTTATTTACGATTTTTTTAAAAAAAATATATTATTTATATATATTTTTGTATGCAGAACTTTTCAGGGGACAAAGACATGTTCTTCTGCGGTGTGTTTGACGGGCACGGGCCTTCGGGCCATAAGGTGGCCCGTTACATGCGCGATTTTTTGCCGGCGAAAATATCGTATTTATATAAACAGCCGATTGTTGTTGATATCGAAGCTGATGAACCCGAAGATGAATGTGGGAATGTTCCGGAATATTCCAGGAATCCTTTGTTCTTGTCGTGGAAAGCTCGATTGACCAAGTGCTTCCATGAGATGGATGATCAGCTTGAAGGTGATGCTTCCATTGAGAGCTATTGCAGTGGAACAACTTCTGTTTGTGTCCTTAAAAAGGTAATTAATCTTGTTTTCTTTATTCACTATTATATATGTATACAAATAATCATTTCTTTTTTCTTTTCAGGCTGAACATTTGATCATTGCGAATTTAGGCGACTCTCGTGCTGTTCTTTGCACGAGGGATGAAAACGATCATCTCGTTTCCGAACAACTCACTGTCGATTTAAAACCGAATCTTCCAGGTTTGTGTGTGTGTGTGTATATGTACGTGTTTATTGCAATTAGTACCCCTGTATTATATCAAATCGCCAAAAAAACTACCCCGTGTTATTCTATTGGCAAAAAAATCAGGTGAAGCGCATCGAATAAGAAGTTGCGAAGGTCGAGTATTGGCCATGGACGAAGAACCGAACGTGTACAGAATATGGATGCCTAATGAAGATTGCCCGGGTTTAGCCATGGCCAGAGCTTTCGGAGATTTCTGTTTAAAAGACTTCGGCCTTATTTCTACACCTCAAGTTACTTACAGAAAACTCACCCAAAAAGACGAATTCGTCGTCTTAGCAACCGATGGGGTAATTCATTTATTAATTAATTTTGCTTAATTAAAATTTAAAAATGAAATATGTTTGTTTGTTTGTTTAATTTTTTTTTTTTTTTTGATGTGTGATTATGTATTGATTAGATATGGGATGCGTTGTCGAACGATGAAGTGGTGAAGGTTGTGGCGTCGGCGGGGAGCCGGTCGGTGGCAGCGAAGATGGTGGTGGAGAGGGCCGTACGGACATGGAGATACAAATACCCGCGCGCGAAGATTGACGACTGCGCGGTGGTGTGTTTGTTCTTCAAGAGGCAGAGGCCGGCGTTGACAAAATCGGTGTCGGAGGTGACGCAGTTGAGTTTGAACTACAACGGGATAGACGCGCGCAGCTGCACCGAGAGTATGAAGAGCGACGACGCGCTCGACACGGTGTTGAATTGCGATGTGAAGGAAGGCGGTGGTGATCAGAGTAATAATACTAATACTAATAATAATACTGAAGGCAACCGTACGAGGAAGAGGAGGCCGCCGGTGAAGAAGATCGAGCATGTCGGAGAGTGATTATCGTCGTCGGTTACTAGGATTAATCGGACTAATCGGGTTTTATTTTAATTTGTGCTGTCTTTATTTATTTGTTAGTTAAATCAAACTTAATATGGACAGAGGATTTTTATGTACTAGTATTTTTCTTGAGAGTGTTGTTATGTATATTTGAAGGAGAATTATTTCATGGTCCAGTCACCAGTGGCAAGTTTTCTGTATATATATATTATATTTATATAATATATATTGTTTGTTTTTTTTTTCCTAGAGTGTATTGTTGTTAATAATTAAGAAAGCTAATACAAACGGTAATGAAAGGGTAATAAAACGGCGTCGTTTGAGAGAGTGAAATGAACTTGGGTATTGACTTTTGACTTTTGAAGTTGGGCCCAATTTTATTAAGAGGCTGGGCTCAGTGGCATTTATGGGCCGACTGATATTGCTATTTTTGCTTCTGGATCTGAATGGATCTTTTGGAGCAATTATGGGCCGGGCCATGTTTGGGCCCATATTAGTTGTTCATTGGAAATATTATTGTACATGTAATTAAGTCAAATGACTGTTTTAAGTTTAGGGTAAATTACAGTCGACTCCTGAGGTAAGGTCAAAATACGAAAACATTCTTCATGTTTGGGTAATTACAAGTTACAACCATTCCCTCAACTTTAAATGTTCTTACACGTCCATCATTGCAATGTTAATTTAGAAGAATCCTCTAGATTATGTGGAATATTCTCTAGTTTGTAGCCGTTTTACCTCATTCGAGTTTCACATTTTGAAACAAGATGATCATAACATGTGTCATTTGCATTGTAAATATCAGATTGTGGTGCATCAGAAAATGCATTTTTGCACAAAATCGAATTCAAACTAAGAATATTCCACGTAAAGTAGAAGATTATGTTGAATTTGGCGCTTCAGAGGTGAATGTGTAAAAAAATTATCATAGTTAAGGATTGATTGTAACTAGCCAATATAACTATTTTTTTTTTTAATTTCACTTTACCTCCATAATTTACCCTAAATTTGAATATTTGCCAAAAATAGCAAAACCATGAGAAAGGAAAAAAGATTTTTAACTATATGAAACAATGAATATAAAATAAAATAAAAGGACTGAATTGGGAAAACAATAAATGGACGAAAGGCAAAAGGGTTAACTACTAATCCACAACAGCTCTAAAACAGTAATTCTGACTAAAAAGAAAAGGAAAAAAAATGCTGACAATTGAAAAGGAGAAGATATGTCACATTTCACATATTTCATCCATTCCAACAAGCAAGTAATTAAATAATTAAATAATTACATAAATAAATTTAGATGACTATAAACAGTACTATGTCAAATAATACACAATTGTAGTTAAATTACTAAAAATATGATATCTTTCAAATTTCCCAAAAAAAAAAAAACCCCATCAATATCACCCCCTCTGTAGGGGGCCCCCGTTTTCACCCCCACCCCCCAACTTTCACGGCCCCCAAGAAAGCATGCATAAATTCAGAAAAAATCAGAGATTGAAAATGAAGCAAAACTGATGTGCTGATTTTTTCCCTTTTATCTTTTCTTTAACTCAGTCCTCTCTCTCTACACACTGTCTGAAAACAGACACCATGCTTCAAAAGTCCACACTCCACTGACCCACCCCACATGTTCTTTTAATTACTCTTTTAATCCCCACCCTAATCATTCTTACAACCTTAATTATTACTACCTCATTTTAAAGAAACTTTAATCCCACACTTTTTGACTAAACTTACATTCATTAATAAAGAACCCTGAATAAAATCAACTGAAATGCTATTCATAGTGCGGTTTTTACCGGCTTGCAGTGCGATTTATTTCATTTGTAACTTTCCTAAAAAAAAACCAAATTCGCCCGCTATTTCGTGTATTATTACACGAAATACACTCAATAATTTCGTGTCTTTTCACACGAAATAGCGGTGTTTATTGTTATAGAACACGAAGGACGAAACTGTTAGATTAAAAAAAATCGTGTATTTCGTGTAAACGTACACGAAATGGAAGAACATATTTCGTGGAGTTTTCTACGAAATGGAAGACCATATTTCGTGGAATTTTCTACGAAATGGAAGACCATATTTCGTAGATTTTTCCACGAAATATGAAGTGACATTTCGGTAAATTCAGTACGAAATAATAAAAAATTCAAATACAAATACAAATTGAACTAGAATTCAAATGCAACTAAAAATTGAACTAGAATTCAAATACAACTACAAATTGAACTAGAATTCAAATACAACTACAAATTGATCTAAATTTCAAATACGAATAAAATTGAACTAGATTTCAGATACAACTACAAATTGAACTACCGACCAGACTTTAATTGTTCGTACAAGAGTAGTCGGGGTTTGTACGTTTTGAGTAAGTGCCTCAAGTTTTTAGCTCTATGGTGTACCCATGCCGGATGGATTGGTGGTAGTGGACTATTTGCGACCAAATTAACAAACATGAAATGATTGTTGTGCAATGTCACAACAATCATACATGATAAGTGACCACTGCCAAACATAGGAAGGTAAGTCATACTCCCTACTTGAGTCAAAAGTACCACTAATGCACTGTATCTGGTAGCAATGGCCAATCCCATTTCATTCATGTCCATCCAATAAGCTTGTGGACAAGGCCCTGAGGTCCAGTCACACTTGCGTATGACCTCAACGTATCCGGTACTGCCAAACATCGCCGTGTAGACACTAGCATGCTCGTATAACTCAATAAGCAACTCCCCTCTCACTTGCGGCCATCTTTCTTGATCCCCGTACACGGCTTGAGCAACGCACCGGTACCCACAATTGCCATCCGCCATCACGTTAACATAATCTTGAATAAGACGGACCATAAATCTGGGCACGAAAGAATAAAAGTCGATTCCTTCATGTGCAGGTATTGTAGGGGCAGCAGATTCTTGTGTGGGAATACGAGAACCACGACCTTTCATCTTCGATTGAGGCGTTCCATCAGTGCTTCTCTCAACCTTTGTTTTAGGAATCTTTGCACCAGATGAGGTTTGGCGACCCTTGGAACCACACGACGACTTAATTGTCTCCTCATCAATATGATACTGCCATCCAGAAGGGTCTCTCTTTGTCGAGTTATTCTTTGGTCGTCCTTTGGTCTTAACAAATGATGGCTCGGACAGATGCGACGTAGACGGATAAACGATGCCACGCAATGAGGCCACGGCATTTATCTTACTCGTGTAATTCATCTTCTTCAAATTGCAATTCAGGTCATCAATCTGTCTATCCACAATCTCCTCGCGGTTTACTTGATACTCAGGTAGCTCCGAAGGCTCAACTGCCATGGTACTCCAGAATGGATGCAAGTCTGAAATGACGAACGTGTCATTATCTTCCATTTTCTGCACAATTTTGCACGCGCATGGGAGCCCATGAGTATTCCAAAGATAGTGTGTGCAAATACTCGGATCTTGCATCGCCGGGGACTCCATCTCTTCATCCAATTTCTCTAATGCCAGATGCGTAACATAACAAATCAAACCCTGAAAACACGGCCATGCTGCAGTATGCTTCCTTATCTTGGATGATAATGAAAAATCGCACTTCAGCTCACTAATTTGGATATAAACTTGGTCCCGAAGTTTGCCTTGCACGTTATCCAGACCTCCGGTCGAAGCATTTAACCAACCCTTCGCTGAAGAATGAGCGCTCTCCACCCTATCCAATTACAACAACAATCAGAGCATACAACGACAATCAAATTACAAAATAAATATTATTTTTATATAATATCTTTTATCATTTAAATAACTAAAACATGTAATACCTGTTGGTGCTCGTGTTGCCAAAATGATACACATTGCGAGTATAGGCACGAACAAACTTCTCCTTGTATATCAACCACGTATCATTCAAATACTGTATCAGCCTAGGATACCCTGCATACCGTCCAACAATTTCATTGTAATTGTAATGATACTCTTCTTCGGTTTCTGATTTCACCAGCTTAGCCCACAGCACACGTCGGAATATTAGACCTTGGTCCTTGTTGCCTCCCATAAATTTCGTCGCATTTGCCTCAACATTTCTGTTTATATGGAATATACACAACATATGATACGAAAATGGGAAGACATTTGGCAGTGCTTTCAAAAGACCCAACTCTCTGTCTGTCAAGATCGCATCAGGTTCGACACCATCTAGCAACTCTTTCAAACAATTCAAAGTCCACTCGTAGGTGTCTGCATCTTCATGCGACATAAATGCAACAGCAATTGTATAATTCCTCCCAACTGGAGTTATCCCAATTATTTCCAAAAGAGGCATTCCATACCTACAACAATGTTGTTTTTACATATTTAAACAATACAAGACATTAAAACACAATAATCATAATTTGAACAATCGTAATTTTTACTTACTTATTGGTTTTGTATGTGCAGTCCATCAATATAACATACGGGAACAACCGTAATAACTGAATAGATTCGGGACATGCAAACATAATATCTGTAATCGTGTTGCTCGTTTCACTATCGACGCGATGCCAATATCGATACTCGCCTTTTTGAAAGTTATGCATCATAAACTGAATAACAGTCATGCCCTCCATTTCCTCAGATTTAATCTTGGCCAACTCATTGTAAACATGCTTCATAGAGGTTTGTATCGTCGGATCATCTTTTCTCAGTCTATCCATGATCAGCATTGGCTTCACGTGAGAATTTCGCAATTCTTTAATTCTTGCTTTCTGTTGTGGAGTTATACGACTAGTCGTACCTTGTCCGTGAGGAAACAAAGTCGGACGATGACTATGCCTGCCATCGCTGACAGTCAACCGCCATAATTCATCAAACCTTGACCTTTTGCCAATCAATTTGAACGGACAACCACATTTTTTTGTTCCTGAGTTTCTAGGATCTTCCACATCGATATTCGTTTGTCGGCCATGTCCGTATTTGTCACACGTCATGTACTGTGCATTCTCCCTTCTAGACTGACAAATCAAACGGTGACAATGACTAACTGCAGTTTCTTTCGCCCAGTTGATTAATTCTTCCCTACTGCCGAACACAATATCAACTTGGAAGAAGTGAGAGAAATCTTCATATTCCTTTTTATCCAAAACCGAGGGATCAAAATACAAATTGTCGTCATATGGCTGCGTAAATACAAAAAAAAGGTTAGATACTTGCACAAAAAAAATTAATAACAATACTAGGTATTTCGTGTAAAATTACACGAAGTATATGCATACATTTCGTGTAATTTTACACGAAATGTATTCATACATTTAGTATAGTACTGCACGAAATGAATAACAAAACAGTTTTACTGCTATTTCGTGTGACTTTACACGAAATAATAGGTATAATTTCGTAGTATTGTACACGAAATGACTGGAAAACACGAATAAAGTGTTCATTTCGTGCAAAACAACACGAAATGACTTGAATAATTTCGTGATATTCTACACGAAACGACTGAAAATCGAAAAAAATCACACTAAAACGTATTTTTTTACCTCATTTACGGGATCGATGTTGGCCATCTTGATAATCGTTGGGTTTTAACTGATTTCTACGAAAACAAATCACGATCTACGAAAGTCGAAATATTTGGATGTTGAGAGGATTTTGTAAAAGGTTAAAGTGTTTTTTGACAAATGAATTATTTCGCACTGTAGCTGGAAAAAACCGCACTGATAATAGCAAGCCCCTAAAATCAAAAGCACTTCATTTTTATTACTATATCTTAAACACAAGAATGATGATCCCAACACACTTTTTGTTCTTTAATAAAATTCTAATTAAAATTGAAATAATTATTGAATATACTCTACTAAAATCAAAATCAAAATTAAATTAAGTTCAATAAATCAGATTCACCAATTCATGCTACAATACCCACCATTTTTACATATGACATGACAGGAGAGTACATATATAATAATAATAATAAAATAATATAAGCAGACAATCCCTGGAAATAGCAAAAGCTGTAAACCCAAAAAAAAAAAAAAAAAAGAGCAAAATCAAATTTTATTAAAGTAATTAAATATTAATTGGGGATTTGCGGACCACGTAACGGTAGGCAGCGACCTTCCGCTTGCGAGAGGCGGTGTTATCAACGGAGAGCACCAATTTTCCGGCTTCCCTGGTGGTGTAGGAGTTGTGCACCGCCTCTTCATTGGCCGCAATCCGCCGTGGCTTCTCCACCGCCACCGTGTAGCTAGCGTCGGAATTCGGTACGAATTCAGCGCTGTATTCTAATTCCCAGCCTCCCACCACTATGTCCCACGTTATTGTTGCACCACCCTAAATAAATAAAAAACCAATTATTTAAATCAATTTGAATTTAATTAATTTAAATTTTTTTAATTTCCCCAAATTTGAAGAATATTCCAGACAGGAGAGAATTTTTTGGTTTGAAATTTGTCTTCTCTGACAAAGGTGTGTGAGTAAAGCTGTGTGGAGTCTGTTTTGAATTTTAACAAATACACAACTATTTACTAATTTAACACTGTAAATTAAATTAATTAATTAATCTTGAGCAAACAGACAAAAAAAGGAGGGCAAAAAGGTCAAAACCAGCAAGAAATCTGAAATCAGCATATCCTATTATTTAAATTTAATTTCAGATTTTGTTTCTCAGAAAGATCTATCAGTGTATTATGTACTGTTTCTCTGTAACTCTAGCGTGTACTATTTAATCAAATATTTTGCATACGATCTGTTCAGAATATACTGTTAAATTACCAAAAGGGCATTAGCCATTACTATTGTATTTACCTCAATGCCCTCGATTTGAATGTTCACCCTCTCCCCTCCCTTGACTGTGAACTCTGACGCCGGTTTGGGCGGACCGGAAATATCATCACCTGGCCGGCTGAGCCCGCCGTACTGAACCGGCACATCCTCCGGCTTAATGAATCTGATACATCAAAGAACAAAATCAGTATCACAATTCTGCAGCAGAACAGAACACTGCACAATCTTTATTCCATTAATGGTAAACCTAGATATATACGAAATTCTTACAGCATTTAAGAGAGAGAGAGAGAGAGAGACAGACAGAGAGAGAGAGAGAGAGAGAGAGAGAGAGAGAGAGAGAGAGAGAGAGAGAGAGAGAGAGAGAGAGAGAGAATCACTTGTAAAGGGTTTCAGCAGCATTTCCTTCCTTGGAGATGACAAACTTACTCTTGGTTCTCTGAGTAAGAAATGGACTAAACATTGAATACAGCAAGCTGAAGTACCAAGGTACATTAACAAAGATCTGCAATCAAAAAAATAAAAATTCAATCTTTAAAAAAAAACAAGAACAGGGGGTAACCAAATTAATTGACCAATGAGAAAGAGACACGTCACCTTCCGGGCAACCATCTCAGGATAATTGTCTTGAAAGAGAGAGAGAATGTGGTTGGAAGCTGATCTGAGCTCTCGTTTAGGCATGTCTTTGAGATCAGTGACCTGGATAATGGAATTAACGCCGCCAGGTTTGAAATGGAGAAGCTTGATCCCTCTCTCAAGAACCTGAACCCTCCACCTCAAGAATTTTGTCAGCTTGACGTCATCATCGTCATCTCCGAAGATTTTGTCGTACATTTGCTTGTCCTTGAAGACGCCGTACGCGTTGTAGCAGACGGGGTGGCCTTCTCTGTCGAATGCGTGCATGTAGGCGACGACGCCTTCGAGTTCTTTGAAGCCCAGCTCCTCCTCCGAAACGACGTCGGCGCCGAACTCCTTCCTCCAGGCCAGGCATTTTCTGAGCATGGCGATGGAGTCTTGGACGCGGAAATCACGCGCGCGGAGGAATTTCAGGAGGATGACGTCGGCGCGTGGGTCGGAGGTTCCGGTGAGTTGGATGCCCCACATGGAGGAGTCGGGTGGGAGGTTGAAGAGGATGGTGTCTTTCAGTTCTTTGAGTGCTTTCTTCTCGGAGGTTTTCAGGTGGGAGATTAGGTATGTGTCTTCTTTGAAGGACGGTGTGCGGCGGAGGACGGCGGCGGACTCCATTACGGAGGCGACGAAGCTTTTCAGCTTGGTGGGTTTTGACGAGGAGGAGGAGGGATTATTTGGGGTTTGTGGTAGTTGACATTTTTGGTCTTCTTCTAGGGTTTGCTGGACTGACAGCGGTGGTGGTGCAGTAGATTCCATGGAAATTAATTATGTTGGGAAGAAGAAGATGTTGGAATATTTGGGGAAGAAGAAGAAGAAGGGGAAGTGTGATATGATTAGTGTGTGTGTGTGTGTAAAAAAAGTTTGAATGTGTGAAAATAAGAATGAATAAAGTGGCTTTTAAGCAGGAACAAAGCTGAGGTGTGGTTCTGAGTTCTGGCCCATGTGTCCAATATTTTATTTTTATATTATTTTTTTCAATAATTTGATTGCTTGAGTTTTCATCAACAAACAAAAAATTATTATTCAATTTGTTTTTTTTTTGAAATTTATTATTGAAGTAATAATGATGAAAAAATATTTAAATGTTTGTTATAATATTTTGTAGTTGAAGAGTCTTACAGATGAATAGTGTAAATTGGATGGGCTTTGCCATATTCAATTAGAGTTTCCAAGCCCAATGTTCATATGGGGTACTCGGCAAATAATTTTTTTTTGGGGCCCGTTATATTAATTTTTTTAATTAGAAATTAAATATTTTTGGTATTTTCTTACTATTTTAAGTACAAAAAAATATTAATTCTCATATTATATTTTCTATAATAAAATGTATTTAGTTTAATGAACATATAAAATTTTAGGCGGCGGTTATATGCAAGTCCATTTTTTTATTAGTTCAAGACCTTCAACATAAAAATACTAATTTACCCTTTATGGAATTTAAAATCAAAGAAAAAACACAAATCATTAAAAAATAAAAAATAAACATTTCCTTTGTGCAAGACCAATAAACTACATAAATCCAGAAACCCTTCTTCCTTAATTCAGGACTTAAAACTCTCCTCCTTCTTTCCCTTCTTCTTCACAAACCTACCAAGAAATCCTACACACCAAAATTATCAAATACATACCAAACATTCACGATGGAACCAGAAAACAATGATATGGAGGTTTACGAGGGTGGAGAACACAATTAAATATGTTTTAACCATTTGTTTTTGCTTGTGGATCGTTTTTTTTTTGCGAAAAAAATTCGACGATACCAAAAATCGGTCTGCAAATACCGATTTTTGTTACTAAAGTCGGTAACCACATTCCGATTTAATAAAAATCGGTACTTAAAAACCGATTTTTGTAGTAAAAATCGGCATGACAACACCGATTTTTTTTTGTATTATCGGTATTGTCATGCCGACTTGTACTACAAAATTCGGTTTTTAAATACCGATTTTATTTTCTGTGTTTTTTTAAGACCATGTTCTCATACTTTCGTGCATCAACCTAGGGGATTGATGGAGGATTATTCAAATGAATTATCTAATGAATTGAATAAATGTTTGAGATACGGAAAACTTTACTCAATTGGGTTAAAGGAGTGGTAGACGCCACCGAATGGTGATAACCATTTTCGTTTCAAATATTTAAAAAATATCAATTAACCAAATATATAATGTATTATTTAAAAAAAATCAAAAAATATCGGTATTCGAAAACCGATTTTGTACTCAATAATCGACATTAGAACGCCAATTTTGACTTGTAAAGTCGAGGGTAAAATTCATTTTAGTCCTTGAGCTTTGCAATCAAAATCAAATTCATCCCTGTGGTTTTAATGGGTTCAATGTCATCCTTGAAAAACAATTTCACCGCCAAAATTCATTTTCTCCCCCCAAAATACTTACATTACCCTTTTAAAACATGGGGGACTTAAATGAAATTCAGCCCCAAGTGTCTCTTTTCTTCTCTATAAAACATATCGAACTAAAATTATATCTAAAAATATTTTTAGAACATATGGGAAAAAAAACATTCCAAAAATAATTATGTATAAATGGATGTTACAAAATTATCTCTATATTTTTTTTCATGTCAAATTTGTTGCCAAATTATTTTGATGGAAATTGACAATTATTTCTTGGTTTTGTTTTTGCCGACACTGAGAATTATTACATTGATAAAGGAGTTTCGTCGTGTAAAGTTGTATTGCATTAATTTTTTTTTTTCATATCGAAAAAAAAAATCCGCATATCAAAGATGTACCGAGCATCTTTAATATTTGATGATTTTTTTTTTCTAATTTTCAACGATTGTAAAAAAAAAAAAAATTCAAGGCAAAATTTAACGGTACCAATATCTTATACGAAAAAAACTGATTTTATTTAATTCGAGAAAAATCCTTTAGTAGAATAATATTTAAATAATAGATTTTTATTTGTATTTTACGTAATAGATTTTTAAAGATTTGGAAAAATACTTTGCAACAAGAATTTGAAAAATAAAATAATATTTGTGTTTATTTTTTTATATTGTTTGGATTAATGAGAGAAAATAAGTTTTGAGATCTTGAAAATATTATTAAATATAGTTTAAAGGGTAAATTTCAATTTCCCCCTCTTTACTTTGGTTTGGTATCACTTTACCCTCTTCTACTATCGTTTGCATCGATTTACCCCTTGTTAGTTGTTAGACATTTGACCTTAACACCGTTTGATATGAGCTCTGATATTTACAAACATGCAACCCTCCCAGTTTAAATAATTATTAAAAAATAAATAAATAAATTCACGACAACGAGAAAACATAGTCCACGATGCTAGTCGCAATTTATTTTTTATTTTTTATTTATTTTTTATTTTTTATTTTTTATTTTTTATTTTTTTTAATAATTATTTAAACTAGGAGGGGTGGTTTTTTGTAATTTTCAAACTTAGACCAAACGGTGTTAAGGTTAAACGTTCGAAAATTAACAACGAGGGCCACATTGAGATATTTTTTCAAGTACAGGGGGCAAATCGATGCAATCTAGAGTAGAAGGGGTAAAGTGATATAAAACCAAAGTACAAGGGAGGAAATTGAAATTTATCCTAATTTTAATTTGAGGTATTCAGTAAAAAACTAAATATGTGAATTATGGCTGAATTTCATTTCAGTCCCCCAGGTTTTGTAAGGGTAATGTGGGCATTTTGAGAAAAATGATTGATTTTAGCGGTGAAATTATGTTTCAGGGATGAAAAACTAAGGGATCAATTTGATTTTGACTTCAAAGCTCAAGGACTAAAAAGAATTTTACCCGTAAAGTCGACGTTGTGTCGCCGATTTGGTTAACAAAAATCGGTATTATAACCCCGATTTTCATGTACAAAATCGGTCTGGATAAACCGATTTGGGAAACCAACGAAAAAAAATAAAAAAACCAATTTCAATCTCAACTTTTTTTCCAAAATCGCCAAATCATTGCAACCCAACAAGAAATAAGCATAGATTAATGTTCATTCATACATATTTAGCATAGATTAATATTTGGCAGTCGTGATATTTCTTTTTTGTTTTGTTTTCTTTATTTTTTATTTTTTATTTTATTTTTGGTCTTGAACAAATTAAAAATAAGATTTACTTGTATTTGAGTATTATTTGTGGATAAGGGTATATTTGTCATCTTTGGTCTTGATGTAATAAAATTAGATTAATTTACGGGCTTGAACTAATAAACTCATTTATGTGGTTTTGAATTAATAAAAAAATGGGCTTGCATATAACGGCCGCCAAAATTTTATTTTAAATTTGGAGGCCCTAATTTATAATATACATAATTTAGGAAGCCCTATTTATTTTAAGCATAATTTGGAATCTTAGGGCCTAAGTTGTCTATGCACTAGAGTCGGTCCAGCAGAAATCCACATGTCCCACTTTTCATTCACTTGTAAGTACAATCTATGTTCAATACAGTTCAATATGGACATGGAAGAACTATATGCCATGAAGCAAGAGCAAATGCGCTTGATAGAAATTTGGAAAACAAATGGTAATGCTTGCTAGGGGTGAGGAAAAAAAATCCGAAAATCGAACCGAAAACAGACCCGGAATATGCCGTCCCGAAGCAAGAACCGCATATACGGTTTTTTATTTTCGCCGAAGTGAATTTTCGGTTCACACTCGGTTTTTCGGTTCACACTCGGTTCAATGCCAAAACGACGTCGTTTTGATAGGGCCTAATATATATTCCTGACTTTGTTAATGTTGTGATGTGATTTTTCTATGTATGGGGTGATTTTGTCCTGAGTTTTGGGCTTTTTTTTACTCTTTTGGACTTTGTTGGTTCAAAATGGATGAATTATTCGTAGCATATTTTGGGCTTATTTAGATTTATTTTAAAGAAAAAAAAAGGACTGAAAACCGACCCGAAAACCTGAACCGTTAAAAAACCGAACTGAAAATTTAGGAACCGAAAAAAAAACCAAAACCAAAAAAAAAAACCGAAAAACCAACTAGAACAGAACTGACATGAACCGACCGGTTTGGTTTTTGGTTCTTCGTGAACCGACCATTTCGGTTCCAGGTTCGGTTTGAGGCTAAAACCGACCCGATCTCACCCCTAATGCCTGCACTCACAATTAAGTTTCTATTTGAGCTCTTACTCAACAAGTTAGAAGCAACAATATATTTTTTTTGTATATCAATCAGGTCAAGTGCAACACAAACATGTTATATTTTGAAAAACCAGACATCCGATGCCACCAAAGTTTATGGGAATTAATTTTTATAGTGGGTGGACACTTATAGTGGGCGGACACAGTGATTTGTCATCTTCGACACTGTCCTTGGACGCTTCTCACCTTCAACTGATCTATTGAGTTTTCTTCATCCAATGTCGTGTGTTCTAGCACATGCCCCTGTTGCGAGTTTAGATGGACTATTATATGTATTTGGTGGAGGAGTGGGTTCTAGTTCTTCAACCTATTATGATACAGGTAGTCTCTTATCTCTCTCAATATAATCTCAATCTCAATATATTATTTTTTGTCGGAGTTGTGGTTGAGTTCTATGATACAGGTAGTCTCTTACCTCTCTCAATATCAATCTCAATCTCAATATATTATTTTTTGTCGAGTTGTGGTTGAGTTCTACGATGCTGTAACTGATCGATGGACTCTGCGTCCGTCCCTTCGCCAAAAGAAGTCCAATTTGGCTGTTGTGTCCTTGAATGGAATTTTTTTTGCCATTGGTGGCCAAAATAGTACCGGTGCCTTTGCTGAAGTTGAAATATTCGATCCAACTCTTGGAAAGTGGATCCCTGGACGCTCAACTCATCACACATTTAGCTATCAAGTTTTGAATAGGAAGACAACGTCTAAAAAATAGTACCTATAATAATATGGAAAATGCCATCCAAATTTTTAATTTGGTGGAATTTCAACTGATATCACCAAATTCTGAAATTGAATGAACATCTAGCTACATATTTTAAATGAGAACAAGACAAAGTGAAAACAACATGTAATAATATGGACAATGTCACAAAATACTATTACGTGTTCTCAAATTGCTCAGATTGTCATGATTTTTTTGTTGACGAATCTTACGTGTGCATTTTATGATGTTGGTGGGGGGGTAAGTAACACTCCTACTTATAATAACTGAAATGTGTAACCAATAATTAGGATTGTATTAATCTAATGACTACAATTTAATATACTAGAATTTAATATATTAGAACTATCCATTGAAGTATCTAGACTAAGTTTCTAGAACATAGGCCTAACGGACAATACCTTATACAATATGGACTAAAGGCTATTTTGGTTCGCTGGATTTGATAGGATGGATCCTCTAGTTATGATCCGCCAATTGGGGACTATAAACCTAGAATACGAGAGCTCAAAATGAAAAGATTTCCTAGCTGAAATGTGAGCCGTCATTTTGATTACGCCTACACCAAGATAACTTGGATTGTAGCTGAAATATGAGGTTTGCACACTAGTCCTCTTAGAGTTGAACGATCATCTTGTATGTTGGATTTTATGACAGAGACTGCAATGGCACAATCCGACTCAATGAGAATGTCTGTGGAACCTTGACGCAGCCAGATACAAGCTGATCTAAGAGCAATAACCTCGACCATAGTAGCTTTAAGGTTACCTTCAAAAGATTGAGACCCGACTTTGTTAATTTCTAGATAAATATAAAAAAAAATGAAAGAATTTGACAATCCTTAATGACAATTTAAAATGCATGGGAAACGGTCTTTTGAAAATATAACAAGGACTAAAAGAGTGTGGTTTTTCAATTTCTTACTACAATTTATTTACCCATAAATACATAATAGATTCCTAAAATAAATAAATAAATAGGTATAGATTCCTAAAATAAATAATTAAATAAGTTGTAAGGATTGAGGAGGCAGAAGAAGAAAAAAGAATCAATTGCAAATGAAGAGAAAAATCATCGGGGATGGAGTATGTACATTTAATTGCAATTTAGATGCTGGTGAAGAGCCAAGATTCAGAATAGTATCGAACGGTCGAACGGTGGTCTTGAACTCATACCACCATCGCTTTCTACTATATTTCTTAACAAGGTAACTTTTTTTTTTTTGGTTGATCTATTCAAATACATAATAAAACCCAAGAAAACACATGGGGGTTTGGATTGGTGAAAAAAAGACATAATTTCTACCTTTTCATATGCAGGCATGCAGCAATTCTTATTACCATGTTTTGGTTTCTTGTTTATTACGATGATTGATTGATTGATTGATTGATTAATGTGTCATGCAAATGCAGACAGGGCCGATTCTGAGGGGAGGCGAAGTAGGCGGTCGCCTAGGGCCCCCGGATTTTTTCAAAAATTTAGGGCCCCCAAATTTTTTATACCCTTTATATATGAACATTTATTGAGAAAAAATATATTATATATATAATTATTGAGAATTTTAATTCATAAATAGCTATATATTTACGATTCTTACTTGTTCTAGAATTCCTCCAATCAGGGGGCCCTAATTATTAAATTTGTAATGTATTAGTTATTTACTTTTATATATATTCAATTGTTTTAGTGTTACTTTATGCAAATTATCCTTAAAAAAATTGGGGGCGTTGCCCCCGAACCCCCGTAAAATTTAGCCCTACTATATCACAAAATTTTAACCTTGCCACTGACTATGTACCTTTCAAAATCGAGTTAAAAATAGAGTTTATCACCTTTTATAAAAAAAAAAGTTTTATTGTAGCTTGTAGAAGGGGCCCCATTTTTTATCCGTCTTCAAATCTCGCCTAGGGCCCCCAAATACTCAGGAACGGCCCTGAATGCAGATTGAATCTTACGAAGAAGGTCAAGGATGGAAGATAACTGACTTGAAGGCAATCGGAAGGAGATGTTGTGCCTCGGCTATTGTTTTTGGACACGATTGAAGAACCGAGACCAAGTTTACATTTTGGCCTCATTCGTAGATGCTACTTTATAAGTGTTCGATCTCTCTATTTTTTTTTTAGTTCTTTTTAGTTGTTGAAATCTTTGGATAATGAAGCTTTTGAAGGATGTTGGTAATGACAATTTGGGATTATTAATATAAAAAAAAAAAAAAAATTAAAGAATTTGAGAGTTTGGCCTTAGGTAATATTTGTGTAGACAAGACAAAACTCAACTATTGTATGTGGCATGAAAAGTGTTAACTATGTGGTGAGCACGATTTTAATATACGGCATGGCGCTGTTATAATCTCAACTAGAGCCCTCTATAATTAACAATCACGATTTTCTGATTATTATATATTACAAAAAAACAATTATTTATGTGACGAATAATTACAAAAAAAACAATTATTAGAGTAATTAAAAATTAAAATGTCACAAACTTATTTTTATCATAGTTAAAAGACTCCAAAAATTTACAATTACTTCGGAACTACATAAATCCGTTGTTGTTGTACATCTCTCTCTCTTTCTTTCTTTCTCTCTCCTCTTCTCGCTCTTTTCTAAACTAGTCTCTCTCTCTCTCTCTCTCTCTCGTCACTTGAATCGCAATTTCTCGGTCTATTTCATTATTATTATTGTTATCGAGTTTGTGTTCCTGGAGGAGTATTGTCTGTCCCTAATTAAGGTATTCTCTAAAACCTAATTTTATTTAATGGAATCGCTATTTGCTGACTTTATACACTGTTGTTCTTCATCATTGGATTTTGGATCTGAATTGTGTTGGCATGTGTTATGTTTTTTATTCAACTCTTTTCGCTGGATTTAGATTGAGGTGTGTCTGTAGCATATGCGATCGACGAAATTGTTCAGTTGTTCCAAAAGTCTCTCTTTTTCTTAATTAAATTTGTATTTTTTTTTTTTTTCTTTTTTTGAGGATTGGAATTGGATTGGTCTTCAATCGGATCTGGACTTGGTTTTATGTGATCTAACTTTGTTTTTCGAATCCGGGTCACAGTTGAAAGAAATCACGATTGGTAGATAGATATATTTGGTTCATTGGTGAGAAAATTTAGGGCAAAATTTAGTTTCTTAAATCAGAAACTAAATTCTGCATACCAAAATTCTCTTCATTGGATACTAAACATTGTTGAAAAACATCGTCCTCTAATCTCTGCCTGTTGGACAATTTGGCTGTATCAAGTCTTGCCCTTGTTAAAGAAGGGCAGTAATGTAAATTAATATTTTTTGGAAATTTTATTTCACTATTTGTTTTTGCTGAGTAATACAGATTAAGAAACATGTGAATTTTATAAAGAATATTCAGTTAGATTTTGCGGTTTCAGGTGTATTGGAAGAGTAATAAAGAATAAGAGAGGAATTTGGTAATGCTCTTTTCCCATATTTTATCTGTTATGTTACAGTTTATAAATCCCCCTTGTCGATTAAAGTAAATCATATTTCTTACAGCCTTCAAAAAAGTTTGACAAGATGTCCGGACAGAGCCAGCGCCTGACTGTCGTTCCGACCGTGACAATGCTCGGAGTAATGAAAGCTCGGCTCGTGGGGGCCACAAGGGGCCACGCCCTGCTCAAGAAGAAGAGCGATGCACTAACTGTGCAGTTCCGTCAGATTCTAAAGAAAATTGTCTCCACAAAAGAATCCATGGGCGACGTAATGAAAACCTCCTCATTCGCACTCACAGAAGCTAAGTATGTGGCGGGCGAGAATATCAAACACATTGTCCGCGAAAACGTCCAAACCGCATCTCTCAAAGTCCGTTCGCGCCAGGAGAATATCGCCGGTGTGAAACTTCCGAAATTCGAGTATTTCATGGACGGAGAAACTAAGAATGCCCTGACTGGGCTAGCGAGAGGTGGGCAGCAAGTACAAGCCTGTCGTGCAGCGTATGTGAAAGCTATTGAGCTGCTTGTTGAGCTCGCTACTCTCCAGACCTCGTTTTTGACACTCGACGAAGCTATCAAGACCACAAACCGGAGAGTCAATGCGTTGGAGAGTGTTGTGAAGCCACGTTTGGAGAATACGATAATGTACATCAAGGGAGAGTTGGATGAGTTGGAAAGAGAGGATTTCTTTAGGTTGAAGAAGATACAGGGTTACAAGAGGAGAGAGGTCGAGAGGCAGAGGGAGGCTTCAAAGGCGTACGCCGAAGAGAAATTGGCAGAGGATATGTCTTTGCAGAGAGGTGTTTCTATTAACGCAGCGCATAACATGTTGTCCCAGGCTATGCACAAAGACGAGGACATCATCTTTTGAAATGTTCGATTGATGCTGTGTCTGTGTGGCTGTTGCTCGGTTCGTTGTTTTTTATTTAGGTGTGATAATGTTTATTTGGCGGACGTGGGATATTTATTGAAATAAAAGCTTTGTGTATGCTCGTACTTGCGCTTCAATGTGTGTACACGTTGTGAAGATAATGAGGGGTTTTGTAATTTTTTTGTCGACTGATTGATCCGTCATTATGGTAAATGCTTCCCTTCTTTTGACGGATTAATCATGTTATTGGATCATTGTTTCATCACTTTATTTATTTGGATTTTGCCATGAAATCAAAGCTGGTATTCTTACACAATTGAGTTATTGATTTCATCGAAACCACATGTTCGTATAACAATGTACTATATATCTAAAGACTTGCTAATTCTTTTCGTGAAGCTGGTCTAGTAAGCATAAGGAATAAATACTGTATGTTGATCCACTTCTGAGTTTATTTCTGAAATTCGATAATAAATGGATTAATCCTGAGCACAAACTACGATGTACTGAATAATGGCGAAAACAAGTGAATTCGTGTTTAGAACTTCTTTGAGAGTGCTCGACAGATGTTTGCAGGGCTTGAAGCTGTACATTATAGCTGCTCTTCGGGTCGACTCATCATCCTTACTGATTGATACACATTGCAGAACACGTGGAATCGCCTGCCCTTTATTTCTTTTTCATTTACCTTAAAAAATAAATAAATAAAAAGTCGTTAAGGTTTTGTAACAGGGAAAGGGAGTGCATTTGGTCGAAATCACTATTCTAATAAAATCAATCATATGCATGAAACTGCTAAAAGCTGACCTTGAGAGAACATGCCCCCCAGAGAGATGCATCGGTGGCAACCTATAACTTTCGTGTATTTTCCAACACCGAAGTAGAGGGCTCTGTTTTAACATGGTACAGGGCTCTGTTTTAACATGGTAAAAGCAAAGCATAATAGAATGTTATTTCTCAATCAAATTGCACCGAACTAGTAGTCAGAACCCAGTAGTTACGGAAAAATAAAAACATATATGGTTAAACTAAGATATTATGTCTAAAACAGTTACCTGGGATTATTGGCAGAATATCTTGAAAATCGTCTTATATTCCCACCACAAATTTTTAAAGCCGCAACTAACGGAGTATCACCGAGATTTCCACAAGTCTAAGCAAGCGGCCAACACAGATTTTTGGACAAGTCTAAGCAAGAGGCCATACGATACTGCCAATTATTTTTCAGCCGTGGATAGATGAATTTCTTTTCCGTTGGAAAGGTAAATAAAATTTTGTTTTGGCCCGTTGAGATGCTTAGAATGTTGACCCTCGGACAAGCATTCCATGACAACAGAAACCTTCAATACGAAGTGTTTCACTTTCGGTGTCCTAAAGAAAGGAGCGACGAATGCGGACTTCCTTATTTCATTGCAACCTCCAAACTCATGCAAATCCAGGAAAACAAACTGAGTTGATTTTTCACCATCAGTTATCGCAAGCCACAATCGGGTCCCAAGAGAAATGTTGTGCAAGGTGATGTCAAACGGTATACCGACAGGTAGCCCTGAAATGAAAGGAAGAGGGTTTTGAAAATCGTTGTCGAAAACATCAATTTCCGCATCAAGGTAGTCGAGTTTTTCAGACACCACAATTTGTTTCAGGGAGAAAAGGTTAAGAGACTTCTGAAGCAGTTCCGGCTTGTGAATGAACCCATCTCTCGAGTTGCCGATTTCATGTGAAATATTTTGAAGATCAATTAGAAAAGGAAAAGGTTGAGTTGATTCTTCTTTACCGAGGTTTTCCACACGACAAAACACAGAATTAACCTTGCTGGTATAATCCTCAAAAAAGATTGTCCCTCCTCCATAAGGTAATCGCAATGTATAAGTCACAAGCATTAGCTCTAGGATATGCATTTCCACCCCTCTGCTCAGACCTGTGAACCTGTGTAGCATTTCTTTTAGCCTCCTTTCCGTTTTACACAACAGAGCCTCTAAAATTCCTATCCCATTGAAGTGGAGATTTCTCTTAGAAAAATAGCATGCCCAAGCCTTTCCGAGCAATTTTATGACGTGCAAGTATTTCAAAGCAAAAACCAAGACACCAGCAGGTGGTCGTGAGTCCAAAGAAAAAAATTGCAGCTCTTCTTTCCAACTTCTGCACATGCAAACCAGTCACTGTTACAGTTACAAATATAGGATATAAAAGCATTCTTAGAAACGCATAGCATGCGGAAAGATACAGAGTATGGGTAGAATGTTTGCTGCAAGAAACTGAAAGAATAAAAATTCAAAATCACAGGTTGGATGTGAAACTTATACAGCAATGCCGCTTCCTTTCTAAATGTCAAAAAACTTCATGAAATACAGAACAAAATTATTATCCTACCAATATGTTGTAGCACCATACGAATGATATTCATGTATTTGTTGCATTAGATAAAACTAAAGCAACATTTTAAGCACTTCAAGAAAATTACTATTTTGACTTTAAAATAGCAAGGATTTAATAGTTTTGAGCACAATAACATTTACCTCAATGTTCGAATTACTTCATTCATGCATCCAAGTTGTATCAGTGGCCATAAATCTACAATTTTTTGGAAGACAATTTCCACACAGGTTGTTTCTGAAACATGGAAATTCAGCAAGCATGAGTGTGGGGGTAAATTCCTTTGGCACAGGAAAAAAAGGGAAGAGATTTTACCACTCCTTTTCTGTAATTGAAAATAACTATCCTTCAAATGAAAATCCAGTACTTCTCCAAAAGATTCAGAAGTAGAGCCAACGGTGAATCTGCTACAGTGAGATAAATAATCTAAAAGGGCATTCTGGTCCGTCAAACCACCAAGACCACGGGTTAATCTACCCAATAGTGTAACCGCGTACGAATATATTTCTGGACGAATAGTGGAGATCTGCCTTTCCAGTGACACTGGAGCTGAGATGGCCAGCACCAATAATGCAATGGTCCTCACTTTGGTAAACCCCAACTTGCCATAAGGAGAAGGCTCTAACTGGTATCATGCATAGAAATCAAATAAGAAACGATACAACATGTACAGATTTTAACTATTTTAACTGACCGAGTACTTGCACTTTTTTCTTGTTGTGTGTGTGTGTGTAAGAGGGAAGGAGGGAGGGGGGCAACGGTAATTATTAACATTCTTTATGAAAGTAGCAACAGAGGGAAAGATTTACGGAGAAACATTGAACATCTACTGACCTCTTGGGAAACCTCATGTATGATTTTGGTCACAAATTTTCCATGCGATCGACCAATTTTATATAAAGCATAAAATACATCAGCTTCATCCTGCAATGTTTGATCAAGCGATTAAATTTGAAGAAGCTAAAGGAGCCGTAAGTGGCTTATAGTTGCACCTACGTATTGATTTTCAAAAGAGAAATGAATTGTGAAAAGAAACAAACCTGTGGACAGAGTTCCAAGTTCTTTATAAGAACATCAATGCATGATCTAAACATTGCCAACTTCTGAAACTTAGTTAACTGAATAGTCTTCCTCGCAGCAGACCTTATCAAGGCGTTGCCATCGACTAAAGCACCAAAGAACTGCAATGAATTATAATTTGGTTAAATCCCTCAACATACATATCCATGCATCAGACATCAGCTTAGCTACTTTAAATATAAATAGAACAACGGAATGCAAAAGTCAAAGGAACAAGAAAACATATTATTGAATCACCAGGTATAGTATTGCGCCCAAAACATATTGTGTTGATATGAAAAAAGAATTCGCCATTCTTTTACACCAAATAATCATACTGCATTTTAGGATGAATCAAAAAACTCAGCATGTACAATTTACCATGTCTAAGTGAGATTCTTCGACTTTGAGATGGTCATGCATAGCCATATGATGCAGAGTTTGAAGAGCTTGTAAACGTACAACCACTGAATCCTCATTTAGTATCTGCATCAATATATAAACAACCTCACCAGCAAATTTAGCAGAGAGGACTGTCATTTTCTTCACAGCATGACAAGCAGATTTCCTCACCTTAAAGTAAAGAAACAACAACCAGAATATTCTTCAGAAATTATAAGCACAAAGTGGAACTTTGCATTGAAATTTAACAAGTAAATTTTGAATGGAACGATTAAAAAGCAATAAGATGTTACCTGGTAAAATTCATCCTCCAATCCATTAACGAAAATAAATACAGCAGCAGTTGCAGGTAACTTAAATAACTTAGCAGTGTACTGGCCTGGGAATGTTTTTTCATTGGTTCCCGACAAAGCCTTTTTAGCTAGGGTTAGCATCAGGATATCCTCAGAAACGGTTCGAATGTTTCCAAGTGCACTAAAGGCAGCAACCCTTATCTCCATCTCCCTATCTCTCACCATTAAACAAAGCTGTAGCAATATCATGCAACAAAAAATTAAAATAAGAACAAACGGAACTTAATAGATGCTGACCATCAATATAACCCCAAAAATATTAATAGCAAAATCTTTAATCATGAATCAAATTCAAGAAGACCAACAATTTTTACGGCATGAAGATAAAAATGGCACGTATACTTCAAAACAAATTCTCTATGCAAAAATTGCAATAGTCCTAGAGAGAGAGAGAGTACATAATCATGAATTTTTAAACCAAGTATTACAATACCTAAGTCCTCTAAGTAGGCCAACTCCAAGAAAATCTACAACTAAATATTAACAACAGTTTAACATTCATAAGATGTCCATGCTTGGATTCATGAAATTCAATCCGAAACTGTATAATGTACGGCCTCCAGCCAAGTATCATGAATTTGCATAGCGTCGAAAATTAGCATACTCGACTTGTAAATTACACCAGAAAGGAGAAACATGGAACCTGCACAAATAATGCATCGGACCAATCTGCTTTAGTTTTATCCGGGCTCAATGCCACGAGCAGCTGCCCCCACGCACTGACCTGAAACCAAACGGGTAAAGATTTATTTCATATCAAACAGCTATAGTATAAACATCGTTCATGGTTCGTACTGCCAACATCATACCGCACGAACAGCCGAACATCGCACCGAGTTCTCCGCATCGAACAGAAGCTCCACGGAGCGAAAATAGCAGCATTCAATCAAGCTCCGATCATCCACCACAATACCACCATTACTCAACATCACCAAACCATCCAATGCAGCTTCCCTAATATACGGATACGGATCCTTCGTTAAACCCAGGAGTACAGTAAGAAACACCGACGGCCTGACGTGAAACTTACTTACATTTCTCAGTGTCCATCTCCTTGTTTTCACGCACTGCCAGAAGCAGAGAGAAAGGAACATTGACTCGTCGGAGAACGGGTCGAACGGAGTTGGCTCGGCCGGTTCGATGAGGGAAAGAGCGTGCGGCAAGGTGGGGGTGGCGGTGGTCGGGAGGAGGACGAAAGCATGGGCGGCGGCGGAAATACGGCGGCGTAGGCGGGGGTGGTGGTTTGATAGAGCGGAGAGAAGAGAGAATAGTATGGCATGGTTAATATCAGGGTTTTGGAGGTGCGCTACTAGGGTTTCTAGAAGGGAAGTAAGGGTCTCGTCGGAGGTAAATGGGTTGGTGATGAGAGAGAGAGCGGCGTCTGTGAGTTTAGGAGAGAGAATAGGGAATTTACCGAGTTTGGAGACGACGTCGGCGAGGAGGCGGTGCTCCATCGGTGGTCGCCGGCGAATCGCAGTAGAGTAAAGAGAGACCGGTGTTTTAATTTAGGCTAATTGGCACTATGCACCCTCAACTATAGTTATTTCATACATTGCACCCTCTAAATAAAGCATTTATCATATTGCACCCCTATTAAACATTTTCTTGACACAAAGCAACAATATTTAAATTAAACCCCTATTCTGATTTGGGCCGACTGTCTGATTACGAATATCCAATTCCATAACCCAATGGGCTTATCTACCTAGATAAAAAAAAGTTCAAAAGAAAATGATATTTTTTATTTTATTATTATTTTTTATTTTTTATTTTTTATTCACAAGAAACATATAATGTGTGTGAATTTAATAATAGTGGCCTGGCTTTTAATAGCAGGTAGTACGTTCTTGGAGAAAAAAAAAATGTCATTCACTTATGAACTTATATATAAATGACAATTTTGACCAACTGTTCGTATACACTATTGAATGTTCACCCGAAATATGTAGACATAATTAAAAGAGAAAAAAAATAACAATTTAATTCAAGTGAACATTCAATATTCTATACGATCGGTTGGTCAAAATTAGGTTGGACGGTTAAAAAAAACAATTTTATTTGTTATTTTACGCACTTAACGAAAAACCAATAAAAAATAAAATTGCCCTCGTTAAGTTTTAAAAATGTTAATTCGGGATTAACCCGGTGGGAATTGGAAAGACCAATCAGAGTGGTGATGTATGAGTGGGTATGGGCGCGTGTGGCCCTTTGTGGTTATGGTCTTTGCTTTTATAGTGAGTCTCTATATATAAAGTTATATATAAACACACAAATCACAATCACGCAATTATTATTCGTGAATATACTAAAATTGCCATAGTAATGATTCAAATATAAAAGGAAAAAGTCAACTTTGTTAGACACAATACATTATAACTTTTTGAATAATTCAAATTAAATGAGCCGATCTAATCTAAGCACCCAAAAATTAACTAACTGCACATGTGTATGCATCACAACTCGGTTTGTAATAAAATAATACACCAAAATCGAGTAATCAGCGTTGATGTCAATTTACGTGTGCAGATTGAATATTTCCATAAATAAAAACAACATATATGTATATATAGTATATGCAACTGAAAATATTTGAACTAGTCGTCTAATGAAATAAAAAGCAATGAGAACAATATTTTAATGAAATATATATTTTCTAAATAAGTTGACAGTAAACATATATGTACTGATGCATGTATATGAAAAATATAATAGCAACCCTTGGTTGAAACTGGTAATTAAATTAATTTTTTTTTAGTTGTGGGGCGAGTGTGACACGATCCAGGTCTATAAATACTCATCAGTTGCAAAGAAGAAGGTCAAAGCAAAAAAACAAAAATATATTCATAATCCCACAAACACATTAGCAACATATATATACAGACAATATATATCTATATATATAGCCGCAAGAAAATCAGAGGATTATATAGGAGGATGCCTTGTCTTGATATTTCAACCAACGTTAGCCTCGACGGAGTCGACACCGATTCCCTCTTCTCCGAACTCACTAAAGCCGTTTCTCAGATCGTCGGAAAACCCGAAAACGTACGTCATCTATCTCTCTCTCTCTCTCTCTCTCTCTCTCTCTCTCTCCATCCATATAATATATAAATACAGATACAGTAGAACCTATAGATATTTGATAAAATTACTTTATGGATGAGGAAAATGAAGAGTGGAAAATGGGATATATCCCATCATGTACTATATTTTAATTTGGACCACCCAAATATAGATCCTAATTAAGTTTATCTTTTTCCCCATTATTGAAATTCTATATATAATTTTTATTTATTAAGTCAAGGTTCAAATATTGTCCTCCTCTAATTTGTAGCATGATTTAATAAAAAAAAAAATTATAATTAAAAATTGCCTTGATTTAAGTTTTTGGTAAAAAAAAAAATCATTATAAATAGTATATGGGAGAACCACAAGCAATAATTTGGCTGTATAACTTAGTGTTAAATTAAAGGGTACCAAGTCACATGCCACCTTCCCTACTACTGAACAAATTTATGATGGACATCAATAAAATATTATTAAACTAACACTAACCAAGATCAAGATGCCACCTCATCTCATGTTATCTTGCAGGTTTTATACATATCACCATGCATAGTTTAATCTTGAGATTAGCGCGCGGCTATTATTTTAATTGCAATTATTTCCTTAATATTAATTATTTATGTGCAGTTTGTGATGATTATGGTGAAAGAATCAGTAGCACTTACATTTGGAGGGAACAAAGAACCAGCTGCATTGGCTGAAATCGTGTCAATGGATGGAATTAAAACTGAAGTTAAGAGAAAGCTGATTGTTACAATTGGTTCCATTTTAGAAAACACGCTTTCTATTCCTAGGACAAGATTTATTCTCAAGGTGTTTGGTGCAACAATGGCCCCAAAAATTTCCAAATTGTAATGCTACTTACACTATTTAAATTATTTTTTGTAACTTTTATTTTTTATTTGAAATAAAATTCATGAATTAATTTTTTTAGTTTATTTTTTATTTATTTTTATAATATGGATTGAGAACTCAAAAGCCCACAACATCACTGAAACGAGTTGGCTGTAAATGGACTTGGTATTGGTTAATACTTTATGCTAAATTGGAGCTTGGACACATATACAAAAATTAATGAATTGGACTGGGCCCATTAACTTGGGCTCGTGCTAACTATTGAATTGGACTAATCGAATTATATTTATTTGGATTAACTCCATAATAAATAATTGTTTAATTGGTAAGATGTTTGATTAAAATTATGAAACTAAATGTGGTTTTCTTATGTAAAATTGTAAATCATATCCTAATTTCATTTAATTGCATTTTTAAAATGTTTTTCTTTATGTTACAACTTACAAATAATAATCAGCGATTCAGCGATGTACGAAAGGTAAGGGTATTTTGGTAAAATATGGTTCAGGGGCAATGTGGGCAGAACAACTCCAAACCACAAGTGAAATGGCTCCATTTTATCGGTGGAAATCAAACACAAAAAGAGTAAACACACAGCTGAAGAAGAAAGAGTGAGAGAAAGAAGCAAGGGTTTTACGAAACGATGCCGTGTTTGAACCTCTCCACTAACGTGAGCCTGGACGGCGTAGAAACCTCCTCCATCCTCTCCGAGGCCTCCTCCGCTGTTGCCAAGATCATCGGCAAACCCGAAGCTGTATGCGCCTTCTCAACACTTTACTTTTTACTGTTTTTTTTTCCGATTTGAAATTTTTATTCGAGAAATAGTATTTTGTTCCTCAATAGTATTTGGTATCGTCGATTTATGTGCAATTGATTGTTTATGTTGAAAGATTTGACGCCTTCCTTGTTATATGATTTCCTCTTTCGTGGTATTTGTGAAAATTCCGATTACACGTGTTTATGTGTAGAATTCTAGTGGGTTAAATTGGTGAAATTTTCTCTATGTTGGTGAGATATGCTCCTTCCGGTGCAGTATGTGCATTGCACGGTCGAGATTCAGCGAAAATCAGATAATTTACTTTGAATACTTCTCAGGCCTCAGTGACTGTAGATCGAGGATTTTGATTATGTGCTTACATTTTTTAGTTTGCTAGACTTAGGGATCGTTTGTATGTTCGTATATATTTAGACAGTAGATTTATTCTGTGAACATGGAAGCATCTCAAATACATTTTTCAGAGCAAAATTGTCAGCCACTGATTACGTATTCGCTTTGAGAAGTATTATTTTGCATTCCATATAATCTTTATTTTGTTGGCTAATGTAAGATTACAATCTTGATTTTCCATGTTAAAAACGGAGGCGTTAATCTCTAATTTTATTGGTTTTGGGCAGTATGTGATGATTGTGCTGAAGGGATCTGTGCCCATGGCATTTGGAGGGACGGAGGAGCCTGCTGCTTATGGGGAGCTGGTCTCCATTGGAGGTTTGACCTCCGATGTGAACAAGAAACTGAGTGGTGCTATTGCAAACGTACTCGAGACCAAGCTGTCTGTTCCAAAATCACGATTCTACCTCAAATTCTATGATACCAAGGTAAGCAAGCTGAACTACTCGATTTGTTTGCTCAAAACGGTCTCAAACGTGCACCAGTATCTTCTCATTGCATTCTTCTGCTTGTTTAGGCCTCTCAGATTCAAGAACATGCACAATGTCTGCATGCTTTACACCAGTACTAAATCATGTACATGAACTTTCACTTTTTAGAGCCGTGATTAGAGGTTCTAAGCTGTAACGAATTTATTGAGTTCTGCTATGCTTGCGTTTGTTTGCAACTGAACGTTATAATCTGCTCTTTTTTTTGTGTCTTGAATGTCTGTCTCGTGCGTTCTCTGACTTATTATTGCAACTCATGACATCGATTTTCTTTTTGCAGGGCTCCAACTTTGGGTGGAATGGTTCAACCTTCTAGGTTTCTAATGTCTAATGACCTAATCATATCTATCCTATGAATGTATTCAGGGAAATCACTCTGCTGCATTATTTGTGTTGTATCTCCACTTTAATTTATGGATCTTGGACGTATTATGTTGCTTATGTGCATCTTTTATCATGAATTTTCGGTGAACTTGCATTACTTGGTGCTTTTACTAAGGTTTAGACGTTACGAAAGAATATGCTTAGCGCTTATGTGATTTGCTAATTGCCAACGAGAGATTCTGTCCAATCAAGTATCTTTCGGACTTGAATATCTATGCAGTCTCATAGTTCCTAGTAGGTTCTAGTATGTCATGTTATTGATCTGTGATCATATATATTTAATATCCGCAAGAGAAGTTACTAAATCTTTGGATTTAGGAAGCATAAGCTACCCGATCTTTTTAGTTTTTATGCTTCATTATATAGTGATTTAGGGATTGCAACTGCTTTCTTGACCTCTTGTTGTTTTCTTGACCTCTTGTTGTTCATTGACCGGAAATAGATAGCTTCAAGTGGCAATGCAATTCTTATGGATGTTTATCTCTATGGTTATGTTTTGTCTCCGACTTCTTGTACAATATTAAAGGTGAATGTGATTTCTATTTGGATGCAGTGCACTTTTTGTATGAAAGACACTATTATAGTTGGTTATGTGATGATAATCTAAGTTTATACTTTAAGGATCATCATACGCGTTTACAATCCCACATGAGTGGGAGGTATCACGACTTTGCCCATTGCAGTTGACCTTCAATTAGGTCGGTGGACGATGACGTTGCATTTACTTGTTAGCGGAGTTTGTTCCATGTTACATTTGTTCAATTTGACTGGATTAAATGTGTGTGAATGTCAACTCCCACATATGAAAAAACCTAAATGATGTATTTCATTATATATAATATATAAGAGATTTGTTAGAGAGAAACTTATTAGAGTGTAGGAAGGATTTGACTGAATGTCAACTCCCACATATTTTGATCTCAATGAAGTCTTGCAGAAATTGTATTATCTCTTAAAACGATACACGCGTAGTATATCTACGTGTATAATAGTATGTACATAAATTTTAACTTTGGCTTTGCAATTTGTACCGAATTTCACGCGGCAATAAATGCAAAGTTATAATATTTTTAGATTTGTTTTCCCCTTCAATTATTGTGGCAAAGGTCGTGGGCATGTCTGGCGCAGCTAGTGATAGTGCATTAGTCATTCAATCAAATTGAAATAAAATAAAAATAAATATATTCATGCCAATTCATAGATCAACCTTGAATAAAACTAATATATTGGATGTTTTTTTTTATATATGAAAATTGGTGGTCTAATTATTTTTGTAGGTTGTGTAATGTAATGGCTTTTCTTATAAGACCTACAGTATATGTTATATTATATATTTAAATAAATAATATAATGTTAATTCGTTGAAATGGGAGCATCCATTATCAACCGGCTGACGTGGACCCGTATATGAAGTTTCCTCATGCCCCCGTTCTATACCTTTGGGATTAAGCAAAACCGAGTAAACACGTAGCGTGTGTAAATGTTCCCAGTTTTATATGTATAACCTCTCTTCACCCAAAATTCAATTTACAATAAAATAATAACCTAAAAACAAAAATGGCTGGTAATTCCTCCCCCGCGATCCTCCCAATCTCCAATTCCCAAACCGCCGGCGCCGACGGCCAACAATCCACAATCAACCCCGCGCGCGCTTTCTTCACCGGCATCTCTGAAACTGTCCGATCTGGCCTCTCCAGCCGCCGCCCATGGCCTGAGCTCCTCGACCGCTCCGCCTTCTCCAAACCCGAATCCCTCGCCGAAGCCACCGTCCGCATCCGGAAGAATTACGCCTATTTCCGCGTCAATTACCTCACCGTCATCACTGCGGTGCTCGCCGTCTCTCTCCTGACGAATCCGTTCTCGCTGATCACCCTCGCCGGCCTTCTCGCCGCCTGGCTGTTCCTCTACCTCTTCCGCCAGTCCTCAGATCCGCCGCTCACCGTCTTCGGCCGCCAATTCTCCGATCGCGAGACGCTCCTCTTCCTGATCCTCTCCTCCGTCGTCGTCATCTTCCTCACCAGCGTCGGATCCGTTCTCGTCTCCGCTCTCATGGTCGGTGTGGCCATCGTCTGCGCGCACGGTGCTCTTAGGGCTCCTGAAGATCTCTTCCTCGACGAGCAGGAGCCACAGGGAGGGGTTTCCAACTTCTTCTCTTTCTTCACCGCCGCCGCCCCCATCATCTCTCAGCCCGCCGTCGCTGCTAGGGGTTGATGCCCTTCCACAGGTTAATGAATGAATTCAATTCGATTCGTTTTTTTTTTCTGTAGTAATATTCCTGGCGATTAGTTAGACGAACGAATACGTTGCTATCTCTTTCTTTCTTGCCCCTTAATGTTTAGGGGATATTGGTATTGTAATTTTTCTTTCTGAACCTATCAGACCTACCTATATAATTTTCTTTGAACAGTGTATCTTGTGTAGTTATTTTCCCTTTTTATATTGCGTACCTTCTCGACATTTATTTCTGTGCAATTTGATATTAACATCTGATTTTCAACGAGCCAAACATGATGTTTATGGTGAATTTACGACGTCGATCGAGTTATTCTAATAGTTTGCATCTATAAAATTACAATTGCCAATGTTGATCAGTTTTGATGCAATCTAAGCGTAGGTGAACGGTCCCTTGCAAATTTATGAATATGAATTTGGTTACTTACTTGATTCATTGTTGTTGTTTTTTCTGATTCCTCTTGTGGTTACTGTATTCGTCGGGATTCACAAATTGGATATACCTGCTGTTGTTTTACCGTGAAAATGTAGCACACTTTGGTCTTTTTTCGATTAACCAGTGATCATACGTGAGCGATGATAGTTACCATGAGTTTCTTGTATGATGTTCTAGAACATCACTAAAATAATATACATATTCTTGTTATACATTTTTGTTTCGTGTGATCTTGTTCTTGCTTATGAAACAGCGTGATTTTGTTAGTTATGTGCTGGTTCTGTTATATGAGGTCTAAAGTTTTCTGTGGAGGTTTATTATTTCCATTGCTTACAGATGTCATTCGATAACAACGGTAGCAATAGCATATTTGTAGTTCTAAAATCATATCTCAATTATTCAATGTGAATTTGTCTACTCTATTCATTTGGAGTAACTAGTAATATAAGATCGCTTTTGAAATCGAGTGATTATATGGGAATATTACGGTTTGTATGGAGTTGTGAAGATGATTGTTGTGATTTCACTGCGTAAGATGGACAAGGTGTGTCGGTGTGTGTATGATTGAAAAAAGCCACTATTTATTCTATGTTCGAACTGCATTAATTAACCCTGTAGTGAGAATTTGCGTTGCATGATTCTTTCTGGATGCTGACCATTCCTTGTAATAGGTCCATGTTTTTTTGTTCTATGTGGTTCATTCCTACTAGGTTTTGTTGCTGTAATGTAATGATGATTTTTCATGTTCAGATTACATTCTATGTTTTGGACAAGTACATGTTTGCAGTGCTTGGAGTTAAAATTGCATCTGTATCTGTAATATAATGCCGAAAAACGCGACGTATACTGCTAGTTGCGAGTCATCGTTGGATTGGAATTTGGAGCCTCCATTTCCTTAAGCTACTAGTATTTAAAAAATAGAACCATTAAATGCTTTACGTGCGCGAATATTGATATAGTGTAGAGATGAAACAACTCAATGTTTCAGCTTCATCTAAATCTTTTGCCTTATTGCTCTTGCCAATGAATATCAAAGACAGATCAAGAAATCACCTGAAAAATGGTTAATTTGTTATTTTTGTGCTATGCTACACTCGATTAACTTTACTGTATTATAGTCTACGGGAGCGGTAAGACAAAATTAGCCAAAATAAGATTAAATATTCTAATGAAAATCTAATTATTTTATTGGATTTCGGGACGTCAAATAAAAAAACTCCTTGAAAGACAAAACATAATATTTGTGGGTCGATCCGAGAAGTTATTAAGAATACCAAACATCAAACAAAGTTGAATTATTTAGTTAATTATGATTAATCTCTCCAACCAAACAAGACTTACATGAATATCAATGTAAATAAAAAAAAATTATATTAAAATATGATTTCATCGATTAGTTAGCTGGTTTTAGATGTGTATTAAATCTAACAAAATACTATATGTTAAATGTAAGAACAGCAATAACTAGGCATGGAGGTTAAAGAACTTGGTAATTAATTAAATTTTTTTAGAAAAAAAAAAAAAAGAAAAGGAAGAAAAATGATGGTCCGAATAAGTCAAAGCAAGAGAACGTTAACCAGCACATGACATGGCCCCAACAAGCCAGACCAAAAATATAGCCGTTAGATTATAACCCTAATATTCTTCCCGCGGTGAACACGGGCTGTTATTCTACTCTGCATCAGCAAAAACTAGCCGTTGTGGTGGTGGTCAATCTTATGCTTCCCTTCACTCTGACCAACCAACCGACTCACTCTCCCCTTCAACAAAACCCCTCCTTCCTATCTCCCTTCCTTCTCAATAAATTTTCATCTCTCTGTTTACTGTTTTTGCAGTGATACAACAAATTAAAGTAGAGAGAGAAAGTTTCTCTCACTAAACTATCATTTGCAGTTACTCTCTCTCTCTTCTCGTTCACAGCCCATGGGCAATCGAATCCAGCTGCGGCTCCCATTTCACCTTCTCCTCCTCTTCCTATTTGTCGATTTCTGCCACGTCACAGCTAAACAATGGGATGGAATCATCGTAACGGAATCCGATTACCAATCCCTAAAAGCCCTAAAGCACGAGTTCATCGATCCTAAAGGGGTTTTGAGTAGCTGGAACGACACGGGCCCCGCCGGAGCTTGTTCGGGCTGGGCCGGAATCAAGTGTGTGAATGGTCAGGTTATCTCCGTACAGCTTCCATGGAAGGGTTTGGGCGGCAGAATCTCCGAGAAAATCGGCCAGCTCCAATCCCTCCGCCGACTCAGCCTCCACGACAACGCTCTCGTAGGCCCCGTTCCGACCTCGCTAGGGTTTCTGCCCAATCTCAGAGGTGTCTATCTCTTCAATAATCGTCTCTCTGGTTCGATTCCTCCTTCAATTGGTAACTGTCTTCTTCTCCAAACTCTCGATCTAAGTAATAATCAGCTTGTTGGGATTATTCCACCTTCAATTGCTAACTCCACTAGATTGTATAGGCTTAATCTGAGCTTTAATGGCGTTTCGGGTTCGATTCCGATTAGTTTGTCTCAATCTCCCTCCCTGACTTTTCTCGCCCTTCAGCATAATAATCTCTCTGGTTCTGTACCTGATGATTGGGGTAGTGTATTAGGCAATTATTCTTCTTATAATCTTCAATCTTTGGCCCTTGATCACAACCTTCTTTCCGGGAATATTCCCTCTTCTCTGAGCAAGCTCACCATGCTTGAGGAGTTGAACCTTAGTCGTAACCAGATCGTCGGGAGTATTCCGGACAATATTGGGAACATTACAAGTATTGTTTCACTTGATTTGTCTGGAAACAATCTGACTGGGGAAATTCCGACTTCGTTTACCAATCTCTCGAACCTCACTTCGTTCGATGTTTCGTACAATAATCTCTCGGGGGCTGTCCCGTCTTTTCTCGCCGAGAAATTTAATTCTAGCTCGTTTCTTGGGAACACTCAGCTTTGTGGTTACAGTAATTCAACCCCTTGCCCTGAAAATCTACCTTCACCTTCCCCTTCTTCTCAAGGGTTGGTTCAGCACCGTCGTAAACGAAGATTGAGTACAAAGGATATAATACTTATAGCAGCTGGTGCACTTTTAGTTGTTCTGTTAATTCTGTGCTGTGTTCTGCTCTGCTGCTTGATCAGAAAGAAGGCAGCTTCGAGAAACGGCAAAAATGGTGGCGTTGTGAAAAAGTCGGTGCCAGCTGTGGGGGCAGAAGTGGAATCGGGGGGTGAAACGGGAGGGAAGCTAGTCCATTTCGAAGGCCCCTTTGTATTCACAGCCGATGATTTGCTGTGTGCAACTGCAGAAATAATGGGGAAGAGCACTTATGGAACTGCATACAAGGCAACTTTAGAGGATAACAACGAAGTTGCGGTGAAGAGGCTGAGAGAGAAAATCACGAAAACGAAAAAGGAATTCGAAATCGAAATCGCCCAACTTGGAAAAATTCGACACATGAATATATTGGCAATGAGAGCTTATTACCTCGGCCCGAAGGGAGAGAAGCTTCTTGTCTATGATTACATGCCTCATGGAAGCCTTGCATCTTTCCTCCATGGTAATATAAAAAATAAGCTAAAAAAATTAATAAAATTTAGCATTTCTTGAAATTTGTGATTAAATTGCTAAATTCGTGTGATGATTTCTTGCAGCTAGAGGACCGGAAACTGTAATTACATGGCCGACGAGAATGGAAATTGCTATCGGAATTGCACGAGGTTTGTGCTATCTTCACAACCAAGAAAACAACATAGTGCACGGTAGTCTTACATCCAGCAACGTACTCCTCGACGAACAGAGGAATCCGAAGATTGCCGACGTGGGATTATCCCGGTTAATGACGAGCGCTGCAAACACCAATGAGGTGGCGACAGCTGGCACGACCGGCTATCGTGCACCGGAGTTCACGTCAAAGGGGAAGAATGTGGGGACCACGAAAACCGACGTGTTCAGCCTTGGTGTGATAATGTTGGAGCTGCTGACGGGAAAATCTCCGAGCGAGGCGATAGACGGGCTGGAACTGCCGCAGTGGGTGGCTTCGATTGTGAAGGAGGAGTGGACTAATGAGGTGTTTGATGTGGAGTTGATGAGGGGTAAAACGGACATCGGAGACGAGCTGTTGAGTACGTTGAAGCTCGCGCTTCATTGCGTCGACCCTAATCCATCTGCTAGGCCTGAAGCAGAACAGGTTCTTCAGAAGCTTGAAGAAATAAAGCCCCCACAAGTTGTGAATATTACCACAGAACCACCTTCTGTTGATGAATGAATGAATGAATGAAGCAGTTGCAGCAAAGAGAGAGTGAAAAAAGATTACAACAATAATAATATATATATGGTTATTTAAGTAGTATTCAGCTTTCTAAATTTATTAATTTTTTTATTCAATTCATTTGTTGTTTTTGTTTTCTTTTTGTTGGTTGAAATTTTATTCATTTGCTCAAGTAATGTGTATAGATATATTAGCAATTCTCATATGTATTGAAACTTTCAATTTAGTTAATTTTATATTTTTATTAAGAAGCTACTAGTTTCAGGAAATGTGCAATGCATGTCGATTTAAGAGCTCGTTTGGTTACCAAGATAACATTAGTCAAGATAAAATTGAATAGTCTAATGAAAATTTAATTATTTTATTGAATTTAACAGCTTTTAATTTTCCACATTAAATAAATATATAAAAAGGAAAAGAAAAAAACACACACACACACACACACAGCAAGCATGGACGACTTTCCAATTGACAAGATCCAAATATCCGGCGCCACCTTAGCATCCCTCCTCCACCGCTCCTCCGCCGCCGCCGGCGACATCCACGGCTATCTCTTCGGGTACGCCACCGTCTCCACCTCCAACTCCCTCTCCGACCACCCCAGCACCACCGCCGCCACTTCACTTCTCATCGCCACCATCACCTCCTTCATCTCCCTCCCCTCCCACCTCCCCCTCCCTCCTCCACCCCCCGCCACCAACTCCACCGCCCTCGTCGGCTGGTTCTCCGCCCGCCGCAGAACCCCTCTCCGCCCCTCCTTGAAAGATTCCACCACATCTATTTCCCTCTCCTCCTCCCCAACCCTAGCCTTCACCCCACAAAATTCCACAATTACCCTCCCCCCATCTCTCTTCCTCCTCATAACGACGCCGTTTCAAGATCAATTGATCCACACCCACGAATACAAAGCCTTCCAATGCAAGGGCAACGCCTTCGACCCCAAGAGTATATCCATTGTCAACATTGGGCCGTCGTTCCGATCCCAATACGATTCATTTAGCCCTAATGTGCAGTTCCCAATGATGGATTGTGAGTTAAGGGGGTCGAACGCCATGATTGAGGATTCAAGAGGGGAGAGTTTGGCTGATGGGAAGAGAAATTTGAAGGACCAGAAACAATTGGATACTTTTTCCGATGGGTTTGAAATTAAGAGATTGGGTAAATTGATGGGCTCCGAGGCAGCTTACACCGACGAGCTCGAAGATTTGTACGATAAAATGCTCGCTAAGTTTGATGGTTTGTCGAAATTGGTTGAGCAGACCAATGCTAAAGTACTTGAACAGGTGAGAAAGCTAATCGACATTCGTTCTTCGAAGATTTAATTTCTTACGCCCAAGAATTGCAAAAAACTAGCTAGTCATTACTTATTTGAATTTAATTTGATCTAATCTTTTATATGTTTTGGCAGGAAAATCGTAACATGAAGTTGAGGTATAGAGTTGCTGGTTTGGAATAAGTTGCTGGTAGTTTCACGGCGTTTCTTTTTTGCTGGTAATGAATCGTCTCGCTCGTGTCCTTTTGTTCGGTTAATGTTTGTTTCGTTTCGAGTACATGAATTGCTGTTTGAGATTCTATATTAGCATGGCGTGTTGTGCTGAGTCTTTCTAATTTGGTACATTGTGCTATGGAGGAAATAATCTTAGTACGGGATTACATTGCCGTTTTATTAGCTGTTGTGTACTTATAGAACGGCATTAAATTGGTAGTATGTTAATTGGTCCGTAGTGGAAATAATGTGATGGCAAAATCACGGTTTGCATGAAATGTTGCCCCTTTAATCAGTGACTATACTCTGTTCGTTTGAATCGAATTGAAAGCTGATTTGATGTGCATAGCATTATAATGTTTCTCGAACATCTTCCTCTGCATGCTGCTGTATTCATCAATCTTAGGTCAGGAGTTAATATGTTGGGAAATAATACGTTGGAATTTCGAGTATGTAAAATTTCCTCCCCTTTTATTTTACCGATTAAACTGTAGCCGCCTTTTTGAAATGATAATGTGATCAAGTTCTATATTTACTAAAAAAAAATTGTTTCTCCTTTATGATTTTTTTGGTTTAAAGATTCTCAAGGTGAATAAAGTCTTGTGTCTGATCCTGGTAATCGACTTATCTATAGTAAATACTACAGACGTTTGGTGGTCCTTTAACATCGTTTTAAGACAATACAATACAATATTTGTATATGGCTTCACTCAGTTAAACTAAGATGATTTTTTTTGTTGCCAAGAAAAGGTAAAATGCAAGTTTGTTTTTTAATGGCTTGCCTTTACTAATATATATAATTCAGTTTCTGTTTTTTTTTTTTTATTATTAGATGTCGATGGAAGCTTAAGGCGCAGGCGTAACTACATCTTCAAGCTTGATGACATAAATTTTCCAGAAATGTTGTTAAGATTTTTCCAGAAATTATTCAGATTGTTGTACACTAGTTATGTTGTATGTGATCGATACTAATCCACTGGTTTCTGTAATGAAATCATATTACGTGATCGAAAAGCAGAAAGAACCAGACTTGTTGATATGCAGTTTTTGGTATGCCGTTGTTATTTCCCTTTTTAAATAATTTCTGCATTACAGTATATAAATCTGCAAGACAATTGTCTGTTGTATTTACTATACTACAGTTGAGATCAACGATGAATGGCAGTGATTGTGAAGCCGGTAATAGAGATATATCCTGCCTCGATGAACGAACCACCTGACCTTATCTTCGTTTCCATGATTATATCTGAATTGATTTGCCATCAAAATGCAGCTTCAGTTTTCGCACAAAAAAAGTTCTCGTGAATATATATATGTTCAATAGTCGACCCCTGGCTCAACAACTGACTGTAGATTCTTCTGCATAAACTCGGTATTGATAGAGATCATGCGAATGCAGCCGGATTTCTGAATAATTCTGTAGAGCTTAAGAATTTTCCTCTTCGGGATCGGGATTGAGCAATTTCCATGGTCCACTTCTGCTGCTTAGCCTAAAAATAACGAGGATTTAGCTACGTAACTAAAAATTGAGTAATAACTCGAAATCAGCAGTTCCATTTGCATAATTGCTTAATTAAATGGGTCCTAGACAAAAAGTTTGGTTGCTCTGTATCTTGATCAAATGCAAGGGCAATTTTGTAATATGTTTCTATCCTTCTTACCTCAAGAATCCAGCCAACACTCGCAATGTCATAAAGAGAAACAGGCCACCCCATACACCAGCAACACCAAACGTAGGGGCAGTTAACACTATGAAGGCAGACGAGATAAATCCAACGAGTACCTACACATGGGAGCAATTAATTTTCTTACAAACACAAGTCGTGAGACATATGCAGAAAAAGAACGAGGCGAAATTGACATTACCATGGAATATGCAGCAAATCCGAAGTCTGAAACACCATAATATAGCCCATCAAGAACGAACGCAATAGCATTCATTGGCTGAGATCCGGCAACGAACTACAACATGTGAAAACAAGAGTTTAAAATTATTTAGTCTGGAGAGGCTACACCAGCTTAACTAAGAAGATTCTCACCAAGGTTCCAGATCTGGCGATTTCCAGAACTTCGGAGTCTGTGCTAAATAAGCTGGACAATGCACCAAATCCAAGGAACAAAATTACAGCCAAAGCTACTCCCATTATTAAACCAACCTGATTATTCATACAATAATACGTATTAAGTCGGGCAATCATGCTCATTAATAAACAGAGGCATCGCCATAATTGTAATTGAGAATCGGATTTTCAAACCTGTAGCACTTTGTAAGTCACCTGGCGCGCCAGATCATAGTTCCCTTGAGAGTAGTCACTAGCAAGGAGAGTCTGTGAAAAGAATGTCAGCAAATTGGAGAAAATATGTCCAGCATAGAGAGAATGTTTGAGAGAATTGAACTATTTCTCGCTATTATTTTACCATACAAAATAAAATAAAAAAAGTTACGGGGTTTTAGTGGCTGTTACTCGTTAGTATGAGAGGAGGTCAGCATTATTTAGGAAGACGAGGAATCTACCTATATCAAACTTCAGCAGAGATTCCTGTAATTATCCTTATCTAAATTATCTACGGCAAACTGCCACATGTTTACCTGACCAGCAAGGGCTAAAGCATCATTTAGCAAAGACAAAGCCAACCAGATTTCGAAACATATCTGGTAACCAGCCATTTGTGTGGGGCCCCCTTTTGCTGCCATAGATGTAGCTAGTGTTGTGGTTGTAATAACTGCTATAGTTCTCCCAGTTAAAAGGGCACCTGGTAAATGAAATAAAGAAATTACTATCACAAATTCGCGGCTCGTGCAAGTAGAGAGAAACTAAACATATTTCCGTGAAAATTATGTGCAGCAAAATGCAAACTAGACCTTGTTACTGCACCAAAAAATCCAGGTTAATGTTTCATTTTATATACCTGAGCAGCAGATTTTTGTCGTCTAATAATGACCTATTTCTCAACTTTTCAAATACCCAGTATAGTTACAAGGCTCCACTAAACAATATACTTTCAACAATCAGAACGGCAAATAATAAAGTTATATTCAGCAAAGATATGCATGTTTTCTTGGAACATACCGGATTTAAGATACTGGACAACCCTCTTGCCGCCGATACTTGGAGCAATAAGCAGTACTTCATCGTTCAACTTCCATACAAGAATTATAGCAGTTAAGTACCTGATAAATAATAAACAGAAATTCAGGTGAACCAAAGGAAACCATGTGTTATCATTTATAATGTGTGTGATGCAGCTGTAGTGTCAGTTTTACCACATTGTTGACGTACTCAGAAATCACAGTAGCAATGGCAGCACCACCAATGCCAAGACCAAAGGAAAATATCAATATTGGGTCCAGTATTGCATTAACTAAGTTGCCAGCTCCTGAAAATTACAACAGATATAGTCAGAATTTAAAAAAATTAAAATTGGCACTCAAACAGAAACATAAGCTGAAAATATAGTTAATGATGATTACATTCAACTAAATATTAGTGAAGAGTTACTTTGCTTCCACTTAAGAAGTGAATGTTAAATTAGTCATACTCAGAATCCTTCGACTGACATTCATTTGGCCAAATTAATTTGCAATAGTTGGTATAATGATCACCATAGTGAAAGACAAAAATGCCACACTTCGTGTAGTATGTGCTAAATGTTCTTAAAGGCTGTTAAGGGGATAAATTACTTAGAGTTAAGTCAATAATAAATTATTATTTCTTTTATGAGATAAGAAAGAAGTCAGCTTAACAACCAAAAGAAACTATTGGTTGCAATACTTGCCGACGGCATATAAGGGTGTCTTTGTATCCTTAAATCCACGAAAAGTTCCTTGAGCAGCGAGTGCTACCACAATTGGTGGAGCACCAAAGGCCCTCAGCGTAAGAAATTGTTCAGCTGGCATGCGCATCGGTGAATCCTGCAAGAGGCAGAAATATGAGTAAACGGGATCCATAAAAAAAATATATATCCATAACGAAAAAATAGCTTGATTAGCTAAAAAAGACATACAACAGGTATACCCATCGTATTCATTAAAAAACTGGAGCCTGTGGAAAGTGCAACAGCTTCTAAAATGCCAAGGACTAAAGCCAGCACTATAGCATTTGATACTGAAGGAAGGAATATCTTGCTCTTCTGATCTGCAACGAACTAGGAACTATTACGAGAAAAGCAAAAGACGGAGATATGATATGAACTAGTAATGAAAAATGACCAGAAATATAGAAGAGAAAACGCATTGTATACGGGGATACAGATGGTATGGTTAAAGAGTACCTTTGGCAGTTTGCTTTACAGCCAATGACTGCTCTTCCGCAACAAAGGATGTAGTAATATTGAGCAGAGGTACATTAAATAATTTAGAAACAAGGTTGAAAACAGCACCAGATACACCAACTGCTGCCAGCTCAGCAGATCCTAAACAACATGACAGAGTAAATTCAAGACACGCATGCAAGAATTTGAGGATATCCTGAATCAGAATTTAACTGATTTATAGAGAAAGCCATTTTAAAAACAACCGAAAATAACTACAAATTCATTGAAACATAGTAAATACTAGATATTTTTTCCTTTTTATTTTTTTCAGTTCTCAATCTTAAGTCAAATACATACCAAGGGTAGCATCAGTAGCCACAAGTCACTGATCACATGACATTTTTTTCATCTTCTTGACATCATTAATCGAGAATTTAAGCATTCCTTTTCTCGGTGAATTATGAATAGGGTTCAAATCAGCTATCAATCAGAACATAAACCAAGTATTTACTTGTAAACTCTTCCATGAGATCAACTGAAGTTGCTAAAACAGAAGTACCATTGAATGCTAAACGAAAGAAAGGAAGGTACCTAAATGACCAACGAATCCCGTATCGATAAGTGAAGTAATCGGGTCAGCGGCCAGAGCCAGAGCTGCTGGCAGTGCAATCGAAAGAATGTCCATCCCAAGTCCACCCGGTTTAAATTCCTCTCTACAAAATCCCAAATTAATAAACGCTCGTTCTTGAATATGCAAAAACAATTCAATTCAAAAACTTCAAAAGTCTAACTGAATGCTACTGCAGCTTCTTTACTAGATTTTTCAAAAACAGACCAAAAATAAAAGGGTTTTCTTAGAGTTAATGTTCATACAGAGGAAAATTAAGCCCACCAACTAATCACTTCCAAAATATACTTCCACAGAAAAGCAACAACAAAAGCTACCTCAGACGATGCAGAACGGAGAGGGGATTAAGCTCCCTATCACTTGAAACCCGAGACTTGGTTTTCTTGCCTGCGGTGCTGGGGTTTTCATCAGCTGATGCTTTCGGTGTTGTTCGGAATCGAGTTGGATTATTATATCCATTGGGGTATTTCATCAAACACTTGGAGGGCGAAACGCTGGAATTTAGGGAACAATTGTTGGAGGTGAAGCAGTAATTCGCCTGAACAGAGAAGAGGTAATGGCAATGGTGGTGATTCATGAAACCACACGCCATTGTTGAATTTCTGAAGAGAGATTCTTGTTTCAGCTGTAGATTTTTGAATGGCTGTAAGGCGATCTCAGTTGCGAAATATCTTTTACTTTATTGGAACTATTTGGAGCATGCAAAACCACAGATACCAGACAACCTTATTTGGCTATGGATTTCATCTAAATTTAATATTATTATTTTAAATCCTTCATTTTAATTTTTAAACAGAATTTTACAAAATAAAAAATAATTAAAATTTGACTGTAGAAGTGTAGATTCCTTGTAAATCAAAATCACATTTATGCACCATATATTTTATGTGTCATTTGATTCTTCCATTAAATCTGTTGTAATAAATTTAAGGGTAAATTACGGCCACTCATAAAGTAAGATCAGATTACGAAAATACTCTTTATGTTTGAGTGATTACAATTATCTCCTTAGTTATGAATTTTGTTACACCTTCACCCTTGCGACGTCAAATTTAGTAGATCGGAATTTTCTAGATTATATGGAATGTTCTCAAGTTTGTACTCGTTTTAGTCCATTCGAGCTTCATATTTTGAAACAAGATGATTATAAGATGTGACTCTTGGCTTGTAAATATCAGATTGTGGTGCATCAGAAAGTACATTTACGAGTACAAGCTAGACAACATTCCACGAAATTTAAAAGGTTATGTTGAATTTGACACCATAGGTGTAGGCGTCTAAGATGATTAATAGTTGAAGGAGACGGTTGTAATTATCCAAACATAAATGAATTTTTTTTCATCTAATTTGACATAACGACCTTAATTTGACCTAAATCTAATAAAGTAAAACAAAAATGTACCTGATCTCTCAATCATATACCTGATAGTAGGTAAATGAAAACATCAATTATCATAAATTTTTGGGAAAGAATGAATAACCTGTCACGACTTGTCAATTTACTGTTAAAAAAAAAAACAAACATTATTATTATTATTCAGCTCAGATTAGGAAACCTAGCTACTCTAATTACTACCAACAAGAAAAGACTGATCAAAGCTGTGTGAATTAAGTTGCATGCATTTAGGTGTCACTCATCTTTATTTTCTGCTTTTCAGCTTCCTATATATATATATAAATAATATTAAATAAAATAAAATAAAATAAAGCAGATACCTTGTACAATTATATTTTTTATTAATTACGCAAAAAACATATTTTTATTAATTAATTATTAAACTTTTAAGTTTAGGTGAATCCAGTTCAGATTAATTTATTTAAAGAAACAATTAATTAATATGAATGTATGTACATAATGCAGGCACGTACCCACTTGTCTATATATCAATTATATTATTTTATTTTCTTTTGTGATTGGCAGATAATTAAATGATGAGAGACTCAATTTCAACCATACGAAACATCAATAATTACTATAGCAAGTACGAAAACAAAAACCCGTGAAACTCAGGATGGATAGCGCAGTCGAGATCTAATCTTAACACCACAGCCCCCCTGCCACCGCCGCCGCCAGCGGTGGCGGTGGAAAGCCGTAATTGACAGCTGGCAAGATCGTCGACGGCGCTATACCTCCTGAGCTTTATGGGTTCTCCATACTATTTATTTTCATTATCTGCATGCATGAACTCTGCAAATTCACACACACATACACGCAGTGGAGTGTGTGTGTAGCATAAGAGAAGAGAGAGAGAGTGAGATGAGTGGTGAGGGAGAAGTGTGAGAAAATGGTGTGTATTTATAGGCGCAAACTAACGTGGGGAATTTCAGAATTACGTCATCAATTTTTTTAATTCCTAGAGAGAGAGAGAGAGAGAGAAATCTTTGACTAAATATTGCAGCATGTGTACGTTGTGGATTTTGTTATTTAATTTTGTGTGTTTTTATGAAATGGAGATCTAAAAAAAAATACGTATATAAGTACAATAATATAATATAATAATGGTAATAAAAGCCCCCTGCCGACTACGTTACTTTTATCCCTCTCTTGAAAATTGAAATAAGTAGGGTTTTAATTTCCTGCTCGAAATTGGTAATTACATAGTATTTCTTAATTATTACAACTTTGTCCTTTGAATTATACAAGAGGTGCAACATATTCTTAGTTTTTGCCTCATCATTACTTACTTGGTCATTCTCGACTAATCCTTGGGGTTAATTAATTAATCATGTGGTCGTAAATTTAAAATATTTGATTAATTACAAAAAAAAAACATAATGAAATTACTAATTTACCCTGCATGGCTCAATTAGGTGTGACTTGTGAGGGGGCCTTTGGTTAGGAATTGGATTGGACCCGTGCCAAATATCTGGTTTGAGCCTATTTGAATGACTATATAGGGGTTCAAATGATAGCCACTTGTTTCAACAAATAAATGAAGTTTGATCAGAGCATTTATCAAATTATACACACATCAATAATCAACATTGTACTTTTAATTTGAATGATAAGTAAATGTAGCTCCCCGTGACATGATAATATATATATTTTTTTTCAATATTTTTTAAATTCATGATGTATCGTGAAAGATAACACATGTTCGAAAGAGTTGAATTATTTTGAGTGACGAGCTATTTTAGTTGAATCGGTGCTTTCTCTTTAGGGGAAATATTGAAAGATATTTCTTTAAATTAAAATGACGACAATGTTGGATTATTAATCGAAAAAATGAACAATTGTTTTCAAATTTGTAGACCTATGCCGGCTCGGACACTATTTTAAAACATTTTGAATATACTCGAAATTGTGAATATATATATATATATATATAAACAAAAGTGAGGGGCCCATACCCAAATGCCTATATCAACAAGCTCATAGAGCCACACAAATCAAATCCAAATCAACTCAATATAACAATACAAGTCCTAGTTAGGTAAGGTCTAAACTCACATATCTAAAAAGGCCAACGTAAGTGGTTCAGGCCCATGAGAATATATATATCTCCATATAAATACTTTAAAACCTCACAATTAAAGGTACGCAATTCATAATTCCCGAGCAGTCTCTTAAATTATCTGAATTCTTCAATCATACAAAGCTGACCCGACGCCCTAACGACTTTTTGTGATGTAGGTAGTGCCCACGAGAGAAATCAAGAAGTGCGAGGGAGAAATTGTAAAACATGGAGTGAAGTGGTACCAGATCACAAGGTGATTTGAGAAGGACAAAAAGGACATTACACATAGAGGTGGCTTAAAATTGAAAATAAAGAAAGTAAGAGGGGTCGAAAGGTGAGAATGAGAACATTTATGGGAAATCCCACATTCCATCACTCTCCACTGACTTGGAGGTACTGGGCGCTTTGGGAATTGTACCCTCTTCTGACTCTCACGCCAAATAACAATTAATATTTGCCAGAATTATTAATTATTAATTATAATAATAAAGTTGGAGGAAGAAAGAGCCAGAAAAAAGATGACCAGAATTCCAGACTAGACTAGTTTACGACTTTCCAGGCTCCATGTGATACGGGTTCAATGATCCATCATTTTCAACCATTTTTTAATATTATTTTAAATAAAATTTGATTAATTAATTATAATGGAATTCTATTTTTTTCATATGACCCAAGCTCATTTACTAATTGGGTCAAAAATTAGAGTGGATTTTAACCCATTTACAATTTTTCTATTTCTTTATTAGAAGATATTCAATTTGTTGACTTCGTTTGTTGGGCCCCTACTTTGTGAGTTTACGAGACTCCATGCCCGCTCTGTAAAATATTGGATGATTTTGAATCGTATATCTATATATAAATATCTACTCTTCATCAGGACGTATAATAATTTACGAATTATATGGGTCAAATAAGTTGTAATTAACTATATCACGAATTCATTTTTTTTCAAGTAATCACTATAAAAGAATCCTATGGATCAAAATTGCAAAAGAAGAATATAAATTATCTCAACTTTTTAAGTAATCATTATAAAAGAAATCGTATTAACAAATAATATATTTATTTACCATCCAAAAGCACGATTATAAAGTGAAAACGATGGGGCACTTTGCTTAATTAGGAAACCATGTAGGTAACGTTTTTAATTACTTCAAATTTGACCACAAAATTAAATTAAAATATTGATTAGTTGTTGGGCGAAGCCAATAATTAATTAATTAATTAATTCAGCCACCACTTGCTGGCCCAAGCTTGGATTGGCCGAAAGCTGGTGGCAAATCAGGCCCATTTTCTCTAATCAACCACCGGTCGACACGTGGAAACAATATACAGTAAAAAGTAGACGTAATTTTTTCAACATCCTCATAATTTAAAGAAAAGGATAATTAATAATTTGACCATCAATTATTACATTCTTAATTCCAATTAATCAGATTCATTCTACATAATGATGAAAGCCAATATATATTGGAGGACAACAAATCGTCTGTGTGAAAATTCATGGTGGAAGCTCCCATGCATGCACGAAGATTTGTCTATGATTATTCTTTTTATTTATTTTTTAATTAAAATTCTATTAATTAATTAATCATTTCATCCGGCTACATAATTAATTATGGAAATTCTAATAATATCATCAAAAATAAAAATAAAATAAAAAATGGTCCCAACTAAAGGGGGAAAAAAAAAAGGCAAGTAAATGAACGTAAATGCGATCATGATTAGTTGATGCAGAAAATGGGGCCCACGCAGAATTAATGGGGAGAGGGGTATAATTAAGGTCGCTTAAGCATTGTCGGAAATCGAGTAATGCGGCAGACGGCAGACCCGGATCAGGCGCCCCCTTGCCCCTACCCCTGCCCCATTAATATGATTGCCATCATTTAACGCTAAATGGTCCTTCTTTCTTCTTCGTAAATTATTTGCTACACTCGATGAAAGTTACAACTGGTGAATTTGTATCGTTGATTTACACACCAATATTGGTGTATGTGTGTTTGTGTGCTTATGAATGGTAAAATATTTAGAAATGTATTTCATATTTCACCTGGTATAAGATAGTATAAACTTTCTTTCTCCTATTCACGTGTTTTTTTTCTATTTTTTATCATTCAATTGTAATTTTTTATTTTAATTTTTATATGTTGTACACTATAATGCTACATGTTGATATATATTTTATTGTTTAGTTTATGATAATTCTTACATCGACGAGGAGAGTATTAGTAATTGTTCTTATAGTTGTGGTTCATTTTAATGTAGTACAATGGTTGCTCCCATAAACACGAATACATGCCGGTTTGACCTGCAAATAGTCCCGAATCAAACAATTGATTGGTTGTACATTGATCTGGAAGTGTGTACTGGCACGTAAAACGGTCATTGTTCACCATACCTCGAGCTCGGTTTCGATTGTAAATTTGAAAAAGAAAATCATAAAAAGATTGGAATATTAATTGCTTAGCCGTGCATTTCAAATTGAAGTGTCGGTTTAATATTTTAGGATATCTATTAAGAAAACTAATAACTAAAAATCTACTTAAAAAAAGTAATAAAATAAGATGACTAAAATACCTTCCTTGGTGGTTATATGGTTCCTTCGACCCTATACCCGGTGATAAATACATGATGGGTCTTCTGCTGGCACGTGTCACTTTTTTTATTTTTCTAAAACCCCTAAAGGTAAACCCTAGAGGGAAATATATTATAAAATACAAAAAAGAGACACGTGGCAGCAGAAGACCCACTCGGTGTTTATCACCGGGTGTAGGGTCGAACAAATCGTGGTTATATATCTATTAACACTTCTTCTATTTGAGAAAATCATTGTTTGAAATAATCTGTATGAATAATAAGGAAAAAATTGATAAAAAGTAATTACTGCCTAATTGTAATTCTAAAATTATAAATAATAATATAAAGTATATTTTTTTCCTCCAAAACGACAGTTAATTTGAAACAGGCCAATTAGGCAATTACTGTTTAATAGGATAGGGCCGTTGAGCCCAAAAACCTTCATGAATATTAAAGCCCAAATAAATTCGTAGGCCCTACGAAGACGCGAGCGAGAGCCCAAACTTATCTCACGCGCCACTAATTTCAAATTGTTTCCCGGCTCTTTTAGAAACGCCAGATACACAATTCCAAATATTTTATTTTTATTTTCTTTACCTCTACTCGAACTGACCTTGAAAAAAGCAAAACCCTAGGCGTCGGCCGAGAAATGTCGTCGTGGCAGATGTTTTCCGATGCCACGAACAATTTCCGGTGGGAAATTGCCGATCAACAGCTCCAGGAAGAAGAACAACAATGCGACGACGTACATCAGCAGCATATTGACACTCCTCGCCTCACTTCCATGGCCGATCTATTGCTTCTAGGCACGTCAATGCTCTTACATCTAATTGCTGAATTACTTTGAAATATACGTTCGCAAATCAACATTTCGCACCTTTTCATTCTCTTATTTCTTTGTTTATGAATTCGTGCAGGTTATTCTAAGTTAATGGAGAATGGGGAGGACAATTTGGGGAACCCACCTATGTTTCGGACTGGATTGGGAAAATCTGTTGTGGTGAAGCAGTCTTCAATTGCAAAGGCACGTTCAGTTCTCGGTGGTATAGACGACTCGTTAAGTGAAACAGGTGTGGATTTTTGATTGGGTTTCGGTTAATTATTTATTCCCCCGCTACCATTCAACTTGGGGAAAGTTTGATTGTTTAGTAAATAAAACTACTACGGAAATATGATTATTTATCTCTGCTATATTCAATTACATGAGGTGAGATTAATGATTAGGGAACTGAGTTCAGTTATTCGAAATGGAAGAGAGTAGATTTGGAACTTCAAATGCTATTACTTTTACATTGTTTCGACTCAAGTTGGCATGTAGCAGATAGAAGATTGTTGGTAGCTTGTGCTTTAAATGCTCTTTTTAACTAGTGCTGCATTGCTTTGGCAAACGTACTTTGGAAAATGCAATTTGTCTCATAAATTTTGTAATCACTAAAGTTGTATTTGGATCGGAGGATTTGGATTTGAAGAGAGGATTCTCGGAAGAATTCCAAATGACTCCAAATGAGATGGATCTGAAATCCACCACAATAACTCAAAATATAACTTAAAAGTGAGAGCAGTGGGTTTGAAATCCATTTCAAAATGAGTCAATGCAAACAACTCCAATGGGTTTGAAATCCTATTTCTCCCTCCAAATCCTTCAATCCAAATAAAGCCATATATCATTGAAATAAACCTGATTTTCAGTGTTTTTTTCATGCTGACAAAATTTATAGTTGTAACATTGTTATATAAATAGGTTTTTATGAAAATGCAATGGGCTACTACTCCGGCAAAAGATGAAACCTTATAAATAATGCATTGCTTACTTAAGAAAATATATCATGCAGGCCCCTTGGATGGGAGACAAGATGGATATGCTTTATTGAAACCAATGTTTGAGATGGATCCAGTGAAATCAGCTGTTAACTTGAAGTATGGATCGCAGAGTGGCCCAGAAAAAGTAGTTAATATGTCAAATTCCATGTTTCAGACGGGGTTGGGGAGAACCGTAAACATATCTTCGGCTGGCCTGCTTAGAGCAAAAACTCTGTTAGGCCTGGATGAAAATTGTGATCAAGAGTCTTTCTATGGATCCGATCAGAGACATAAACAGTCAACTTCCACTGAGTTCATTGCTCGGGAAAATCCATCTTGTTTTGAGACTGACCTGAGTAACTTAAGTTTTAGCAGCTCTACCAAACCTTTGAAATCTTCCAATTTTAAGTCTGGTTCCTGCAGAAAGAAATCAACAAAGCTACCCGATTTCACAAATGCTGATTCCAAGCCTCCTCCAGTGAAATTTCATACTGCTGGGGGAAGATCCATATCAGTTTCCAATGATGCATTGCTACGAGCGAGGAGTTTGCTTGGAAATCCTGAGTTTGATTTTCTAGATGAAGCAAGCACAGCTGACCCACTGTTTTCAGTAATTGATAATGGAAAAGCCAGTTTTTTATCAAGTCAAAGAGATGAATTCAACACACCATTTTCGCATCAGAAGACTGAAAGCAGTGGCAGTTCCTTGACGAATTTTACCTCTCCCACTCGGTCAATTTCAAACCAAAAGCAGTTATATGGTAAGTCCGAGAAACGAGGACCAGGGAATAACTTGATTGCTCAGTTTGATGCCGAGGCAGCAATGAGCAATTTGAAGAGACCTTTTAATGGCCTTACTTGCGACAGAAAGCCTCCAAAAAGAAACTCATACTCAGAAAAAGTGGATAATTCGGAAAACACACTTCAGCCGAAAATTAACCCCTCCAAAAGGTCAAATGGGGCTCTGGTGGATATCACAAATACCACGAACATAGATCACAGCGAAAGTAAAGAGCATTTAGGTGAAAAGAGACGACTTCGAAGAATTAGCTCTGTTTCTCCATTCAAGAAGCCCCGGACTTCATTTGTCACCCCTTTAAACAAAAATAACTCTTCAGTTAATGGTAAGGTATCAAGTTCTGAGCATATTTCGTGCTTCATAAAATCTTTCTTGAAAGTTCTAAGGCATAAATTATCTTCTAGTTTTGTCTAGGCTAGCACCAAAAGAGCCCCACTGCAAACAGAGAGTTTCCATGAGGTATCCGCTTCAAGTTCCACGAGCATATCTCAAAGAATATGTTTTACAGCCTCCATCACTTAAAAAAAAGGTATAATGTCCACATAGAAATTCTTATCTTTACTAATTGCTTTTCCTTTTGAAATTGATAGCTTACTCTATTTACTATGAAATAGTTGGAGAACTTGCCAGAACATGTGAGAAAAATGAACCCAATTGCTGCTGAAAGTTATACATTCGCCAGTGAAGTACCAGCAGATTGCATTGGACCTGAGGCTTTTTACTGTATGTTGTCTCAGTCTGGAGCTTCCGTCCAACACATGACTAAAGAGTAAAATTTCTCTTGCCATGTATCTTTATCGTTCTTATTTCATGGAAGGTGACTCTTAGGTTCCTGTAACGTATTTTCCCATCTGGATATGTCTATACCCGTGACGATAGAGTTAATATGGAATTGGGAACAAATACATGTTTTTCCGATTGGCTATGATGAAAAACACCTACTTTTTCTTTTCAAAACTATTGAACCATCCTCGTGTTGTGTGAACTGTGGTGGTATACTTAATTCATATTTGAATGTAATTTATATCTTCCCTGGATGTTTTGGTGCATTTATTATCCTCCATCCTTTTATAGTATTTTCATTAGGTATCTACAAAATATAGGTGGGTATCAAATCATTATAAGTGGATTGTTTGGAAACTTGCCTCTTATGAGAGGTGCTATCCTGTCAAATTCGCTGGAAAGCTATTGACAGTCTCCAATGTGCTTGAAGAACTACGGTACAGGTATGCAAGCTTCATCTTGTAATTTTTCTTAGCTAATTCTTTCAGGAATCTAACTACATTCAATCAATGAGTAGGTATGAGAGAGAAGTTAATCATGGTCATAGATCATCAATCAAGAAAATCTTAGATGGAGATGCACCACCGTCTTCAATGATGGTACTCTGCATTTCCTTTGTTGGTAAAGGATGTTACCCAGAGTTTGGAAATGAACCTGTTTCGCTTGAGGAGGTTGGCAACGATAGAGCTTCACAAGTAGAGTTAACAGATGGGTGGTGAGGAAGTCTTCACATTAATGATTTTCCTACAAAGTTGATTTCCATGTGTGTAACTAATGAATATATTAGGTATGCCGTGAAAGCTCGTTTGGATGAACTGCTATCTCAGAAGCTTGCTTCAGGGAAGTTGTTTTTGGGGCAAAAGCTCAGGGTACAGTTTCTTTTCTTGTATCTTCATAGTGCACTGATGTCATTTAAGGATTATTTTTCAATATTTTCTGCTGCTTACAGTTTGTATTGTCATCTGAAGATCTGGGGAGCAAGATTCTGTGGATGGAATGGGCCTGTTTCACCTTTTGAGGTCAATGTGCAGTCTCATTTTCTGTTTATTCTGTTATGTTGGATGTTTTGTTCTCTGCTGTTTCTTAAGGAATGCTAAACATGATTTCAGGCATCACAGACAGTTAGTTTAGTCTTGCATACAAATGGCACGTACAGATGTCACTGGGCAGAACGGTTGGGATTCTGTAAGCATTTGCTATATTACAGCACCTCATTTTGCATTTTGCTCTGATATTTTTTCTACAGTTTGTTTAATGGTTTCCTCAAACCTGAAGAATGGGCTTTCTGTGTACATAGGTAAACGTGTTGGTCTTCCATTAGCATTCAGATGCATCAAGGGTACTGGAGGGGCAGTACCAAGCACGTTAGTGGGGGTAACAAGGATATATCCAGTTCTCTACAGGGAAAGGTATAATAGTCACATAAAATAATCTTCTGTGAATTGGGTTTGACTGGAATAACATATCATCCAGGTTAAGTGCTGGTAGTTTCGTTGTGAGGTCGGAGAGGGAGGAAGCTAAAGCGCTGCAATTATATAACCAAAGGTGACATTTGCTTTGACACGTCTTACTCTTGTTAGGTCCCATGCCATCTTGACATAATTTTACAAATTTGATTCTCCTTACCTGGAAAAAAATTAGCACCTCCCGAGTCTTGACTTAATGTTGCCCTATTGCACTAAATATAGTTGGTCAAACTTTAGAAGCCGAAAGATAAAAAGTTGTTAATAGTTGAAGGTCTGATCGCTTGATTTGACAAATATCACCTTTTCTTTTTTACCGCTCTCGACGCGAGAGTCTCAATTTTATGGTATACTTTCTATATAATAAAAAAAAAGGTTTATATTTAATGTTACCTAAATTATGGTGATGAATAATTGAGACCTGATTGTTGAGTTGTTTTTGTGTTCAGACGCGATATTGTTGCTGAAGGAATCATTTCAGCATCCCAAAGAGAAGTAGAATTTGATGTTGGATATGATCATGAAAGTGAAGAAGGTGCCAGACTTATGAAGCTTCTTGAGACAGCTGCAGAACCAGAGGTTCTAATGGCAGGGATGAGCTCTAAACAGTTAACTTCTTTTGCTTCCTATAAAGCTAAGCTAGAGGTATGAAATAATTATTTCTTTAACGTACACCTAGAGGAGTTCTAATATCTTTTCCTGTGATGTAAGGCAATGAGACACACAAATATGCAAAAATCCATTGAGGACGCTGTGGAAGCTGCTGGGCTCAGTGAGAGAGATGTCACTCCTTTTTTACGGGTTAGAGTTGTTGGTTTGACAAGTAATTGTCATCCACGAGAGTCTTGTCCGCGGAAAGGCTTGATTACAATATGGAATCCAACTCAGAAGCAGGTAAATTGGTTTATGACATAGGTTCTCTAATGCAGATGCATCTATACCTTACATGGAGCCAAGTTTCTTCACACTCTAGATCTTTTTCAGTTGCTGATTTTGTGATTAATCTCTTGTATTTTTGTTACTTCGTAGACCCTAGAGCTGTGTGAAGGGCAGGCATATGCTGTTGGAGGACTTGTACCATCTAGCTCTGATTCAGGCATCCTTTACTTACAAGCAAGAGGAGCAACAAACAATTGGTTACCTATGTCTCCATTGAAAATGGAAAATTTTGCGTAAGTGAATGAATAGATACACATTTCTTTCTGTGTGCGTGTGAGAAATATGTTGTACTATTGGAGGTTCAAGAAATCAATTTTGCAGGCCATTCTTCACTCCTCGTTCATCAACTGCAGTATTAAGTATTGGTGAAGTTCCTCTCTCCAGGTACGTCTTGTGGGCGATGTCCTGGAATTACTGGTGCTTTTCTGAAATTGCCTGAGGTTTGATTCACCCTTTTGTACAGTGAGTTTGACATTGCGGCTTTCGTAGTTTATGTGGGAGAGGTGTATAGACAAGGTAATCAACAAAAGCAGTGGGTCTTTGTGACAGATGGAAGCTCATCTGAATTTTGTTCGGAGGAATCATTAGATGCATTACTGGCAATTAACTTCTGCTTGCCTTGCATTGGACTCGATTCATCTGCTCCAGTTAACTCAAATATTGCTGGATCTGTGGTAAGTATTTTCAAATATCTGATCTATACAATTTTTCGCAATTGATTAATTGGTCGGTATAGTATGTCTTCCACTTTTTAAATCCAGGGAAGAACTTCAGAACTAAAATTGTAGATATAAAAGCGAAATCCTGCTAGAAGTTTCTTTAACTATATATAGCACAATCCTTTTCTGCAAATCAAACTGTTCTTTGCAATTACACGAATTAGTCAATTAGGAGTGAATAGTGTAATAATTCTGTCAATCTCATCACATTTTCAAGGATATGAACCTTCAATTCTTTTGGTAGATTACAAGGATATCATTCTTTATATAAGATCGAGAAAAAAAATTAACTTTTGTAATCTATGCACAGGTCGGGTTTTGTAATCTCACCAAGAGATCGAAGGATCATGTAAATGGCATATGGGTGGCTGAAGCAACAGAAAATTCGGATTATTTTTTAAGTTATGATCGCGCAGGTCGCAACCATTTAAAAGATGTTTCTGCTTCAGTATTAAAATGGGCAAATACATCAAGCTCGGTATGCCTCGTCATATTTGATATACCGTCTATTTTATTCTCCCTCTTATTCCCTAATATAATATCTCCGTAAATTTGGTGATGCAGATAATCGAGAACCTTAAGGAAAGAGTTTTGACTATTATCAGAAATTCGAAAGATGGGTGTTGAAAGAGCCTATTTAAGCACATAAAACCGAGTGTGTTGAAAGAGTTTTTGTATTTTGAGATTCTACAACCAACAACTAAACCGAGTGCGCGAGTATGAGATGGGCATTGTGAATGTATATCGTCTGAGCCTGGTTTCAAGTTTGCTTATTACAATCGGCTGTGTTTAGCCGTTAGCGGGTCGGTTTTCGTTACTTTTGATGTATAGCATTTCTCTCTCAAACATGTAATAATAATTACGGCAATGTAAATCTTAATTCGGAACTGATGTATAATTAAATGAGTCAACATCAATATTACCATATAATTAGCCGGGAAAAAGAATTGCAAAATTCCAGCTCAGCTCAAGAAATGAAGGGCAATATCGACTATAGAGTATAGACATTGATTTAGCACAAATTGAATCATAGGACAGATTTCCAATCTCGATCGTCATCATTGTTATTAAAAAATATTCTACAGAAAAAATGCCCAGGACTCATTTGTGTGAAACCTTCTATGACACGTGGCACAAGCAGGGTGGATTTTATCGTAATATTTGTCTTATCTTATGTTCCCTCAACTGTAGCATGTTTTGATTTGTTGCAGCAAGCAGCCCAATATCTTCTTCCCCTTTCTCTAAAGTGAAAAAAGTGCATCCCTTCAGCGAATCGTTGCCAGAAAATCAAACTATCGAAAAAATATTGGAATATTGTCATGTGTTTGTCTCAGATACGTGACCGCACACCAGTTTTCATACTATAACCAGTAATATCAATATATATATAATATCACAGTCAATCCCTCCAAATTACTTTTTCCACTCCAACCCCAAAAACTAGAGAGAGAAAGTAGAGAGAGAGAGAGAGAGAGAGAGAGAGAGAGAGAGAGAGAGAAAAGCAAAAGAGAGAAAAGACAAACAGTGGTGTAAGAAGACACACCAGATGAAAGGTGAGGGAATATCTGATCATAGTACGACGTCGTCCTCTAGTTTTTTTCCTTTTTCTCTGTCGGAAAAAATGCATGAAAGCCAAAAGGAATATCACAACTCCTTAATGTTTTCTTCCACTTCTGTCCTTATCTTCTTCTATATAAACAGTATGTACTCCCATGCCAAGTTTGAAACCCTAGAAAAAAAAAACTCAGAGGATAATTATATATATATGGAGCAAGGGAAAAGCAGCAATAGCAATGGTGGTGTGCTAAGAGGATGCATCAAAACAAGCAAAGGGCCGTGGCTAGTTCGCCGGCCGACCAAAAACGGCGGTCTAGTGACGAAGCTACGTTTTCCTTCAGACAAGGAGCGTCTGAACAACAAGCAGCGAGAATCGAGGAGGAGATCTGTGGCCCATAAAATATTTTCGGGCTTACGGGCCCATGGTAACTACCATCTTCCAAAGCATGCTGACTCAAACGATGTTCTTAAGGCTCTTTGTAATGAAGCTGGCTGGCACGTCGATGAAGATGGCACTGTTTCTAGATCAAAGGTATTTTTTTATTTATTTTATTAATTAATTAAACTACTATTTATAATTTTATTTTTTGGTTATAGGTTTGTGAATCGAAAATGCCGAGCTTGATCGAACACGAAACGAACCGGGTTTCCGGATGTGAGTTCGGGTTTGAAGATGAAGAGTTTTGTAAATGTGGGCGTAGTATGGATTTGCAGTGTGATGGCCACCTTGATACTACCCTCACCCTTTAATTAATTAATTGTTTTTTTGCTAGTAAAAATAGAAATTAATAGATTATTATATTAGAAATGAAATTAAATAGAAGGGTAAAAAGGGTATGTTATTGTGGATTTTCTAATCTCATGTTTGAAGCATTATTTTGCAAGGTAGAATGTTAATTAATCCAAATCTTTATAAACATGAAGCTTCTGGAAATATGCTGTAAAACGAAATCGAAGACGAGTAGAAACTAAAATTTCCATCTAATTCGACTTCCGCAAATCGATATCTCGTCACGAAACGCCAAATTCCACTCAAATTTTCACTTGATCGTTCGAAATGTACATAATAGATAGATACAATACAACCAAAGATCATATTCATTCATGCACAAATTAAAATAAAACCCTAACTTAATTAATTTTTAATCACAAAAATTGGAATAGTAATTGGTTCCAAATATCAGGGACACCAGGCAAACACCAGTGCATGCAATCGGAATACGTAGAAGGATTTGCCATATTCTCCGAGCTCAACGCCTCCCAAAATTTGCGATAAATTGTCGGGTGCCCGTCTTTTCTATACTCCGATAACTGAGTTATATTTAAAACCGAAACTTTCGAACCTAATTTACTCAATATTTTCTCCACCATACGCATTGTTGGCAAATCCGAACCGCTTCCCCAATACCTCTCGTTGTTCATAATCGGCTCTTTCTCGTTATAGCAATTCCCTTCACCTCCCGCCTCCCACTCTTCTTTCCTGTTTTTCGTTTTAAAATAGTAAATTAAATAAAAAATCTTGTTATTTCCTCATTAAGGCAAACTTTATTTTAATAATAATAAAAAAATCTTAATTACCCTAGATGCGTAGGCGACATGGTAACGAAGAAAACCTTCTTTTGAAGTGGATCAGTAACACGAGAGTCGACCCAATCAGCCCATTTTTCCATAGCTAATTCCATTCCTCCAAGCCCACTAATTTCTTGACAAACATTCTTCTCTTCATTGCTCCATCTAAAATTAACACGATTTTTTTTAAGCCTTTAGTATAGTTCCTCATTTAAGATGCTATATAAAATATACGGGTATATATATATATATATATATATATATATATATATATATATATATATATATATATATATATATATATATATATATATATACTTACAAGAGCTTAACTGGACCCTGTCTCCACCACAAATACGAATTGAACACAAGTATATCAGCATGCTCCCATCTCGACGAATGCCTAAATATTGAATCCGGGCGCAGTATTCTCTCGTTCATTCGATGGTCAACTGCGTCGTCGCAGTTGGATTCAACAAGAAGTGGGGCCCACAGAAACTCAATCGTAGCATTATAATTCTGTACAAGAAACAAGAATGGCCTAACTTTAGAAACTTAGCCAATAAGCATATATACGTAAATCAAGAAAATAACGAACAATGGTATTTCTCGATAGAGTAATTTACGTTTGCAGTTTACTACCTCTGCTCTAAAAATCGTAAGTTCCGAATTAGGTGTGATCGACTGTTTATCGGCCGGAACTGAAGACTGCAACAAACACAGCATTGATATCCATTGCCCTCTATTCAAAGAATCTCCGACAAACATTAATCTCCTCCCCCTCAATTTCTCCCACATTTCCGTCGAATTCCACCTATTAAGTAAAATGCAATTCAAAAACGCAATTCAAGATGCAATTCTCGGACATCATCGATCAAGTAATGTAATAGAACAACGAAAATCGAGTACCGTTTCAAATTGCAGTTTTTGGGTTGCCATCTCCAGAACTGGTAATCCAAATCAGGCCTCCCATGTTTGTGGCAAGCCAATTGATCAGACATGTACGGACAATTAGATTCTTCATACAGCGGATACGAAACGTTGTCGAAAACCCATTTCCCAGAAAACAAGTCACAGCCTTCCGCCGCCGGAGCCGCCGTTCTGCCGCCGGAATCCGACCGACGAACGGCTGAAACAGCTCTTCTGCCACTATACCTCACCGTGGAAGCGCATTTAGTAAATTTATCCAACCCCACTACAACAAACCAACGAGAAAAAATCAAATCAAATCAAATCAAAACAAACCCACTTCTGATTTAGGTTTCAAGAAATTGCGCAGTCAAAATCAGAAAATTCAAATCCGAAAAACCCAGAAACAATTTAGTAAGACAAAACTCACCTGGAGGTTTTTTGGAGAGATTAAAAATCTGGGGTGGAGCGGAATTGAGCAAAGAAGTATCTTGGATGATAGATCGCTGCTCGTCGCCATTGCTGACGTCACTGTTTTCTTGAATCACTTGAATGTAGGATTCGTTGTATAGAATCGAGAAAGCTATGAACACAAAGAAGACGAGCGCAATAATTGGGTAATGGGTTTTCCTCTTCTGCCATCTCTGCATTTTTTTTGTTGAGGTTGAAGGAATCTTTGGTCAGCCGACAATGACTCTTGTAGTTGAATATGAGAAAGAAGAAGTAGGATTTTTAGTAAAGACTAATTATGTAATTAAAATATATAATCCGACCACTAAACCCATAATAATTGTATGGTACAAGGAATATTTGGTGATTATGTATTTTTTTTAATTATATCGAGGAAAAATGTTTTTACGCATTGATTGATGTTGCATCCTGCAGTGAAGGAGCTTTAATCAATTAAATATTTGATCCCAAATAAAAAATAAAAAATAAAGAAAATAGTTAATTAAATACATGTGATGTGGCAGACGAAAGAAGACACTCGTAATAATATAAATGAAATGTTAAATGTCGTTTCAATTTTACTAATGTCGTTTTAACTTCGAACCTGATTTTGATATATTTCTATTTTGATTTTGGCAAAATTGGAAACACGAAAATTGTATTCCTTTGGGTTAGCTTTCTAATCAAACTTAAATCCGCTAGATTGGATGTCGTATGACAAAGTTATGCATGAATGAGTCACATTTTGAATTTTAGATACCTCAATACATCAAAGTTGTGGGCAGTATCCATTGATTCATGTATATCTTTCTCGTTCGACATCCAATTTTTAGTGATTCAAGTTGGATTAGAAAACTAACTGAGAATACTACAAATTCTATTTTTTGGATTTTGCAAAATTTGGAATAAAAAATGATCAAAATCACGTTTGAAGTCGTAATGATATTATTAAAGCTCGAACGACATTTATCACATTCCTAATATAATAATATTAAATAATAGAAAGATTAATATATAATTAAAAAAGAAAAGAAAAGTGCGATCTTTCAATATAAATATAGTACGTATAGATATAGTATTTGTTACTCAGAATCAAGTCTATAATTATAAGAAATTACTTTCTATAAATTGGGAAATTCATGACATTTTTTTTCCATCATATAAAGTATTTTTCAAACAAAATGGTCTGATTGGTACAACTTAGATTTTAATAAAATAACTAAAATTATCAGTTTCTCTTACCCACGAAAGTCGAAACACACAATACACATGGGTGTCTATGTTATTATGTGTAGATCAATCGTGATTCGTGCATGATCACCTGGTGTATTTTATTGAGTGTAGCCTCTACAAAACTCGACATGGACCCATTTCTTTTATCTTAATTGGTCGATTCTAGGTGTTGAAATTGGTAATAAATTTTCGAATTCTGTTAATTTTAATCCCCCCCCCCCCCCCCCCTTTTTTTCTTGCTTCCGTAAAACTTTTCCTTCTGAATTCCCAAAAATTCAATTTATTTTTGTTGATTTTTTCGAATCAACTGAATATTTATATAAGATTTAAAAAATTCCATTTTTTTAAATATAAATTAAAAATTCCAATTTTTATATCATACGTGAATAGAGGAAAATGAAAATTTTGATTTTTGTCCAGTTCAATCCGAAAAGCCCATAAAGAATCAATTAGACAACAAGTAGTATATTGCATTAATATTTCTTCTTCTCCACATTCAAAAAACAAAAAAAAAGAAAAGAAAAGAAAAGAAAAAGACTGAATTAACTAATGATTAGGAATTGATAATATAAGAATAAAGGATCTGATTCCAAACATCAGGGACACCTGGCAAACACCAATGCATACAGTCTGCAAATAGAGTTATGTTCTTCAATTGTTCCTTACTTATTGCATTCCAAAATGTCCTATGTACCGATGGATGCCCATCTTCTCTATAAGCAGACAATTGTGTTATATTCAAATATTCCACTTTTACCCCTCTCTTCGACAACTTCTCTATCGTCGATTCCACTATTTCCATCATGCCCCGATTCGCCCCACTCGGCCAATACTTCTCGTCCCAATTCGGCTCCGTTTCTTTGTAGCACGTGTGATCCGTGCTCCACATTGTACTCCTACATACAACATTATTCACGTCCGATGCAAATTTTAATCTATTAAATAAATTTAATTGCAACAATAAGATTTTTGAACATACCCTACTCGAAAAGGCGACGCACTCATGAAGAACAACTTCGTTTTCGTTGTATTAACATGCATTTCCACCCAATCGGACCAAGTGCTTATCGCCAATTCGTAACGACGTAGTTTCATCTCTACTCTTTGGTATATTGCATCTGGGCTACCGAACGATCCCCACCTATATATACATATACACTAAGAAATTAACGAAAATTAAAAAAAATAAATTAAAAAAAATTAAAAAAAAAAAAGATTAATCATGGTTTATGGTACTAACAACATTGTCATTGTAGTATCCATCCACCAAGCAAAGGAATCAAAGATGAGTATATCAGCATCACTCCATTGTCTACCATGCTCTTCTATATTTTTTATTCTTACGACACGTGGCCTCACCCTGTGAACCTTTATATCGTCGCAATTAGACTCCACAAGCATCGGCGCCCAGTAAAACCCGATCGTCGCGTTGTATTCCTTCATTTAGTAATTTTCATCAATAAAAAAATGAATTCCAAAGAGAGAAATCGAAAGAGGAGAGAGAAAGAGATCGAGAGAGATTTTATTACAATGGAATGAAAGGAGTACAAGTTTCCCTCAAGAACCACCGATTTATTCGACAATGGAGGAAGATACGAATCGATAAGGCAAAGCATCGACTTCCATTGGTTTCTATTCAACGAATCCCCGACAAATATAAGCTTTTTTCCTCTTAATTTCTCCAACAATGCCGTGCCATTAAACCTATTCACATGTCCGAAAATATATAGCAAAAAACAAAAAAAAAAACAAAAAAAAAGTTTTTAAAATTAAATAAACCTTGGAAGATTACAATGATGAGGTTGCCATCTCCAATTTTGATATTTCAAGTCCTTTCTCCCATATGTCTCACATGCAAAATCATTCTCCATGAAAGAACATTGTTCCTCCTTGTAAAGAGGGTACGACGAATTATCGTAAACCCATTTTCCTGAAAATAAATTACACCGGCCGGGAATTATTCGACTATTTTTTTCACCTCCAATTTGTTCTTTCTCGACGAGATTTTGGCTTTCTACGTTACCGCGTGTTAGATGAATAACTACAAGAACAAAGGCTAGAAGGATTAGGGTTGCGAAGTGAGGGAATTTCAGCACGTGTTTTGTTTTCTTAATAGCAATTTTTTCAATGTGATCTTCTTTCATTTTTTCTTCTTGCATATTGTAGTTTACTTTTGATAACTTTCAGTTATATACTTGTGTATATATATTTATAATAATAATAATAATAATACAATGTATAATTATCCCACGTTGATTATGAATTATGACATGTGAAAGTGATGGAAAGTGATATGAGACGTTATGGTGTAACTACACCCACTTAATTAATTAACAAAGATATTGTTACTTTATTTTATTAGTAAAATTTAATTGTGATATCATATGTAATCTTAAAATTAATTGAAGGTTTTATATATGTTTTAAGTATATATTGAATAATGTACATGTTGCCCCTTGCCTCATCTAGTTTAGGGATTATTCATTATTGCATAAGAGATTGATAGGAAAATATATTTAAGCTATAACTTAATTTAAAAATAAATAAATTAAATTATGCAGATCAAGTAATTTCATTAACTCATTATCAGGGGTTTGTATTATATTTCACAAAATAAGCCTGTCGTTAATTATAAAAAACACCCACATCTATCTATAATCACCAAAATTCCCCCAAAATTTGTTTTTTGTCTTGTACTAATCCCCTTACGGTGTGATTTTTACGGAATCTTTTTGAATTCAGGGAATAATATTCCCAAAAATGCCGATTCTACCCTTGTACGCGTGGTATTCCTTTATGTTATTTTAAAAAGATAAAAATTAGCCTTAGGGGAGCCTTTACGCGAAATTTTTATTCTTCTTAAATTACACATATACAAATTTTTAGTATTATCATTACCCATCTGAGGATAATTTTTGTCTTAAAAAAATATCATAAAGAAATGCAACGTATGCATGGGGTGTTTTCGTAATTTAACCCAAGTTCGAGGTGTGTCATAAGAAGGACATTAGTGAAGTAAACCAAAAAAACCAATAATGCAAACAATCTGGAATATTAATCAACTAAAAAAAAGCATAGCTGGATTAATGAAGTAGACTATCCAATATTAATCAACGACTTCTCACATACAAAAAGAGGGAAAAAAAAAAAACTCTTAAATTAATTAAAAAATACAGAATTAAATTAAATGTAACTATAATTTCATAATATAGGAATAAAGAATCTGATTCCAAACATCAGGTACCCCTGGTAAACACCAATGCAAACAATCTGAGTATTTGGGAATCTCATTTTGTATCTCTTCTTTAGTCACAGAACGCCAAAATGGCCTATGTATCGATGGATGTCCGTCTTCTCGATTAGCCGATAATCGTGTTATATTCATATATTCCACTTTTACCCCCCTTTCCTTCAGCTTCTCTATCGTCGATTCTACTATGCGCATCATGCTCATGTTAGCACCACTTGGCCAATAATTCTCATTCAAGATCGGCTCCGTTTTATCGTGGCATGTGTGGTCTGTGCCCCACGTCGTATTTCTGCATGCAATAAATTTTTCGTGTTTTAATTCGATCATAATTATATCAATTTTTTTATTAAATTTTTTTAACATACCCTACACGATAAGGCGAGAGGCTCATGAAGAACAATTTGGTTTTATTCGGATTAATGTGCATTTCCAACCAATCCGACCAAGTGTTTAGAGCGATTTCGTATCGACGAAGCTTCATCTCTATTGTTCTGTATATTGCATCTGGGCTCTCAAATGATCCCCACCTGAAAAATACATTTTCTCAACAATTTATTAAATATGGAAAAACAAAAAAAAGATTAGGGTTTTCGATATACTACTTACACGAGTTGAATTGTATCATCCATCCACCAGGCGAAGGAATCGAATACGAGTATATCAGCATCTTTCCAGTGCCTCCCGTGTTTTACTATAGATTTAATCCGTACCGCACGAGTCTGTTTGCGGTGAATAAATATATTGTCGCCGTTCGATTCCACAAGCATTGGCTCCCAATAGAATCCGATTGTCGCATTATATTCCTTCATTTAATTATTAGTTTTATTTCATCAATAAAATGTATAAAGTTTTCTAGATAGATAGATATATAGCCAGCTTATAGTAACATGGAAAACTATATATGCAATGAAATAAAGAAATTTATATATATTAGGGTTTGATTAATTACAATGGAATGAAATGAGAGTAAGTTGCCCTTCACGCCCACTGATTTCTTCGATGATGGAGGGAGATATGAATCGATAAGGCAAAGCATTGATCTCCACTGGTTTCTATTCAACGAATCACCGATAAATACGAGCTTTTTTCCCCTTAATCTCTCCAATAACGCGGTGCCATTGAACCTATTATTCTCATTTTTGAAAAATAACCACAATTTCATATATACTAATTAAGTAAGTCGGGGAGAGAGAGAGAGAGAGAGAGAGAGAGAGAGAGAGAGAGAGAGAGAGAGAGAGAGAGAGAGAGAGAGAGAGAGAGAGAGAGAGAGAGAGAGAGAGAGAGAGAGAGAGAATGAAGAACCTTGGAAGGTCACAATGATGAGGTTGCCATCTCCAATGCTGATATTTCAAGTCTTTTCTTCCATGAGTTTCACAGGCAAAGTCATTTTCCATGAAAGAACATTGTTTCTCCTTGTAAAGAGGGTACGACGAATTATCGTAAATCCATTTGCCTGAAAACAAATTGCACACTGTAGTTGAATTATTTTCGTGTCTGATTTGATCTTCTTTGCGGAAAACTAGGTTTTGTAGATGTACGATGTCGTCATTGTTTCGTGTCAGATGAAGAGCAACGACAACAAAAGCTAGGAGGATTAGGGTTGCAATGTGAGGAAATTTCAGCATGTTTTTCCATGTATTAGGAGCTATGTTCTCATTTTCTTCCTTCATTTTTTTTTTCTTGCGAGTTTAAGTTTTGCACATGCCCTATATCTAATAATACGCGTATAATGTGGGGATTAATTCTTTGTTTGAATAACCACACGTGTGGTTTATGAATTTGCACACGTGAAAGTAATGCAAAACGACACGAATTTGTCGTCTGTGTAACCGATGTTCTTTTTAATAACCAAAATGATTTGTTACTTTATTTCGTTCGTACAATTTAACTTTCGTTGTCTTTTGGTACGATTTAGGGTTTACGATTAAATTTGTTGCCTTTTGTCAATAATCTCATGTAGATAAATGTTAATACATAAATACAATGAATAACATATATTACACAATCACACACATATATACTCACATGTGGAATAATAACAAGTTTGGAAATTATTGCATAAGTTCCGAAATAAATATGAAATTTAATACATTTATTGAATTAATAATCTCACGATTTGTTTGCGTTCTTGATCGAACATGGTACATTTACGAAGATTTAATAATGTATGAATAAAGGATCTGATTCCAAACATCAGGCACCCCCGGTAGACACCAATGTATACAATCCGAATAGCTTTTGGGATCTGATAATTGTTTTTCATTTGGAGGATGCAAGAATTTCTTATAGATTGATGGATGAGCATCTTTTCTGTAACTCGACAGCTGCGTTATATTCAAATATTCCACTTTTACCCCTCTCTTCCCCAACTTCTCTATAACCGATTCTAACGTACGCATCATCTCAATATTTGTCACAATCCCCCAATAGCCCTCCTTCATTATTGGCTCACTTTCGTTGTAGCAGCTCACTTGCTCGCTCCATTTTTCGCCGCTAAAAACGGCATAAATAATAATAATAATTAATAATTAAAATAAATAAGGGTGAAAATAAATAAGCAGATCAAATAATTATTTTTTTCATTCGAACGTACTAATAATAAGGAGGCGAGAAGCTCATGAAGAACAAATTCGTTTTGGTTCGATTGACGTTGATTTCCAACCAATTTGACCATGTGTTCAATGCCATTTCGTAGCGACGTAGCTTCATTTCTACTCTTTTGTAAATCGCATCGGAGCTCCCAAACGAACCAAATCTGATATATTCATCGAATTTTGTGAATTTATAATTAAAAAAAAAAACTATAATATAATTCTAATTACTTACAAGATAGTCATGGTTGAATCAAGCCACCAAATAAACGAATCAAATACGAGTATATCCGCATCGATCCAATGCCGAGCATGTTTTTCGATAGAATTTATTCTAATTATACGGTCTTTTACTCGATGATTCTCGGGATCATCCGCATTAGATTCCACGAGCAACGGAGACCAATAGAACCCGATTGTTGCATTGTATTCCTTCATTAAGTTATTAATCAACCATCAAATTAAATATCTTTAATTAAATAAATCACATATTAAAAAAAAAAAGTTGATCTTACAGTTGCATGAAAGATGAACAAATTGCCGTTTCTGATAACTGATTTATGTAATGATTGATTGAGAGAAGATTCCATCATGCAAAGCATAGATACCCATTGATTCTCATTCAACGAATCACCAACAAACACAAGCTTCTTCCCTCTGATTTTCTCCAGCAATTCCGCGCCATTAAACCTGTTAATTAACATTAACATTAACAGAAGCTAATTACGAGATTAATTAATCAGGAAAGAGGATTAACACAAAACCTGGGAAGATCACAGTGATTGGGCTGCCATCTCCAGTTTCGATACTTGGAATCCTTTCTGCCGTATTTCTGACAGGCGTACACATTCATCATGAAAGAACATTTTCTCTCCTCGTACAGAGGATACGATGATGCGTTGTCGAAGACCCATCTGCCTGAAAACAAGTTGCAGCTTTGATGATCGGAATCGGCCATTCTGTCTTTCTTGTGCGATTTTCGTTCTTCGTAGTTTGTAGTGTATTGTTCTTCTTTTTGCGTTTTGCGATAGTCGTCAAGTGTTTGATAAAATGCCACAACGAACAAAGTCATGAGGAAGAGACCAATAAGATTGTCGGAAGACTTGATTCTTGATTTCCATGTCCTGAAATTCATTTTCATTTGTCTTCAGTAAGTAACTATGCTTCTGATTTTTTATTAATATATAATATATAAATATATATCCCCACCCAAATATTTATTTTTTCCTTAAAAGTCAATTAATAATTAAAAATAATTTATTATAATTTTTCCTTAATAATAATTTTTTGTTTGCTAAGTTTGAAATTTTTATTTAGGATATAAATAATTTATATAGAGACTAGAAAATCTGTATTTTGGAGCCACTTTTAATATGTAAGTTTTGCTTTTGTTTTAAAATGATATTAATACTCGGTTTCACTAATCTTATTTTAAACTATTTTAAGAGTTGATAAGTTGTTACGTCTTATCTTTAGAATTAACTTTTAAAGTGTTTAGATAACGAGCTTATAAGCTATTTATACTCATTATAAGATATTAAATAAAATGATGGGGTGAAAGTATTTTACAAAAAAAAAATTATTTACTCTCTAACTGCTTAAAACTTTTTTTCATAAGAAAATTGTCTAAATTGGCATGCACTTGATGGAAAAACTCATTACATTCGAATAAAATTGATGTAAAAAACCATAACTTGAAATAATTCATGACTCCAATAACACTAATCTAAAGATCAATAGAAATTAAACTCTAATAAAACAATATTAATACATACTCAAATATTTCATATTATGCTCAAACAATATTATACTTAAAATTCAGACTAATTGATAATGTAATCAGAAAGAATTTGATTCCAAACATCGGGTACACCCGGAAGACACCAATGCAGACAGTCGGAATTGTTTCTCGGATGTTTCTTCTCCTCTTCGGTTAAATAATCGGAAAACCTACTATAAATAGAAGGATGTGCATCGGTTCTATATTCGGACATTCGTGTTATATGCAGATATTCCACTTTTACCCCTCTTTCCTCCAGCTTCTCTATCGTCGATTCCACTATGCCTCTCATGCTCTTCTTTGTCGAAACCAAATACTCATCCATGAATAGTGGCTCGCTTCTATTTAAGCAATTCCTCAAAACATCGCCCCTGCACATTAATCATCGTAAAATCGTATTTTTATCGAAACAAATCACTCGTTTATCATCAAATCAATTACGTTTATATATATACCTATAGAGATAAGGCGAGACACTCATGAAGAACAACTTAGATCTCGTTCTATTGATGTTCAATTCAAGCCAATCGGACCATGTTGTTAGTGCCATTTCGTAGCGACGAAGCTTCATATCTACTGTTTTGTAGATTGCTTCTGAGCTTCCAAATGAACCCCACCTTATTTATGATCATATATACATTTTTAAATTAGGAGGAATTAAAAAAAATCATTTAAAAAAATGTTATAAGTTCTTACATGAGTGTCATTAAGGGATGTAACCACCAAGCATAAGAGTCGAAGATTAATATATCGGCATCGTTCCAATGCCTTGCGTGGTTTTCGATCGACTCGACTCCAATTACACGGCCAGGCACACGGTGGTCCCATATGTTATCCGCGTTAGATTCGACTAGAAATGGCGACCAATAGAATCCGATTGTGGTGTTGTATTCCTTCATACACGAGAACTTTTTACTCAAGAACGCAATATTTTTATGTCAAATGCAATCAAGTATTTACATAATTAAATGGAATTAAAGACGGAATTTTTTTTCTTACATTGTCATGAAAGAAGTACATATTGCCATCCAAGATCAATTTCTTATGTGATGATGGAGGAAGAAATGGCTCAATTAGACAAAGCAAAGATACCCATTGGTTCCGATTCAACGAATCGCCGACAAATATAAGCTTCTTCCCCCTTAATTTCTCCAATAATATTGTCCCATTAAACCTATTAAATAAAAATAATCACAATCATAGGATAATATTCAAGGAAAAAAAATAATGTTAAAGAATTAATTATTACATAGGAATGTCACAATTGTGAGGCTGCCATCTCCAACGTTGATATTTCAAGTCCTTTCTGCCATGTTTTTCACAAGCAAAAGTATCATCCATGAAAGAACATTCTCTCTCCTTGTAAAGAGGGTACGTCGATTTGTTGTCGTAAATCCACGTGCCTGAAAAAAAATCACAACGACCACTACTACTACTAGTACTAGAATAATTTTTGTCGTCGCTATGTAATTTTTGTTGATTTTTCAAGAATTTCAAATAATTTACGTCGCGAGTAAAATACAGAGCAGCAGCTAATAAGGATACGAGGAGAAGGCATGTGAGATGGTGGAACTTGTAAAAAAAATCCCATGTCTTGTTAACCATTTTTCATACATAAATAATTCATTCAGGTTTTTGATTCAGGCATGAATTTAAGCTTTATTGCTTGTCAGATTAAGTAAATTTCTTTATTATGTCACGTGGTTTAATTTGCTCTTTTATGATGATTCTTTATACAATATGATCCTGATATTCTGTTCTTTATACAGATATGCAGTTGAGACTAATTATTAATTAATTATATATTTAAATAATTTATTTTTTTAATACTATATTTTATGTTAGTGCAGTTTCGGGCTGCAATTTCTAAGCCCATCTTGACCCATACATTCCCAGGCCCAATAGAGTCAGCCCAAGAATCTAGGGTTTGACTTTGACAGCTCAGCTGATCGATCACTTAATTTAAAAATTAAAAAAAAAAATCAAAACAAATCAAATACTATACTCTAACATCTGCATTTCAGAATTCAGATCAGACAATACTTTAACTGTCATGGAAATTATATTCAAATTTCAAATATTATTTTTAAATTATTTTGTACATTTATAAGGAATTGATGATGTAAGAATAAAATATCTGATTCCAAACATCAGGAACTCCAGGAAGACACCAATGAACACAATCCGAATAGCTTTTCGGATTCGATAATTGATCGTCGCTTAGATGAAAGAATTGCCTGTAAATCGATGAATGAGCATCTTTTCTATAGTCCGATAAATGCGTTATATTCAAATATTCAACTCTTAGGCCTCGTTCCTCCAATTTTCGTATAGTCGATTCCGCAATGTGCATCATATCAACATCCGTCGCAATTCCCCAATAGTCCTCCTTCATTATTGGCTCCGTCACGTTGTAGCAGTTTCCGTCGTTCAAACTCTCACCGCTGCAAAATATAAGTAGTAAATCAAACCGGACTAATTAGTAATTACTACGTCGAAAATACTTTTCTACTATAGGGGAAAAATAAGTAAAATTGGGATTTAATTAATTAAAGTACCGAGAGTGATGAGGTGATAGGCTCATGAAGAACAACTTCGTTTTCGTTCGATTAATGTTTATTTCCAACCAATCCGACCATGTGTTTAATGTCATTTCGTAGAGACGTAGCTTCATTTCTACTCTTTTGTAGATCGAATCGGAGCTCCCAAACGAACCCCATCTATAATACGGGGAAAAAGAAGGATTAAAAAATATATATATATACATACAGTAATTAATTTGAATTACTTACAAGATTGTCATAGTTGGATTATGCCACCACATAAAGGAATTAAAGATGAGTATATCCGCATCGGTCCAATGCCGAGCATGTTTTTCGATTGATTTGATTCTGAGTACACGGTCTTTGACGTGATGGGAATCTGGATTATCGCAATTAGATTCTACGAGCAACGGTGACCAATAGAACTCGATTGTGGCATTATATTCCTTCATTAAGTTAATCAATCAAATAATCATAAACACATGTTTCTTAAGCTACTTCTGCTGAAAATACTAACCATAAAAAAAATTGTCTTACAGTTGCCTGAAAGACGAACAAATTGTCGGTTTGGACAACTACTTTAGGCGAGGTTTACGAAGAGACGACTCTATCATACAAAGCATCGATATCCATTGATTCTTATTCAATGAATCCCCTACAAATACAACCCTTTTCCCTCTTATTTTCTCCATAAACGCCGAGCCGTTGAACCTAATTTAAAAAAAAAAAAATTACTAATCAACTTTAAAAAAAAAAAAAGACGAAAACTAATCGGACGAAAAACGAGGATTAAAAAGAAAATTACCTAGGAAGATGACATTGATGAGGCTGCCATCTCCAGTTTCGATATTTGAATTCTTTTCTGCCGTACTTCTCACATGCAAACTCATTCATCATGAAAGAACATTTTTTCTCCTCGTATAAAGTGTACGGTATATCGTCAAACACCCATCTCCCCGAAAACAAGTTGCACCTAAAAACCGAATCATTACTCGAAAGTCCCGTTTTTCGATCCACGTTTTTTGCGAATCGCTCGTCTTCTTTCCGAGAGCCTAAAAACACGTCCTCGTTTTGACCCATTAGAAACAGAGCAGCAGTGAGCAGAGACATGATGAAAAGAGCAGCAAAACAATGGGATTTGATTCTAATTTCCCATTTTCCATGTTCCATTTTTTTTTTCTGAATTTTCTTGAATGCTGCCAAAAATTGGAGGATACTTAGTAATATAGTAAATTAAGGATGCAATAAAAAATGCTAATTTTGCATAATTTCACATGCATGGTTGTCTAGTTATTTGGGCCACAAAGTCAAATTATTTCTTTAAAAGAATAGAAATTACTACTAGTCTTCCGCTTCTTGTTCAAATTAGGCAGTGAAATTCGAATTCAGGATCTTTCATTCGATATATTCTAATAGTATGTTGAATGACCACCTCAATCAAAAGTTTAAGTTATTAGTAAAATGTATAATGTAATATTGTATCGAAAAAAGAGAAAATAATTAGCATGGTTTTCAATTGAGTCAACTCTTACAGCACGGGCTTTCGCCCGATAGGTCAACACAAGATCAGCATTCGATTCGACGAGATATGGCGACCAATACCGCCCAATTGTGGTGTTGTACTCTTAATTCATTCAAGAATTAATAATTGGTCAAGGCAATCGAGCCGGGCCTAACTGAAGCACGATGACACAACATGATTATACATAAGCCGAATTTGAGCCTATGAGGTCCGATGAAATATGAACTTGAGTCAACACAAACTCGACTCACATGGCCCGATTACCAGCCATAATCTTAGTTAGTGTAGTTTCAGGCTGCGGACCCTAAGCCCATCTTGAGCCATATATTACCAGGCCCAACAAGGTCAGCCCAAGAATCACTCCGAATCTAGGGTTTGACAGCTCAGCTGATCACTGAAATTTAAATAAAATTTAAATATTATAATCCTAAAAAAGAAATAAAGTTAAAATAAAAGGTGATTGTCATTACCAACCCTCATTGAAAACTAAAACAATTTTCGAATTTAAAAAATATACATATAAAAATAATAAGAATTGTTTTTATTCTTTCTATAGTGTGTGACAGAATGTCAAAGTTTGTATTTTATTTTTTCTTGGCAAGTGTAGTAATTGAACTGTTATACTTATATAGTAGTTGGCACATGCGTTTGATCTTGATCTCTTCAAAATCAATAAATGATTTATTTTTAAATAAAAATTAAATTTAAAAAAAATCAAAAAATGAAAAAATCAAAATCCAGCAGCCAATTGCGGAATATGTATCCTTCTCACGAGACAAAACCCTAATCAAATCAAATACTATATTCGGTGCAAATCAGGAAATTCGAATTTGAACTAGTAGTATATAACAACTTTTCTTTTATAATTATTTTTTCTATTATATTGTACATTTATGAGGAATTGATGATGTAAGAATAAAATATCTGATTCCAAACATCAGGAACTCCAGGAAGACACCAATGAACACAATCCGAATAGCTTTTCGGATTCGATAATTGATCGTCACTTAGATCGCCAAATTTCCGGTATATGGACGTATGTGCATCTCTTCTATAATCCGATAAATGTGTTATGTTCAAATATTCGGCTTTTAGGCCTCGTTTCTCCAATTTCTGTATAGTCGATTCCGCTGTACGCATCATATCAATGTCCGTCGAAATTCCCCAATAGTCCTCCTTCATTATTGGCTCCGTTACGTTGTAGCAGTGTCCCTCGTTCAAACTTTCACCCCTGTAAATATTACTAGTAAATTAAAAAAAAATTAAGGATAAAACTAACTAATTAAAAGAAAGATTTTAGTAAGTTAATTAACATACTGAAAATGATAAGGCGAGAGGCTCATGAAGAACAACTTCGTCTTGGTCCGATTGATGTTTATTTCCAACCATTCCGACCATGTGTTTAATGCCATTTCGTAGAGACGTAGGTTCGTTTCTACTCTTTTGTAGATTGCATCGGAGCTCCCAAACGAACCCCATCTGATATATTTATCGAATTTAGTGATTAGATAATTTATTTACAAAAAAAAAAAACTTTAATTTGAATTACTTACAAGATAGTCATGTTTGGTTCAAGCCACCACATAAAGGAATTAAAGATGAGTATATCTGCATCAGTCCAATGCCTAGCATGTTTTTCGATTGATTTGATTCTAACCGTACGATCTTTGATCCGATGGGAATATGGATCGTCGCAATTGGATTCAACGAGCAACGGCGACCAATAGAATTCGATTGTGGCATTATATTCCTTCAAACAAAAAAAAAAATTGTTTAAAACATGTTCATTAAATTCTGCTAAAAAATGTTAACAAACAAAAAAGTAGTAAAAAATTGTCTTACGATTGACTGAAAGACGAACAAATTGTCGATTTGGACCACGGCTTTCGATGATGATGGATGAAGAGAAGACTCGATCATACAGAGCATCGATATCCATTGATTCCTAATCAATGAATCCCCGACAAATACGACCCTTTTCCCTCTTATTTTCTCCATAAACGACGAGCCATTGAACCTAATTTTTTAAAAAAGATAAAGAATTACTAATAATAAAAAAGACGAAAACTAATCGGACAAAAAACGAGGATTAAAAAGACAATTACCTAGGAAGATCACACTGATGAGGCTGCCATCTCCATTTTTGATATTTGAATTCTTTTCTGCCATATTTCTCACATGCAAACTCATTCGTCATGAACGAACATTTTTTCTCCTCGTATAAAGTGTTCGACACACCATCGAAAACCCATTTCCCCGAAAACAAGTTGCACCTAAAAACAGAATCATTACACGAAGGCCCTGTTTTTCGATCTACGTTTCTTGCAATCTCCTCTACTAAAACGACGTCGTTGTTTCGACCCGTTAGAAACAGAGCAGCTGTGAACAAAACCATGACGACGAGACCAGCAAAGTAATGGGACTTGATTCTAATATCCCATTTTCCAAGTTTCATTTTCTTTGTTCTGAATTTTCTTGAATGCAGCCAAGGAATGGAGGGTACTTAGTAATAAATATAGTAATTAAGGATGCAATTAAAAAATGTGTTCTTTTGTACTAATTCCACATGGTTGTTTAGTTATTTGGGCCACAAAGTCAAATTATTTGTTCAAAAAGTTTGGCACTCCTCTTCCACTTTCTTGTTGAAATATTATTGATAGCAATTACTACTATTGACTATTATTGTAACCCAAAGTAGTAGCAGTTGATAATGTGGTTAGTATAATTAATAAAACAACATTGAAAAATGCTTTTTTAATTGTTTTTGTTACATTAAAAAATGTTGTAATAAGATTTGGTTAGCCAACTTGCACCAATCGCAAATCGAACGACATACGTGGATCAAATGTGGCTCGAAAATCACGCGTAAAAACTAAACTATACAAGAAATTTGTATAATAATTATAAAAAAAAAAAAAAAAACCGAAATTATTCTTCGGATTGTAGCTCGATTTAAACTATTAGGACTTGATAATGTAGTCGTAAATAATTTGATTCCAAACATCTGGCACTCCAGGAAGACACCAATGAACACAATCGGAATAGCTTTTCGGATTCGATAATTGCTCTTCGTTTGGAGGAGGCAAAAATTCCTTATAGATTGATGGATGAGCGTCTTTTCTATAATCCGATAAATGCGTTATATTCAAATATTCGACTTTTAGGCCTTGTTTCTCCAATTTTCGAATAGTCGATTCCGCAATGTGCATCATATCAGCATCCGTTTCAATCCCCCAATAGTCCTGTTTCGATATTGGCTCTGTTACGTTGTAGCAATTTTCTCCGTTCCAACTTTCACCGCTTTAAAAATAATAGTAGTAAGTCAAAAAAAGATGATTTTTAAGGGTAATTACTATAGGCAAAAAATAAAAAAGATGGGATTTTATTTAATAAATTAACATACTGAAAGTGACTGGGGGAGAGGCTAGTGAAGAACAACTTCGTTCTGGTCCGATTGACGTTTATTTCCAACCAATCCGACCATGTGTTTAATGCCATTTCGTATAGACGAAGCTTCATTTGTACGCGTTTGTAGATTGCATCGGAGCTCCCAAATGAACCCCATCTGATATATTTACCGAATTCGGTGAATTTTTTTTTATTTAAAAAAAAAAAAGAATCTTTGAATTTTAATTACGTACAAGATAGTCATGTTTGGTTGAAGCCACCATGTAAAGGAATTAAAGATGAGTATATCTGCATCAGTCCAATGCCTAGCATGTTTTTCGATAGATTTGATTCTAATTACACGATCTTTGACCCGATGGAATACTGGACTATCGCCATTCGATTCTACAAGAAATGGTGACCAATAGAACTCGATTGTGGCATTGTATTCCTTCATTAAGACAATCAATATAATCAACCAAATCATCTTTAAACATTTTTCATAAGTTAATTTCTGCTGAAAATATTAACAAAAATAAATTGTCTTACAATTGCCTGAAAGACAAGCAAATTGTCGTTTTGGACCACGTCTTTAGGCGAGGATTTACGAAGAGACGACTCGATCAGACAAAGCATCGATATCCATTGATTCCTATTCAAAGAATCTCCTACAAATACGACCCTTTTCCCTCTTATTTTCTCCATAAACGCCGAGCCATTGAACCTAATTGACGGAAAAAAAAAACATTACTAATATTAAAAAAAAAAAAAAAAAAAAAGATGAAAACGAGGATTAAAAAGACAACCTAGGAAGATCACATTGATGAGGCTGCCATCTCCAGTTTTGATATTTGAGTTCTTTTCTGCCATACTTCTCGCATGCAAACTCATTCGTCATGAACGAACATTTTTTCTCGTCGTATAAAGGGTACGCCACATCATCAAAAACCCATCTCCCCGAAAACAAGTTGCACCTAGAAACAGAATCATCACTCGAAACTCCCGTTTTTCGCTCTACGTTTCTCGCAATCCGCTTTTCTTCTACCCGAGAGTCTTGTTCTTCTAAAATGACGTCGTTTTGATCTGTTCGAAGCAGAGCAACAGTGAGCAAAATTATGAGGAATAAACCAGCAAAACAATGGGACTTTATTCTAATTTCCAATTTTCCGAGTTTCATTTTTCTTGAATGCAGCTAAGAATTCGAAGATACTTAGTAATACATATATAGTATCAAGAATGCAATAAAATATTGAGAGACTTACATTATGCCAAAGTAGTAGTCGATATTCGATAATGAGGCTAATATAAAACTGTAAGCATGCTTAATTTTTAATTTTTTTGGTAAATTTAAATATTTTGTAATAAGATTTGATTTGGTTAGCCAGCCTATCCACAAATCATAAATCGTGGCTGGAAGTACTATACTAAACAAGATATTTATATAATAATTAAGTAAAAAAAAATATATGAAATTATTCTTCGAATTTTCATATCATCAAAACTATCACGACTTGATAATGTAGTCGTAAAGAATTTGATTCCAAACATCGGGAACTCCGGGAAGACACCAATGTAGACAGTCGGAGTAGCTCCGAGGTTGCGTTTTTTCGTCTTCGGTTAGAGGAACCCAAAATTTCTTATAAATAGAAGGATGAGCATCGATTCTGTCTTCGGACATTCGTGTAATGCGCATATATTCCACTTTTACCCCTCTTCTCTCCATCTTCTCTATCACCATTTCCACTATGCCTAGCATGCTGTCGTTTGTTGCCTTCAAATGCTCCCCCGTGAATATCGGCTCGCTTCTATTGAAGCAGTCGCTCAAACCATCAACCCTGCATTATATTTTTTTTTTCCGTTGGTCGAATGTTTTTTTAGTTGTTATTTCAAGAAAATCAAACAAAATACTTATTGAATCAAGAAATACATGTATACGTACCCGGTGACGTAAGGCGAGACACTCATGAAGAACAATTTAGTTTTCGTCCGATTGATGTTCAATTCGAGCCAATCGGACCATGTTGTTAGTGCCATTTCGTAACGACGAACCTTCTTTCCTACTGTTTTGTAGATTGCATCAGGGCTCCCAAATGAACCCCATCTTATATATATAACCACACATATATATATAATAAAACCTTAGGAGATACAAAAAAGAAGAAAAAAAGAACAGAGAAAAAAAACAGAGGAATTCTTCTTGTTCTTACATAAGTGTCATCATAGGATTGGACCACCACACATAAGTGTCGAAAACGAGAAAATCGGCATCATTCCAGTGTCGTGCATGGTTTTCAATCGAGTCAATTCGTACAGCACGGCCTTTCGCCCGATAGGTTAACACAAGATCAGCATTCGATTCGACGAGATATGGCGACCAATACAGCCCAATTGTCGTGTTGTATTCCTAATGATCCATAAATTCATACAGGACAAATTTTCTCAAGAATATGCAATAATATTTCTAGTGACTATATATAAAAACAGAGTCGTTATCGATCGATTTTTTTCTTACGGTGTCGTGAAAATAGTACAAATTCCCTTTCAAGATCAATTTCTTGTTTGATGACTTAGGAAGAAATGGATCAATTAGGCAAAGAAACGAGACCAATTGGTTTCGATTCATCGAATCGCCAACAAATATAAGCTTCTTCCCCCTTAATTTCTCCAACAATGCTGTCCCATTAAACCTATTAAAAAAATTCACAATAATAGGATAATACATTCAAGAAAATTAAAAATAATGTTAAAGAATTAATTAATTAATTACATAGGAATGTCACAATTATGAGGCTGCCATCTCCAATGTTGATATTTCAAATCCTTCCTGCCATGTTTTTCACATGAGTAATTATCCTCCATGAAAGAACATTCTCTCTCCTTGTAAATAGGGTACGTCGTCGATTTGTTGTCGTAAATCCACCTGCCTGAAAAAAAATCACAACGAGCACTACTACTACTACTACTAGTACTAGAATAATATCCGTCGTCGTTATGCAATTTTTGTTGATTTTTCAAGAATTTCAAATAATTTACGTCGCGAGTAAAATACAGAGCAACGACTAATAAGGATACGAGGAGAAGGCATGTGAGATGGTGGAACTTGTAAAAAAAATCCCATGTCTTATTAACCATTTTTCATACACAGTTCATTCGGGTTTTCGATTCAGACATGAATTTAAGCTTTATTATTGCTTGTCGGATAAAGAAAATTTCTCGATTTCTTTTTTTGCTATTATTATGTCACGTGGTTTAATTTGCTCTTTTATGATGATTCTTTATACATTATGATTCTGATATTTTGTTTTATTCTGTTCTATATACAGATCTCATTCTGTACAGTATGCAGTAAGGTACTATTGATTAATTAATTAATTATATAAATAAATAATTTATTTTTTAATACTATACTCTTAGTTAGTGCAGTTTTGACCCTAAGCCCATCTTTACCCATACATTACCAGTCCCAACAGGGTCAGCCCAACAATTACTCCCAATCTAGGGTTTGACCAATCACCCGTAATTATGCTGAAAGTTGCACAAATCGCCCCAAAAGAAATATCGTATTGTATTGCGATATCAAGTGATATTTACAGGAAAATTACAATTTTCGTCCCTCATGTTCACAAAAAACACATTTTTTTGACTGGACGGGATAAAAAAAAAAAAAAAAAAAAAAAAAAAAAAAAAAGTGTTAAATTGAGGAAATGACTAAAAGTGTTAAATTTTGGAAACATCAGGGACCAAATGTGTTTTTTTGTGAACATGGGGTCAAATGTAATATTGGTGCAAACTTGAGGGACTGAAATTGTAATTTTCCCTAATATTTACCAATATTAGAGTACAATCCATACATATGTAGAGATATATCATATCTTAACGCAATATTGACTAAGGCTGGTTCAGTTGAGTAAAATTAAAGAAAAAATCCCTTGGTAATTAATCAATGGGCATTAATTACAATAATAATAAAAAAAAAAAAAAAAAAGATTTCACCTTTGTAAAATCTTTAAAAAAAGAAAATTTGCAACAATTATGCAATGTTGAAATATGGTACAAAATTAAGAATGTGAGCATACAAGAGTTCATTCCAAACATCAGGAACACCAGGCAAACACCAATGTATGCAATCTGAGTATCCAATTGGATTAGAGATTTGTTCTTGAGTTAAAGGCTCCCATTGTTTTCTGTAAATTGAAGGGTGCCCTTCTTTTCTGTACTCTGTGAGTTGTGTTATATTTATCATTTCCACATTTAACCCTCTCTTTTGCAGCTCTTCAATTGTGTTTTCTACTATTCTCATCATTTTTGGATCTGTTCCTCTCCCTCTGTACCCTTCTTCCGTTATTTGTTCCGTTTCGTTGTAGCAGTTTTCTCCTACGGATTTTCCCCATTCTTCCGCCCTGTGTCGATGGAAATCGGACGGATTTTTTCGAATTAGTCTTTTTAGGGGAAAAAAATGATTTTCTTCGAAAGTGATCATCTAATTTTGATCCAAAAATAATAATAAAGGATGTGTAATGCGAAAAAAATCATCGACATTCGGAAAAATAATAAAGGAATTACTCGAACATGAGAGGGTGTTTCGTAATTTGACATTACCTCAAGGAGGTGACCGTAATTTACCTTTACATTTGTCAGTATATTTTTTGAAAATAAAAACCAGATTTTGCAGAATAAAATATTGATTTTAACTCAGATTACTATTTGAATATTTTGAATTAAAATTGGAAACAAGAATTTTCAGAAATTGAAATGAAAATATAATAAATTGGAAATAAATAATTTTGTGGATAAAATGTTTGAATAAAAAAGAGTGTATGTAACCTCTCATGAGTAGGGGACATGGTCATGAAAAAGAGTTGACTTTTGGTACGGTTGACATGAATTTCCAACCAATCAGACCACGTCTTTAGTGCCATTTCGTAGATACGAAGCATTTCTACTTTCTTGTATATTCCATCTGTACTATTAAACGAACCCCACCTGATCACACAATTTAATAATATTAATTATTATTAGTATTTAAAAATAATAAATAAATAAATAAAAATTAAGACGATGGAAATATATTAACATTTGTAGTAGATATGGGCTTGGGCTTTTAATAAGTAAAAAGTTCTTACAAGACATCCATTTGGGGCCTTCGCCACCACAGGTAAGTGTTGAAAACCAGTACATCGGCGTCGGTCCAGTGGCGCGCGTGCTTCTCAATCGCTTGGGCTCTCACTATGCGTTCCGGTAACCGGTGGCTCACGGGGTCGTCTGAATTTGACTCCACCAGCAGTGGGGCCCAGTAAAATTCTATTTTTGCATTGTAGTCCTTCAATTAATTCACAATTAATTTTAGCTATAATTATAATAATGAAAGATATATATGTATATATATATACATAATATGGAGTTAATTAATTAGTACTGACTTTAGCCTTGAAGGTGATCAAAGAGCTGCCATTGTTGTGCATGTATTTCCGGCCTTTGGGAATTGCCTTATCAAGCAAGCAAACCATAGATACCCATTGCCCTCTATTTAAAGAATCCCCAACAAAAACAAGCCTTTTGTTCCTCAATCTCTCCAACAATGCTGTTGCATTGAACCTTTATTAACATAAATAAAAAAAAAAAAAAAAATATTATCAAATATGTTGTTTGGCTTGTATATATCAGATTGTGCTGCATTACAAACTGCATTTTTTCACAAAAACGGGTACAAACTAGTGAATATTCTACATAATCTAGAACATTCCACTAAATTTGACACCACAATGGTGGATGTGTAAGAAGATATATTCATAGTTGATGGGTGGTTATAAATACTCAAACAGGAGGGGTCTTTTTGTAATTTGACCTTACCTCAGGATGGTGGGCGTGTAGAACATTCATAGTTGAGGGATAGTTGTAATTACCCAAACATGAGGGTCTTTTCGTAATTTGACCTTACCTCAGGGGTTGACGTGTAAGAAGATTCATAGTTGATTGGTGATTGTAATTACCCAAGCAAGAAGTGTTTTTTCGTAATTTGACTTTATCTCAGGGGTGGCCGTAATTTACCATATAGTTAATGAGGGTTTAATTTTTCAAAAACTCCTCAAGTTATTTTTCTTTAACAAATTAAATTACCCCTACAAATAATATGGGGTTCTTTTAGCATTTTGATATAACATAGGGGTACAAATGCAATAAACTCATATAATATAAAATTTGAATTGAGAGAGAGAGAGAGAGAGAGAGAGAGAGAGAGAGAGAGAGAGAGAGAGAGAGAATTAGACAGACCTAGGTAGGTCACAGTGATGAGGCTGCCACCTCCAATGCTGATAATCCAAATCATTTCTTCCAAATTTTCCACAGGCCAATTGATCCGACATGAAACTACATTCTTCCTCTTTGTACAACGGGTAAGACTCGTTATCATAAACCCATTTCCCCGAAAACAAATCGCACCGGCCAACGGAGTTCTTTGTCGTCTCCGACAACGTGCTGTTACCGGCCGTAGTCTGATCAAGTTTCCCACCTTCATCTTCTTGTACTAAGTAGCCACTCTCCGCCGTCAAATATATAGCTCCGACAACTAACGCCGCCACGAGTACAGCTACTAGTGTCTGAAAGCTGCACCGGATATCCATTGTTGTTGTCCCGGAATATTCCCCCGGGAGAATGCTGTTTTTCTTGGCCATCTGTGTGTGTGCATGTGTGTGTTTTCTGTTGAACTAGGGTTTATATTTTATTGTGTGTGAAAAAAATGGATAATTAGGTAAGAGTGAGCTTTCGTGATTTGTTAATGATGAATTCAGTGGAACAAGTACGTAGTTCTCAATTGTTGCTTTGCTTATATTTCTTCTTGCAACTGCTTTTCCTATCTATATTACAAAAATATTACCATTTTTTTTATAAATATTGAGTATTTAAAAAAATTAATTTTTATAAATATTACAATTAAAAAAAAAAGAAAAATTTACTTAGGTATGGCATTGCTTTCATGCACAGATAATAGAAAAAGGAATTTTTGCCAAAGCATATAAAGAAATTGGTTTTTATTGCATGGTTATATGTATTATGTATATATAGATTAATTTGCTTATTGTTGCAAAGTTTAATGTATTTTGTTGGTAATAATAAAGAGTTGGATGTAAAATTAGGTAAGAGCAGTTGAAGTGTTGGGTGAGCGGTTGACATCTTGAGTCGTTGAAGTCAAGGCAGCTCCCACAAAACCTCTGATACATAATTAAATTAAAAAGTAGTACATCATATATATATCCACTAGACATTAGACTGTGACATATATATATAATTTTGATTTAATTGATAATCAATTGGATAATAATAATTATGAGACTCAACTCTTGAATCTAACATTTCCTTATCATCTCCATGTGCCTTGTTATGATCACAAATCTACTTTTCTTTTCCACCAAGCATTATATATATCCCGAATATGTATATTTCTTTACATATTTTACACACACAATGTGTATGTGTATATGTCTAATAAGATTGTTAATTAAGAATCTAAGCTCGATTCAGCACAAATGTTCGATTTGAACAAATCCCAATCAAGAACAGTTCATACACAAAATCAAAGCAAACAAGAAACCCTAGTATGAGACATTTAATCTGAAATTTGGTGGCTCAATTGTAATAGAACACAAAACAATTGGAGGATGAACGAGATCTTCAGTCAATCACTATGAACAAGAGTTTACAAAATAATCAACAAGACGATCAAACTGCAAAGATTTTCTTCAACAAATTATCTCTCTCTCTCTCTCTCATGACCCTAACTAAAAACAACTACTCCTTTTATATTCTCCCAGCAGTTAACTCCATCCCTAAGTTTCAGCACGCGTATCTTGAGTTCCACCTCTACAAGACAGTTAGTTGTTATTCTGGTCATGTGATCAATATTCCAGTGCTTACAAATTAGTTGATTGCATGAGACTCTTCAGATTCGTTTACGATCACAGCCACTCATCTTGATGAACCGATGATCAAATCCAACAACAAGATTTTAGAGGAATCGATGAGATTTTTTTCAAGGGAAAAACAAAAGAAAAGGGAAGAATATTATTTAGTGCAAAGAAAAAGGCCAAAAGAGGTGTCAAGAATATAAAAGAGACTACCTATATAGGCCACCCACAAATTAAAGGCCCACAACTTGTATTTGGTATTGGCCATGAAATTGTAATAACATAAAAGATAATCGAATGACCTTATCTTTTTTCAACACCTTATAATTTATTTATTACAAATTGTAATATCAACATTTTATTTATTACTTCCTCCGTTCCGTAATATCTGTTCCTTTGGAGAATTTTTTGTTCTATATTATAAGTCACTTTAAATTTCTAACACTTCATTAATTACTTAATTTCCAGTTTATACCTTTATTAACTCATTTTAATACTTTTTTTTCAACTAATTTATCTCTTTTATTAATTATAAGACAAGGTTATTTTAGTCTAAAAACATACACTTTCCTAAAATCAAGGCACATTTAATAAAATTCTTAATCTTTGTGCAAAGCTAAAAAACGACAATTAAAATGGAACGGAGGGAGTAGGTTGTGGTTATATCTTTATTTTCCAAAATTTGTTCTTGCGTGATAATTGGCAAATAAAATTATATCTTTTTATTCATAGACACACAAAAACACACACCTATATTAATGTGTAGATCAACGAAAAAAAATCTGATGTAACATTTATCAGTGTAGCATAAAAATAACCCTTCCTAATATTGTACGTTCAATTTGTCAAATTCGTGAATTTTCGAAATATTCGAAATGTTTAGCCATAAAAAGTGATTTTATAAAGTTAAAGATTCTCCAATTCAAACTGAAAAAAGAGATATTGACTGATATTGGTCTTTGGAATATTTCCGTACCATAAAACAGCTCTTTATCATCTACATGAGCCAATTAAAGACTTATCTCTAAATAATAAAATTAAATATTACTTATTAAAACTAAAAAAAAATTAAAAAATTAAATTAAAGAAATAGGAGATTTTTTTAGTGGGATAACGTGAAGCCATTGAACATAAGTAGACAAGAAGGCACCGCATGGGATTATTTAAAGACCCCTCCAGATTCCAATTTCCAACTTTGCACCCCCTAAATTCGACTTATCTCCTAATTACCTATTTAATTTTATATTTTAAACATTTTATTAATTATTTAATTAAAGAATGGCCATTTATTTTTATTTTATTACTGTAGTCCCTGGACTAATGAATTTAATTTCAGGGCCCCAACCCACTAACTAAATTTAATTGGAGACCGTAACTATAAATTGATTTTGAAAGTTAAGTGACATAATTTTAATTAACAATTAATCTCATTTATGAGTTTAATTAGCATTTTGTGGTCCATGCTTAGAGAATGGTCGGCTAAGCCTATACAATGTTAAAAAGAGAAAATGTTTGTGAATCCCATATAGATTCGTTATTTAAACACTCTAAAAATTACTTCTAAAAATAAGACGTAACAGCTTATCCGACTACGTCAGAACATATCATTCATTTAACATCAAAAATATTTTATTTATTAATTAATATATTTATTTATTTGAGGTATTTAATCACAAAAAAAAGGGGCAAGTTGCATGCATATTGTATGATGTAAAATAGAGAAAAAAGAGGAAAAAGATAAAAACAAGTTGCACAAGTTGCAGTACTTGCCTACTTTCTTTTTATTTAAACAGCTAATTATGTCTCACTCCCACCAAAACCCCAACTTGCACCGCTAGCTGTTTTGATTCCTTTCATCTTAATTACTACTATTTATAGCCTTTTCTTTTTATTTTTTTATTTATAAACAATTTAAATTATTATATTTATATATCACAAAAAAAAAATTAAAAAAAAAATAAAATAACAGCAAACTCGTACATGCATCCATCCCCCCTATTATCTCATCCCCATGCATTCTAAATTTCTGTACTCTGTTATTATTATTATTATTATTACTTGAAATTAGCCATGTTATAATTAATTAAGCAACGTTTTAAATTAATTGCAATCTGGATTAGCAAATCCATACTGTATAATAACCTGGTCAACGTTTTCCGTAGACTAATTAATTATTATTTTATTTTTTTTGCCCCTATAAATTTTCTGTTATGTTGCCAAACTGAAATTAAATACTGTTTTGACGCAATTAAATGAATTTATTAATTATTACTTGCAATTTGCAAACATTAATGATCACATCGTACTCATGAACCTGAAACTAACACACACCACTAATTAATTAATTAATTAATTAAACCAAATTATATATGATCACCTGATCACTGTTGATCGATGCTAATTGGTTTTACTAAATTTTATTTATTTCTTATAATCATAAATAAATTTTAAACCTTATTTGCTACAAAAAATCAACATGTATACCTTAATTCTCATCCAAAACCAATCGGTTAATTAGCTTAATTATAATAAAGAATTTTACAATATAATAATTAATCAAGAAGATTAAAACATAATTAAGTGAGATCGAAAAAAGAAAAGTAGAAGATTATTCTGGACAAAGAACGATTGATGATTGTTCATAATTAATTAACAGTCTAAAAGCGAAGAAATTAAAATTAAAAAAAAAAAAAAAAGAACATAAAAAAAATTATTACATGTTCCTTGAACAAAAAAAAAAAAAAGAAAAAAGAAAAAAAAAACATCGGATCGATCGATCAAGTGTGTAATAATAGTTTTGATTTTGCATGTCTGTAATTAAAAATTGTTTTACTCAGGCAGAAGAAGAAGGGTTTCGTCTGGAGAGATTCTCAGCGATGTGAGCCAAGGATTGAAGATTGCATTTAACAATGGTGTCAACGAACACGCAGGTTTCGTCTTTCGTGTTACCTTGCGGCACGTCTACTACGTACGACTCCACCACCACGGTGCCTCCGCCGCCGCCCGCCGCCGCGTGCAGTGTCGTGACGGATCGGTAGTTGGCGAGGCGGTGGTCTCCGCCGACGACGCTGAAGCTGATGACGTGGCGCTCGTCGTCGAGGATCTCGAGTCGCTCGGTGCTGCTGACGGCGGGGAGGCCGGAGATTACGCGGACCTCCCGGAGGGTTCCGACGTCGCCGTCGCCGAGGACGAGGTGGCAGCTCTTGACGAAGTGCTTGTACGCCTGCGGGTTGTCGAAGCGGCGGACGACCGACCACACGGTGGACACCGGCGCCGAGATGTGCTGGCTCACGGAGCTGCAGCACTGGTTGGGCCCCACCGCGTGTGTGTGGTACCGGGCCACGTTTTCCGGTACCTGGGCGGCGTCCGGGTGGCGGTATGCTTGCTTGCACGCCGCCGCCGCGGCGGTGGTTGGTGTTTCGTTGATTCTTTGGAGTAGAAGAGAGGATTTCGGAGACATTTTCATGGAGGTTTTTTTCTCTGAATTTAATTCTCTTTTTAATTCTTTTTTTTTTTTTGTCGTCGTTCTTCAATATAGCTAAAGAAGAAAGAGATGTATATATATATATATATATATATATATATATATATATATATATCAAATCTGTGTGTGAGAGAGTGGTTCTAAAGATTCATGTGAGGGCAATTAAAATAGGATCTACTTGCATTAGCAAAATTACCAAAATAGCCTTGTAAATTCAAAAGAATATAATTTTATTTTATTTTTGAATTATTTAAAGAAAATAGTGCAAGTCTCAATCGACATGAAATTGAATTTAAAAATATATAAAAAAAGATTTTAACTATTTCTAGGGTTTGTAAAAGGGCAAGTGGGGTTTTGATCAGACTGTCGTTACCTTGAAAGAAAATATTTTTATCCCACCATGCCAAATTGGAGGATAATCCAATATTAATTAATTAATTAAATAAATTTGAAAAGGAAAAAAGAAAAAAAGAATATATAAAATGGCTCAACTGCCCCTCAATCAATTTGAATTAAAAAAATTAAATGGGCGACGATCAACTTGTTCGACAATTGTGTACTACACAGTCCTCCTCTCGTGGTTCATAATTCAGAAATTGGACCAGATTCAATTTCCTGATTTATTTATTTCTTTCTTTCCAATTTGAAATATTTTTTAAATTAATTACTATTATTTGTGCAAGTGATTGTTGTACAATTGTACTTGGATTTTGATCACTCTCGTGAAATTATTTGACACTAGCTCTGGATTTTTGGTCCATTCCAACTGTTCCACCTCGTGGGGCATTCAATTGAACAATATTTGTGCAGTAAAATATGCAGCAATTAATTGTTATATTAAAATTAAATAATCTAATGGAGTTCAATTATGTTATTGGATATTTAATAATTCAATAAAAAATATGTCCAGAAGGTAAGATATATCGTAATAACATAGTATTGTAAGTCGATCCAATAAGTGAGTGGGATACCAAACATCAAATAAAGTCCAATTATTTAGTTAATCATTACTAATTTTCCCTACCAAACGAGGCCCAACTGGATATATATTCACCCTCAAATACCAGTATTACAAATATTTACCTCAAATATGTAAATTATATATGGACTTTGAGTTAATACAAAATAAAAATTGTGAAATAAAATATCATGTTATCCTATAAAATATTTTAAATTTTCTGATGAAGTGATCATTAAAAAATTTAGCTTTTTTTGTATAGATTTTGAATGAAAAAATTGAAAAGCTATATTAGGGATCTGATTCTCGTCCCATAGCTCAAATTGGTGTATGGAACTTCTGATAAAATTGATCGATAAAAAGTTAAATCTTTTGTGACAAACTGATAAAAGAGAATTTTCAAAGATTCATAATAAATAAATAAAATAATAATAATGTGTCGGGTGGACCTGCAAATATTATGTATTTATCTTATCTTTTATACATATTTTTAATTGAATCATCGAATATCTAATAATATAATTGTATTTAATTTTATTAGATTATTTAATCTTATATTGACATTAAAAACGAGACATTATATTATTTATTTTAATCTTTTGGGGCGCCCTTTAATCCTTATTAAATAACAGATGATTAAGAATAGTTGTGCTTTGTATTGACTCGTAAAAAATAGTCTTTTGGTTTATCAAATTGGCAAAATTTAATCAATAATGCATTTAAATTTGAAATTAGTTTGCTTGACTAATTAAGTTGGTGACATGCACATTCCCAGTTACATGATTTTGAACTTAATATATACTTAATTATTTATCAACTGGACCCAGTCTACAAACATTAATATTTAAATATTAACGTAATTATTGTATCATGCTTAATATTATCTAATTTATATGATCAGGAGGTTCTTATAATTAATTAAACACAATTACAACATTAATCCTCTCATAATTAACATTGTGTCACGTCCCAAGAATTTAAAAGAGTATATAAAACAAGATTCAGCCCCCATTGCATTGGTTAATCCTCGAGACTTGTCAATTTCTATTATTATTATTAATTTTTTTTTTTTTTTTGTGAGGGGGAGAGTATTGACATTTCAACTATTGAATATGACACATCTTATCATGACAGTTTCAAGATATAATATTTAAAATTGCAAATTGCAAATTGTTAATAAATAAAACATTTTCCGATATTTCTAGAAAACCCCACATCTCAAATGACAGAAGTAGGGCTCTTCTGTTTTTATTTTTCTATATTTTATGATTTGAGTTTCGAAATAAATAAATAAATATTTAATCCATTTCATTGACATCTTCTTTCTTACACCTTGGTTTTAGTTTTATATTATTTCTGTAACTAAATTAATTCATTTTTAGCATGTTGGAAACGTTAAAATTATGAGAATTTTAATTCTAATTATTTGGATCTTCCTTTAATATAATTTTTTTCTATTTAATTTAATTACAGCATTTTATAGTATGAGACGTTAAGTATATATTAAACTTTTCGGTAATTTTTTATATATTTTTGATGGAAAATAAATAGGTAAAACTCATACCCTCCCGTGATAATGCAACTAAATAAGAATGAGAGTCAAAGCTAGGCTAATTAATTTCTTGAATCTTGGTAATAATTTTTACACACATTATACTTGTGACACTATCTTCATCTCGAATTTTACCATATATATTTGATTTAGATAGGTAACAAAAATCTCACATGATTCCTCTTTGCCTTTCATTTATGATAGCCATTTTCATATCTTCCTGGGATTCGGTCATTCCTAAATCATAAAAACGCCACTCGAACTAAGCAGTTAACGAAGAATACACAGGTCACTCACTGCACACGAGCTCCAAGATTGACCAGATCAACGAAAAATACAGGTTCGATCGATCAATAAGAGGAGGTATTGTGTATTAATTGAGATTAATGAACTTTATTTGGGCATAAACCATCAAGTAGGACATGCAATTGAATCGGACCTACCTAAAGCCCGATGGTTCGGCCGAATTTTATTTAATCGAAGCCCGATTAATTGTGGGCTGAGCTGAGTTTGAGCCGATCCAGACTCGGCTCACATGGCCCGATTGCCAGCCCTACCATCGAGTATATAAATTTTGTGTGTGACATAAATTAATTAATTAAAAGTTGGATTATTATTGCAAGGAGTTTCTAGTAATTTCGCAGAAATTAAAAGATTTAGAACAAAAATATATAAATTAAAAAATGAGTTTGCAAGTTGCAAGATGTGTGTAGATGTGAATAGTAGTGATATTCAGACGTGAAGAAGAATGAGTCAGCTGACTGACATGCAACCCTATATTTGAATTTTGACCCGAGTAGTAGTCTGCACAATTTGGGCTCCACCCACTTTCCCACCATATATATAAATTATAATAAATAAAAATATCAAAAATTAAAATTAAAAAGGAAAAGAAAAGAAAAAACAAAAAAGAAAAAAAAAGGACAAGTCGCGAAGAAGAAAACGGGGACCTCGCTCTGAAATTAGGGCTCAAATAGTGTGAGAGAGGAGCAACAAAATTATCTTCAGATCTGAAATTTTTGCAAGTTATACCAATTGATTATTCAAATTGAGAGTATTTCGCTGAATGGATCAAATTATGAACAAGGTTGGTTCTTATTGGCTGGGCCAGAAAGCCAACAAGGAATTTAGCTCCGTCGGCGATGATATCAACGTAAGACTTTCAATCATTTTTTGTTTTTAATTTTGTGGTTTATTAATCTTTCCTGTTTTCGAGTAACCTCAATTCTGATTTTTTTTGCTGTTTGGGTAATCGAGTTTACTGATTTTTGTTTATGAAATTTGATCTGATAATCTTAATCGTAGGTTTGATTCTATAAATATTTTGCATTCGAATTACTGGATTTTTTGTACAATTCAGTCTAGACTCTGAATTTGCTGACTTTAATATGAAGATATTCAATTGGAATCTTAATAATTGATGTCGAACAGTTATTGTTTTGCATTGTGGGGTGTAGAAATTACGTTTACTTTTCAAATTTGGGTGTGTGTTAGAATGGAAATTTATGTGGGAAAATTCATGGTTTTTCCTTTTAAGTATGTAGGGTTTGACCGGTACCTAGCAATTGCTCATTGATCGAATTTTGTGTGTTGAAGGAACCCGTTGAATGATGAAAGAATAGTCGTCTAACAATTTCGATTTGTCGATTGTTAGGATTTACAGTAGAACTTTGAGATGTTCTGCTTCTGATTTTGTTTCTTACGGTTAACATTTTTTGTGCTTATCAACGAGTTTATGCTATTGTATGAATTGAACTTCATGCTTTGTTGAATGAACAAAACAACATTGGCAAGTTACAGTGAATCGGTTTACGTAGGCTTCAATTGTGTTTTATGGTTTAATGGCAACTTTTTAGGAATTAATTAGTTAAATTTACCGTAAATAAGAATGAACGGACCTGCATTTGCCTTGACACTAACTCGCTTTTCTTTCTGATTCCGTCTCTTTTTAGTCTTTTTCGAACAGTGTTGAAGGAGGGGCCAAATGGTTGGTTAACAAGTTAAAAGGTTAGAATTCTATCTTCCTAGTTTTCTCTGTATATCTACGAGCTGAAGACTATTGCTCCGTATTCTACTGTAAATAAGGAATTGAATTTTTGGCTCATTTGTTGAGGATTTTAGCAGCATCTTCGTCAATAACAAATTGAATTTTTGTTCATTCACTTATGACCAAGAAAACTGATAATTTTTTCAGGGAAAATGCAGAAACCATTGCCCGAACTCCTCAAGGACTACGACCTGGCAGTAGGTATATTCCCTCGTGATGCCACCAATTACGAATTCAACGAGGAAACTGGAAAGCTCACTGTTTACATTCCATCAGTCTGTGAAGTTGGGTACAAGGATTCGTCTGTACTGCGTTTCTCGACCATTGTGACTGGTTATCTAGAGAAAGGTAAGTTGGCTGACATTGAAGGAATCAAGACGAAGGTTATTGTTTGGGTAAGAGTGACTTGTATTTCTTCTGATAACAAATCGAAGCTCCATTTTACTGCCGGAATGAAGAAATCCAGGAGCAGAGATGCTTACGAGGTTCTGAGAGATGGAGTTTGCGTAGAGAAATTCTGAGACCGTATTTGATGTTTGATTGTCTCGAATTGTAATGAATTTTCACAGTATTTTTGGACCCTTTTGTCGCGGTGTGATTGCGTAATTAATGTAATGATGTCGGTATGGTAAATAATTGTTTGTTGGCGGTGAGTGTAAAGATCGATACATATTTCCATATTTCGTTGAATTAACTGTGTCGAATGCCGCCGCCCTCTATTTTTTAATCACTTGATATTTAAAAAAAAAAAATGGCAAAAAATATATGCACCAGCCGGGAATCGAACCCGGGTCTGTACCGTGGCAGGGTACTATTCTACCACTAGACCACTGGTGCTTGTTGTGAATAACTTCAAATATATGTTACAAGACTTATCTAATTCTCTCATTAGACAACAGACAAATGAAATAAACCTTTAATTTAATCTACATTCTATCAAAAAAAAAAATTTAATCTACATAAAGTTAGTGTGACCACAAGATGCACATGACATTGACACTATACCTTCTTGTTTTTCATCTCCTCCGCTAAATATTTCAATATCAATAATTACATTGCAAAAATTACCCCAAAAATCCCAAAAAAATAAATAAAAAAATAAAAATAATATTCCACGTAGTGTGAACAGGTTAAAAGAAGGCAAGATACTTTTCGAAAAGTTGAAGGGGATAGGCTACGGATATTTGTTCAGATACCACTAGATATCGGATCAGGACACAAGCCTGCCACACGCCTCTGCCCATGTGGACCAACTTTCTCTCTCTACGTGTCATTTCTTCAATGGCCCTAATTCTGTAATTCTTACCCAAACCCCCTTTCCCCCATTTCTATATAACCAAACCCTCCCATAATTCATCAAATTCAAATCAATTCTTCCTTGTTAATCCCAGATCCAATTCCCTTTCCCCATTTCTTGATTTTCTTCTGCAAATCTACAAAAAGAAAAAAAAAAATGTTTGTTGAAGCAATTTCCGCTGTTTCGATTCAAGGGCTGTGCTGCTAGTATTTCACCGTTGTCAAATCTGCCCAATCGCAATGCCTTATTCATCGTCAACTTCGTTTCCCCATGGCTTGAATTCACTCTCTGGTGGTTCTTCTTCTACTTGTTCTGCGTCGACTTTCAGTGGTATTGCTTTGGCGAAGAGGCGTGATAATGGATTCGCGACTGGGTGCATCGAACGAAACCACGACTTTGCCACTCACGGGTTTGGTGTTTCAGCCATTTGAGGAGGTTAAGAAAGATGACCTTATTGTCCCTGCTGCTTCTGATGTTTCTCTTGCTCGACACTTGTTCTTGGATGACTGCGAGGCTGCAATCAATGAGCAGATCAAGTGAGTTTTCTTCTTTTTTTTTTTATTATTTTTTTTTTTTGTAATTTTTTATTTTAATCCTTTGGTTTCCGGTTCAAGTTAATTAGATTAGAAAGAAATTTAGGGTTTGATCAGAATTAGTAATATTAAACTGGCTATGTTTATGGAGTGTTCTTGCTCTTGGTGTTTGATAAGTTCAAAAATGTAGTTTGTGACGTGGTTAATGTTTACTGCTAGTGCTATGTTTATTCTATTACAACTTGCATAAGAATTACAGATTGTGAAGAAATGGATTTTAACTAAAATTCAATGTATAACAGTATAAGATCCGAAGAATATTGACTCGTATCATCCATAGTTCTACTTCTCTTCGTATGCGATTATGACAGTATATATAACAGTTGTATGTATTGATCTTCCCTTTGGTTTTTCAGTGTGGAGTACTGTGTATCATATGTGTACCATTCTCTGTACGCTTACTTCGACAGGGACAATGTTGCTCTAAAAGGCCTCGCTAAGTGAGTATATAACAAACTCGAATGTTTCGTTATCTTTTATTCTTTTTTTTTTTTACTTGCTTCTTATAACCTGTGTCTAATAATGATTGTGTGTGGTCAGATTTTTTAAGGAGTCGAGCTTAGAAGAAAGAGAACACGCGGAGAAGCTAATGGAGTATCAGGTAATTTCCGTAACATGTTCTTGAAACAGGGCAAATTTTGTCTCTACACATGATCGTGAATTTTACTTTGTTCTTGATGAAAAATACTGAAATGATGTTTTATCTTTCTAATTTTCGATGAAATTATAGAATAAGAGAGGAGGGAGAGTGAAGTTAAATAGCCTTGAGATGCCACCTGCTGAGTTCGATCACCCTGAAAAGGGTGACGCACTGTATGGTAATAATAACTTAACTTTCTTTATTCCTTTGTCTTACGATTTTTATGCAACTGTTATGTAATAATCCCATATTAGCTCTGACTATTTTTTCAATAAATCTTCGATTCAGCGATGGAATTAGCGTTGTCGTTGGAGAAGCTGACCAATGAAAAACTATTGAAGCTTCACAGTGTAAGGCTTTCTCAGACATTTGTATACCGTTTATTTTCTTGAAAAGCTTCAATTTGCTTGCGATTTGAATCGGGACACTGTTTGATCATATACTCGTTTTTCTTGATGTTATAGATTGCTGATAGTAACAACGACCCCCAGCTAGCAGATTTCGTAGAGAGTGAATTTCTGGAGGAACAGGTATATCTGAAGATATTTATTTGTCTTATTCTAATATTAAAATGTAACCATTCATTTGCTGATTGTGAAATAACGAACAATGTGCTAGTATATATGAAAAATAACGAACAAAATGACGTGAGTTTTACAAATCCTCGGAAAGATTTCTGAATATGTTGCTTTTTAAAGACTATATAAAGAGCACATGGGTTATAATCATATCTCTAATTAGTACTTTTTAATTTCTATTTTTTCGTCCAGGTGGCATCCATCAGAAAGATTTCTGAATATGTTGCTCAGCTGAGGAGGGTGGGAAAAGGACACGGTACGATAATCTTTTGTCTCCCAATTATTAAAATATTCGAGTTTTTTCTTCGGTCTCAATAAAATTTCGATCCGGCTAAATGAAGTCACGTTTCTTTGTGTAAATTCAGGAGTGTGGCACTTCGATCAGATGCTGCTTAATTGAGGAGATGTGGCAGCATAAACAAAGGTGTTACGGTGTTATTTCGTAATAGATTTAAGGATGTGCAAGTTTAGTTTAATTGATGTATCGTACAATGTTTAGCAGAAATCCCAGTTACTACTTAGCTTGTTGTCTAAATAAAAGAGATCATGAAAATTATCTCCCCTTTTGTGTATGCTTTTAGCTGAGTATCTTAAACTGTCAAATGTAAGGTAGTATTTATCCGGGAGCATCTCCCTCGGCCCCTTTAGTAGGCCCACGACGAATTGGCCCAAAGCGGAGTGGGCTCGAAGATTCGGAACTTCTTGAACTGGTTTTTGAACCACATCATTATGAATTAAAATCTTCATTGCTATATATTCGATTGTTAAAATCTTTTATAAGAAATATGACAATTTTAGCCATTTTTAGCAAAAAAAATGTGAGTTATATACACGCAATGAAAAATACACACTAAAGAAAAATACACACACGACATAGAAAACACACACTAAGAAAATACACACACACGACATAGAAAACACACACTAAAAAAATACACACACACTACACCGTAAACACAAACTAAAAAATTAGTGTGTATTTTCGGTGTAGTATGTGTTTTTGGTGTAGTGTGTGTATTGTTTTTCGTGTGTGTTTACGGTGTAGTGTGTGTGAATTTTTTTATTGTGTATTTTCGGTATAGTGTGTGTATTTTTTAAAGTGTGTTTTTGGTGTCGTGTGTATACTTTTTTTAGTGTGTGTTTTCGGGGTAGTGTGTGAATTTTTTTGATGTGTGTTTTTCAGTGCAGTGTATGTAATTTTTTTAGTGTGTGTAATTTTTTTTAGTGTGTGTTTTTGGTGTAGTGTGTGTAACTTTTTTAGTGAGTGTTTTCGGTGTAGTGTGTGTATATTTTTTTAGTGAGTGTTTTCGGTGTAGTGTGTGTATATTTTTTTAGTGTGTGTTTTCAGTGTAGCGTGTGTATTTTTTTAGTGTGCGTTTTCGGTGTAGTATGTGTATATTTTTGTGTGTTTTTGATGTAGTGTGTGTTTTCGGTGTAGTGTGTGTAATTTTTTCGAGTGTGTGTTTACGGTGTAGTGTGTGTAATTCTTTTTAGTGTGTGTTTTCGGTGTAGTGGGTATTTTTTTTAGTGTGTGTTTTTTTGTGTAGTGTGTGTATATTTTTTAGTGTGTATTTTCGGTTAGTGTGTGTATTTTATTTAGTATGAGTTTTTGGTCTAGTGCGTGTATTTTGTTTTAGTGTGTGTTTTCGGGGTGGTGCGTGTATATTTTTTTAGTGTGTGATTTCCGTGTAGTGTGTGTAATTGTTTTTAGTGTGTGTTTTCGGTGTAGTGTGTGTAATTCTTTTTTAGTGTGTGTTTTCGATGTAGGTGTGTGGTATTTTTTTTTCAGTGTGTGTTTTTTGTGTAGTGTGTGTAAAAACTAATTTACGATCAAAATAACCAAAAACTGTATAATATAGTACACTTTTTCTAGTTAAAATTGGTGCTATGTCCAAAAAACTATTTCACGATCAAAATCACAAAAAACTGTATATTATAGTACACAATTTTTTTGATAAAATTTGAATCAGTTATTGTGATTTTTACAATGAAATTTTTTTTTTGACGTTTCACTAATGTACTATAACAGTTTTTGGTGATTTTGATCGTGAAATATTTTTTGGGACGTTCCACCAATTTTACCCAAAATTTGTGTCCTATATAGCATATAGTTTTCGGTGATTTTGATCGTGAAATAGTTTTTTGGACGTTCCACCAATTTTACCCAAAATCTGTGTACTATTATAGTGTACAGTTTTTTGTGATTTTGATCGTGAAATAGTTTTTGGGACATTCCACCAATTTTGCTCAAAATCTGTGTACTAGTGTACAAATCTTGGTGATTTTGATCGTGAAATAGTTTTTTGGACGTTCTACCAATTTTTAACTAAAATTTGTGTACTATAATATACAGTTTTTTGTGATTTTGATTGTGAAATAGTTTTCTGGACGTTGCACCAATTTTAACTAAAATTTGTGTACTATAGCATACAATTTTTGGTTTATGTACTGTACTGTAGGTGATTTTGATCGTGAAAAGCTTTTGGTACGATCCACCAATTTTACCCAAAATCTATGAACTATAGTGTAGAGTTTTTTTTTGTTATTTTGGCCTTGAAATAGTTTTTTGGACATTCTACCAATTTACTAAAATCTGTGTACTATATAGTATACAGTTTTTTGTGATTTTCAGTGTGAAAAAGTTTTTTGTACATTCCACCAATTTTAACCAAAAACTGTGTACTAATAGCGTACAGTTTTTGGTATGTGTACTGTAGCGTACAGTGTTAGATAATTTTGATCATGAAATTGTTTTTTGGACGTTTCACCAATTTTATCCAAAATCTGTGTACTATAGCGTACATGTTTTGGTGATTTTGATCGTGAAAAAGTTTTTGGGACATTCCACCAATTTTATCCAAAATTTGTGTATTATAATATACAGTTATTGATGATTTAGATTGTGAAATAAATTTTTGAACGTTCAACTAATAAAAAATTAGTGAAATCAAATTTAGAAGAATTATTTGTTGACTAGTAAAGAATATATATATATATTTAAGTGTCAAAAACTATTAAAAAAGTTATTATTTATGTTATTTTTAGCCAAAATATTATTTGACTTGTTTAATTAAATTGCATTGGGTTGAAATTGGGCTACGAAAATGGACTTTTCACAGAAAATGGGTCTATTTTTCTCGGATCAAGGCCTCGTTCACCTATTATTTTCAATTTTTCTACAAAATTAACAAATTCAATAATTTATGTCAAAATTTTGATTTTAGAAAATCTAATGCTGCTTAATAAGTAACAGATTCAACCAAAAGACTGATTGAAAGGCACACATTATTAGGCAACAACTAAAATTCGAACCAAACACCCAAACTAAAGTGTCCAAAATGAGAAGCTCAATTAAATTTTGCAAATGAAAAAAACAAAACCACAAATTTTCTCCAGTCAAAATCCTACAATAATAAAAACGACGGATAGAAGAATATAGCAATGGTCCAGTCTCGATAGGATTGAAAAATGCATGCTCCGACAAATTTAAACTAACATCTAGTCATGCAAAGAAGAAAAATAATATTACTATTAAGCAGTTGCCGATTGGGCAGCGAGCCTCTTCCTGGCCTCCTCAATGATAGTAAACTTAATACCTTTGCCCTTTGGAAGAGAAACCCACGGCTTTGTACCCTTTCCAATGGTGTACACGTTGCTCAATCGTGTAGCAAATTCATTGCCAGTTGAATCCTGAATGTGAACAGTCTCAAAGCTACCCTTATGCTTCTCACGATTCTTGAGTATTCCAACACGGCCTCTGTTCCTACCACCAGTCACCATCACAACATTTCCGACATCGAATTTGATAAAGTCGACAATCTTGTTGCTGTCCAAATCCAGCTTGATGGTGTCGTTTGCCTTGATAAGTGGGTCCGGGTAGCGAATGGTCCTTCCATCGTATGTGTTGATGTACGGAATACCCTTCTTTCCGAACTGAACTGAGCGGACTTTGCATAGCTTAAACTGCACGTTGTAATACAATGTATAAACACATTTGTAATAAACATATCAAATATAAAATATATGCTTCAGCTGCAGCTACCAAGTTTTAGCTTCTTAGAGAATTATTTTTCAACAAATAAAATGTACTTAATATGTATGTTAATAAGCACCATTAGTAGAAGGTGGTAATTATATACGAACCTTGGCTTCCTCATCCCTGATTGAGTGTAGCCTGAACCTTCCCTTAGTGTCATACAGAAGACGGAAGTTCTCGTTGGTCTTTGGGATAGAGACAACATCTACGATATAATAAAGTAAAAAAGACCTTTTAAATAAATCTTAACAAACAAAAAAGAAGTCAAAAAGTACAAAATCACTCTACAAATATCACCATCCATGCAACTTAGCTTTGCTAACATAGAATATCTTTAGACCAAATAATCTCGAAAGTGCATAGGAATAAAGAAAATAAGGCCATACCCATAAAACCAGCTGGATAAGTCTTATCAGTCCTGACTTTCCCATCAACAAGGATGTGACGTTGCATCAGAATGGCAATCACCTCACGGTATGTAAGAGCGTATTTCAGCCTATTTCGCAAAATGAGAATCAAGGGCAAGCATTCCCTTGATTTGTGGGGTCCAGACGAAGGTTTGGGGGCCTGCATAAATATACAATTATTACAGCCTTACATAAAATTATCAAGAGAGTAGACATAATTTTGAGGAGGCATACAACCGTACGGGTGAAATACAGACAGTATAGAATACTTACAAAAGCACCACCAAGCTTGTCCAACATCCAATGCTTTGGGGCATTGAGCCTCTTCAAGTGTTTCTTCAAACCTCTAGCCTGTTTTCATTACATAACAGAAAATTAGATTCATTCAGAAAATGACTTAGAAATAAAAGTTGCATCTGTCAAGTACATACGAAATCACAATGAAACAATCCATATCTGACAATATTATACTATCACCACCAGTAAGAAAAAAAATAGAGAACTAATACACATCCACTGCATCACAATACAAAATATTGTCGAAGATCTCCATATTGCATCTTGATAGAAGGCCAATCAAATCTTCAATCATTTTAGTTCAAAACTATTAGTGTGATTATGCTACGGCTAAACACGAACCAAAGCCTGAAATCAATCAACACTAGTTTGGAAATTCAGAACTTCTATGAACATTAATTCCCAATAAAAACCAAAACTGACCACCGTACACATTTAACAAACCCTAATTGTTTTTACTACACTTACAGACATAATTGAGATAGTTCTCTTCTTTATTCGAGAATGTTATTTTCTCTAACCCCAATTGCCAAGGAAGGATGCATTTAACTTTTTACAAAGATTTTCAGTTTGTAAGATTAACATAAAAATAAAAATAAAAACGTGACAGCAAATTTGCATTTCCGAAGGTTCTCATCTCCAATCGGAATGTTATTTTCTCTAACCCTAATTGCCAAGGAAGGATTATCCAGAACATGATCACCATAAAATACATGAATTTCTTAACACGCTGTTGATCTATTACTGTATTACATGAATTATAAACAAGTTTCAAATTTTTATTAAAAAAAAATACATTTTCAGAAAACCACAAAATGAATCTCATGTAAAACGAAAAGAGAATAATCAGTTAATTTCACGGCCGAAGGAAAACAAAATCAAGCAGTATATCCAGAAAGCACGATCCAAACATCAATTCCCCTCAGAAGAGACGTTCCAAACCAACGAACGAAGGAAAAAAAAAACATGCTTTCACATCATTCGGTAACGCAAATCAACAAACAACAGAGGTTCAGAAATCGACTGACCATTTTGCTGGTGGATGAAGAAGAAGAAGACGGCGGCGCCTCCCTGTGTGTGTAGCTGAAGGATTGAAAGTGAAGGAAAATGTAAACCCTATTTGCCTAGTTATATGGCCCAAGGTTTATAAGAGAGACAGAGACAAGGGTTGGTTTCGGTGATTTCTGTCAAATTCCTTTTGGGCTTAATATCGAAATATGGGCCTACGTTTTCCTTTCAATTTGACATAGGCCCAGAATATATTCTTTTTTCTTTTAATCAGGATATATGTAAGGTTTAATTGCGAAAAACCTCCTTATTGTTCTTTATTTATATCCAACCCCTAAAATTTGTAAATTTCTTACATTAACACCCTTATGTAGGGGTTTTTGATGTAATAAATGTACAAAACGTAGGGGGTTGGAAGTATTTTAATTGGAAGCATAAAATTTGTATATCCCATACAACAAGTTGCAGTCAATTATAATACAAGATTGTATGAGTAGTTTTTTTTTTTAATATTGCTAGAAGTCCATCTGGTAATGAACGAACGAGCAACAAACCTGCTGCAACTGCTACGTCATTCTTTGTTGGACGGTTACATCCATTTATACAAATACAATCACGTATACAAGGAAACTATCTACGATTAGGGGTCTAAAATCACTCTGGAATCAACCTATGCAATGTATATAAACTAATCTATTTATATCAATTATATTTGTAACACAAATGAAATATGAATTTGCAGTTATTTGTACACCTCAAATCAAAACAAGATTTCACCAACTGCCATAAATAATAGAGCATATACATACATATATCTTACTTTGCTTGCTCAGCTGTTCATCAGAGCATAAACACCAGATATTACAAAAATAAAATAGAAAAAAACCCTAAAACATTTCAACTTCAAGAACCAAATTTGAATTCTTGTCCAACTTCCCAAGCAATAAATCAGAATTGAGCATATTCGCCCACAATCTAGAGATTATTCACAGGTTTATCATCTTCCAAATGGTGTTACAATTATCTTTTGATGGATCCAACTCAAACTTGTCAACAGCTCTCTTATCTCTCACCACGATATCTGGAATGCAGGTTAACGAAAAAAAAAAGTCTTGGGATTTATGAATATGTTGTAAATATTGAAATGCTTGATTACGAATAACAAGCAAATATTATTCTGAAATATATGTACGCAAACTAAGAAGGATACGGCCTGATAATTTGGATTCATCATCCAAGTATGGAATGGTATTTGTCACAGAAGCATACATTGAAAGCTTCATCCTGAAAAATCAAAGGAAATTGTATAAGCTGCTGCTAGTAAAAACAGAAGAGTTTTAGGTACTTTCTCCGGTTTAAAGGCAGAACAAAATTACAGAGCTACAATGTAAAGTAGATCATATCGTTGTGTAAATGCATATAGTAACTCATTTCATCAAATTGCAGTTAAATCTGCACAAGTTTGCAACAATAGTTGGAATCAGATTATGCAGTGTACATAGTTTATCGGCATGGGACAATTTTCTTGAATGTGAAAGACTTCACAAGAAATCAGGTCACCAAGGTCGAAACAATTAATTATTGAGACAAATGGGGG